TAGGTGCCACGCAGCCTTAAAGGCACTTAAATACTAATTATTTATATAATAAGTAATTTTATTAATAATATTAAACTAGATACAAGCCTTGGGGGAACCTTTATAAAGGTACTTATAAATATATTTAATAATAGTTACATGCTAAACCACCTTTATATTAATATATATATAATATTAATAAAAAAGATATAAAAAATAAGGTATTACCTATTAATTACCCATAAATATAGTACAAGACTTATTATTAAAATTAAAAATATTAGTATAAACACTATTATTATATTATTAATACTCCGGGTATTAGCCTTTATAAAAAACTATTTTAAGATAAAAGGATTTAAAAAATCCCTTACTATACTTTTAAGGCTTTTTATTATTATTAAAATAATACTATATTTTTAAATTTAGTGTGCTGCAAGGGCCATAAATTATAATTAATATAATAATATTATACAGTACCTTTAAATTAAAGTCACCTTTGGCTAGGGTATTTAGGTTAAAAATTTTAGCTAAAATAAAATTATTAATCTTTTTTTATATTAAAAACCTATATTTAAGCTAATAAAAAATATAGAAATGCGGTAGACCCTGTTTTTAAAATTTAATAATAAAATAATATATAATATACTAACTAAATATATTATTCTTAAATTTTTAAAGCATTATTTAGTTCTTGGTATAAAAAACTTAATATACTAAATTAGGCTAATTACTTTAAGTTTAGATTAAAACACTATTTTTATTATAAATAAGCTCTTGGGTAATTTTGTCCCACTTTAAATTAATTATAAAAGTAATAAATAATATTAAGGTTTTATACTATAAAACTAGTATTATAAAATTAAAATAAGACTTGTGCATGTAATAATTACTACCCTTAAAATTAGTACTTAAAATAATCTACTTTTTAACTTATATAAGATTATATTTATTATTTAAGGCGCGAGAGGCAGTGCTATAAAAAGTAAAATAATAAGTTTTTTATATATTATAAATAATTTACAGGCGTGTATTTTTTATATAAAGCTAAATATTAACTAAAAATTACTAAAAAAGTATGGCACCCTAATATAAAATATTAAATTTATTTTTATAAGTAAAAATATAATATTAATAAAAAATAGCTATAATAATAATAACCTGCCTGTTACTTTATACCTTTCTAGCCTAGGTTAATATATAAATTTTTTAATTATAATAATAACCTATACCGCCCTCCGCGTAAAACAGGACGTAATAAAGTAGTAAATATAAAGGGTAATTTAAATTAATAATAGTTAAAAACCTTTAAGGTGCTATATTATTTTAAAATATAATAAAAAAGCTAGTATTATAAGGGTTTATTTTTAAATATAATTTAATAAGTAAAAAATTTTAAAAAAGGTCTAGGGGCTCGCGAAAAAATAAAATAAAATTTTATATACTAGTTTTATAAAATATATTATTTAGGGCTATAGCTAGGTTAAATTACTATTTATTATTAAAAATAAAAACCCTAATTTTAAATATACCTAATTAAAAAAAAGGTTAAAGCGCTTACCTAGCTAACTATTAATTATAAAATGCATGTAGGAAGTTAAGCGCAGGAAATTAAAATTAGTATTTTACTTAAGTATAGTTTTAGCTTAAAAAAAAATATTATGCCAGGGGTTTACCTGTTAAATATATTAGGTAATATAATTTAAGATATACTTAATAACCTTTAAAAATATATTATAGCCTAAACGCCTGTAAAGGGCCTTAATTAAATTAAGCTAATATATTTATATAAATATAATTTTATTACTTTTTTAAAAAATTACCAAGGGGGCCCATGTAATAGTAAATTAAATCTTATATTTAAAATATATAATAATAGTTATTAATAGTAACACAGGAATAATATTTAGTAGAAAAACTAGTGTAGGTAATAGTATTATTTATAAAATAAATATAATACTTAAAATTATAGTACTTGGGATAGGAACCACTAAAAATTTAATAAATTAGTAAATTAAAACTTAGATTAAGGTAGAAATTAAAGTTAATATTAATATTTATCCCGCTAGCTTTATAGTATTTCTAAAAGTTATAATTATTTAAGTAATTAGTAATTAAATTTAATTACTAATTAACCTTTTTTTTTATAAATAGGAACTTGTAATACAGGTAAATAATAAATATAATACCTAAAACTAAGGGCATTTAGGTGCCATACTTAAAAAAAAAGGTAATAACTATAGGTATATTAATTAGGGCCTATGCTATTATAAATAATAAAATAAAATAATAAAGCCTATATTTTTTAAGTAAATTAGCTAAATTAAGCTTTTTCCTGCACTCCTTATATTTTTATGTAAATTATATTATATTATACTTGTGCTTTTAGCACAGGGCGCAGTAGGTATAATTAATAATAATTTAGTAATTATACCATGCCTTATAAAAGTATTTACCCTTTATTAGTTAATTACCTGGGTGTAGTTAATTATTAAAAACAAAAAAAAAATTAGTATAAAAAATAATAATAAATAATAACAGGACTAGCTCTAAACTAAACTTTAAAATTAATAATAAAAAAGCTAAATATAAAAGTAAAATAAATACTAGGGGCACAGGCTAAGCCCTGTAAATTAATAGGTTTAAAACTTAAACTAACGCGGATAAAGGCTAAAATTAATTAGTAATAAATAATATATTAAGCATGCTAATAAAATAGCATACAAGAGTATTATTAGCCACCTAAATAAAAAATTAATAATTAATTAAGGAACACCTATTATAATACTTTTACTATTTAAAAATTAGGATAAGGCAGGTCTTACAAGTATAAAATAAAGTAGTAAAATAACCTATAATACTAGTAATAAAAATACACTAAAAAAAATATAATAAAAATAAAAAACTTAATAAAGTATTAACATGGTAAACAGCCAGAATTTATAAATATTAAAGCCTAAAATAAAGTAAATATTAAATAAAGCTATACTAAAAAAAAATAAATAAAAACTAAAATACTAAAAGAGTAATACCCGGACTGGATAGCCTAAATTAAAAAATAAAAATATATATATATATATAAATAAATAATATATAAAAGTACTAAAAATAAGAAAATAACATGTAATATATTAATATAAAAGCTATATAATATTATTAAATCCCTAAAACTATATTTACTTATTACACTATTAATATAAAAAAATATTTTTATTACCTTATTTATAATAATATGCCCTATAAACTTTTTTATAATTTATTATAAAATATTTTGTATATTAACCACGACCCAACCTATTATTTACACCTAAATAATAGGAAATATAATTAAACTATTAATTTAGTTTAAGACTAGCACCTAAATAAAACTAAAAAGGTTAAAAAAAAGCTTTAACTTTTATATATTTATTAATTATAAAAGGACTTTACTAACTGGTTTATTTAAAATAATAAAAAAGTATAAAACCAACAAGAAAAAAAAAGGCAAGAAAAAGCAAAATAAGAAGTAAAACACCTAAAAAAAAAGTTAAATAATAATAAAAGGAGCGGCATTAAAAGATTAAAAATTTATTATAAAAAAAATATAATATGTTTAGTATATACACTAACTAAATAAAATATATATATTTATATATAATAAAAACTAATATTAAAAAAGAATTATAAAGTAAATATAAGTAAATTAAACTAGTAAATACACCAGTGTTATATACCTTTTTTTAAATTAAATTATAATATTATTAATACGCATGTTTACCTTTACCTTAATAGAAATAAATATAATAATACCTAATAAATATAATTATTATAGTAAATTATTATAACCACGGGTAAAAAATAACCTAGTATAAAGTAATATAACCATGCAAGGTTAAGGATTTATAGCTAAAACTTATTAAACTAGGTAAAATAATAATATTTTTAAAAGCATAGAATATATACCATTACTTTAACTAAAAAAGTAAATAACTAAGTAACTTAAAACTATATTAATAATATTACCTAGCCTGGAAAAAATAATATTATTAATTTTATTATTAACACTAAATATTTTAGGTATTATAATATTAAGCAGCTTTATAAAATCCCAGGTAATATAATAATAAATAATAAAACTTATTACTAAATATTTAAAAATAAAACTATTACTAGTGCAAGAGCCTAACCTAAGCAAGATATAAATAAAAAAAGTTTATAAAAAATATATAATAATCCTAAAAAGTAAAGGGATGGAAATACCCGCAAAGCTAATTATATTAAATAAAAAAAAAAAGGGTAAAAGCAAGTTATAAAGTTTACAAGAAACTTATTAATAAGAATATATTTTTAGTAAGTTATTAACTAAGTAATAAAAAATAAATATAAATACTAGGTTAATAGCATATAAAGGTCCCCAGGCATGTTATTAAAGGTATATAAAAAATAAAAAAAGTAATTATAACCTAATTTTAATAAAAATTAATAAAAAATAAGTTAGTAAAAGCTAGGGTAATAAAAACTAGTAAAGTACAGGCACCTAGGGTAAAATATAATAGTATAAGTAAAATAAATAAGTAAAAATAATATAAAAAAGGTTACTTATACTTAAAAATTATATAAATAAGTAAACCTACAGGCCTAGTTTATATAAAGGGTTTTTAATTATTATTATTTACTTATATAAACTAGGCGCCCCTAAAATAATAATTATATAAATAAATATTTATACTAATAAAATTCATGGTATATAAGCTATAAAATATATAAAAAAAGTTAGCATAATAAGTTTATAAAAAAAATAGCAGGAAATTAAAACCCTAATAATATAAGGGCTAATATAGGCCAGAAATAATAGGGTGCGTAAGTAATTACTATTAATAACTAAAACACCCGGTGCTAGTGGGAACCACGGACCAATTAGAGCCTAAATAACAGTAGAAAAAGCCTTAATTGCAAACTATAATATAAGGATGCCAAGCGTCACCACCACCGGCTTGCTGAGCATGAGACCGACCAACATGGGCATTGTATCCGACGGCTTCCTAGCATAGCGGGCGAGGTCTGGGATATTCACCAAAGGCGGGATCATGTTTTGAGACAATAGTGTTGATGGCCTTCATGAAGGACCATCCGAGCGCTGATCCAGTAGCGGCTTCTGCGGTGCTCAGGCCCGAGAAGTTGGCACCGTGACTTGAGGCCTGCGCTAGCATCAGCCTTTATTGATAATAATATTGGTATTGGAGAAAGGTACCAGCGCCCATATCATCGTTGCGAAAAAACCGATCGGTGCCAACACTGACTTGACGCGGAATACCATATCCATCTTGCTTGGATGGGTGAAGGCGAATGGGAACTCGAGGAGCCATAGTATACCAAACGCAAGCAAGTCAGATGAGGTTATAGCAGCGCTAGCTGGAAGGTCTGTGATATGTTAGTAAAGGGGAAGCAAGACTAGCGGGAAGCTGGACGAACGATTTGGGATGTCAGTCCATTGATGGCCGAACACGCACCGCAGCATGACGGCAACAAACCGCATTTTTACAACTCTTAGCAATCTAGGGGTACCTTTAAATAAGGGCTTTAAACGCTTTAAAAGTCTTATAAATATATATTTTTATTATTTTAATTTTATTTTTAACTTTTTTTTTACTACTTCCCGCGGTGTAATAGCTAAAACTAAGGCGTGTATTTTTAATTAACTTATAAGTATTAATTTAGCTAATTTTACGCGGTTATAAAACCCTTTATTTTTTTTAACCTTTATATTATAAAAAAATAAAAAAAAGGGCGCTAGCAAGCCTATTTTTTTTATTATTAAAAATAATAATATATTAATTTTTTAGCCTAGCCTAATTATAAAAGCCCTTTATAATTAATTTAATAAATAAAAGTATTAAATATATATTAAATATAAAGTTTTTATAAGCTTTATAGCTATTATTAATAGCTTTATAATTAAGTAAAAAACTTAAAATTAAAAAGCTTTTACTTATAATATTTATAATAAGTTTATATACTTTATTTTTAAAAGGCTATATTAATATTAATAATATTAATTATATTTTTTTATATATATATAATTAGCTTATTATTATAATAATTTTTAGTAAAATTATTACCTAGGGGGGAATAAATTTAACCCTTAAAAATTTAAGGGCTTAACCCACTTCTTTTAAAACAGGTTTTTTTATTTTAATTAATGCTACCTTAGGCAAGACACCCTTAATTATTAAGTTAGGTATTTTAATAGCCTAATTAATATATAATAGCTTTATTATAGCCTTAACCACGCGTAATAATTATAAAATATTAATTATTTTTTTAATAATAAGTTAATAATATACCTAAAGGTATATATTATTTAGCAAGCCTTTATTAAATATATATTAAAATTAATTATAACTATAGCTATTTTTAAAATTAATATTATTTATATAAGCTAGGCTATTATTTTTAATAACTTTTTTACTAAAAATTTTTTAGTAATTAATAAAGTAGTTAATATAATTTATTATACCCTAGGTATTATTAATATATATATTTTTTAAAAATAATATAATTATATAATATAAGGGGTGTCTAGCATTATTAAAATATATAATAATAATAAAATAAATATTATTAAGTTAATTTAGGATAAGGTTATGGCCTAAACTAGGCTAAAATTAATTAAGCTTATTTTTTTAAATATAGGCCTAACCCTAGTATTAAATATATTACTTAAGTAATATTTTTTTTAAAATAGCCTAAGATTTTTATACTATTTAACTAAAGTAAGTATTATAAGCTTATTAAAAAAATACTAACTAGTTTTTTAATATAACCCTAGCTATTAAAAATATTATTACCTAATATAATATAATTATATAGCATACTATATATAATATAATATAATAATTATAAATTATTTAAATTTTATTAGCCTTAATTATAAAAACCTTGCGTGCTGTGTAAATTACCTAGGTTTATAATTAATAAAATATAATAACTATTTAGCAGCCCCTAAGTATAATAACAAAACTTTAATTTACTTATTTAAAAAAAAACTTAATAATATATATTATTATAACACTTACTAGTACTAAAATATTTATACCTAAGCTAATATTAATACCTAGCTTTAAATTAAAATTAAATAATTTTTATTTTAAAAATTTTTTTAAAAGCATATTATAAAAAAACCTAAGGTAAATAAATAAGGCTTTATAATAATTATTAATTATTATATTTTAAAAATTTAATACTTTTACTAGGAACTAGAATTTTAAGTAGCTTTTTATTAAATTAATTTAACCTACCCTAGTTAACACAGGCATGCCTTCCTTGCCTTAGGTAATAAAAATTAATACTAAATTTTTTTAAGCTTTAATAATAAAGTATTCAAAAAGAAATTATAGTAACTATTATTATAATAACACCTAGTAATAACAGGATTTTATTATTTATTAAATAAATATAAATAAATTTATACCTAGTTATATTATAATTTTATAACTAGCTTATAAATAAAACTATAATATTACTTATATTTAAAAGCCCTAAACTACTATAAGTATAAAAATTTAAAATTACTTAATATATAAGTATTACGCGCTAGTAAATACTTAAAATAATTATAAAAACTAGTTAAAAAAGCGCCCTAAAATACTTATTTATATTTATAAAAAAAAGTATTATATATTAAATAATACTACCTAATATAAAGCCAGGACATGCTATAGCTTATAATAAATAATATTAAAATTTTAAATATATATTAAAAATTAACTACTTATAAAATAATTAATTACCTAGTTATATTAATTCCTACTTTAAATTATATAATAAGCAGGAATTTTAATATTATATATAATATTTTTAAGCCTAAAGTAAATAACTTATACTATAATAGTAAGATTACTAAGTAAGCTAATAATAATAATATTAATTATATTAATAAGCTAGGTATAGCCACGCATAAAGCTAGCTATATTTTTAACTTAATTTTTTTAAATATTTTATTTACCCGCATGCTAGTAATATTTAAATTATATAATAATTTTAATTATTAAATTTTAGTTATTATAATACTAAGGCGCGGGAAAAAATATTAAAATAATATTATTATAATATACTAAATTATAAGCTTAAGCACCTGGCTAGGCTTATAAAAAATAAAATAATATTTTTTTTAGCTAGGGGAACTTAAAAATATAAAGGTACTAAATTAATATATTAAATCCCTTAGTAATATTATTATAAAAGTTATATAAGTAATTAATAAATACCCTAATTTAGGGAGCTATAACACCCCTTAGTAATTAATTAAATATATAAATAACTATAGGGTATAAATAATAAACCCTACCTTAAAATAAAAAAAGTAATTTTTAGTTATAATTTATAAAACTAAACACGCGTATTAAACTAAAATAATTAATAATATTAAAAATAATTAAAAATTATATTAAATAATAATATAATATAAGCTAAAGCCTAGGTTTAAGGCTTTTTTATTATTAATAAATAGTAAAATAATTAAAAACACACGGGAAAAGGCTAATATTTTATATAAAATAATATTAAAGTATTTTAATATAAATAATAATTTAAATTTTAATCCCCTAAAACTAAAGTATTAATAAGGTAATAAATACCTTTACTAGCTAAAAAAAATCTTATTAAAAAAATTAAAAAAATATTATTAATATAAGTAGCACCTTTTTTTAAAGTAAACTAGGTAATAATTTATATTTTAAAGGCTTGTTAAAAGCATGTTAAATAGGCTATATATAAATTATATAACTAATACTTATAATAAAAATACTTTTTTTATTATAAAAGCTTATAAAAGTAGTAATACTTTTAAAAGGTAATAAAAAAATAAATTTTTACCTTAATTTTAACACCTTATAGCGCTACTTATAATATTAAAAAAAAAACTTAAATAAATTATAGCATGTTATATTACTTTTATTATACTAGTATAAAAAATATTAAGCCTATAATAATATAGTATTTTACCCAAGTACTTAACTATAAATTTAATAGCCTTTTTTACTTATAATATAAAAATAATACTTTTATAAAATTAAAAGGTTACCATGGTTACTATAAATATTTTAGGTATTTTTAATATTATTTTATTATAATACTTATTTTAATAAATAATAAAGCAAGGCTGGCCTTGCGCGCTTTTAGCCTTAATTATAAGTTTTTTTAATAAATAAAATATAAAAATATACTTAAAATTTATTATAATAATAATACACTTAATATACTATAGCATGCTATAAAACTTACCTTTTTTTAATATTATTTTTATTATATATAATAAAACTACTACTAGCAAACTTAATTTTATACTTTAATTATATAAATAACTTTTACCTTAACCATGTAAGTAACTTTTTTTATATAAATTATAAGCTTTTAATAAAAAATATTTATAGTATGCTAGCTTAAAAAAAGTAAAATAAAATAGTTTTTATACCTAAGAAATTAAAAATATTATATATTACTTAAAAATAATATAATAAATTATACTTACTAATAATTAATAACTAATTAATAATTACTTTTATTATTATAGTGCTAGGCTAAAAGTAGCCTATATTATACTAGCTAGGTATTTTTTTTAATAAATAACTTTTTTAATATTAATATATTACTAAGTAAGTAATTAAAGCCCGCGTGGTAACCTAGCATATTTATAATTTAATATATATAATATATAATTTACTTATAAATTTTTTTTATAAAATAGTTATTACTTATATTATTTTTAGCTTTTTATATAATATAAAGGCATGGTATAATAATAAAATTAAGCTTAAAAAATATGCGCAAGACTTGAAGGTTAATACCTAACTAGGCTAGTATATTAAAATAATTAAAAAAACCCTAGCTTTAGCTACCCGCGGTATACTTTTAATTTTTTAAATAATATTTATAATAACCCTTTTTAAAAATACTAGGCTTTTTTTTATAATAATAATATTAAAAAAAGTATAATTATAATTTACCCTAAGGCTTTAATTAATAAATAACTAAAATTTATTAATAATAAAAATAATATTACTAAAAGTTTTATAAAATTAGGGCGCTAGCTCACGCTAAAAATTTAAAATTAAAATATAAATTATAAAAATGCTTTTTTTAAACACCTTAAGGCTAGTTTTAGTATATTTTTATTACTTTTAAAAATACTTAAAAAATCTTACTAGGGGCAAGGCTAAAAAGCTAGCTATAAAAAAGTTTAAATAATAATAATAAGTATTACTAATAATAAAAATAATAATTTTTAATAATAATTTAAAATAAATATACTAAGGGGCTTATTATATAGGCTATAGCTTTATAATATATTATAAATAATACCTTTAAGTATAAAAAATATTAATAATTAATGCCTAGTCCTATATATATAATATTAAGGTTATTAATATATTTTAAAAGCTAAAAATAATAATTAAAAAGCTTTTAAAAGCTTTTTATTACTAGCTTTATATAAATAATATTTTAATAATTTAATATATATGTAAATAGTTCTTGCTATTTTTTAACTAAACTTTTTAAATATTATAAATATATAATTTTCTTATAATAGTTTTTTAATTATATAAATATTAAAGGTAATAAGCTAGTTAATAAGCTAATTAATAAAATAACTTTTATAAAGGTATAGCCCTTAAATACTAACTTTTTTAAGGTATAATTTATTATAAGTAAAATATATAACTTATATAAATAAATATATTAAATTATTTAAGCTAAATAATAAAAAAGCGCCTTTATAAAATTATTAACTTAATATAAATAATAACTTATAAAATTAAAGCTTTATTAAGTTAAATTATAGCCTAAGCTTATATTAAAATACTTAATTTTATATTACTAGCTAGTACTAAAGTTATTATATAATAATTTTAAGTAATATTATAAGTACTTTTAATATAAAAATATAAAAGTTATTTACTCCTGCGGGAGGAGCAAGAGCCTTAAATATTTAATTTTTTATTAATACTTTTAATAATATTTTTAATAATAGCCTTAGCGCCTTATAGCGCTATTAATAATTAAAATTAAAGTTTTAAAATATTTTTATAAATTAAAGCCTAAAAACTTTATATTTTTATTAAAAATTATAAACTTTTATAAGTTTATTTATTTTTACTAGGGCTTCCCACGCCCTAGCTTTATAAAAATTATTTAATTTAATATTAAATAATTTTACCCTTTTTTATTTTATTATATTTTTTTTTTATTTTAAATATTTTTTTTTAATATAAATAACTTTAGCTTATATATTTTTTTTATAAATAGGGCTAGCCCCTGCGCCTTATAATATTTAAATTACTAAGTATATAATAAATAATACTTATTAATAGCTATATATTTAAATAATAAGTAAAAAATAAGTACCTAGCTTATAAGCTTTAATAAAAATTATTTTTTAAAATAAAAAGTTATTTTATATATATATATATAAATTTATTTAAATAGGCTACTTACCTAGCGGTAGCACGCCCCCATACCCCAAGGGAGGTTTAGAATATTAGGCGTACGCCTAGCAATCCCTGGGGCGTTAAATATCACTACTACTACTACTACTACTACGGCAACAAACCGGCTTGCGTAGAGAGTCTGAATCGCCATATACAGGATGGCCACGACCTGCCACAATCAGCTATGTCCTGACGTAAGATTATTCAAAACGCATACGCCTCGGATAAAAACAAAGACGAGTGAACCATAGATACCGCTCGACGCCCGAATAAAGGTTGGGTAGCCGACGTGATACCTGGTATTTACCAAGGATATGAGCCAAAGGCTTTGCGTGAAGCCTCATCGTACATACCAAGCAGCTCCGCGAGAATTAAGCTGCAGCAGTACCGCGACCATAAAGGACACCACGGCTGTCGATGCTTCAGCGCAGTCTTCACAATCAACGAGAAGCATACCTACTGGAAGCGATCAAAATGGTCCACCAGTTGAGGCCAATGGCAAACAAACTCGCGCCAACATTATACGTCGTAGGAGAGAAGGCAATGCTGAATTGGAATGCGAAGAAGGACCAGGATGTCCAGGTTCTCTGGTCTGGAGGAGACGGGTCAAGGTCCTTGTTCGACCACTTTCCGAATTGGCCAGTCTCGAACTCATCCTGGCCACTCTTTCTAATTCTGATTGCATTCACAAAACTCCGAGGGCTCCAAAAAGCTCGTTTTGCGATGGTCATCATCGAAGGAACCGCCAACTGCTGGCCGTTGAATCGCCCCTCCCTCGTTCCGGCAGCTTTCCGGGATCGCCAGCTGAATATAAAGCGACAAGGGAAGATAAACAATGCAAGACCGGCCAATGGCTTCCCGCTCGACTATCGAACCCAAGATTCTGATATTGCTGCATCGGCGAGATAGGCGAAAGTTGGGGTACCCATCTACTCCAAATCCCTCGAAAGATATCTCGATAGCCTTGCGCGGCCGAGCGAGATAAGCACGTTCGCTCTCCTGTTTAAATCTTTCATGCGCCATTCAAAGGGTCCAGGCAAAATGTCGCAGAACCGTGATAATCCAACGAAGTGACCATGTCGAAGCCAATCCGCCTTGGAATCCTAACTCCCTCCTCAAATACGAGTCTCGAACCTCTCACAAGCGCGATTATATCCTCGCTCCAAAACCCAAGTATCACAGTCCACTTCTCGCGCTTCGCCGTAACAAAAATCAGCCTTGATGCCTCCGGACTCAGCCAATTTGAGACCGAGAAGATCTTAGCCGCAGCGCAACTCCTCGCCGACGCCGAGGTCAATATTATCGGATGGAGCGGCACATCGTCGGGCTGGCTTGGGTTTGAGGCGGATGAGAAACTCTGCGCTGCTATCACGGAGGCGACGGGTATTCCAGCGACGACATCCGTCCTGGCGCTAAACAAGGCGTGCCAGATCTTCGGGGCGAAGGAGGTGGGATTCGTCACACCGTATACCGATGACGTTCAGGAAGCTATTGTTAAGACGTATAAAGGGATCGGATTTGATGCAAGCAAGGAACAACATTTAGGCATGTCGAAGAATACGGCCTTCGCTGATATCGGGGAAGACACGCTTGATGAAATGGTCTCTGAGGTTATGAAAAAGAGAGTGGACGCCGTTACCACCTTTTGCACGAACCTAAGGGCTGCGCAACGCGTTGCGCATTGGGAGAAGGAATATGGGGTACCAGTGTTCGATACCGTCTCAACAGTGATATGGGATATGCTGCGGCACTGCAAAGTGGACATGTCCGTCTTGAAAGATTGGGGGTTGTTGTTCACCAAGCAATAGAGAGCTTCAGTCAGGCAAACGGACCAGAGGCTTTCTTAGACTTACTGGAGAACTCTGCCGTGTCCTTCTTTCTCGCTACATTCACCGATTTTTAGAGTCCACATTAATCATGCCTGCGAAGTCATACATCGATACCGTCAAGTGCCTTGGCTGCTTCTATATTCACCTCGATGACCAAATCCTTGCCCGAATAGTAAGCATGGACACAATCAACCCTAAGGCTTAGGTCTCAGTGGTGGAGCGCAATATAGACTACTTCCTGAACGAGGATCGGCTAGACACAAACACCGCATGGTTCCAGGAACTCAAAGCCCAGTGTATCAATCCAGATAGCGATGATCACGACCTCCATCGCCATCGCCGGCAGGGTCGACAACCGCTTGGGGTATGCGGCGGCGGCCGCAGTGAAGATCACAGCCCCGTACTCGAACCAGTCGTTGCGGTCCTCCTCCCACAGCATCTTGAGCAGCCTGCCGTAGCAGCGGAAGATGCAGCAGTAGACTGCGAGAAAAAAAAGAAACTTGATCCCAAGCCCTCAGCCCGCGCTTATATGCTGACGATGGCGGGGTTGGCGAAATGGCCAGTTTGTAGGAGAGGCGTGCGAAAACACGGATGCGTTCAATCACGAGCACGAGTCAGACGGCCATTAGCGCGAAGACAAAGCGGATGTTGCCGGTGTTCGAAGGTTGCAGAGGCACGAGGCGCCGGCCGGCAAGGGCGTAGAATCGTGTCACTTGCGGGCTTTGCGGCGCAGGTAGTCGAGGCCTATGTGACTGATTGCTTCTGTCGGTCATGGTTCTGTCGGTCATGGCGACGAAGAGGGAGCGGGGGTGGGTTGAGGCCGCGGCGTGGACCTGGAGTGCTGCGACGAGGATTGTGCCGTAGATGGGGCTAACTGAATCCAATGGGACTCGCGCTTGGTTAAGCTTAATCCCGCGGAAGAGATCTGTCAAGGCCTAGATCCTGTTTAGCATCACTATCGAAGGGCTCTGGTACGAAGAACTATTCTGCTGGGTATCCCGGCCACCACTTTCATCTGCCATAGTCTCGCAAACAAAACAGCCTCTCCCCAGTCGCCAATCGTTCCTTTGATTAGTCCTATTTTTAATCTAGGGTCAAGTTAAGTGGTAAGAAACATATCGCGTGCCAAACCTGAGCGCGAGATGGGATAAACCACCAAATATATATTTCTACACCCGGAGGTCTCAGTCCTTTTTAGCATGAAATAACCTAACCTGGAGCCGTTGTAGGTTATATTAGCAAGAGGGCTGTTAAAAAACGCGGACAGCCGTAAAGTAACTATAAAACTTAACACCTAGTCATAATAAGATAATTAATGGGTCTGACATACCTCCAGCCATCATCTCCAAACGTCAGACATTTTTTCAACAGGTTCCACCGAAGGGGATCGTTTGCATCCGCGATTGAGGGCTGGACCACGAGGGGAACCCGGCCATCGCTGTGTGTACCGTAACAAGCTGATACGCGCCGAGGTCGCCTGAGTTACTGCTTTGGTCGATGGTGAGCTCGGTCACTGGAGCTGTTTCGTCGTGGGTTCGATAAGCATGTGCCCTCATTGATGAATGCCACTGTCCCTCAATATTCTTGTTATGTTAATCAATGCATTCGGATCTTGAATGTTCTGGTAAAGATTTTGTCGGGCGAGTTCAATATTCTCCTTTGTGGTTCCGAGAGCTTGCAGTAGGCCAAAGATCTGCCGCCCATTTTTGACGCATTGCTGAGCATTCACAATAGATAACTGGCGCCGATCGGACTCGTAGGTGTCAAGCGTGGCGTTGCCCGCCGACCCTCGGTGGACTGCAGCTAGTCTTGTACGCTAAATTGCGTACGTCGCCTAAACCGRTGTTCAGGCCGAGACCGCCTGTAGGGGAAAACGAATGGGCTGCATCGCCGGCTCCAGAAGACGAGTTTATCGTACAGGAAGACACTTCCAACGCGGCATTTATTCGCTACCCTTCTGCTCAGAATCCAATTTGGTACGAGAGAACGTCGTAGTGTATAACTCGGCAAATGGTTGCGCTTATGGTATTGCGGCAGAGGGATTCGTTCCGAGGGTCGACCGGATCCTTCTTGGGCTATCATATCGTTAGACGGTAATATCCAGCCTAAAAGAGGCACTAACATCGATGTTGCAAATGCGGACCTGGTTTTCGGAGAGGTTGTATGCAAGGACGAATCCCGAAACCTCAGGGTCCATGACCAAGTGCAGTACGCCGACGTGGTTGCCCACCACCGGTCACAAGTCACGGTTGAAGTGAATGGTCATCATGATCTGGTCCGGCTCAATCAGCACTCCAAAAGTTGGATGGTCGACCAGATCTGAAGGATACTGACAAGAATCCTCTCCTTCACTTTTGACTCCGATGAACCTTCCCACGGCGCTCTTCGCTCCTTCACAAGCCACCCCGTGTCTGGATTTCACGATATATTCGCGACCAGAAGGGGGGTTTTCCACGGTAGTAAGCATGTAGCCATCGCACTGAAAGGATTAGGTATAGAACAAGGGCGGGGGTTTAAGACGATACCTGGTGCAAACGGACGAAAGGGTGGTCCTTCCGGATCGTTCAGCGTCTTCTAAACAAGCTCCCTACCGCTCATTCCTCAAACGCAGTCTGGGGGACATCATGGATCATCTGGCGCAAGTTTTAATCTCGCCGCCAAGAGATTGGACATGTCAGATGAGTTCATACGGCGGTCGTCGCGTGTAGCACTTCCGGTCCATGCGTTCATATGGCAGCCGCCCAACCTTTTTACCGCTAAGGTTGGTGATAAAATTGACCCAGAACGCAACCGCGCGGAACAGGCCTACCGCTCAGATTTCGTTGACATCGAGACCGAATTGACGGCATATTGAGAGCGATCGAGGGGACAAGGCGTGGGCTTCGGAGCGACGAGACAAGTCGGATAGTGTGCAACGATAGGCGTCTGGACTTTAGCATCTGGCAGCCTGGGGAGGGGGGAAGAGTGCCGGTAGAACGCCAGCAAAAGTCTGGAGGGGCCACCGCCGACGATGAGGATAGGGACGTCCTCGTCGAAGCGTCGGTCGCTGACTTTGGAAGGAGACATTCTCTTCGCAATGTCTTTTCAGAAGAGATTATTGAATTCGAGGTATTTGGCACATGGCGACTCGTCAGTTAGAGAAACGAAGTGTTGATGATTTAGAGGCAAGGCGTCCTGGTCAGCCTGGTCGAATTCGGGAAAGGCAGGTGGGGCCACGCCAACGTAACCGCGCTAGCCGGATTGGGGTGTCGCGTCGTGGGGAGCGAAATCTTGGAACGAAATTCCCACTTTCCCACTTGCTCTCATCAACCTCGCGCATCCTCCGCAACCCGGCGATGAAGGCTGCATCCTGATTGCTGGCCCAGCTGATTAGCCCGACCATGCCGCGCTCTCCGCATATCACGGGCGATTCCTTCGTGGTGACCGGGCCCAATATTTACCGGTGCCAGACATGTGGCAAAATTTACACCAGACAAGGCCATCTGGACGTACGTGACCCAGCCCGAGACGAGACCGCCCTGTCGCGCTAACACAGCTGGAGCACAGAGACATGAGCGATCGCGTTAGTACGCTTCGTTTTCTTTTCCGAACTCTGTACTGACTAGGTAGATACCGATTCCCGGCCGTATGCCTGCAAATTCGAAGGCTGCGACAAGTCGTTCAGCCGGAGTGATGTGTTGAGACGGCATGAGCTCTTGCATGTTCGCGGCTCGAGGTCAACGCCGTCGACACCACCGGCGCCGTACCAGGCTTCGCAAGATGACTTTTCCGTCTGGGGAGGGCAGTCAAGATCGCCTGAGCCGTCCGAGTATTCGCAAGATGGCTCGTCCGTCGTTGAGGTATCGCATTCAAGTTTGCCGCAGCCGTCCCACACTTCGCCAAATATGCCGTCGAATGGAACAAGACAATCAAGACCACCAGAACCTCCTATGATCTCCCAGGACGTCCCATCCAATGGAGTGGAACGGACACAACCGCAGGAACCGCCCCAGGTCACTCAAACCGCCCCGTCCAATGAAGCGGGACAGCCGGAACCTGCCCAGGCTACTCCAACCGCCCCGTCCAATGAAGCGGGACAACCGAAACCAAAACCGCGAAAGTCACGGATGCCGCCAGATGTAGATCGAGTCTGGCAAGACCCGTTCACCGGAAAGCCGTACCTCGTCTTCCAGTCCGGCGTACCGACTGTCGTACCTCCGGGCGCTGATCCAACACCGGAACCCCCAACGCCTCCTCCTGCCCGTCCTGCCAAGCGTCAGAAGACTGCTGCGGTTCCTATTCCCGCCGGTCCGCCAGTGCCGCCAGTCCCGAAGCCAGACAATTTGCTTCCGTGGCTGATGGCTAGATTCGGCGGCCCTGGCCTTCCGCCGAATGGAAACCTGATATGGAGACCTCAGCCGGACATTGAACAAGCGTTCTATCTCATCACTGACATGCTGAAGAGTTATACTCCCGGAGGAGCCCCAATTGGGCTTACAACTGAGTTCCTCGAGGGTTGTCTGCATGCGTTCTTTCAACGAGTATGGCCTGGTCTTCCGGTGATCCATGCACCCACCTTCGCTTGGCAACGAACGATTCCTACGCTTCTGCTCCACATGCTCGCGCTAGGCTCTCTGTTTACTTCTATCCCGAATGCATTCCATAGAGGCGAAATCTTATGGCGACTGGGACACGCTGCTGTTACAAGTTGCTGGCGCGGTCTAATCGCCCATCGCGGCCCGTACGACCAATGCGAAGGGGTGCAACTCGTTTTGAGTTCTCTGCTAGGACAGATTTACGCCTTGATGTCCTTTAACCCTGAGATCCGTTCTACGACCTTTCTCTCGCGTGGCCTGGGATTCTTCTGGGCTAGAACGTGCGGCATGTTCGCGAGCGGCGATATGGCAGACTGCCAGCCCGACCCTAAAATGTCAGAAATTGTGAACAAACATCGCTGGGAAAGGTGGGCGGCATTGGAAGTACAAAGGAGAGCAGTTCACGGTCATTACATCCTTGACGGTTTGATTTCGCAGACTTTTGTGGCGCCAACGAGCTGTCGACATATATTGAATCCTGTCGCGTGTGCAAGTTCAGATCGAGCTTTTGCAGCCACCACGGTTTACGAGTGGATGTTCGTTATGGGACAATCCAAAGAGGTGCATAGCCCGGTGTCAAAGGTTTACGCCAACCTCCTCGACGACGCGTACGTACAAGGCCCGCCTATGGCCTCATCGCTTACGGTATCGGTGGTCCTCGAAGGAGTGCAGTCGTTGATCGCCGAACTACACGATGCAGTCGATGATACCTTTGCTGTGGTGCCACGCCGTAAGCTCGTGCAGGCATTGCTGCGTATTTACCTTTCCTACCCACTAAGCCACAGCAATCAGCTCCGCTGGCACCACGCATTCATGGAGATCGCCGCCCCATCGAACGAAATGTGCCGAGCCCTGTGCCGAGTTCTCAATATCCCTCCTATGCCTGGTCGAAGCGCGGGATACACCTCACCTGGCGTGATGGATCTAAGCCGCTGGGTGCATACGGCAGACGCCACGCGCTCACTTATCCACGCCGTCGCAGTCATCAACATTCTCCGCGTCAGCTCTCTAGACCCCGCCCAGGCGCCCCTCCTACCAATGGCAATGTTTTCGTCGGCTATGGTCATTGGCGCTTTCTGTATGTTCAAGACCCCTAGTATTGTCATTCCGGTGACTGAGCAGTGGGTGTATGTCTGGGAGCGTCTGTTTCGAACGGACTTGACGGATGCGGGAGAACAGGGTCCGGTGGAGCCACCGAGGCCGGAGCAGCCATTGAGGCCGGAGGCGCCCCGCGAGCAGGAACCGCCACAAGAGCGTGAGGAGAATGGAGAGCAAGAGAATGACAAAGAGAAGAATCAAGAAGAGGACCGGGAAGAGGGGCAAGGAGAGACGCTGGAGCAGGGACAAGATAAGAACCAGGAGGAAGCCCAGGAGCATCAAATGGGGACGCAAGAAGAGGGGCCAGAACGGGAGCAAGATAAGAGACAGGCGGAAGCCCAGGAGAATCAAAAGGAGGCGCAAGAACAAGTGCAAGAAGAGGGCCCGGAGAATGCCCAAGAAGAGGTGAGAGAAGAGACGCAAAACGAGATCCGAATGGAAGACCAGGAGGAAGCGGAGGAGGCGGATGAGGCGGATGAGGCGGAAGAAGAGGAAGAAGCAGAGGAAGTAGCGGAAGAAGTGGAAGAAGACGGAGGAGAAGATGAGCAAGACGAGGGCCAAGAGGAGCAAGACGAGAGCCAAGGGGAACAGGAGGGGGAGCAAAAGGATGGGCGGAATGAGGAGTGGGAGGAGTGGGAGGACCAGAGGCAGGAGCAGCAGCGTAAGGAACAGGAACAGAAGGAGCGTGAGGAAGATGAGGATTATGATCCGGACGAGGAGGAGGAGGAGCAAGATAGCGATAACGAGCAGGACAGGAAGGCGACGGCGCAGGATCGAGCCGCGATGCAAAGTCAAGATCGAGAACAGCAGCCGAATCAGACCCAGCGTGAGGAGCAGTCTCAAGGGCAGTCTCAAGAGCACCCTCGCGAGCAGCATCAACAACAGACCCAAGCGCAACACCAAGAACAGCGTCAAGAACAGCATCCGCCGCAACCTCAACCTCAACCCCCACAGCCGTATCAACCTCAGCGTCCTCTCCCGCCCCCCACCGAAGCCGACGAATTCTTAATCGCACTGCAACCAAAGGCCGGGGTCCCCTTCACCCCAATAAATCTCCCCGAGCAGCTGCACTACCTGCAGGCGCTGCTCCGGAATCTAAATTCGTGCTGGGGCGTCGGCGCGCAGATGGATCACGTCGTGTCGAACCTGACGGCGCTCGTCTTCAGGCGCCAGCAAAATCTACCCCCGGCACAGGGTCCTCCAGCGAGGACACCATGGGTTGTGCAGGTTACGCGCTGACTGAGGAGCTGAGGGGTGAAGAAATTTAGCTTCGGTATATGGTGGACTCCCATCTCGTTTTCGGTATTTGGACTTAGCGCGATGGTTTTTTTGCCAGCGGTGTCCATTCCATGCTTGTATTATAGACACATCTTATAAACTCGGCGTAATTTGCAGCCAGTCCAAGGGATCCCGCTATGTGTGAGATGTCTAAAGGCCTCTGGTGTCGCAAAATGCTTCCGTTTGACGACCCCACCATTTCTCAGAACCAACTTCACTACTTGATTCCATGGCCGTTTGACAGCGAGGCATTCGTAGCTTCGCACGGATATGCTATTCCTTCCCTTTAACCATCGAATTCTATGACCTCGTCACGCAACGCGTAGTTCGATTCTACGTAAATAGCCCTCCAGCTTGATCCCGCGCATCCTGCTTCAGCCGGCAGTGAGGTGTTACTGCTTCGGTCCCAGATCCAGGTACTAGTCGCAGTCGCAACAACCCAAGGTGCAGAGGTGCAAAATGTGGACGTAGGCGAGGCCCGCGAAGCGACCGATGCAATGAACGCTCCATGTTTCAACTTCCCATGTCTTTGCGGCCTTACCTACCTACCGTATGCATGCACGTCTCAGAGCCTGCCCGTCGAAATGCTATCGGAATTACTTGAGAGACAATCCAAGTCCAACGGCCGTCGAGGCCTTGGGCGCTTGTGTAGGGACCGGGCTACCTAGGTAACGTGGGTTCTGCCTCTTTATGAACGCTGCGTTGGTAACACACCAGCCAGCACAGCAGTGGGCACCGGCGGTCTCGATGCCGATGCCTTATGACAGCCCGATCTGAAGGCAGTGAATCCGAGTCCCGTCGCTTCTACGCTCTATCTGGCTTGCTGAGTAGCCGTCCTGCTCGTTCTGACACTTCTCCGAACACTGGGTGGCTTGTAGGGGAATGATACGAGTTTGACTCGATGATGCAGTGCTGAGATCCAGGCACCGAGTCCCGACGGGAGCATGGGGGCTTCGGAGTCTTCAAAAATTGATTCAGGATCTGTATGTGGATGGCTCGGTGGAGGACTCAGTCCCTGTTCATATTCATCCTTGATCAATTTCTAGCTGCTTCTTGGGCAGATCTTTGGTTTTCTGGGGTGCGGCCCGGCCCGTCTGGGCTTCGGGCCGTTCACGGGATGCCGTGAATATACTCCAGTACATAGTTGCTTGCTGCTTAAGCTAGCCTTTGGGTTCTCACAGGATGCCAGTTATGAAGTTACTGATCTTGCTAATAACATCAGGATAATGATATATTGGCTACTTGAATCAGAGAGGCTATGCTATAGTGACTCTGGAATACTTTGGCCCTGGTTCTGAAAGAATGAAAGAAAGCGAAAACTAGTAACTGTTCTAATCCCGGTCCCGGCGTAGGGAAACAGGCTGAGGGGAAATATTCCATCCTGGAATAGCTTCACTTTCACTTTCACTTTGACCCAGGTTCCGTCTGTGAATGGATTCACCTTTTCACAACACTGACTGCAACACCAGGCGGGCCTCTGAAGAGGTATAAATAGGACCATCCCCTCGCTCGAAATTTTGATTTTTTCCTCATCCCACCATCCTCATCTCTCTCATTACCTTCGGTCGTTTTCGTCACTTTCGTCACCTTCAACCGTCTTCATCACCGTCAGCCCTCGCTCCTTCAGCGTTTGTCTCTTCTTTTTGCTTCATCTCGTCTTGTTCGCTTCGTCTCGTCTTTTTCCTTTGTTTTGTCTTGTTCGCTTCGTCTCATCTTGTTCCTTCGTCTCGTCTTGTTCGCTTGATCTCATCCGTTTCAAACCATCAAGCGGGATAGAGACACGTCTCTTAAAATGTCTCTCTCAATGGCGCCTGCTTCGGTCCCCAACCAGCCCGCAGAGGCGTCGCGCTCCCCAATCTCCGCCCTTCCACCCGAGTCCATCTCGCGCATCGCAGGCTTCTTGGACTTGAAAGACCTCTGCTCCCTCCGCCTCGCGAACAAGAACCTCTGCAAGCTCTTTGAAACCCCCTTTCAATCGTCCTTCAATACTCGAAACACGGACCTCTCGCGCCGCTCCCTCGAACGCCTCCACTTCATTGCCAACTCCCACCTCGCACCCCACGTTAAGACCCTGCGCATCGCCCCGCGCCCAAACAACCAAAATGGAAATAAGATTGGCGAAGACATGAACTGGGGCCTCGAAACCTATGGTGATCGCTGGGTGGATGGCCTCACAGCAAGCTCGGTGAAATATATCATAGAACGCCTCGTCAACTGCGACGGCTTCATTTTCACCCAAGTCGGCGCGGACCACGGAAGACATGTCCAGCTGAAAGATCACATGTTGATGGTGCAGGTCCCCACCCATCAGGTGAGAGTCAGCAGCATTGTGATTGCCGACGCCGTGCACCTCTTCCTGACAATCATTACCCGGCTTCGGCGACAGATTGCGTCCTTCACCGTGGATCTGCGAGCCACGCGGTTGCTGCTTGGCGAGATGTATTACGAGACCCAGCCCGGTGGTTTGGCGAACGGGAATGCGGAGCAGGGGCGCGGATACACTGGAAGGTTCCTCATCGGCCATGGCATTGGTCTCCGTGGAATCCAGGATTGCGAGCGATTGATCGAGAGAATTTCCCAATCCTATATCCAAGATCTACAACTCAATCGGCCAGGGTATCATCCGTTCTCAACACTGCGCTCGCTCACACTCCGCCTCCCCATTGACGTGCAACAGCACGCGGATGCCATGCGGCAGTTCATACTCGGGAACCCGGATTTGGAGTTTCTGGCTCTGTCGGTTGCGCAAGGGTCCCAGGCCAATGCGGCGGGATCTGGCGGGAAGTTCCTGCGCGATATCATTGAGTATTGGAACTGCGGCTATAAACCGAGGCTGCGGTGGTTGAATCTGCACGGTGCTGGGAATATCCCTATAAGAACTGAGAAATTCATGGCGTTCCTGTGGAGGCACGGAGACACACTGCAGATGCTTGATCTAGTCGGTATTAACCTTATCAGCAACATCGAGCGCCATGAATGGGAAACCATTCTCACCTATCTCCAGCAGCCCGAGTTCAAGCAGCTTAAGGTCTTCCGGCTTTGGCATCTCGTCGAGACTCGCCAGATCACGACAGGGGCGGTCGCCAACCGCCGCACTCGAAATAACACCGTGCACGTGTTTTTCGACCCCAAAGTTGAAAAACATCCCATTGGCATGATTGGAACCCCTAGGTCAGATGGCCCTAGAACTTACACATCGCCTGCATTTACCTGCGAAACGTGCGATTACGACTGCTTCCACGTATCCGGGGATGGGCTCTTCGGCCGGCAGTCCAGTGGTCCGCGTACCCCCCGCCGTTGCAAAGTCATCCGTGGGATCAACTACGATGACTCGGGCTTATCCCAGCATCCCCCAGGTCAAGGTACTACCGTCAGCAAGGCGTTGAATCAACTCACTCAACACCTGCGATACGAATTTGAGATGAATACTTCGCCTGCGCTGCAGCAGCGTGGGTCTTCGCAATTCGAATCTGTGTCAGGCCACATTGGAGATACAGTTCCGTAAGATACCAGGTGATTGCTTCGGCTCTGCGATGGTCCAGGTCTTCCAGGCGTTAGGGGTGTCCTCTCTTTCTTCGTCCTTGGGATGCCGTCTTGTCTGCGTTTTTTCTTTTGTTCAATATCTTTGTTTGGGAATTGTCAAACGTGTCACCTGGGGCTGCTGAATAGCTGCATTGGATTGGGCTGTATCTTCGATAAAAGCCCTGCGGCGCCTTCCAATCTCTGCCATCATCATTTATTGTACAGTTATTTTGGTCTGTCCAGGTGGAAGATCCAGAGACTTCTTTTTTCCCTTGTACTTCTTGTTGTTTCTTACCTTTATTCCGTCAAACGGCCAATCAATGGTTCGGTAGTCAAATTGAAAATCTTCTGTCAGAGATGGTCGTTTACTTTGAACTGCCCTAGAAACTCCCCGTTTCTCTCCGAGTAGTGGAGGAGACAGGGAACTCGAGGGTTGTAATTCCACTTACGTAGGCCACACTGTATCCTCACGATGTAGAGTAAAGGGGTCGCGGTGTAAGCATTACACTTCAACGCGAAGCAACAGGTTCTCATAACCAAGGGAATTCGAAGTAAAGCGCCGGGACTCCGAAAGTCCTTCGGTATTCCTATAGATAACCTGAATACCAAGCAGCGAAAAGTCAGATTCTAATCAGAGAAGCCGCCACTCCACGGAAGAAGAGGTGTAACTAACCATGTGCGAGAAGACATGCGTCTCCTTTCGTCGATGGCAGCGTAGGGTGCACCAGCGGGAAAAAGAACCTTTCGCCTTTCCCGTTGGAGAATCGGGACGAAGTTTCCAAGGGCGCCTCGTCAACCTTCTTATTACTTCATTCCCGTCACTGTTCCAAAGGTTCTTTTCCCGACTTCGCCACTGCACCGGGATCAGAGATGGAAGCTAGCGTCCACTGGACAACCACGCGAGATGGTATGGACGGCGAGGACGATGTTCCAGTGTCACACGGCTCGGGTATCGATTCAATGAATGGGCGAAGGTGCTGCTGGACTTGGGCTTGCGGAAACCAAGGTATCGAGATCGGCGGGAGGGGGTAGGCTTGCGGTATCCTAAAGTATGAAGGGACTGTTAGTTGCTGGTAGAACGTCTCCGGACCTCTCCTGGATACACACTCAGCCTTCTGACTGCGCCCTGGTTCTTCTGGTCCGGTGTTGTGTCCCGTCGGGACCTTGATGGTTGCTGGGCTGAGGGGGTAGGGCATTGACCGTCCCCCGCTCCTGAGCAGAGCTTCTCAGGCATCATAGACCTATATCATTCCAGCAGGAGAAAATTCGGCCGAACAATTGTGATATCATAGCCTGAAGCGTTCTGCAATGCAGTCCAAGTTGTGGAGGTTACGTGCACGGGTGGCGCCTGCCCAAGGCACCCAGTTCTGTAAACGGCATAGCGTGGTGAAAGGGCTCACAAGTGAATGGCACCCACAGTGAAGATGGCCTCTCCTTCCTCAAATCGAAGCTCCTGAACTCCTCAAATCACAGCTCCTGAACTCCTTCGGAAATGACTTGAAATCCCAATGCCTCCCACCTTCAGCCAGGCTCCTCCATCATCTCAACACAACTCTTCAGTCATCTCTAGTATTTAACTACATCGAAACAGCCCACTTCTGGATATCCTCATCGTTACCAAGACAGGATGTCTCTTTCCACTCCCATACCTGTCGAGCAGGATGGAGCACCCATCATGAGCCTCCCCGTTGAGATGGTCCTCCTGATCTGCGAGCACCTGGATACCACAGATATGGCCTCCTTCCGCCAGGCAAACAAGCATCTATTCGCACGCATTGACCCTCACTACCTCCGTCGCATGTTTGGTACCGTCACAAGTAATCTGTCGGCTTCCTCGTTCCAGCGCCTTGAGACCATCGCATCCTCCCGAGCTGCAGTCCACGTCAACACTCTGAGTATCCAACCCAGCGGCATGCGCATGCCGCGAGCCATCGGAGCAGGTATGAAGTGGGACCGTGAGAATATGGCCACAGACACAACTCAGACAGGCGGAACCCTGACTCTCCAACGCATACTGGGCAAGCTAGTCAACTGCACCAACTTTCGAATCTGTCAAAACGCCCCGATCGTCGTCCGCGATATCCCACTCTCGTCCGACTTGGTCATCAGCGACGTCGCGTACCTGGTCAGTCTAATCTGCGCCCGACTTGATCGCCAGTACACGTCTTTTACGCTCGTCATACCCTACGGTCGATGCAACACACGTGGTATCACTGCCCTTGCAGAAATGAACTCTCACCCAAACTCGCCAGGTACCTCCCTGCGCATTTGGGAGAACCTGAACCGTCTCCGTCTTTCGTTCCATTATCATAGAGCCATTCAGAGCACCTTCGTCGCCCGCCTGCTCAGCTTCGCGTCCAAACTCAAAGTCTTAAAGCTCGGCGCCCACGGTCCCGAGGGTGGCGCGCTCCTACGGGAGCTCTGCTCATCACCACTCTTCCACAGCACGTTTGAGCTCACCGAACTGCATCTCTCGGGCCAGAAGGAGTCGCCAGATGCGCAGACTATTAATGGCGCCGATCTAGCATCTCTTCTCCTTCGCCACCGCAATACGCTTAGAGTCCTCGTGTTCGCCAACTTGCGCTTGGTAAGTCGAGACAGCGCGGCCGTCCCAGAAGGCGGGGAATGGCAGCATGTCTTGCAAACACTCATCACAAACCCCTTCTCCCTGCGGCACATCGGGTTCATCACCGCTGAAGAGAAGCGTCCCGGTACGGAGCACAACCTGTTCGTGACTCTCGCATGGAGCGCAGGCATCTATACCCTCCCTGGTCAGGTTCAGCCTCTACTTCGTACTCCTATTCTTAGTAGGCGTTCCCAGTCTCTAGCCCGAGAGGGGGTGTGGATGCCCCACATGTCGTTTTCATATAACGGAGAACAGATGCGTCTTGCGCTGCAGAAGTTGGCGGAGTTTTTATTTCTTTGGGCGTCCGATAGACATGGTGGGATACAATACAATGAAGCGTGGCTGAGGATTGGGCCAGATGTGTCTCGTGATGCTCGTCCACTGGGCGACCACCAACCGTCTACTTAGATGGCACGAATTATTGTTGCTTGGTTACCTCCGTGTCTCGTCTCGCGAGCCCTGTTGGTTTTCAAGCGCTCATACTTTTTATCTCATTGTTCATTTCAAGTTTCAGTGTCTACTCTCACATCGCCTTTCCATGTTGATGCAGCAAGAATCTTACTCCGGATATCACCACAAGCGTCAATTTTTTTCCTTCCCTGCATGGACAAACTGATGTTTCCAATACAAGTTGGATAATCATGTGCTCACCTCCTCTGTTAGTCTTGTTTTTTTCCTATGTATCTAGGTTGTTCCTTTTCATCAGACGGGATAATGTTCTTGGGCTGTTTAGCAAGGCAAATACCTATTCAGTGTCCTTTGCTCAGTTTCATCTAAAGATCCTCGAGAAAGGGATATTGAGAAATCTGTAGTAGAACAAGTAACCAACCGGAACCTTGGTACTAGGCCAGTCAATACAATCACAGCAATCTGCTACTGTGACTTCCATATAGTGTAGTACACTTGACTTCATCCCACTCAAAACACCGTCGCAACGCCTAATTGAAGTCTCATCAGATATCAATCTAGCTATGGATCCGGGAAATCTAGCGTCATAACCAGCAGTAGCAGCGAATACCAGGACACTCAATTATAATTTATATTGATCAGTACACCAGTAGTGCCGTGCTCTAATCGGGCCTCGTCCTCTCTCAAGGTCAGGTTGGGTTCAGCAAACAGGTTCTGTAAGTGGTTTAGCGTCAGTGAACAGCATCACTGCCCAGGTCAACAGAACACTCACCACTTCCTGCGAATGTCCTTCTTTTTCTGAAGAGATATTCTGCTTAAGTCAAACTTTGCATAAGCCTTCAAATTTTGTTCCAGAGTAAGCTTCTCCATCATCCTTACCTATACCTCCTCAGCCTTGAACCTGGACTTATCCCAACCCGCCAGCCGTCTCCCAGCTCAACAAGATCACCAACACAACAAACCTTCAATATTTTCATCACTAAAGCAAAGATGTCAAACCCCTCTACCGCAGACCCCTACAAAAAGAAAGTCTCCCTCACAGCCCTCCCCGTCGAACTAATCCTCCAAATCACCTCGTCCCTCCGCACCCGCGACCTCTCCGCCCTGCGCCTTACAAACACCCACCTATCCACGATCGTCGACCCCCAATTCACAAAGAAAGCCTTCTCAACCCTCTCAACAAACCTCTCAACCCCCTCCCTCCACCGCCTCAACCAGATCAGCACCTCCCGCTTCGCACCGGCGGTAACACACCTACTCATAAACCCAAACCCAAGCACGTTCCACAACGCCCTCGGGTACGGAACGCCCTGGCCGCGAACACAAGAATCCTGGGAACGCAATCCCAAAAGCGGACCCGCGACACTCGCGCGGATTCTGTCGAATCTCCCGAATTGCACGGCGTTCAGTCTCAAGCAGATCGGGCTGGATTTCGGCGTTAGAGGGTATACGGACCTCCTCCCGCAACCTGTCTGGAATGCGAAGAAAAGCGAGCGCGTTGTGTTATCTGATGTCGTGGCATTACTTCTCACGCTCCTTCAGCATGAGAAGCGCAGTGTATCGAGCTTTGAGCTGGAGGCGGTGCATGAGGGTATCAATAAGACGGGGTTAACGCTGATCGCGAGCGCGTTCCTGATTGAGGGGTTTGCACCGGCGAAGTATGACTTCGCGATTTTTGGAGGTCTGAAAGAGCTGAAGGTGAGCTATACGCTCGAGCACCCGCTGCACGGGAAATTCGTTGCAGAAATACTGAGCCACGCGCCGGCGCTGGAGAACCTGCTTCTGAACGTGCGGTCTGCAACTGCGCGAGGGGGGCGGGCGTTATTTTCTACGATCTTCGCGGTGGACTTCAAGTGTCCGTTCAGCCTGAGGAGGTTTAAGCTCGCTGGGGCGCGGAATAACCGGCACTTGGTTTCGCGGGCGGGGTTGGCGCGGTTTATTCTGGCGCAGAGGGGGACGCTGCGCGTTCTGGATCTGACCACGATTCGGCTGATGGAGACGGGGAACGCAGACGCGGACGCGGACGCGGACTGGGATCCTGTCTCGGGCAGGCACAAGGGTAATGAGTGGGTTCTTTTCTTCAGCGCCTTGAAAAGCGCATCTTTCCCGGCCCTCCGCAGAATCCACCTCGCCGGCCTCGAACTCCAGGACGGATATCCAACTCTAGATGAGAACATGGAGCAGGACGTCCCGTGCCACAAGCACGTTGTGTTTCTGGCGGAGGCGGAATTCGTGCCGCTTGGCATGGACGTCCCGCTTTTGCGCGGCGGCAAGGAAACGGCCTGTGTACGGTATGATGGGTGTGTTGAGGGGGTGGGGGCTGTACTTGGGATGGTGTGTAAGTGTGTTGTCCTTCGGGAGTGTGAATATGTGCGCGAGGCATGGATGGACTAGATGGACTAGATGGGATGGGATGCTTTGCTGTTTTTCCTTGATATGCTGTCTACAGTGATGTTTGGGTGGTTAGTGGCTGTGTCATATATGGACCTCCGCGGCATAAGGATCTTTTCAGCGGACCGTGGCCGGCCAGTGAGGTCGTACATACCCATCTATTATCACTTGCCTTGACGTTTTTATCTCATCAAATTTGTTACTCTGTTTGATTCAGCTGGGATTTCATTCCTTCAGTACGATACTGCGATTCAGGAACGGCCGGGGCCGGGGCCGGGGCCGGGGCCTAGTAGCTTAGGGCTCTGGAGAATGCAGTTCATTGGCGGGTCGCTGCTCCGACACCAGACCCGTGGGGAGGAGCCTAACTAGACGACCTGCTATGGAACTAGCACTTAGAGAACAAAACACGATTTTCACAAAAGAAAATTGAAACATTGTCCAGATACGCTTTCGCTATCTCGGACTCAGATACCCAACGCTTCACACTAACCTGTACCTGTGCCTGTACGCCAACGCAACGCCAATGCTAATGATGGGTGCCAAGGCCAGAAGAACAGACGCAGCCCTAACATATGAGCCGTCCAAGGTTATCCCGAACCAACAAGCGAGGAAACAGGACACCAATCAACAACGATAACCGATCGAGCTCGACAGCGTGCTACCTACGGTCCCCTCCTCAAGCTCATGCTGGAATCCAACCCCAAACTCGTCCTCCTCCCACCCGTCCATGGTCGTCATCTCGCACTCACGGCAGCGCTCATGGCGGCAGGTCCCGCGCTTCCCGGTGCAGACGAGGTTCGCGGTGTCGTGGTTTTTGTCGCGGTGGCAGCGGCACTTCGCGGAGACAACGTTAGTATTTCATTGGGGAAATAGAATGTGGGTGGGAGGGGCGTACGCAGGTCCATAGGTCCGTCATCATCCAGTCGATGTCCGGGTTTGTTGGGGCGGGGAGGGGCTGGCTGAATGCCGATGCGTCCAGGCGGTTAGTTGTGTTGGTGGCGAGAACGGAGAAATATAGGTCGTTCAAAGATGCAGGGGTTGTTTGGGCGTCGGCGGCGAGGGTATCGGTGAATGTTGGGCGCTGGATTAAACACAGTAAAGATTTAGTGATTTGACTTGGATAATAGAACGGAAAGGTGGGAGATGACGTACACCAAGCGCAGCGATACCCTCATTCGCAGCCTTAACCGCACGATCTGCTTGAGCGCGGGTAAGGGAGAAAGGGGTGTTGTTCGTCATAGCCTCAACCTGCGGTCTCAGATCCGGCATTGCAGCAAGCTTCTGGCGAATGGACAAGTTGACCATTTTGCTTTTGGACACTTTCTGCGCTAGGGTTCTCTCTGCCTGGGCGATCTTTTGCACGATGTCTTCGATTGCGGTGTCGTTAGAGGAGAGGGACGGGGAGCGCGCCGTTGGTCTGGAGGCAGGGTTCAGTTTGAGGGTTAGACGGGGCTTCGTAGATTCTGAGGTTTTCTAGCGAACGAGCGTTAGTATTCTGGATGTTTTGCAAGTGTGCTGTACACGGGAAAGGGGAAGGGCTTACAAGGCCCTCAATCTCATCCGTGATAGCCATCGCCGCATCGATCATACGAGGGAAAACGTCGATCGTGTTTGTCTGCAGTTGGATTGTGGCGAGAACCAGCTTGGTCTCGCGGTCCATCTCGGGGGAAAATGCGAATGATAGGGGTGATGAAGTAGGTTGGATGGGGGAGGGAGGAGATTCTTTTTTGAGATCGCTCTCATCATCCTTGAAAGGGCAAATTAGCGTTTGCTCCGTTGAGGTATAGGGCACATATGAATGAAGCAACGGCGTTATTGCAGGGGATGTCTTATATGACTTACTGAGATGTAGATAAAGGGCCCAGGAACAGGGGCTTCGCTCGTATCTTCGTTCTCGGATTCAACGGCCAGCGTTAGGTCGATCAGGGTGTCACAGGGCTTGTTTTTATCCCCGCCTCGAATGGCCTTGGAGTCTTTCTTGACATTCGAAGATTCGTCATCCTGGAGTGAACAGAGAGTTAGATTTCAGCAGAACTGGATGGGTGTTCAGCAAGGGTGACTTACTGAAGACACGTATATGAAAGACGCAGGAACAAGAGCCACCTTGCTATCCTGTTTCTCAGATTTGACTCCCTCACTAAACTCCTGCGGAGTATAGCCAGGTTTGACCTTACCCCCAGAAACGACGCGGTTTGATGTAACAGCAGCATCGGTGACATCCTCCTCAGCAAAGCCCTGAGTCAATAGATTCAGAGGGAGAATGGGATCAAAGGGCAAACGAGTAAGAAGGGCTGGATCAACGCTCTCCTTGTCCTCCTCGTCATTGTCCATTGAGGCAGCCGCATCACGAACGGGGTCAAAAGGCAAGCGCTTGAGGCCAGTAGAATGACGGTTCTCCTTGTCATTGTCATCATTGCTATCATCATCTTCCTCGCCAGGCTCTTCATCCTATACGCGGTAGACCTAGTGTTAGCTCTTCTGGCCGAATTCGACTTGCAGAAAGCAGCCAAAGCAAAGAGAGCAACATAAGATACTCACAGAAATATCGATCACGACCCTACGACCAGCGAGACCGTGGTTCCGCTTGCCATTTCCATCTTCATTATCAGTTTCAGAATCCTATAGGCGGTAGAGATGGTTAGCTTCTGGCTGATTTGACTTGCAGAAAGTGGGCAAATGCAAAGGGAGCAACAGAGGGACTCACGGAGATTTCAATTACGACACGGTCAGCAGGAGCGGGAGAAGTGACATTTTCACTCTCGACCTTGAGTTCGGCGCAAGTGATTGCTTCTTCAGCGGGCTTAGAGATACCAGTTTCGCAATCAAGCGGATCGGTGTTTTTCTTCTTGATGTCCTCCAGCTTTGAAAAGCCGATGATTAGCTATAATTCTCATCCTTTATACGGATTCAATTGAAGACTTACGCAAAGCTCCATGGCATCCACAAAAGAGACAGCAATTTCAGCAACGTTGTCCACCTCAGCCTTGATCCTCTTGAAAGCCTTTCCCATCTCCTCGACGCGGTCAGAGGCGCAGACCATGTCGTCGATCTTGCGCTTGACGCCGGCGGGCTGGTTCTCGCTGGGCTCTGACATTTGCTGGAGAATACTGACTTGTTCCAGATAAAAGGTCCTTGGTTGTAACACAAAGTGATTTCTCTTGGAGATCTTCAACGAATGGAGGAGGACGGTTGGTGTGGAGAGAATCAAAGCTTCGAGAGAGCTTTTTATAGGATGGCTAGCAGATAGGCATGTACTAAGTGCGCTGGAGATAAATTTCACTCACTGCTGGCCTTGTTGTTGTGAGTGAATATTTGCACCCATTCCCACGATCCTGGGCCAGCCAGCCCCACCAGCCCTAACTCTGGCCACTCAGCGTCACGCATGCAAAGAGTCCAGGAGTTGCTTCACAATGTTGACTTGTTGGTTACTGGCTGTTGGTGACTGGTGTTGGTTACTAAGTAATGGTTACTGGGTGCTCCGTATCTTCTTCATCCCCTCCTTAAATATGACATTGTCGACTTCTTTCTCGGTTCTCCTCCATCTCATCCACCACTCTCTCCTCCTATTCCTATCAATCCCATCTATCATACGCCTCAGCTCAACGTCGTACTTCCATCAAGACTCAGTCGATGGCGCCTTCTACTCTACCCAGTACAGCCAGCGCGCTCCTCGACCTCCCCACCGAGCTCCAACTCGACATCATCGATCTAGTCGCGGACGAGGACTTCAACTTCGACGACCTGGTTCCCCTGGCTCTGTCATGCAAACACTTCAATGACCTCTGCGAGTTGAAATCCCGTCGTGAATTCCGCACAATCACCATTCGCGAGTTCAGGCACACGTACAGTGTTTTCGACCGGCTGCTGGACATCCTTCGCACTCCTCGCCTGGCAGGCTACGTCCGCCGTGTCGAGCTGAACATGCAGACCAAAGTCGGCACGCCGTTTATCAATGAGCCACCCACCTGGGAGCGGACGGATTTGCCGGATTCAGACGTTCAACTGCTCAGACGGGCTGTCAACAAGGCCGGGTTCGAAGGCCAGCAGGCGCGCGATGTCATGGACATGCTCATGCAGCGTTCTGCGTATACGATTATGGGCGTCTCTAACCACACGTAGGCTCTTTTTTCTTAATGTCTGATCTTCGCTGACACTGCATCTAGTTACCGAACTGCCTTGGAGCGCGGAAACTACATTGGCCGTGCGATTGGCACCATCTTGCTCTCCGAGTGCCGAAACCTCGAATATGCGTGCATTGGAGCGCCCCCCGCGTCCCACCTGGAGTTGAACGGTCATCGCCCCCGACAGCCACACGAGTACGCCGAGAATTTCCCTCTGAACCGGATCATGAAAGCCATTCACGAGGCACCTACAACCTGCGGATTCATGAGCAAGGTGCGGACAATCGAGCTGTTCAGTCGCAACGCCGAACTCTGCGCCAGACGCCGCGTCTACGACCAAATAGACATCATCGGGCGTATGGAGATCTTCAATGGCCTCCCCGCTCTAAAAACGATCGTCGTCGAAGGCGCTGCCTGGAACCAAACAATCCCCCGCTTCACCACCACCACCAACGTCGCCACAGGCATTTCCATCCAGGACTCCCTGCTCGGCTCCGACGTCCTAGCCGGCGTGATCTTCTCCATCGCAAAGCTCGAAGACTTCACATACCACACAGGCAACCGCATCCAGAACGAGAGCTGGTACGACGAGAACGAGCTCAACCCATGCACCCTCTTCAAATTCCTCCTCAGCACGCGCCACACCCTCAAGCGCCTCGACCTCAACTGCGACGCCCAGATCCACACAAACCCCTGGATCGACTACCGCGGCATCCAGACCTCGCTGGGCGACTACCGCGACGAGCTGATGCGCACATCCGGCCCTTACCGCCGCGACAGAACGAAGCTGCGCTGGATCTTCGCGCTGGAGGGCTGCCTTGCGGACTTCACGGCGTTAACGAAACTGACCATCGGCGCCGACACGCTCTTCCTCTTCCTGAAAGGCTCCAACTCGCCCTTCTCCACTATGAACGAAGATACCCCCCCGTCGGACATGGTTCGTGCCCTGCCGCCCAAGCTGAAGCATCTGAAGATCGTTGGCCGTTTCGCGCCTTTCCGAGGTAGGAATGCGCGCGTGCACGCGATGATCGAGCGCATGGCCTCCTATTTGCGCGCGACTCGTCCCGATATCATTCTTGAGGGGATTTTCGCGCATGTTCGGCTGCGTGGGGTGCGAGGAATGCGCGCTTTGCCTGCGGATGTCCGTGAGCAGATTATTGGGCCTTGAATGCGCATGCTTTTCTGGCTTTTCTGGCACTTTTTGTCGTCTTTCCTTTCTTCGTCCTGTCTCTTCTGGAATATCCTTTTTACAATACTGTCGTCTCATGGGCACGCGTCTTGTATCGATCCCCAGTACTGTTGGCATTGAATGTCTGTCCTTTGTTCCCCCTCCACTTTTATCGAATTTGGTCTGCGTTGGCTAGCATTGGCGCTGGACGGAATTGGAATTGGAATATGTACTTCGTCTTTAGCTGAATAACGTTTGAATCCTTCACACACTGCCAGTCCTAGCAGATTACATGGTTGTAGATACCTTTCTCTCTGGCTTCAAGTGTATCTCAATCGCCTAGTCTTCGCAAAGCCCGATTACTAGGAGTAGCGTGGCCGCCTAGCCCACTTGCGCTATGGGAGTTGCGCTTGGTTACCCGATCAAGCCCAATATACAAACACAGGATGATGCTCCCCGCGCAATTCATCAAGCAGAATCAAAGCGATGGGCGTAGTGTGTAATATTATCTGCTGGATGCAAAAACGGCTCTTCGTCGGCTTCTTTTTATGTCCTAGGGGCAAATATTAAGGCTAAAGTAGGGTGGGGTGTACATTCAATCTTGAGGTTGCCATTCAGTCGCGGGTGAAAAATATATATCCATAGCATGCGTTGGTAGAATCACGAAACGAGGGAATGGAGGGGAAAGTTGGAGTGACAATTGTTACCCAGTGACGATTAAAGCGATATAGCTCGATTATGACAGAAGCATGAGGGGAGAGGGAGTAGTGCTTGAGCAATAGGGTCATCAGTCGCGCCTTCCCCAAGGTCTCTGCCTTATGTCTGCCTTAGGCTTGAGGCAACGAGGCCCAAGTTTTTCTTCCCCTGAGATCTGCAATCAACCTCAACTCCACTCCGACAACGACCGCGTCCATCCAGCCCATCGGCCATCCTCTATTCATTCGTTTTTTCTGTCAGTAAATCTGTTGCAACTCTGTAGGGCGCAGTATTCTGTTTTGTTTATCTGTGAGGATTCAGCCCGCTCCGCCTGAACCGTCTCAAACTCCCCTTTCCCCGCGATCAGTCGGGACGCGATTAGCATTCTTCGCCGGATTGCGAGGTCCATACTGCTTCAATTGTGCTCTTTTTTGTTCCCTAGAACAATTCGCTCTTTCTGAGGCCGCTGGCGCTCTATTGCTCGCTCCTTTTCTTTCTTCTCCGCGGCCTTCGCGGCCATCCAGAACGAGGTTAGGCCGCTTCGCCAACTCGTCAGGGCACTTCTCGAGTGTCTTTTATTTCCCCTAAAAATCCCTCCTTTGATGATACCGTCGTTCTATTGAGCGCTCATCATTGCTAGTGACTCCTTCGAGATGCCGCATCTGCTATCGCTACCAAACGAGCTCCTGCTCATGATCCTATCCTACCTTGACAACTACAAGGATATAGTCGCTCTCTCCGTGCAGGATCGCCGACTGCGCAACCTCTGCGATCTTACCACTTGTAGGAAATACCGACGCATCAGGATCCGCGACGATGAACACCTTAACCCGGCCTTTGACTTCCTTCTTTCTATTTTGCGGAATCCTAGGCTCGGGAGCTATGTACGACATTTGGAGGTTGACCGCCAGCCCATGTGCGGAGATAACTACGAAAAGACGGAATGGCAAAGGAATTTGGGCGACGGTGACCTGGAGAAGCTGAAACAGGCGATCGAAGTTGCCCACTACACCGGCTATGATGACGACGTCATTCTGAACATGGTTATGCAATCGAATCCTGATATAGTCCCTATTTCCGAGGGTCTCCACAGGTATGTAGTTTTCTCCACGGCCTCTGTTCGCGCTCCTGACAACAGAACAACTAGGAAGCAGCACGTCAAGATAGTGCGGGGAACTTACATCGGTCAGGCCATTGCAGTTCTCCTAATGGCAGTCTGCCCTGAGCTGGAGTCGTTGGTTCTCGGTATACCCTTTAGGAATCCAGGTCAACGCATGAACCCCGACAACCATCCCGACAATGCTGCCACTGGAGTAGCGTTTCCGCTCCACGAGTTTCTTCGTGCCGTCAACCATCCCCAGGTGAAATGGCCTCACCTACAGCAAGTCCGCACCGTCGAGTTCTTGGGTCGGCCCTATCTTAGTAAGAAGTGGTACTCGAAGTGCGACTTCTATGGGTGTGCCAAGGTGGTTCACGGATTACCCAAACTTGAGCGTGTGAGTATCGACGGCATGACGGAGATCTCAGACCAGTACCTTGCCGTTCGTCCAAAGCAGAGACATCTCTCGGAACTGGAGTTTCATCACTCAGATTTGAGCACAATTTTTTTATCTCCACTGATGACCTCGGTTCATGGGCTGCGGAAATTTACGTACACCAGCGGGCGCATAAAAGGCATTGGCCGTTTCCACCGCAAAGGAGAGCACACCCGTCACTTCAACGCAGCAACGTTCCTAAGATGCCTCCTCCGCCATAGACACACACTAGAAGTGTTAGATCTGGATTACGATTACCAGTTTAGAAGAAAGATTCACCTGTCGATCGAAGAGTTTGTCTGGGAGCCGGGGATCGAAGGCCCCAGGAAGCCGTACTCGCCGTCATCGCGCAGAAAAGAAGCCGGCTCCCTTAAGGACTTCACAGCCCTTACCCGTCTCAGTATTGGAGTCCTCTCACTCTTCTACTTTGCACAGGGTCTGTCGCGCGTTCCCAACCCGAACATCTTCAAGATTGACCTGGTGAAGGCGCTTCCTCCCAATCTTCAGTACCTCACCATCCGCGGGTACAAACCTGGGTTGAATAAATGGCATGATCATAAATTGGCGGACCTCGCTCGTGATTTCGACGTCGACCACCCGTCGCTTCTCGAAGTACAGGGGATCGAGACTCCCATTCCCCAGGGTACCATTCAAGCACGGAGCTGGCCCCAGGGACCTGATCTTGATTTTAAGCTTGACGACTGGTCAGACTATGAGTACTGAGATCAAGCTTCCACTCCCAACCGCTCTGGCCGAATTCCTTACCGTGTGCAGTCATTCCACTGGCGGTACGGCAGCCCGCAACTGTGGCATTGGATCTCCACCTGGACAAGCTTCGTAGGCTTGGCTCGACGTTGATTTCTTTATCTCGATACTCATTAGCTCGGTCGGGCATTCAGCCTGAATCCCCGCAAAGGCTCAACCCCTGTATATAAACAGAGTATTGGTGCATTAATTCGATGCTAGCGTTGACCAGGATGCGGGGTAGCTACCCCAAATCATCGGTCTAATATCCCCTCGCTTGCTCATAAACAGGGTCCTTTAGCCGTCATAGTTCCATCAGCATTAAAGCGCATTCACACTGGGCCACGATGCTTTTGGCTACAGCATTGTTTCTAGCTATCTTACCCAATCTGGCTGTAGGACGGATCGATAGGTTAACATCCACTCGTCCACGTTGCATCAAGAGGCTAACAACGACTAGAGAGAGAATTGTATCGAAGTACAATGTCGTGCGCACAAGCCTGATTGACAACGAGACCACACCGCTGCAGGTCGGCAATGGGGATTTTGCGTTTGGTGTTGATAATACGGGGATGCAGGTATGCTACTCAGTATATTCTTCGGCGCATGATTGATGGGTACAGACATTCCTCCCGTTTAACACATTGTCGAGCTGGGGATGGCACAATGACTCGCTTCCGACGAACGGGTAAGTCCCGTATCTGCGTCCCTTTCGGCACCGCGCTTCTAATGGTGCTATACAGAGAACAGCTGTCCGACTATACCGGCGTCCCAAGGCTAACGCACGGCCGCAATGTTTCATACGACATTCCCGACCCCGACCTTCCCGAGGTATCGCAATGGCTGATTGGCAATCCCAACCGAATTAATCTTGGGCGAATCGGGCTCAGATACAAGGATGCTACATTGTCCGCCGGTAAAGTCACGGATCCCCGACAAGAACTGGATTTATGGAACGGGGTCATTACTTCGACGTTCAAGGTTGACGGGGAAGACGTCAAAGTGGTCACGCAGGGTGACTTCGAATCGGACGCCGTCGCATTCAGCATTGAGTCAGCCTTGATTGAATCGGGTGATTTGAGCGTTGAGCTGGACTTTCCGTACCCGCCTATTCACACAACAGAATACAAGTACGAGGTCTTCGTTGGCGTATACGACTTCCCCGAGAACCATACTACGACGATTGTCACCTCCGGTCGAGAAAGCAGCACAGCTCATATCTACCACGAGCTGCAAGAAACAAGCTACTTTGTGAACCTCCGCTGGCCATCGTCGTCGCCTCTTCGCCTCACTCAACCGAGAAATGCCACCGGCCTCGCTAAACACCGCTACACACTTAACCCGCGCTCCCAAAAATCCTCCCTCTCCTTCACAGCCCTCTTCTCGCCCGCGCAATCCACGCCCGCGCCCCCGGCAAAAATCCGGCGCCGCAACAGTCTAGCCTGGAACAAATACTGGAAAACCGGCGGATTCATGGACTTAACATCCTCGCCGCACCCCAGCGCAAACGAACTCCAGCGCAGAATTATTCTGTCACAGTATCACGTCCGCGTGAACAGCGCAGCAACCGGCCAGTCACCGCAAGAAAGCGGCCTGATGAATAACGGGTGGTACGGGAAGTTCCACATGGAGATGGTGGTGTGGCATAACGCGCACTGGGTTACGTGGGGTAGGCATGAGTACTTCGATGCGATATTTCCGGCGCTGTACGAGACATTGTTGCCGTCTAGTATTGAGCGGGCAGCCAAGATGGGGTGGGAGGGGGCGCGGTGGCCGAAGATGACGGAGACGAATACGGGCGTTTCTTCGCCCGGTGGGATTAATGGGCTTTTGTTGTGGCAGCAGGTGAGTCACACTCTCGTCTTGTCTCTCATTTATCTAGTGGCGCTGTTTTGACGAGCACTGTGCAGCCTCACCCGATGTACCTTGCGAGTCTCTCGTACAAGGCGTCTCCTACGCGGGAAGCACTGCGGAAATGGGACCGCGTTATTACAGCGACGGCGGATTATATGGCATCGTACGCGTGGTTTAATGAGAGCTCGGGGCTGTATGATCTGGGACCGCCGTATGTGTCCCTATCCCATCACATCCTTCCAACTTGCCTCGACCTAACAGAAACAGTTCTTACGGCGTCACGGAGAACACCCCGCCATCCGAGACGCGCAACCTTGCCTACGAAGTAACCCAACCCCTCCATCCTCCTATCTATCAAACTAACCGCCCTTTTCCCTTCTCAGATAGCCTACTGGCGCTACGCCCTCGACACAGCCATTTCCTTCAAAGAAGCCCTCGGCCACCCAATCCCCCAACCCTGGTCCACCGTCGCAACGCATCTCTCACCCCCGCCAATAGTCTCCGATCTATACGCCGTCTACTCCGGCCTGAATTCCTCCTGGTGGAGCGACTACAGTCTAACCGATGACCCACGGAGCCTAATCATGCTCCAGGGGATTCTACCGGATACACCAGCCGTCGATGAGATCATTGCAAAGAAGACAGCTGATAAGGTGGATGAAGTCTGGCGGGACGAGGATATCCGTGGTTGGGGGCGTGTTGTGCTGGCTATTAATTCTGCGCGAATTGGAGAGAGGGAGCGCGCGGTTCGGCATCTTACGAGTGAGAGGTGGGTTTTTGATGATGCGGGTATGTACAGTCTTCTTTCTACTTTGTCCTATCGTAGATGGGCTCGCTTGGGTTGGGAGGTGCGCTAATATTGGTGTCTAGGATTCGCGGTTCGAGGGGGTGATGGTATGTCTTCTTCCCTTCTTAATTGGTCCACTCCACTTTAACGATATGGTTGCTGATATTGAATAGGAGGAACACCCCCGCCCTTCATGCCCGGAAACGCAGGGTATCTCCTCGCCAGTACGTCTGACTTTTCCTTCCTAATACAGGCAGAATTCGCTGACAAGATACCTATCCAGTTGCGTATATGGCGGCCGGGTGGGAAGGATCTGAGGGCCATGCGCCTGGATTTCCGGATGATGGGAGCTGGATTGTTAGGCATGAGGGGTTATTGAAGGCACTCTGAGCGATCGTACGATGGATCTCCAGCTACACCTGCAAAGCGCTGTGGGAAATATCCTCATGAGTTGATGTTTGACAATCGTCAAGACTAAACAAGCAAGACAAGACCAAGCAAGACAAGACCAAGCAAGACAAGACCAAGCATTGCGGAAAGGGATCTATTTGATTATGCAGTGGAATTTGTGGACCTCGAGAGCGAACCTACCTAGGTATATTGCATAGAATCTGATACATACACCAACTTTACTCTCCGTATAAGGTGGGAGCATAAGGACTGGCTTATTCTTATTGCTATTTCAAGTTTATCGTCGAGTAGCATGCTATGGTAAGATCATGGTTCAAAGCCTCAACTACACATATGTCGGCACGGGGGGTGCCTAAGGCACCACCATACCGGATTGGGACTAGCGCGTCACGTGGCCCACAGAGTTTTCTCCCGCCRATTDAGGCRAACCTCTCAATACACCAGACTTCTCCTATTGGACGCTTCGCCTACGTCGGCCGTCAGGTTATGAGCCCTTTCTCTTCTATATAAGCGCTTCAGTACCCCAGGAAACCTTATTTCAACGTTTATTGCAACGCCATTGGCTGAGCGAAGCCCCGGAAGTCTCCTGAAGCGCCTCACTGAGTTGACATTCGCTACCACATGCTCGGGATACACTAAAATCGACCAATCAAACGGTTTTCTTATACTTCACGGCTCGGATAGCCGTCGGGATCAGGCTCGGATAGCCGCTAGGGAACAATAGGCTCGGATAGCCATTGTACTGGGAACGGCTTGGATAGCCGCTAGGGAACAATAGGCTCGGATAGCCATTGTATCGGGATCAGGAACGGCTCGGATAGCCAATCAGGAGGCTTGGATAGCCGCCAGGGAACTATACAAGGGACGGATTAGGGATGGCTCCAAACACCAGGAGTACTCCGCGGGATGCAGGCGAGGGATCTACAGGTGGAGGATCTGCAACACCCGCGGATGGAGGTACCGAAGCCTTGGGATCGGGATCAGGAACTACAGGTTCTAGCCAATCAGGAGCTACGGGACGCTCTCGGCCGGCGCCTACTGTCGCCAACCAGGCGTACTACAACGGGCGGCTGATCAATGAGACGCCCCCGACATCTATGGCGCCTATTCGGGAGGCTCTGATTGGCCGGGAGGACTATACCATGTGGGCGGACTACGCGATACGCCAACTCCGCGTGTTTCGGATGTCTCAGCTTGTTGACAAGAGCGTACCAAGGCCGCGGATCGGGGATCCGGAGTATGAAGTATGGGAGGATCATTCAATTGTTGCAGCTAATTGGCTAGTTGGGCAACTATCCAAGGAACTATTCCGTCGTGTCAGCCAATCACCTTACCCGTCGGAGTTTGCTGACGACGCTTGGACCGCTATTAAGCGCGTTGTCATGGGCAATGGGGTACCCCAGATTTCGAAGGCGGCACTAGCGCTTTTTGACATGCGGGCGGCCCAATTTGGCAAGATTAGCGAGTTTATCGGCGCTTATTTGGATGCATGGGATGTAGGGAACCAATTAGGGGTCGCGCCGACACCGGGGGTTGCCGCGATCTTTATACTTCGGGAGATCAAGGCGGAGATGACCGCATGGGTGGTGGTGAAGGAATCGACGATTACGGAAGCGAACCTTAAATCGTGTACGGAAGATCACTTCCGGCGCTTGTGTGACGACGCACGCGCCCAAGCGGAGTCAAATGAGGAGATGCAGAAGATCCCATTGGCTGCTTCGGCCAATAAGCTCAACAGGGGTCCGGATATCCCTGCATTAGCGCTTAAGGGTCCGGGGGAGGGCGTCTCTGACAAGGATCACGCCAATGAGATGCGTGGGATTAAGCCTCAAACTGACGCTAATGGCTACTGCGCTTACTGTGGCTGCGGGAGGCACATGGCTCGCGGATGTTTTTACCTGCGGCCCGACCTGCGGCCCGAGGGATGGACGCCACGGCACGGGATCTGGGCGTTGAAGGATGAGAGCAAGGACCAATCAGAGCTCCCTGCACCGATGTCTGGGATGGCGTTGAGATCCTCTGATTGGTCGGATTGCTCGTCGGAGGAAGGGTTACCAGTTACTCGGTACGAAAGCGGGTATTAGGGACGCGGGGAAGTACGGGGGGTGCAGCGTATAGTTCTGAACTGGCCAATGAGAGGCCACGCTGCACCCGGGATGGCGGAAGCTTAAAAGTTTGTCTGTTTTCTTGGGTTTTTGGTTTCATGTACGTACTATAGATGGTGACCACTTAGCCGCGCTAGTCGGGGGGTGTGTCGGCACGGGGGGTGCCTAAGGCACCACCATACCGGATTGGGACTAGCGCGTCACGTGGCCCACAGAGTTTTCTCCCGCCGATTGAGGCGAACCTCTCAATACACCAGACTTCTCCTATTGGACGCTTCGCCTACGTCGGCCGTCAACATATCAAGGTATCCATCAAATCCTTCCCGAGTGGCGGCTGATTACATTAATGCAGATATCAACCTACATCTCCTCACAAACAGTATAAGCCTCCACCTCCGCAATACAAGTCCTCGCCGGGATCGTAACGGCAATAGGAAAGCCTCCATAATCCGGGTCATCGTTCGGCATAATCACGAACTCGCCGCTGCGGGTCTCGTCGCCATTCAAGACCCGCAATGTCCGTAGCTCTCCGGTTTCAGCATTGAACTCTTTCTCTCGCGCGTCCAGGATGCCCGTGAATGTCACTTTCTCATCTAGTCCGCGGAAGCGAACCTGGAATCCGCGTCCGACGACGAGGAAGCGGTAGGAGTCTTCCTCGCCGAGCTGGATGATCATGCCTCCGCCGGGTCCGGCCTTCCCAAAGACAAATGCGCGCTCGATGATGACTTCGAGATTTCCAAATGTTTTCGCCCATCTTTGCTTTCCCGTTGGTGAGCCTGACTCCGGAATTTCGTCGAAGAAGAACCCCATTCGCTGGTTTGGCTTCGAATTCAGTAGGTACTTTGCTATTTGGGTAAGCAGCTTATACTCCCTTCCGATGACCGTCGCCTCTGTATCAACACCGAACGGACTTGTCCCCAAAGCTCCGTACGTTCCATATGCAAGCCATACCCGTCTGGCCCCATGCTCATCCCGTCGTTGCTCGGGAATGAAGAGTGGGTTGGATGCAGGAATAGTATAATCCTGGCAAACGCGCTCGTAGTCATGAAAATACAGATCCGGTGCAAGGAAGTTCAAAGCGGGTGTGTTGAAGCGCCAGATGTCGGCGACGTGTGGGCAGGGGCCGCCTGAGGGGTAGATGCCTGGTCGCGCTCCGCCGCCGACGACGATGGGGTATCCGTGTAAGTCGAGGGCTGAAGGGTCGTCGAAGTTGAGCCAGGTGTTCGTGTACAGAGGAATTGGGTATGCTTTCTTCCCGGCATATGCAACGTGCCCGACGTACTTTGAAACGTAGTAGGCCATGAAGGCCTCGTCTGCGGAGGTTCCCTGTCCAAAGATGCTTTCCCAGGTGTAGATTGTTCCCTCATTGATTTGGCTCGCTGATGGGATTTTATCGGCAAAGCGTTCAATGAACCGTGGGTGTAGCTCTTCCGAAGTCGAAAGATGGCGGAGAAGCTTTATTGGAACGCCTTTCGCGAATTCTCTCTCCGCAAGATCTGAACGATCCCTCGAGTCTCCCAATAAGCCGGTCTCATTTTCAACCTGCACCATGACGACCGTGCTATGATCGCCATCGACTTCCTTTAGATGCTCCATCAACTTCCCGAATGCGCGAGCATCAGCCTTCCACCCTTCCTCGGAAAACGGACTAATCATCTCGATCGTCCTCTTTCCTCCTGTATCTGCGTCCCAAACATGTACTCTGGGGAAGCGCTCAACATCCCGCTTCACCCAATGAGGAGCATACGTCGAGATACCATTCTTGTAACTTCCAAACCACAGCAGCACAAGATATATTCCGTGCTTGCGAGCGTCCGTGATAACAGCGTCGAGTTCGGTGAAGGCAAACTGACCCTCGATGGGCTCAATAACCTCCCAGGTTACAGCGCCGAGAACGGTATTTATCGATTGTGCTTTCAGGTCGCTCCAGACCGTGGACATGTATCGGGCGGATGAGAGGGAGGAGTTGTGGAGTTCGCCGGGGAGGAGAAGGACGGGCTTGTCTTTGACGATGAGCTGGATCCCGTTCGGGGTTTGAGCGAGGTGAGGGAATGACATTGTAAAAGTGGTCTTGTTTGAAGAAAATTTTCTGTACTCTGCTCCTCAAAAACATCGACGAGGCCGATGTTTAAGTATAGCGTCAAAGTGATTGGAGAACCCTAGGTGATTAGAAGCATCTATTAGCTTCGACCAAAGGAGGAAAAGATAGTCATCTTCGGGATGCTCATTCTGAAGTATTCCGGGAAGCTTGCCTTTCAGCCAATGAATCTTCCTGCAGCCGGGGTGCTGCCAGAACTTCGCATAAACATCGGCTATACCTACCAACGAGGAGACAAAGGATTGGAGGGAGTAACTTCGATTAAACCTCGGATGCTGCCGCATCACCTTGGCAGGACTCTGCGCATTGGCTGGCTAGAACGCCACATCCCATGTAGTGTAACTTTCAGCATCCCGGATCAAGTAAGGGACAGCAGAAGAGAGTCACGGCACGAAACCGGTATTGATCCCAACTTTCCAGCCCCTCTTTGTCCCACGGAGAACCAGGTCTGGGGTAACCGCCCCCGGAATACCGGGCTGGGTATATAAGGGTCCATATGGACTGTCGATACCTTTCAGGACCCTGCAAACCCCAGATACAGCGCGAATCATGACTTCAAAGACGACTACCGACGTCCTCCCTGTAGAGGGTGCTAGAGATGTCACTTCCAACCCCCTCCCCTGGTACCAGCAGCCGAAACTGCGCCAGTTGTACCTGAAAATGGTGATTCTATTCCTCGCGTCGACAAGTCTCGGGTATGACGCCAGTTTGTTGAATGGCCTTCAGACGATGGATTCCTGGGCTCATTGTAGTCCTCTCCTTTCTCTTTGATTTGATTGTTGAACACTGCTGACTGCCAGCAGACTTCGACAATCCCACTGGCAGTCGCCTCGGCCTCTTTGGCGCCCTCCCTGGAATCGGAACCTTCGCCGTTTTTTTGATCGCCCCCTACCTCTCCGATGGTCTAGGCCGGCGACTTGGGACCGCAATTGGTTCGGCAGTGATTGTCCTCGGTGCTCTTATTCAATCATTCCCTCCAACCTCCAACCCAAACCGGGACGCAATGTATCTCGCTGGCAGAATCATCGTCGGGATTGGTTCAGGAATCTGCAACGGTGCTTGTCCTTTGCTGATCACCGAAGTGGCGCACCCGGACCACCGAGGAAAGATCACGACAATATATAACACGCTTTGGTATCTCGGTGCGATTGTGGCCGCTTGGTCTGCGTTCGGAACGCTTGAGAATCTCAGCGGCAATGTACAGTGGCAGTTGCCGACTGCTTTGCAAGCTCTCATGCCGGCGATTCAGTTGATCGGGATCTGGACCCTCCCTGAGAGCCCTAGATGGCTTATTAGCAAAGGCAAACTCGACAAAGCACGTGCTGTGCTCACAAAGTACCATGGAAACGGCGATGAAAACGATGCTTTCGTGAGGTGGGAGTTCGCCGAGATCCGGGAGACGCTGCGGATGGAGCAAGAGGCGGCCTCGACAGGGTGGACGGAGCTCATTCGCACCAAGGGCAACCGCAAGCGATGCCTCCTGATTATCCTAACAGCTATCTTCTCGCAGTGCAGTGGCAACGGCCTGGTCTCATATTATCTATCGCAAGTCCTGAACACGATCGGCTTCACCGACTCAAAAACTCAGGCAGAAATCAACGGCGGATTGACCATCTGGTGTTTCCTCGTTTCCCTTGCTGCGGCATTTCTGGTCGATCGCTTTGGACGCAAAACACTCTTTCTTTTCGCCGGGGTTGGAATGCTCATCTCCTTCAGTGTCTGGACTGCTTGCAGTGCGGTGTACTCCCGAACCGAGTCGGCGCCCGCTGGGCGCGCTGTCCTCGCCATGATCTTCCTGTTTTATGGTACAGCCGGCGCCGCGTGGCCGGGTTTGACTGTCGCGTACACCGTCGAAATCTTGCCGTTCAACGTCCGCGCTAAAGGGTTGACGCTCTGTACGTGTGTTGCGGCGCTCGCCGGGATCTATAACCAGTATGTCAATCCGCTCGGCTTGGAGGCGTTGCAGTGGAAGTTTTATGTCGTGTACGTGGCGGTGTTGGTGGTCGAATGCGTGGTGATCTGGTTCTATTTCGTGGAGACGCGGGGCCCGACGCTCGAGGAGATCGCGGTTTTGTTCGATGGACAGGACGCCCCGGCAAGTATGGCGGCGGAGAAGGCAGAGAAAGCGGAGAGAACCGAGCAGCCGGAGTCGTACCATGAAGAAGCTATTCCGGATCGAAAGTAGGTGGAAGATGGTGCGGGGTTAGCTTGGAGCAGGATCTGGGGAATTTAGACGAGGTTTAGGCGATAAATGCGAGATTGTCCCTCTAGTCTCTCTAGCATCATACCACGGAAACTCACAGAATGGAAGTCAAAAAGCATACCCGAAATCAAAATGCCTGCGACGTTTGCCGAAGTCGTCGCGTCAAGTGCCGGTTTACAGCTGGGGATGTTTGTGAGGGATGCAGGTTCCTGGGAGTCGTTTGCACCTCTGACCGGCCGCGGAGGAAGAGGGGTCCTCCAAACCGGTAGCTGCTGACCTTGGGCGCTCCTTCCTAACATGATGCTAATTCCACAGTCACGCTCAACCGTTCCCAAGAGAGTCGTCCTCTCCGTCCTCCACCTTGCTCTCTCCATCGACAGACCCCGAGCTTTCGTCAGGCGACATCCTCCACCTCCTCGCACCCTCCTCCCTGATCCGCGCCGTTTTGAACGACTGGTTCACCCACATCCATCCTCTTGCCCCGGTCCTTCATCGTCGAGATTTCCTCACGCGCTTCGGCGAAAACACCGCTGATCCCATCTTCACCGGTCTCGTCGTCAGCATCCTCGCAGCAACAACCGCAACGTTACGCCGGAAGTCCTTTGCCGAATACCACCCCATAACGCCAGGCCGATGTATCGGCATCATCCAAAGCCATGGCCTCCTTCCAGCGGACGGTCCTTACAGCCTTGACTGGTGCATCGCGAAGTACAACCTTGCTACTGCGTCAATGGCGCAAAGAGGGATGAGTGATCCGTTTGTCCACCGGATGGTTGGCGAGGCGGTCACTGGAACAGGCTATCTACTTGCGCACAATTTAGCGCAAATGGGCGTAATGCAGGGAGAGCTGTTAAAGAGGTTGTGGTGCTTGCTTGAGGTGACTCTGATGTGCGGCTCATCCAAATCCCGGTCGGTCTTACAGTTTGATTCTGATATCATGATATTCTCCATAGAAACACTGACATGATCGGTCAACCCCTCCTTGGTCGTCTGGTGCTCTCAAGCAACTCATCATACCTTCCGCGGCCGTACAGTGACGAAGACCTCGCCGTTAGTCCTTCCACCGCGCTCCCCTCCTCCACCTCGCCCTCTCCCAGCGACAAAGTCACCTATGTCCCTGGTCTAACGCATCTCCTCTCAATCTTTCGAACATGGGACACCTGTCAAACAGCGCGCTCTTATCGAACTCCATCTCAAGTGCTCTCCACAGCCCTCGCCGATATCCAAAACACGCTCGATACCCTCCCTCCTCCTCTCCGATGGCGCGGCGGCCTCTCACGTCCGGCGGGCGCAACAGCCGGACACGATGTACAAATTGCAAATATCTTTATTACCAGCCTATATGTTCGTTCCAACCTTTTACAGGAGTTCGGCCATCCCCTGGGCTCAAAGGCAGATTCCATCGTCGACCAAGAAGCAGAGACGCAAGCGCGATCCGAACACCAGAGCATCGTGAGCGACCTCCTCGAAGTTCTCTGTCACCTTCCGCGAGAAACCCTAGAAGCGAACGGATACAGCTTAATCCCAAAGATTAGAGATATCGGGGGTGCCTATCTGGATGTTCTCAGCGTCCATGCGAACGGGCAGGGAGAAATCGTGGTTATTGAGGATGAGGCAAAAGCCAAGCTGGAGGCCTTGCTATTGCAACTTGGTATCTTGGACTTCAGGACGTCTTAAAATATGCTGCTTTTCCTCGATCTTGATCAGTAGGGTTCTGGTTTCAGCATGTATATAGCATCGATGCGTGTTCTCCATCCTGTTCGAGCGGGAACTTCCAGCCGTATGCGGTTTGAATCGTTGATTGAACGTATACTGGTGTACAGATGACGCATATATATGTGCTGTCTGCAGATAACCAATTAAACAACCTGAGTGAGATAGGAACCTCATTAGTATAACGGTATCTGACTCTCCTAAATAGAAATCTTCTGACGAACAGACACATATTCCGGTTGTTCACTCAGATAACAACATCCTGCCTAATCAAGTAAATCTCGGAGATCCACGTCTTAAGCGTCTTTATATGCCCACCATGATAGTGCATTGTTGCAGTGACATCATCCTCTTCTCCAATGCTGGGACCTATCGTTGTTCTTTGAGATTCCCTACCTGACTTACACATAGGTAGTTGCCATTTTGCGAGGTATACTCGCTTTAGTGTGCGAGGCTCTGGAATCCATATACTCGACCGCTCAGTTGAAATATCACTCCATGCAAGTCCTTCTTGAATGCGGGATGTAAACAGCAAGACTACAGCGGGAGGCACAGATTCGACCTGGCATTCCACCGGTCCAGCTTCGCACAGAATCTCAACCAGTTTTCCTCTTACTCCTTACAAAATTCTCTTTCGAAGACTCTTACACAGACTACGAGCTAGTGGGAAGACAAGGATGGTTGGTAAAGCCTCAGTCAGCATTCAGCATTGTGAAATAGCTAGTAGAGAGATTCAGAAAACAAAAACATCGAAAAAGGTGCGAGAAACCTGGCTTGTTAGAAGCCCACCTCACCTTCATTAGCATGAAGATGTGATGGTAGGTAGGTTCTCGCCCTAGGTTGACACAAAGGAAAATAGACCCTGTTGGAGGATCCGTGGAAAAAAAGACCAGATGGTAAAAGGAAAAATGTGTGTAGAGTTCGAGCAGATGACAAACGCCAGATCCGAGAACGCCGCGCTGCTCATGTCGAGGTCACGATTGAAAGCCAGAGAACAAGACAGCCAGCCAGATACGAGAGCCCGGCAAGCCTAGCACCCCGTATCCTTCTGCACAATCATCGACCAATTATCCGGGTGAGAAATAACACCGCCAGAGACATCCCGACCCTTATAGCTAGTCATGCAAGCATCATAGATCGCAATGGCACCCTCACGGAAATGCTGGTACTCCATGATCTTGTGGTACTTGGGGTCCTACACGTCCACCTGTTAGCACTTCCCTACCACACCCACAAGATTTCCATCAGGGAAGGGAAAGAAGAGCACTCACATCATTGCACCAGCGCACATTGGTATCACGGCTGCAGTAGAGGTTCTCGCAGGTGTTTGGCTCGAGGCCCTCGGAGGGGGGGAGATGGCCGCCCGGACCGCTGAGGCCGCCGTGCTCCTCGATGAAGCGGAGGTGCATGATTGCGGCGCGGTACTCGAGGGCGTCGGCGGCGATGGCTCTACCGGCGCAGTTGATGGTGTGCTGGAGGAGAAAAGAGGGTTAGTTGTGGTAATGTTGACTGGATATGGAACGAGGGAAGGAGACTAACGCCGTGGACCATGGCGATGAGAGCCACGAAGATGGCGAGGAACTGGATCACGAAACGCATGGTGGCTGTTCAGATGCAGGTGGATTTGTTGAAGATTTGGCAAATGATGGGTGTTTGACTGAGAAGAGGATTGATTGAGGTTGAGGCTTGAGAAGTGGGAGGAAGATGGAAGAGTGTGTTGGTGGATGGAGGGAAAAGAGTCAAAGGCCAGGAATTGAGGAGGTATTTATATCCAGTGGGACCTGGCTTGGGAATGAATTTGGCACTAGAGAGAAGAAGCAGAAACTGAAAAGTGAATGAGTTGTGTTAAGGGGTCTCTTTCACTCCGGCACCGTGGAAGCAGGTCCTTGCAGGCAACATCAAGATGGAGTTTGGGAGCCTGAGGACATGTGAAATACGCCTCCTCACTTTTTGAATTCCCAAATTAGCTATCATGTTCATTTGGTACCCTGATTGACCTATCCGACTTTCCTGAGTTCCTCTCTCTGAGTCTCCATATCCTCTTTCAATGTGCCGGCCAGAACTGGTCCGAAAAGCCCTTATTGTGAGTGCTCCAGCATTGCTTTCCTCAGACAGCTTGAGTGATCATTAAATACAGCATCATTCAGGCTCCTAGCCTCATGTCGCATTTTGAACTGACAATATTGATTCTCTAGATAAAGGTCTAGATGCCTCCTCGACAGGATGGCCACCTACGACCACGCTTCCTCCTCCAAGTCAAATCGGATCCTACGAACGCCAGAATCTTCCTTCAGTGCCCTTGAGAGCCCCCAACATGAGACTGTGAGCTAGAGGGAAAAGAGGAGAAGAAAGCAAGGAGTGGTTTCTACGTTCTCGTCACGCTGGCGAGATTCAAAGCGCAGAAGAGTGTCACATCATCACCTTCTGATACTTACAGCTTTGCAGGCCCTCTATCCTCCTTCCCTACACGAACACCGATGAACATCGGCCATCCACAGACGCGATGGCTCTGGTGCAGAGTATCTGCATCGTTCCATGGAGTTGGATTAGATCCTACGCTAGGAAACGGAGACAAAGGTGGCGGCAATGTCTGCATTACTCACGCTGCAGCAGAGGTACTTGATCGATGGAACCACCTAGGCTCGTGTAAGTTGAGACCTTCAGCTCCGTGGCTGAGGCACTTTCTGTTCTAACTGAGATTTCGTTTTCTTAGGATATTCAGCATGTCTAGGCACCCTCTCCTCCGTACTCGAGCGGCCACGATCATGATCTAAAGAACTAATGCGTGAGACTAGAGCTCTAGCTTAGCAAACATTGGTAAATTTGAAGCCAAGGAAACACACATCTGGCGTTTACGGTCCATTGAAACGATCTTCCAGTTAAGTCTGTTGCTTCGAGGTAGATCTCACTGAATTGGAATATCAATGGACCGTCCGAAGAACCTGGCCCGTTGAGCGGCGGTAATTTCCCGTATATTTGCACGCTCTGTCTAAATTTCAGTAGGAGTCTCTCCGCCGCTGTCAGCCTTCATGACATTATCGGGGAGAGGCCTTCCTGGCAGTTTGGCATCTAGGTTCAACAAGGTTGCTGGCATTTATCCTATACATTGCTATAAAGCCCAAGCATGATAGATCTGAACTTTATCTTCCCGCTTGGCTCCAAGCAACTTGCTTGGTGCCGTTGCTGATTTCGTCTTTTGGTCGCCATCCGTGTCAATGGCCCTGGTCCGTGGGCTAGCTCCCTGCGTAGAAAGGTTCGCAGCTGAACAATCTGCCAGGTTAGCATATTGACCGTGTGGATCACTGGATATCTCGACGTTCTATGAAGTGGCCGGACATGTTATTGGGACATTGATAGTCAATTTATCTATATATGCATTGAATGAATGACTGTCCTGGACAGGCGTCGGTGGATGAATATTCTATGTAAGGAGAAGGAGAAATGAGTTTACTGAGGTAAAGCGTCATGGCTTATTGCCTTGAGGCTATCTAAGTGTGCCGGGCCTGCACCTATCTGACCGGCTACTCAACTCCAAGGAGGGCTGTTCAAGATGATCGTCTTGACTTCTTGCTCCGTGGGCTTCTCTGGCACTGACCTCAGAAGAGCTCCTAGTACGCCCGAAAATACCAGTAGTATTCCTAGTCTCGAAGCTCAGCCGTACTCATCCCCAACATTGCCATTCGCAGAGACGTAATCAGAGCCTGGAGAATGGGCAATCCCGGAAGTTCTCGTCCAGGTCTTCGGCCGTCCTAGACAGCGGGGCACTCACTCAGTGTTCAGTAAACAGAGTCCCCCCGTGAAGGCTTGCCTTCTGGCAGCTTCCACCATCAGCCTGGATGCAACCTGGCCCACTAAGTGTGTGTCTGCACTGCAGGGTGTCTCTCTTTGCTTGACGCCCATTGGCCATCCAAGCACGTGCTCATTATTTCTGATCAGGTTCAGTGAATAAACGAGTCACCCACCAGGATTCTGATCACCGCCCCTCGCTCTGCAAACTCCTGGGCTCCTCAATTCCTGGTATATATACCCCCATCTTTCCCGCCCAAGGAAATTTTTTTTTTCTTCATCCGCAACATCCTCTTTAGTTCTCTACCATCCTCAAGCCTACCAGCTCTCAAATCTTCCGATCAAACCTTCAACCAAAGTCTCTTCATTTCTCAACCATTTCCAATTCTTCTTCTGATCTCATCTTGCAATCTTCAATCGCCAAGATGCGTTTTACTCTTGCTCCCGTTGTTGTCTTCATGACTATGCTCATGTTCGCCGTCATGTCCTCTGCCGTGAGTCCTCCCTCCCTACACATCTTTCATCATTGTTTATCCCTCAAATACTAACACAATGTCTCTTCAGCACACCGTCCAGTGCGCCGGAAAAGCCATTGCCGCCAACTACAAGGACCTCAAGTGGCTCGCCCAGTACTTGGAGAAGGTTTCCCATGGCACCGCCCAGCAGACCCCCGAGCTCCCCCAGCCTCCCAAGCAGCGCACTCTCGGCCCCAACTCCTGCGAGCGTATCGCTTGCGCCAATCACGCCGAAGTCCGCTGGTGCAATGAGGTACGTACCTTCCTTCTCCCTTCTTTTTGCTCGAGATTAGGCTAACAGTGCTCAAACAGGATCCCAACAACTCTCGCACCATGGAGGTCCAGCACATCGCTGAGGGTACCTATGTCCTTCTCAACGACTGCGTGACTGGCTACCACGGCACCCTTGTCGCTGGCGGCTACCTCACTCATCCGGATATGTGGTCTGTTATCGCGCAGTCGACCTCCGACAGCTGCTAGTTTCTTCCAATTCTGGCTTCTCCCATCTGATCTGATCATTTTGATCTACCCATGAGCTTTCTATGATGCACATCTCTTGAACGAACGTGGCGTTTCCTTGTTTCCTATGTCTCTAGTCTTTTTGTGATCCTGCAATGGACCTCGAGTCTATGTCACTTCTCACTGTTGTGACCCTGCAATAGGACACCTTGCGTCTGTGTTTTTTTCTTTTTCGATTATCGGGCTGTTGGACTGTTGGAGGTTGCCTAGCTCAACTTCCCTTGTTAACAGATACTCGTTGTTTCAATCGAATCTCAAACTACAATCCATTTTTTCTTTCCACGGTAAAGTCTGTAGAGTGTACTCCGAAGGCTTCCAGTTTTGCCATTTTCCAAGTATGCTTGTTCGCTGAGCCGGGCTTTTTTCGTAGCTTGTCTCTTTGCGTTGGGTTCCCCTCTTCCTGTAGAATCTCCATTGCTGCCTCCAGCCGCAGATTGTCAAATACATTCCCTTTCTCATAGCAGGTATGAGAGGATGTTTGAGGCAGGGCGTCCACGGACAAACCTTGAATAGGTGATATTGTGTTCAGATTGTAGTGCTCGAAGCTAAGATATAAGATCCAGTTATGTCTTTGTGTGCGAACCAGTTAACTATATCACCTTGGCCTGGTTTTGATTTAAGCACTAATCCCCTTTTTAGTAGTTGCTATAGTTCTTTTCCTTTTGCTAAATGCAAAAATTCTCCCTGTTGTGACCTGGAGTGAATATGGTCACGTGCCCATCAACACAAGAGATGTCCGCGGAGTCTGGTGCTTTTTCCCTCCTCTATCACAGTGCAGTGTGCTCCTAAGCACTGAATACTTTGATTATCCCCAATTTCTCTCTTTTATTTAGTCTACACCGTCTCCATTGCTCAGCTGGCAGGTCCGTCGTTCCTTACTAACCTCCGAGTCAGGACTATTGACTGATGAAACCACTTGAGGACTTCCTAGGAAATGGTCATAATCTGGCAATGACCGCCATGCTAGAAGATCATCTCGACCATGCTCAGGGCCGACTGATCCTCTACCTGTACCGCTCCTCAATCATTATCGCAGCGTCCAGTCACCTGTCGCGTTCGAGGCTCTGATCGATTGAATCCATTCCCCTTCATTCAACTCAGACCGCCAGAAGTACAAGTCTTTGGAGAGATACCGGGCTAGCGTTGTGTTTTCTATTCGTCTGAATTACTGTCGCCTTACGGCGAGCGTCTTCGGCATGTTTGCAAGCGCCGATCAGCCTTGCCAGACGCTTGATCTTGCGCGCGTCAAGAAAGTAGCAGAAGCTCGACGGCTGGTAGACGCGACGCTACACATGTGAGGAGGCCATATCACGTTCATCCAGGGGACTTCGAGATTCCTGCCACATCCTACGATGAGATCATGATCAGCCGGAACTCCCTCGTCTTATCCAACTGCCTGGACCGATCTGCTGAAGCAGTCTTCAATCCTACCTCGTGATTTCTCTTCATCCTTTCCCTTTTCGACGTTTATTATTGACCCTTACATACGTGCAATAGCGAGCGAACGAACCCTTGGACCGCCCGCACCCAGCCCGAACAATGACCCCGATCCTCCCTCGATTTACCCCCGATTCACCGTCCAACTCTCCGCAGCGCATTGCCAGCAGAATCCGGGGGACTCAGATACCTTGAAAGCGTTGCTGTGGAAGTTCTCAAAAAGATGCAACCAGCCGAGGCTACCATATTACGGATGGTCGCTTGGACTGATTCGCGGCCACGGTCCAGGTCACGGCCATGGTCATGGCTTCCGGCCTCTGTCAAAACAAGGAACAAAAGGAAGGCTCATGACTGGAGCTCGCGGCCATGCTTATTATCTGCTGCTCCGCTCCATCACCTTCATTGAACTAGGGAAGTCGTAATCAGTGGACTCGCTTCCGAGATCCCTCGAGGCTGCGGCCGGACTGGAATTAGGGCTTGTCTCGGACGGCCCGTTGAATCTTGGCAAGAGCAAATCCAGCCCTAGCCGCTTGCCACCGTGCGACTGAATCACGACGATTACAACGGGTTGTCGGGGTTGAATGAAGAAAAAGGTAAAGGAACTACGCTGCTTGGGAAGATAATTGTCCCTGCTCGCTGGGATGTTCGGTATAGCCTTGAAACCGCGCACTTGTGCTTCTCTGCCTGAACTGTGCTGATACATATTTTTTCGCTCGCAGTGCTAATGGTTAGGTATGCGCGCGGCTGCAGATGCGGGCCTTCCCTGCGCCAAATGGTTTCTCCATCAAAGATTTCTCGTCGTTTATTGATTTATCAATACATACTATATTGTCTGAGCGGCTACATACTATGGCAGCCCGGTCGGTGCTCGGAGTGGAACCAACGTAGAGTTATCCGCTGTCATCCGGCGGGATTTGTAAGGTTAAGTATGACGAAACCAGTCGGAGATTATTTAAGAAGACAACCTCCCTTCTCCAATTTCATGTACACCGATTTTCTTATCAAAATCGAATCATCATGGCCAGAAACCTCACAATCAAATCAACTCAGAAGCTCCTCTCGGGCTACGAAATTCCCATCCTAGGATACGGAGTATGCTTTCCGCCCTAAATAGCCCTGGAAGACTAAGCTAATCAAGTCCAGGTTTACCAAACGTACATCGCGCACCCCCGGGGTCCAAAATAATTGCTAATCAATCCTCTGTAGGCCAAAAAACGTCGCTGAAAATGTGACCGTCGAGGCCCTCAAACTCGGCTACCGCCATGTACGTTCTGATCGCACCCATATGGTCTCAACGCAAGACTGACAATACGCAAAGATCGACTCAGCAGCCGCCTACAAAAACGAAAAAGAAGTCACAGCCGCAATCTCCAAAGCCGGTCTCCCCCGCTCCGAAGTCTTCCTAACCACCAAAATCCCACCCCGCGCCAACGGCTACGACTCCGCGAAGCGAAATATCGACGATAGCCTGAAGCAGGCGAACACCGACTACTTCGACCTGTACGGCCATCCCTCTTCCACATTATAAGTCATCTAGCGCTAATCAATGCGCAGGATCCTAATCCACGCCCCCTACGGCGGCAAAGAAGGCCGCCTGGGCACCTGGAAAGCACTGGTCGAAGCGCAAAAAGCCGGAAAAACACGCTCGATCGGCGTATCGAATTTCGGGCTCCACCATCTCGACGAGCTCCAGTCGTACATATCCTCCGGCGGCGGCGGCGCAATCGACGTCGGGCAGTACGAGATCCACCCGTGGCTTGCGCGCCCGGATATCGTTTCCTGGCTGAGGAGGCATGGGGCCGTCGTGCAGGCTTATTCGCCGCTTGTGCGGAATACGCGCTCTGAGGAGCCGGTGCTGAAGGAGCTAAGTAAGAAACATGGGAAGAGTCCGGCGCAGGTTCTTGTGAGGTGGAGTTTGCAGAAGGTAAGCTGGCTCGTCTTTGACCGTATTGTCGTTTTTTGCAATGGGTAAGCGCTAATTGTGGTATTTGCAGGGATTTGTCCCGCTGCCTAAGTCTGTCACGCCGTCGAGGATCAGGGAGAATTGCGAGGTGTTTGACTTTGAGCTTAGTGAGGGGGATATGGGGAAGTTGGAGACGGGAAAGTATGAGCCTTGTGCGTGGGATCCTACGGTTGAGAAGGATTAGACGTTCGATCTGCAACTAGGTTGGCTTTTCAATCATTAAATGAATAAGCGCAGTCTGCTGGAGCTACCCAGAGCTCAGCGAGAAGAATATTAAAACAGGGAGCAGGCTTAATATATCATAATCTAAGGCCAAGCTCTGCTAGCGCGTAAGGAAGGTCTACCTGAACATAATTTATAAGCCTCTGGATTCAAATCTTGCCAAATAAGTCAACTTCGAAGCTAAACACCAAGCCATATGGCTGAGACTCGATAAGGTCATACTCATGCAAACATGGGTGGTGGTGTGTACATGATGTCACAAGCGTCATCATGAATTCAACCTCCCAGATAAAGATCCCTACAGTTGAAAAAGAACACCACGATCATCCATCCATCAATTCTCTCATCAAAAAGCCCGGAGTCAAAGAGCGCCAAAATGCCTCTCCACCTCACCCTCCCCGCCCTCCACACCGACCGAGCCACCAAGCTCGCGTCCAAAATCACCTCAACAGCCACAACAACCATCCTCACCCTAACTGGCCACCTGAGCTCCTTCCTCCTCTCCTTCACCCTCACCCGCGCCCTCCTCACCTCAATTCTCCTGCCATTATACATGACAAAATTCCTCCTGTGCCTCCTCCCCGCAACACTCAAAAACTCCATCCACCTCCTCCTCGGACCACCCGGCTGGACCCGCCTAATAAACCACACCGACACCTTCCGAAACACCTCCGACACCCTCGCGCAATCCCAGCTGTCTGGTACATACCGCTTCAAACCAGACGAAATCTTCCACGTCGAACCCAACAGCCGCGGGTGGAAGGAGGTAGAAGGTGCACCGTGGACATCCGAGACAGAGGAATTCGAAGTCTGCGGCGCGAGCGCGCGGTACGTCCATCTGCGTCCGCGGTACTCTGCTGTCTTGCAGGATGGGAAGCGCGAGCATAGACCCGTTGTGTTTCTGCATGGGAATCCGGGGTGGAGTTTTGTGTGGCGGAATGTTAGCCTTCCCGGTCCTTCCCTTAGGAATGGGAATAGGAGTGGGAGTTGAGAGTGATGCTGATATGTGGGCAGGTCTTCCCATCCCTCCTTGAGCGCGGCCATGACGTTTACGCAATTGACTGGTTGGGTCATGGTCGGAGCGACAAGATACTAAAGACGGAGGTTATTACGACGGAGCTGCATATCCATACGCTGGTAAAGTTCTTTGAGGTTACGGAGCTTGAGAATGCTATCGTTGCAGCGCACGATTGGGGCGGGTATGTCACCCTCAAAGCTTACCCTATACCAGGGGCTTTCCTTCTCTTTTACCCTGAAGCAATACTGACAACCAACAGCTGCATCGCCCTCTGCACAATCCCGCGCCTGCCGCGTACAACAGTCACCAGCCTCTTCCTCCTAAACACCTTCTTCCCCCCGCGCCTCAGCGACTGCAGTCTACACTACCGCCTCCTGAACAGAATCTGGTACTGCGCCACCGGCCTGCTAGACGGATATCTCCCAGAATCCCTAATCCACCTCTTCCTGTCGCCGTCATTATCACTCTCGGAGCTATCAGCCTATACAGCGCCGTACGCAGATCTCCCACGGAGTAGCAAGGCCTCGATCCAAAGATTCAGCCACTCCGTCCCCTCTCTACCGCGGTTCGTTCTGTTTTATTTACGGAACACGCGTCTTTGGAAACTATGTGAGGGCTTAACGGGTCCAGCGAACTGGGATAGTCTGAACGTGCAGGCGCGGCTTAGTGCGCAGGATGACCAGGTGCGTGGGTTCTGGGGCACTACCCGTCATCAAGGGAGTGGCAGTGGTAGTGATGGAGAAGGTTGTGAAGTAGCAGTTGTCTTCGGGGACAAGGACCCGCTGATCAGGGACTACAAGGCTGTGCTGACGCGCTCGATTTATCCGGATCGGATGGTGAGTTGGGCGCAGAGGGGGATGTGGATTATGGGGGCTGGGCATTTGCCGATGGAGGGGAGGGCTGGGGAGGTGGCGGGGTTGATTGCGAGGTTTGCGGGTGCGAGGAGGGAAGGTGCTATGCACTAAGATGCAGGTTTTGGGCACTGGACTGGATTGGAAAGGTAAGGTGCTGTGGTTTGGCTTGATGTGTCTTGTTTGATGGTGTGTGACGTTGAGGATGAATGCTGTCTAATTACTTGAGAAGCTGGAGGTGAGATCTTGCTAATACCATAGTATTAATCATGTTATATCTAACGTGGAAGCCTCTAACCCAGAAATAGTTTCCGGTTTGTTAAGCTGGTTTACTCGGAGTTCGGAGAAGAACTGTGCCTATAATATTACCGCCCAGGCACCAAAGGAAATTCCCTTCGTGCTCTGGATACCGGATTGGGCCCTTAAGCTTATCTATCTTCTAGTGCTTGAGCATCAATATGAACATGTAGATCCCTAGTCTCTCCGCGATCCCAGCTCACCTTACTCGTTGACATGGGCATAAAATCGGTGCAGGACTACGGTATGCAGACCACTGCAGGCACGAGCAATATCCAAATTTCAGTAAATCAGCAATTAGTCTAGCCAAGGGTATATAAAGCGCCAAGCAAAACAATCTCTCTCTTATCTGAGCGGCAACTCCTCAAACCCCCCCTCGCTTCCTCCCTTTTTTCCATCCCTAATAACAAAAGCCGGATGCCAGAAATTCAGAACCGCCATGACAACAACCATCAGCACCGCATCAAAAACATAGATAAACACCTCGTGCGTCATAATATACCCGCCATACCCATCGATAAACTCCACCATGCGGAAGATCGAGCGGACGAGAATCAGGACCGAAACGACGTACATGGCGAATAGGAGCGTGACCCAGTTGCGGGCTGTGATGTTGTGGGTGTTGCGCCAGGAGTCCTGGGCTTGGAGTGATGAGGGCGTGGGGGATTTGGCGATGCGAATGTGGAAGATTATTGAGGTGAGTAGGAAGAACCCGAAGAAGATGATTTGGACGGCGAGGCCGATGATCGTGATGGTTTCGCCGGTTTGGCGGGTGGATTGGTTGTCGCCGGACATGAGGCCGCCGCCTGCACACAGAACACTGGTTAGCTGTTATCGTCCCTGGTACTGGGTTGTGTGGAAAGGATCGGTATACCTCCGCACTGCATCAAGAAGGAAATGACATCGCCCGTTACAAAGATCTTGGTCATCCACTTGACCCGGACGAGACTATGCTGCTGGGCGTCGAGGTGGACGATTAAGCGTCCAAGGACCATGTATATTGACGCCGCGTAAAGAGCAGGCGCGAGCAGGATCAGGACGGTTTGCAGAGCGTAGAGGGGAATTGAGTCGGTGTGGTTGTGGCTGAGGATGCGGAAGAGGTAGCCTAGGATTTGGACTACATGGTTGTTAGTGACATACGGGAATGGAAAATGCTGAAGGGGGTCGGGGACGTACAAACACCACCAATCACGAACGGGATGAAATATAATGCTCGCGCCTTGAGCAGCTGGTAGAGATGATAGCCGGTCGAAACACCAAAGAGGAAGATGAAGATGGCGGCTGCGGGAATGGACGGGTTGTACCCGTAGATGTTGTTGGCGTCGCCTGCCATTGAGCTCGGTTTCTGGTGAATTGTTGCTTTGGGCTGATGGTAGTAGGCTGTTGACTCCTATATAGCAAAAAAAACACAGCACCGCCCCCGCCAAGGCCTGGAACTGATCTCGGGTGCCTGGATCGATCTCGCTCTCGTTTTCGCTTTCGTTTCTCGTTTACGGTACGGCAGATCCACTCGGAGTTCGGCTTGGAGGCTGATTGGGTCCACACGAGTTATCTTTAGAGATTGCTTGGTCTGTGCTTTGTTCATCCATCTGGCTTTGCATTATCTTCAAGTTCAAATCTTGCTAAGCGGCGTTTATGCTGTCATCGAAGCGCTGCAAGATCAATCCCACGGTCACCGAGTCTTTGACTAGAAATCATGGGGCATAATCTGTGTTGTGAGACCAGAGGCATCGAGGCGTTGAACACGTACCATATCTTCGAGCGAGAGTTTAGCTGCTTGAAAATGGCCAAGAGAGGAAGAAGAGGAGTGGTGAAAGGGAATAAGGAGGTGACGTCCGCGATTGAGTTTGTTGACCCCAGGATCATTCTGCGCTGGACACCATCGCCTGCGCAGAATGTTCGTTGACCATTGTCCGCATTCAATAAGCACCTCTTCCAAGTTGCCTATCGGCTAGCAGGGCGAACATACGGGGAAGACTGGGCCAGAGCCCGCGAATCTGCACCATCGATTAGTACCCAAAAGCCAACTATAATGATTATAGCACAAAACCATTTACCCAGTCGGATAATAACCCTCCCACCTAAGTCCAGGCGGCATCCTATCCTAGATCGCCAGATTTCGTCGCCGCAAAGAAGCAAACCGTGAGCGAAAGAGGATAATCGCATGTCGGATCTGAAGCAGGTCGCTCGTCCCGCTGTAGATCAAGGCCGTCAGAATTGCGCATGGCGTTTATAACGTTAGGGAGGTGTTTCTTCGTGAGACCGAGGCCCGATTCAGACTCTTGAGGCAGAGAATCATGTACCTACCGGTACCTTAGCCACCGATGTTTCCAGCGCAGATGAGCAAGCTGCGAACTCATAAATCCGCATGCAACTGTGGCCGCAGAATGTATTATAGGTAAAAAAACGCGAAGGAATATACGCATAATAAGCAGTATAGACCCAGTCTGCCACTTAGAGAGTCCCGTCTTCGTCCCCTTCAACCTGCTGTTATCAGCTCGTGAAGACTCCTATCCGCCTTGCGCATCCGGTTTAAACCGAACTCCTTCTCCTCAGGATTCAGCCAAGGTACTCGCTATCGGATGGCAGATCTGGCAATGGGAACGTGAGATAACGCCAAGCGCTCTTGGAAAGGCAATCACGCCGGTGAGAATAAAGAGCCAGCGCCGGCTGTTAAGGCCGTAGACGCCATTCGCCTGTGTGGGGGCTGCTTGAAGGTATCCGCTAAGCTCCCAACGAAGGCGGACCCGAAGGATACCCTATACATGTTGTTTTGCGAGTTCACGCTTTTTGTATTATCCTCCTAGCACGGTGTGTACCGCGGGATAAGATATGCCCTCTGCGAGACCCGGGGAAGCGGGAGGCGTACAGCTGGTAAGGGGTTTTCAAGGCAGCGGAGGAAAAATGGACAAGTGACCATAGACGTTCCCAAGAGGGACACCGCAAGGAAAGGCGGACTGTGTGGCATATGATTGTGTGTTCAATGTTGGCAGGATCGAGATGCGAAGGATGGGAGGGGGAAGGTTCCACGGGTGGGTGCAAATCATCTGCGACGGAATCTGTGGGGTTGGGCATGGTAGCCACTGCTAGTGTTAGTTCTTGTCTACCCCCTAAGAGGCGGTCCAATAATCCAGAATCGTACAGAGGTTATTCTGATTCTGGTTCTGTCTGGTTCTTCGAGAAGGACAAGAAACTCGCCCAGTTCTGCCTCTATTCGCTTAGACAATAGAATCTCCTCAGGAATGTTCGAACTTCGTACAGAATAAAGAAAACGATCCGAAGATCAGTCTCCGTTCTTCCAGAGGAGAACCGAATGTGTCCCGGAGAACGCACTGAAGACGGGGCGGTGGCGGAGACAGCACTGACAGGCTTGGTGTCTGCGGTGAAAGAGGTCCAGACTGAGCAGGAGAACTGGGCGCCTGCTCTACTCGACAACGGCTGAATTGTCGATGTCTGGGCTTGATCTCCAGCCCCGAGGTCATCACCTCATCGTAAAGCTGGCGTACTGGCACATCTCAATATGCAACGTACTGAGATGCGCCAGGTTCAAAACGCGATGGCCGTTCCTTCGGAGGAAATTAGCTCACGATCACAATTGCCCCGTTCCCATTGATTTTTTTATGCTGGCGGAATTGAGATCAGACAGCAGCAGCAAGGTGGACGGCGAGGCCGGAAGGGAAAGAACCTAGAAGACGAGGCTGAGGCTGTGCGGCGGCGCTAGACATCTAGACATACTGGTAGTCCCGCTTGAGAGTTGCGTGCCATCGTGAAGTCAGAGGATGCAAGCAAGGGCATTTTTAAGGGGATAGGTACTGATATTGGCCACAAGTCCTCGCTTAGGAGGGCATTTTAGAAATTGTAGATGTGTTACATACTATAGCGAAGCAACGACCCAAAAAGATAATTCACATCCACCATAAAGATACCATATATACACCTGAACCTAGCTACTGGAGGCAAATCACACCTTCTCCAACCTCCCAACCCACGCAGCCGGCGTAACCCCGCTCACCCTCCCATCCTCCTGAATCTCAAAAACAAACTCCCCAATATACAGATTCGCATAGGTATACTGTCCCAACTGCGCAAACTGATCCGCATCATAGAAGGCGCTGAACAGATTGCTCGGATCACGGGGGAGAACAGGGTCAGCCGGTGTGGTGGCGAGTCTGAAAGCGATTTGATTGGAGCCGTGCGGGGTAATCAGGGGGCGGAGCGTCGCCTTGGTGGGGAATATGGGCGAGCCGTAGAAGATGCTGAGGACGTCCGTGCTGTTTTGGATCCAGGATGTTATGGATAGACCTGGGGAGGTGGGGATCTTGGAAGGGGTAAGTGTGAGCGAGCTGTTTAGGCCCGGTGTGGCCGAGACGTAGGTTCCTGTGTACTTCTGCTCGAGCTCACGGGCTGCCTGTTTTGTGAGAGCGGGGAGGAAGACGCCGATAACCGCCTGGACGAGGTCGAGCGTTTGCTGGCTTCTTGTGGCCTGGGTACTGGCCGTGATGAGGTTAAGCCCTGCGTCGAAGTCCGGGATGAAGAGCGTCATTGCGCCGTAGGATCCCGAGTCGCCGAGCTTGGTGTATATGTCTGTGACTAGGCCGGTCTCGGGGTGTTCGTAGCGGTAGATTTCCCAGGGGGCGCCGATGGCGTAGTGCAGGTCCGAGGTGTGGGTTACGGGCTTCATCCAGCGGTGGGTTGTGTGGGTGTCCAGGAGGGTAGAATTTAGAATTGCGGTGCTGAACTTGGCGAGGTCGTTGAGGGTTGAGAAGATGCCGCCGGAGGACTTGGAGAGGCCATTGTCTATGGCGAAGTTGGCCTGTGGTTCGCCGGCCACGACGCTGCGGGGGAGTGTGGAGTTTGGCGGGACGACGGAGTACGAAGAGGTCATGTTCAGAGGGTCGAAGATGCTTTCCTGGTAGACATCGTCGAGGGTTTTCCCTGTTAGGTTCGCGATCGCCATGCCGAGGAGGGTGAAGCCGTTGTTCGAGTAGACTGGACTTGTCCAGGGGAGGGCGATGGGTGGGTTCGTGGATGCGCCTTCGGCGTAGGACTCGGGGTCGCATATCCCTCCCACGAATCCCTCGGGCGTTGTGCAGGGGGCGTGGTTTGCCGGGTCGGATGGATCGACTGGTGGGAAGCCATAGGTGGCTGGGTTGTACTCGGGCGACGAGGTACCTAAAATCAGGGGCTCGAGGACATACAAGGCCAGATAGTCCGGGGTCCAGGGAGCGCCGTATTGTGAAATCCCGCCCATCTGGCTGGCCAGGGCGAAGGGAGTGATTGCGTTCCATTGGGTGTCGTAGATGGGGTCGAGGGTATTGGACTTCTCGCGGACGAAGTGTGCGAACTCGGGGAAGATCTCTGAAAGCGGCCGTTCCCACTCCTCCAGGTCGAGTTCGATCAGCCCGGCGAGGACGGTGAAAAGCTTGGAGACGCTGGCAACGCGGTAGATGCTGTCTCCGTCGACTGTCTGGGTACCGAACGAGGCGTTGCGGGTTTCAGGTGCGGCATGGTGGTACTGCAGTTTTTCTGCTTTTGAATCACGCGTGGAGAAGAGCCCAACGGAGAAGGTGAGGTCGTTGAATTCGGAGAGGGTCGAGTTGGACTGGCCATGCAAGCTCCTGTCGAGACTGATCGTGAGATTCTTCCAGGCGGCCGCGACGAGACTGTTGCTGCTGGTGAGGTCTCTGGGAGCTGGGTAGATCGGGCCCAGGAAGTTGGAGAGGGCGCCGGGGAGGCTAAGAGTTGTCAAAAGTAGAGAAGTGTAGGGCCTCATCTTGCGGTATTTGGGATTGAAGTGCTTGAAGTGTCAACCAAGGTAACGGGGCATACCCATCTTATATGTCCACGACGGAGGCAGTGAGCTAATCAACAGGACTCAGCCTTGAATGACGATAGATCTCGCCAGCAGTGTTCCTGCGCCATGCCACTAGCCTCCATATGGAGATGAGCTGTGTCGCTGCCCTTTGCCCAAACAGTCTTGGACAGGCCAAGTCCTGCAAGCTGAGCTCATTCCTGGGCGTACGAGCCCAGCATGTCGAGCTCTGATTGGAGAGCGCAGCGTCCCGCCAAAAGTGGTTAGTGGGATCTTGCTCCAGTTCTGTGGAATCGGCCGAGATGGCCCCAGAATGTGGACTCCGGGGCTGAACTGCGGCTGTGGTGAGAATCATTTCTGTCGAGTCGTCGACTCTTGGTATACATATACTCCTTGGCTGTCTGGCCTGTTAAATGCACAGGCGGGAATGGCGTGGTGGCTGTCCAGGTACTCGAGATGCATGACATCATCGCAGTCTTGTCCAAGAGGATTATGCCACACCAAACATCCATAAGCGAGTTATGCCTACAGAGAGGATCAGAAGCCTTGCTAGACGAGCTACCAAATGCCCTGATCGCGTTTTATGAGAGTCTGTCCCTTCCTACTCTAAAAGCCTACCTAGCCTTAGATACCAAGCACCTCTCACAAGGACCTTTTCTTCTATGCAGCAATTGACTAATTTACTGATTCTCCGCACCACGGTGTTCGTACCTCTAATGCGGAACTTATGGCCCATACAGAATCCTCAGTGCAGCTCGCTCCGATTCCACCCCAAAAGTGTCCCTTTCCCCAAGGCCAAGCTGCTAATCGCATCTCTCCCACCATAGACCTCCTTTCTGTCGGACATAGCTCAGTCAGCGAAGGGGCTACCAGCATTCGATGACGATGTTGAGAGGGCCGTATCCCACCCCGTTACGCAAGTTACAGCCTTTGGCCTGGCAGCCGCAACGCAGCTGTACCGACGTCGCTTTGCAGGTTATCACGGGTGCACGCTTGGGTAAGCCTTAAGTTTGTGATAGGAAGGACGTAGCTGCGGCTCAGACTATTAGTAGGTATTGGGAGCTCCACAGTACGTTGGGTAGCGGGGATCTCTGAGGCCACCGTTGCCGATCTCCGATGTACTATGTAGGCAGTTCTCGTCAAGCTTCTTATCGGGCTTTGGGGTTCAGGCGATTGAGGGAAGTAGTTGGCATGCATACAACTTCATGTATATTCTTCGTAATGTAGAAACAAATCTCATATAGCCATAATGTAATCATAGACACCGCCCATCAGATCGACTTATGTCATTTGCAAATCTACCTTCAGGGCACTCAGCAATGGAAACCTAAGCCATCCCCTTCATCTCCGCCTCATGCACACTCATCCGGCGTTTCGTCTGCTCAACAAAGACCTTCCTAAAGTTGCCACGGGCAAGGTTGCCACAAGTCTCCTTAACACCGGCCCAGTTCTCCCTCACAATATCCATAGTCGGGCGAGAGAAAACCTCCTCGATCTCCTCAAGCGTCTTATCCTTGGTCTCAGGCATGAAGAAAATTTGGTACACCCAGCCGACGGCCGCAATGCCGCCGTAGAAGCCAAGAGACAAACCGGTCTTGCCCATGGCCTCCTGCATGGAGGTGAAGTTGTAGGTGACGATGAAGGACATCAGGAAGAGGAGGGCGTCGGAGGTGGTCATGCCGTAAGAGCGGAGGTAGGTTGGGTAGACTTCCGACGGGACGACCCAGGTGAGACAGGCGTAGCAGCCAAAGAAGCCCTGGTAGACGATCAGGCCGGTGAGGTAGAGGGCTTCGACGGTCATGAGGTCGGTCTTCATGTCGACTTGGTAGCTGGCGCCGATGAGGACGAGACCGATGAAGAAGCCCGGGAGGGTGACGATCGCCCAGAAGCGGCGGCCGAAGGACTCCATGAGGAAGATGGCGGGGATGGTTCCGAGCAGCAGGGACCCGCCGCCGACGAGGGACATGTAGTTTGCGTTTTCTTCGTTGAAGCCGATTTGGTTCATCAGGACTGACATGTAGTACATGATGGCGTTGATTCCGGTCATCTGGCCGAGGATGATCATGATGTTGGCGTAGATGAGGGAGCGGCGGGCGCGAGGTTCACTGTGTAAGAATGTCAGCAAGGTATAAGTCGTTGAGTAGGATTGAGACGCACGTGAAGAAGTCCATCCAAGGGAAGCGCTTGTTCACAGCACCCTCGTTGACCTGATTCTCCTCCTGGCGGACAGAAGCCGTCATGATGAAGAACTCGTCCCGTGATTCGGCAGTATCAATACCACGAATGCGCTTCCAGACCTTGTATGCGTCGAGAGTTTTGCCGGTGTGGATGAGGAAACGAGGACTTTCCGGGAGAAACAGCATTCTATGAAGAGGCATAAGGTTAGCGAGGTTCTGAGAGCTTATGGTATTGATGCATACCCAAAAAACATGATTGTTGAAAAGACAAGCGATGATCCAAGAATGTAACGCCAATTGCCGTCGACGCGCAGGAACATGGCGGAGATGGCGTATCCAAGGACCTCTCCGAGGGCAATGTTGAACTGGTACAGTGACACCAAGTTACCACGGATGCGGCGTTCGACGGTCTCGGCGACATAAACAGGGACGGTACCACCCTCGAGACCGACACCGACACCAAGGATGACACGAGAAGCAACCATCATGCCTAGCATTGGGATTAGCCAGTGTGCTGATGATAGATGTAGGCAGTACTCACCAAAGTTAATTGACCCAGCCTCCAGGGCAGCACCGATAGTATACAAGATCAGAGAGATGATAATCGACCACTTTCGTCCAAGGTACTCGTTACAGGGAGAGAGAATCAGAGCACCACCGACAGCACCCAAAGGCATACCCGAGTTTACCAAACTATTCTGCCTTGAGTCTAGGTGCAGGTCTTTTGGAAGGTAGAGGTTCGCGCCGGAGATGGTACTCTGGTCAATACCCGACAGCAAACCACCCATACTGGCAAAGGCGACGAGCAGCCATGTGAAGTGCTTGGGGTTCTTGAACTGGATGTGGAAGAAACCGGTCTCAAGTCCACCAGCTTCTTGGAGCTTCTGCTCCATCTCATCGATGAAAGCATCGGCATCTTGGGCGCGCTCGCGCACGACCTCGAGAGCCTCGAGTTCTGTCTTCTCGGGCTCAGCCATGTTGCTACCAGAGCAGTGTGAATGTAAAAGGTCTGGTCAAGCTGGGAGAGAAAGTTGCAGGGGATGAAGAAAATGTCTGGGGGGGTTGGAGAAAAAAGAGCGGGGGGAGGTGTGTTACGGCGAAACGACCCCGGTTATTTATGTCTGCCCATCAAACTCATCACTCGTCAGCGTCATTTGCAGTCTCAGACCACGCCAAAAGCCGTCTAACAGACACGCCGTGTATCGGCCCACGTCTGTCGGCCACCTTCCAAGGTCGCACTCGCGGGTGCCAGGCCGAAACTCGACTCGAATCCCCAGGTCCCCATCGGCAAACGCTGAGTGGCCAGAAAGGCCTGGAACATGCTTTGCTAGCTCGAGGGCGCCGGCATTCTTGACAAAATTGGCGAAGGCTTGCTGGACTAGCGCGAGGATCTTAACCAAATCCAAGCGCCCCTCGGAATTCGTCCGCGCGGAGATTTGGGCCCCGGACTGGCCTAACCACACAAGGCCGTTGTCTGGCTATGCGGGGATGTCGCGTCCTCAACCTGGGCATGATTGACATTCCAGAATTTCGACGATGCATGAAAGGTTCAGTGACTGGTGACAACAAGCCTAAAGGATTTGCTTAGCTGGCGCTGTTGAGCATATAGCTGCCAATAGGTAAGACGGCATTGGGGAGGAGGAGTTCCGGGGCTCCGCAATCAAGGACTCGGACCGAAATACGGAGAAATCCGGAGACTTGGCGGGGGCCGACGCCTGAAATTCTCTGCTCGGCGGCTGACCTTCTGGCCCAAGTCTGCCCCGGCCCGGTCTTTTGTCGGCCAATCGTCCAATGGCCGACTCATTCTTACGTTTCGAAATTCCGAGAATGTTCGTGACAGGCGTCAAGAACAAGGATTCTTGAGTCTCTAGACTCTCTAGTCTAGATACACGGCTGACGTCTCAGCTTGAATCATGGCAGTTAACGTTGTCAAGCCTGTCGTCAGGCTCTCCTGCATGCCAAAGACGTCTCCAGACCGCTATACGCCACAATGTCCCGGTCTGGTTATGAACCCCAGGCGGAGGTGGAGTTTTTCGTGCGCGTGGGATATGTCAATGATTATTCCACTTTGGTAGGGTCTTGACGACGTGGGATCACTCCATGTTTCGCCCAACCGAAATTCTGCCGCAATAATGAGGGATATTCTCGGTTCTGTCACCCCATAGTTTTTTCTTGACTGGAGACATTTTTTGATGAGATGGGTATCGCAATCTTATATGGCTGGTAGTTGGAGCTCTTCGCTGCTTCACGATCATTATTCTCCATTGCTCCATCGCATAAACCCCCGGGTTTCGTCTGTTACTTTCCCTCCGATGCGGCCGACCTGCCCTTCGCTAACCGGCGGCTAAACGGTCTGCCGGTCTCAGACTGTCGGTTTGACCTTCCGTCCGGAGGCTTCGAAAAGTCACCCTGGCGCCCTACAGCGTGAAAACAATAAGCTGCACAGCAATACTTTATCCCAACTGTAGTTTCTCGCTGTTCGCCATAATCCGGCAAAGGACGTCCCCCAACAAGGGCCTCAACTGTCCAACTCGGGCCCTTTGATCCAGCAGTTGTTTCCCTACATGACAATCCCCCTGGCCCAACCGCAGAACAGGCTGAAGGGCACTTGCATCTGACCACCTGCCATCAAGCATCATGTGCTCCTTGTGCTCCATGTTCAATCTGGCCGAAGCTCGGTCAAAACGTCGCCATGCTCATCGCCGATTCCCTTCGGCTTCAATTCAGCTTCATTTACTCCGTTGACTAGCATCGCCCCACTCGGGACAAGCAATGAAAAGCGGTATCCAACTCGAAAAGGACGATTATCTTCGGCTCGCCGAGCGTAGAACGATGGGATGCTTGGTATCGTGTGGCCGTGCCGTCGGCTTCACGGCCCGCGCCTCGATTGACCTGCCAAGTCGGGGGCCCGAGGAAGCGATGGATTATGGTCCTCGACTCCTCATGGAGTCATGGATGCGCGCGTGATCGCTTGGTGTCGGGGAGTTGGAGACTAGTATATTAAGTAGGTACGTAGGTGGCGGCCGAGACCGTCGGTTGAGTGTAATAATGTCATCGCGTTGTTGTTTTGTCGTGCTGGCGCTCTGCTTAGGCTGTTCTCTTCTAATTTGTGAGCTGGACGTATGGCATGGGAATTCTGTCGATGATCTTGCAGAGACTCGAGATATCTCCAACCCCGGCCTGGGGGTCGATGTTCCTGGCAGACAACGGGGTTGAAGTGGGGGAGTGCGGGCAGTGGCCCGTGGGAAAATTCCCTTTAATGCCTTACCATTCAGGCGTCCAGCTTCAAGGGAAGGTTGCCGAGGGAACGTGCCTGCCCAACCCCGATCGAATGTCGCTCTCGACAACGGCTTTTTACTCTCCGATGGCTGCAGCTTTACCATCAATTACAGATGCAAGTTGTCTAGGCTTGATCAAGATGCCCTACTTCGATGAGAAAATCGAACCTGGACAGAGTGATATATATCTCAGGCCACAGTTTCCTTGCATATCACGGACCCGATGCTCTCCAAAAGCTTTGATATCCAAGCCAGCAACACGAATCCGTGCTACAGCTTAATGCTCTTCAGTGTCTATTATAAAGCATCAAGTTTCTTATGACCTCCACTATTGGGGTTTTGCATTCTGAGTAGGTAACGGGAGGTGACGAACCTATTCATTGTCTTCATCACTTTACTAGCAGCCCCTAAGGAACCACTGCGATCGCTTCACCATATCAATCCAAGAATTCGAATGCGGGGTTTAGCCGATTCAGCTTCCAACAGCGTATCATGTTTGAGAGCAATGGGTCATACAATGATACAACCGAGATAGCGATATCGGGGGACTTCCGGTGGGGAGTTGTCTTCCCCGCATTTCGGTCTACTCTCCGATCGCGTCTATAAAACAATGAGTGCTGTCACTCAACTAAACCCCAGACCTCCACAGTACCCACAGCATCTGCGACGCAGAAACAACATGGCCAAAGAATACAAGATTCTCATCCTCCCCGGCGACGGGATCGGACCCGAAGTCATGGCCGAAGCCGTCAAGATTCTCTCCCTGTTCAACAACTCCTCAGTTCAATTCAAAACGCAAACCGAGCTCATCGGCGGATGCAGCATCGATGCGCACGGCAAGTCCGTGACTCAGTCAGTCCTCGACGCCTCGGTATCCTCGGACGCAGTCCTTTTCGCCGCAGTCGGCGGCCCAAAATGGGACCATATCCGACGCGGACTTGACGGGCCTGAAGGCGGGCTTCTGCAGGTACGGAAAGCAATGGACATCTACGCCAACTTGAGGCCTTGCTCCGTGGACAGTCCGAGCCGGGAGATTGCAAGAGATTTTAGCCCGTTCCGCCAGGAGGTTATTGAGGGGGTGGATTTCGTGGTTGTTAGGGAGAACTGCGGCGGTGCGTACTTTGGGAAGAAGGTTGAGGAGGATGATTATGGTATGTCGTTTTAAGGTTATTGCATGTTTGTTCTGACGCTGTATAGCAATGGATGAATGGGGCTACTCGACACCTGAAATCCAACGCATCACCCGTCTCTCGGCAGAGCTCGCTCTGCGGCACGATCCTCCCTGGCCAGTCATCTCCCTCGACAAGGCAAATGTCCTTGCCTCATCGCGCCTCTGGCGCCGTGTTGTCGAGAAGACCATGACCGAGGAATACCCGCAGGTGAAGCTGGTCCATCAGCTCGCCGACTCGGCATCCCTCATCATGGCGACCAACCCGCGCGCCTTGAATGGTGTTATCCTAGCCGACAATACCTTTGGCGATATGGTCTCCGACCAGGCGGGCTCACTGGTCGGAACACTGGGTGTCTTACCAAGCGCAAGCTTGGATGGGCTGCCAAAGCCGGGCGAGGAGACCAAGGTGCATGGACTCTATGAGCCGACGCACGGGTCTGCGCCGACGTATGTCACTCACCTATCAAATATTTCCTGCTGTATCGCTAACAATAACAGAATTGCCGGTCAGAACATCGCGAATCCAACGGCAATGATCCTCTGCGTCGCGCTTATGTTCCGGTACTCGTTCAACATGGAGGCAGAGGCGCGACAGATCGAGGACGCGGTGCGCACCGTGTTAGATAAAGGGATTCGCACGTCCGATTTGGGTGGAAAGACAGGGACGAAGGAGTTTGGCGATGCGGTTGTCGCGGCGTTGAAGGGGGAGCTTCGAGCTGCCGAGCCGTAGGGCAGAGTGCGTAGTGAAGATCCGATGGCTGGGCGGTGACTTCATTAATATAAGAGTCGACGATCCCTAGAAGGTGTCCAATCGTCACGAGTCAGGGGATGGTGGTTATGAAGGAGCTTGGCGTTCTCCCGTATACGGTATCCGTGCGCTATACACTCATACTATCGCTTCGTGGTTAACAACTCGAAGAGTAACCACGTACTTTAATTTCGACTGGCGCTGCCAACAATCCTGTCCAACATCGGCAATATATCAATAGACCGCAATAACCTAAAATTAGGTTCTTATGAAGAACCGATGTGTTGTCGAGGCGATCGCATACTCCGCAGCGAGCGATGACATCACTTGGCTACCCACCATGACCTCACCTTCCGTCAGGCCCCAATGCTTGCCCTGAGCTTGATCCCTGGTTCGAACTTCATCATACTCCCTCCCGCCAAATCACAGTGCGCCAGTCCCCTATCCGAGTTTGCAGCAGACAGCGGTGGATTTGTCATTCCCAATTCTGTCCGCCTACTTTACGGCTGATATCTCCGTCCCTTCGCCAACTTCCTTTCTAGATCGAGCCAAACTCAACCAGACTTTTTTTTCCACAGAACCTATCCATCATCCCAGAAACGAGCAGTCAAGAACAGAAGATATTCAGGCAAGATGACAGTAATCTGGGGCCTGGATCTCCACGAGATCCGATTCAGCAAGTTCAAGTCCGCGAACATGTTCAATAAAGCGTACCATCTCCGTCGGACAAAAATGATCGTCTACCAGCTCGCAATGATCCTCTGCGTCTGCTCGGAGTCAGTTGGGACAGCTGCGTTTTCAGGTGCACCTCCACCTCCCCTCATCCTATCCAGACCAGCTACTAACGACCTCTTGTGCTAGACTACCTCGACCAACAAAGCTACATCCAAGGCCAACACCCCGGCGTGAAAATCCACAACAACAGCTTCATCGGCGCGTTCAGCTATAACATCTTCGTTGGCATCGCAGTGGCATTCATTTTCGGGGCTGCGTTCTTCTTCGACCTCTTCTGGCCGGAACGGCACGAGTGCAAGCATGTGCGGATCAGCTGGAAGATTTCGGCGGTTGTGGTGACGATCATGATGCTTAGTTCTGCGTTGACAATTACGGTGCGTCCTGTTACACTTCGAGGAGAGGCAGTAAAATTGGTGTGTGGGAGATGCTGACTTTTGCGTACAGTGCATCGGCGCTCTACATAATGCCGTCGTGACGGGGACGGATCCCGAGACGGCGCAGACGTACCGGTTGGAGTTTACGAAGAAGCCTTCTTACAGTGCGTCCGCCCGTCCAATACTCACGTCGCTCTGAAGCGTGCTTGTGCTAACGCACCTCAGCATACCACGATAACCCCAAGGTCATCGCCGCCGTTGTCCTCGCCTGGCCCGGGTGGGTCTTCTGCGTTGTTAGGTATGCCGCCCTACCTAAACGCTTTACTTCCATCCCAGCTCCCTTCAAGCCCGCTGTGTGTTATAAAGACGCGTTGCTAACGATATGACAGCACAATAATCCTCTGGAAATCCCAAAACCACGACGACCAGTACGGGCCCAAGTCGAAGTACGGCGGGGGTCTCGAGGACGGCAGCATCGCCGATAAAGAAGCCAATGCCAACGCCGACGGGCGCCGGAGTCCTGAGTCGACCATGGCGTAGATAAAAACACTTCACATCACGGGTACGAGGTTACGACTATGCTCTTTTTCCTTTGTTTTGCTTTTGGCATGAGAGGCTATATACAGCTACTGTATTTTTATTCTTAATTAGCGATCTTGGTGGATGGGCTTGCGTGCTGGTGCATACTGGACTAGCTTTGCTTGTACTATATAGACTGACTGTTACTGCTACTGGTAATGATACCCCGTTTCTTTGGGAAGGGGTTTCTTTTCTTGACCATCGGTGGTCCTTATGTTGTTCTTGCGCTTAACGGCTTTTGGGTTGGTCTGTTATCTCAGAAAGTCCAATCACCTCCTATCTACATGGTGGCGACGTGGACCCGTAAAGTATGCTGGTACAGGATACTCAGTCAGTGACAGTAAGTACCTAGGTGAGGCCATACTCCCACCCAACTCAGACAAGAATACGTGCATTCAATTTCCTGCGGCGCTACCTAACCCGTCGCCCTCACTGCGCTGCATGGACGCACATGAGGCTAAGGGAGTCATCTAATATATGGGCATGGCAATGCATTGAACTAGCTAGCACTTGCATACCTACCGCGCTTCCGCCACAACGAAATCCGAACTTTCGAACAGGTCCTGAGAAGCATCCATCTCCATCTCTTGCCTCTTGAATAGGTTTGTCCCCATAACACGGGATTCAAATGCTGCGGTCAGCGAACCGACCCTGGCCCTCCAGCTCACGGCCTACGCTGGGCATGGATAAATGAATGAAAGCTAGGCCTCGCGATACCGCAGTCGCGCAGCCCAGCAATTGATGTCCAGATCCTCATTGTACTCCGTATGGCAGCGTGAGTTGCCGATGCATGCACTGGTGGCCCCAGCTGTAAAACTGGCTTCCTGGTCATATATTCTGAACGTTGAGCTACAGTCGCCCGGGGTAGGGTACCGAGTTCTGCCTGAAGCCTTAGGATTGATTCCACCTACGACGATTTCAAGGTGGGCGGACCGAATCAAGGTCTTGGGAAAGGCTGGGACCGGCTATGCAAGTGATCCTTGAGGCGATTGAGGCGACTAGAATGTATTGGGAGGGAGATGCTTGGACCCTGGACGAGATGCCAGCAAAAAAAGACAAACTCCATCTGCAAAAAGAAATGCTTCCAACGAGAATCGAACTCGTGTTTTCGGATGTCCTTTGTAGAAAGGTCATATTACCTATGAGACCGACGTCCTAACCACTAGACTATGGAAACTTGCTGAAACTTTTGCAGCTTATTTTGTATTATATTCAAAAAACGTTTTATAATGCGGCAGCCGGTGTGCCAAGGAATCGCCGGGACTTTCTTTGCTAATTTGGGATTGATGGGCGATTACGTAGGGTTTCTTGCTTTTTTGTTTGCAATTTCCCGGCCGCACTTGTAATTTCTTTGGATATTGCTGTCTAAAGGTTTCTCAAGATACGTGTTGCTTCGTTTTAGATGGTGGTGGTGTATTTTCCGCGGTCGCTGGCAGCGCGGATATATATTTTGGTGAGCCCCCGTGAATTTAGACCGCGTCCCAACGTACGACGGAAGATCCTGCAGGAGCGAGAAGGGGATGAAGTAGTCTGGTCGGTCATGGTCGACTGGGCGAACCTCCTCTGCATCCCCCATACTTGGCAGGCTACCTGCCCGAGCTGATGGTCTTGAACCCCCGCGGTTAGGCTTCAGCGAGGCCCGCAGCCAACCACGTCGGGATGGTCCCCCGGGCCTAAGCCCCCCTGCGTGTCCCCCCTGCGTGTCAAGCCCTGGAGCCCTAGCGCGAGCTGGGACCCAGACATGGTCTGGGTTCGGTGTGGGTTGCTGGCCGCTGCTACAAACGTAACCAAATAACGAAAGCAATATAGATTTTTCGAGATTCTAGCAAGCAATTTCCCATGATAAAATTACCATAATAAGATGCAAGGCCACAATTTCATACGTCACAAGTCGTTCTAGCTGGCAACTAACCCTGACGAAGCATACCCACCCTCTGCTCCGCAGGCGGAACAACAGCCAGAATGGCAGCACAAGAGTACCTCGTCCCAATGGAGGCTTCATTACCGTACGCAATCTGACTAAATGCCATCTCCTCGTGCTTTGGCCCAGTGATCCAGGTGACACCGGGGAGATACTGGACCGGCCAGATGGACTGGATGACCTGGAAAAGAAAAAAAAGTTAGTCGAGGCATTGGAGTGGACAAGGTTGTGCAGGTATACCTCGTCAAGACCCCGTTCGTAACCACGATTAAAAGTCTTATACGGACGGTGCGACAACCCCACCTGGACACCGGGGTTCCTGTGTGTACTATTTACTTTCGCCGGAAGCTCCTCAGTGGCGAAATTTTCAACCATATTTTGCATGCCGCCTACACGGCGAGACAGCATGAGCGTTTTCCACCGCCGGTCGATATCTTCATAGTCAGCAGGCGAAGCCGACGGCAGAAGCTCGACGTAGTTAGGCCATGGCTTTTTGCCGTTTCCGAGGAACCTCTGGAGCGTCCCGCTGTGGTCGTAGTCATATTCGCTCATATAGAAGCGACTACGCCGGCGACGTCCATTCGGTGCAATCTCGTCCTCACCTGGGACAGTGCCGGTGATACCTAGCGACGGATCCTCGGCGCAATAGTGTCCGTCTTTCTCGAGGATTGGGAGAACTTCCACGTCGATGTTGAGGGATCTGAAGACGGAGTAAAGAACCAAGTCTGCGCCTTTCAGGGCCCGAGGGAGCTGAAGGTCGGCTAGGTTGGAGGAGTGCGGGTATGCATGGGAGCAAAATATGCCCAGGACGCCACCTGACCTGTATGTTAGTAAAGCAGGAGCCCAGGTCAAAGAAGCTTACCGTCTTTCATGAACTCTTCTTGCTCGAGGAGGTTTCTGATCCACGAGTACGCGGGATACGCCTTGGGGTCCACAATTGACATTGGCGATGGAACTCCCACATTCAAAGGCTCAGTGACATAAAGGTTGTAGGTCAGCGTGACTCTATCGCCGTGAGTGATGGTCTCAATCTCATGCTCGCAGTCGCTGTAGAATGCAGCCCACTGGATGCTTGTCTCGCTCTTTTCACTCCAGTCGAACTCGACCTTTTGCCCATGATGCTCGACAGTCAAGCTACCTCCCTTGAAAGGACATGGAAGACAGACAACAAGCGAGCCTATTTGGTTTGTGGCGCGAGGAGTGTCGACGTGCTTTCGGAAGTGCCCAGATGGGCCGGAGTACACCTGCATGCTTTAGAACACTGCACATAGGCACATATGTTAGCTTACGTTCAGCTTGTAGAGCTCGGCCGTGATTTTTCGAAATCCCAACTGGTTGTCGGTCTCGCTGCTGATACTCGGTAGAAGGACCTGCGATAGGTTCTCCAAGATTCCAAAGTCGGCTGGATGGAAGCTCGTCGCAAATTGGTCGGCATTGATCTTCCCAGCTCGCCGATATTCTGGGTCAATCACGTCCTGCTCTCCTCGCCCAAAGCTTGCAGGGTCACAGTCCACGACGAGACGGCGGAGCGTGTCTGGGTGAGTGTGCGGCACGGATTCGTCGAGGGGCAGAACGAGCTTGCGCGCCGTGGCGTCATCGCCTTTGCTCCAGAATATACTGACAGGAGATGAAGCAGGCCGGGTTACTTCCGGAGCCTGAAGATCGCCGAGAACGATAGGAATCGAGCCACCACAGGAGAACGAGGCCGTTGCATGCTCACCCTCGATGATGCTTTGCAACTGGCGACAGGACTCGGTGAATGCAGCCTTCTCATCGGAGGAAACGTCGCTTAATCCAGCCCGTTCCCGATATTGCTTCTCCATGAGGATATCCACTAGTGACCGTGGAATGCTGTTCTTGCTGGCCCCATCTTTTTGATATGCATCCATACCCTTCCACCTCGCGTCCAGACGCCCCTTGATCTTTTCATGCTCTAGGATGTTGCCGTCATAGTCATCAAGAAGCCCTGGCAGCACTCGGTCGACGTTCAGCCTCAGCTCCTCCGTCGCAGCTGCCTTTGGTTCTTCAGGGACAGACTTGAGGAAATTGGAAAAGCCATACCCGGAGTACGCTGAGTACTCGTAATACTCGTGCTGGTATGTTCCCGATTGGAACGGTAGCACGCGAAAGAGGAATAAATCAGCGCAGGCGTCAATCTTGCAGTCTTCGATCATGATCTTGTTGACTTCATCTTCGAGCTCGGCCAAAGAATGGCGGTATTCGACGCGATAGGGGTCCTGTGAATCCATGATCAAGATGGGATGGAATATGATGTGAGTGATAGTCCGGGAAGTGATGGAGCAGCGGTATAAGTATGTGGTGATGTCGGCCGGGGCCTGGAGCATGCGGAAGGAGCGGATGCCTGGGAGATTAGGCAGCGTAGGCAGCAGCCTGCAGCCAAGCATCCCTCTCTTCGCCTGCATACCTACTGGAAATCACCAACCCATTTCATGAACACGAGATGCTCTGAGTCGAGCTGATACAGAACCACCCGCACAAACCCCATTTGCAACCCCAAAGCAACAGCGGACGCACCATAAAGACCCCCTGGAACACAATCAAGTCGGAATGCCCCCGGACGGGAGCCGTCTCAACACATGGGTCAGATGCTGGCTACGCACTTGCCGTTGGAACATCTGGAAATCGGATTCCCAGCACCTTGTTCACCATACTCACGAGCGAGACACCAGAAGTGCTCCCGGTTTCTGGGGGCCGGAGTACCTGACACAGGTTGTCGCCGACAGAATTCGCCCCCACATTGGCCGAGGGATACCTAACTCATCTTCCGTGTTCACCACGTTGAACATGATGATATGGTCATGGACTGTGGATCCAGCAGGATAAAACTTCCTCGCCTTTGAACCATGGACTCGGAAGCCAGAGAAATTGTTCCCTTTTTGATTGTTGCGCAGCAGCAACCGGGCAAATCGGACGTTGAAGTGATGCGTACTGGGCCGGAGTAGTTGGCGCGTTGAATGGGTGCAGATGCAGACTGGATGAGACAAAGGTTAAGGTTGCCTTCCTCAAGAGCCCCTATTGGAATATGAACTTGATCGAAAGGAGTCACAAGTGGGCGATAACATCAAGGAAGGATCAGATGGGGCGTGCCCTAGGGACGGTGTGCTTCAAGGGCCTCTCTTGCTTGGTGTCCAACAACTCGAATCGGCGATGGATGCAAAGTCTTCAATAACTATTTGGCTGAGGAAACTTGAGCGATGTTGATGCATAGTGAGTGAGGAGCAGCCAATGGCATCACATCCTCCTTAGCAGCGAACCCTGTCAGCCTTAGGTAGCGAGTGTGGCTGTGCACCGCAACCTATATCTCCGATCCCATCACCAGCATCTCAACCTGCGTTCGAATCCACATCCCATCCGCAATTTCCATAGCAATAATGGACACATCCCTCTACACAGCATGCGAAAACCCCTCCGCCCTTTTCTCCACCCCACCAGAATCCCTCCTCCACCAAATCTACCGCGAATTCACATCAGACATCAACCGTCTCAAACGAGCTTACTCCGTCCGAGACGCTCAAGCCTCTTTACCAAACAGCTGCCCATCACCATCGCATATCCTCTTCGGGCAGGAATACGACGAAGTAAATCGGACGCTCGTGGGGCTTTTAGCGCTTCGATGGATTCACCGCGGGGAATATGAGGGGTTCATTGGCGAAGCGCCATCGGAGACGCGATTATCAAGGGAATCATTTGACTGGATACGAGATCTCTACGCGCTCGTTATTACATACGCAGAGTCGCCGGGAGATGCATTATACACGCTACTCACGCTGATCATTACGAATGACCTCGGCAAAGACCCCGAGCTCGCATGCGAGTACCGCAGTATTACGGGAACGGATATATCAGATTCAAACCACGACGCAATCCTCCTAAAGGCGTACGAAGCCGGTCTCATCCCTTCACTGGATAGATTACCAGGACCATATAAACAGGCCGCCTTATCTGGACTGAAACTCGCCAGCAAATTTAACCTCGGCCAGCTTGCGCAGGCGGAGAACGCACCCGTCTGTTTTTCGGCGCTTCTGGAATTCCAGGAGGAGACCTGGACGGGCTCCGATGGCGGAGATGAGGGGGTCATGCGCGCCTTTAACCTGCGCTTTATGGAGCAACTCCTCGATATTGCTGGTGCGGGAGGCCACATGGACTGGACATGTGCAGCGAAGTTAAACGAGGCGGTGTTCGATTCGTATCGTGGGGTTTATGAAGCGTGCTACGGGGTTTTTGAGGGGCGGATGAGTTGCGAAGAGGCGTATGATGTGGTGCTGAGGCGACGGGCGGCGTTTCTGATGAGGAGAGGGGTTGATCTTGATTTTGATCTATCGATAAACCAGACAAGCGGGAATACGCGGGCATTCATGCGTCTTCTATGCATGGGGAACGTCACAACTGCGGACGTCGCGGAATTATACGAATCTACATGGGAAGACCTGGATCCGAGGATCAAAGAGGAGCTAGAGCAGGCCCTCAATGTTCTTGGCACCAGAGGCAAGCCTGCTATTCAGCCGACATATATGCCTGCTTTTCTGAGTGGCATCAAGAACAGGAAGGAGTTGGATAGTGCGTTGCGGTTTCTGCACCGCGTTGTGACTGCACCTGTCATTGCGACTGAGACGGAAAGTGGTGATCTAGATCCGTCCGTTGTTGTCATTGAGCGCAGTGTGCTGGGGATCTTGAAGGAGTTTGTTGAGCCTGGTTTGTTCCACGAGGACCCAATTGTTTTGGATGCAGTTGGTACGCCAAAAGGGGTTGTTGCGCTGAGACAATGAATTAGTAAGGTTATATTAGTATCGCCACAGCATAAGATATCATGTCAAATCCGAAAGTACAGTCTGATAGATTGGTCAAACATTCGACAAGATTGTCAAGTTTCCTTCCTCGCCAATCCTCGCATGCGATTTACATCCCCCTGACTAGCAAAGCTGATCTTCAGCCAGTCGTTTGGCGTCGCAATCTCCTCCAGTGAGCTGCGCATACGCATCACCCCCTCTCGATACAAGGTATTGGTCTCAAACCGCCAGCTGCAGAGCACAGTGCGGAGCATGCCCCCTTCCCGGCCACAGATGAGCGCAACCACCGGCGGCCTCTCGGCAGCAATAACGGACACGCTCAGGCTGCCCGTGTCGACAATGGTGAACAGCCGATGGCTATCAGGGACATTGAGCTCTTTGCGCATCCTGTTCCAATACTCGGAATCTGGTTCCTCGCCTTGTCTTATAGAGTCGTGCCGCATTTCCTTGCAAAAAGGAGTAGACGAGGGGGCATATGACAGGCGGTCATGATGATTGCCATATATCTTAGTCTCGATCTCGTAAAGGGTACTCGTGCCTTCAAAGCCAAAGAGGTGACAGGAGACACCCTTTGTGCCGCTGTTGCACAGCTGGCGGACGGCGAGGGGACTGAACCAGGAGATGACCCAGCCGACAGCCATATACAACAAGACCATGAGTAACGACCATTGCAAATTACTCTCGTCAAATGCCTGTGTCACCGTTTCATTTTCCGTTTCATTTCCAAGCCTCGAAAAGGCAAGAAGAGCGACCGTTCCGAAGAGGTTGAACCCGGCCAGGAAGAACCAGGCACCCAGGTACACAATCCATTGCGAAAGAGACGCACGGAAGCCGGTCATGTCTCTCGCATAGCTCAGCCTTGGGAAGCTCTTCCAGCGGATCGGAATCCCGCGGCAGCGGTCTAGGACCACCGTGGAGGCGGGTTCGTCGTCGTCGTCATCCCCGATCCCGACCACGCTGCAGAGCGGGTGAATGTCCCACAGATGAGTGCGGTATTGATCTTCTTCGGCGATATCGGAGAGCAGTCCCATGGGCCCTCTTTCGGGTGTCGGCTTTGGCCACAGACAAAGAAGGCGCTCAACGAGCTCGTTGCTGTCATTCACAAGAGACAAGCGAGCAATGGCCTGGAAGGATTTGTCATCCTCATCGGGTCTCAGTCGGTACGCTAGGAGTCCCATAGCTGCATAGGCCAGGTGCTTGTCTTCGTACCCTTTGATATCCTTGCCCATGGTAAGACGGGCCAGGGCCTGAACTGCGTAAGTAATCAACTGCAGCTCGCTGAGTTGGGTGCGATTTGTATAATGGTCGACTAGGTGAGAGATCGCGTCCTCACTTGAGCCTTGTCCGGGTAGCGCCTTGTAGAACTGGGCAGGCCAGAAACTTTCACGCATATCCGACAACGACACCTTTGTGTACTTGGCAGACATGGCTTGGACGGGTGTTTGCCAATTCGGAGCCACACAGTAATACCGGAGCTTTTCGGCAGCAAGAAGGGCCTCGGGTAGGGTCCAGATCCGCTCACCCCAGGCTCTTTTGTCTTCTTTCCCATCGCTGGGAAGAAGGATGTACACCCGTCTCGCGCACCGAACGGCGTCGCAGATCGTGTTGACATCTTCTGCCCACTGCCCCGACTCATGAGAGACGCAATCCGTGTCAACCCAGAATGCTTTAATCAGAGGTTCGTCCGGCAATCTTGCTTTATTCTCGGCCTCGAGGATAGCTTCTCCAACTGAGTGGAAGAATGGCCGTAAAACGGAGTCGTCGGCGGGATAGCTAGCCCTGGTGAAACTCAGAAAGATGTACGGTTGCAGCATGCCTGTGTTTCGGTCTCTGAGATCCTTGGTGTCTTGAGCTTCCCAATTGCCATCTGCCCCCTTCACAACCAGACGCTTCGGGATCATAAGTTTGTGTGTGTCAGATTGTGGCTCCTTATGTTTAGGCGCCTGATCCAGGACGTTGACCGCGTGTCTAGGCCATTTCCAGTGAACATTTTCGTAGTCTTCATATGGCTCGACGGAGCCGTCGGCGGTCCATGGCGAGGTGACAACTTGGACGGATATCAAAATTTGAATAATCCACGCCAGGAGCAATGTAAGAACTGCGGATAAGACAAAATGGACGGGCTTTAGGACAACAGTCAGTAGAATACGTCGCGGAAAGGCCCTGTTCTTTTTGATGCGCTCCGCCAACCGGTCAATGTCAAAGGGGTCTAAGCAAATCTCGGCCAGCCTGATCACAAAAGGAGCATTGCCTGTAAGTTTCTTGTGATCCCAGTGTCGTGGACGTTTATCGTCCAGGGCGTCGTCAGTCGCTTGCACAACCAGCCGGCGCGCAAACCCTTTCGTTGAGCTGTAGTAGACGTCGAGGTCCGGGTATTTCTCATGCTCATCGTTGCCCCAGAAGTTCAGATACCGGCGTGGACGATCTGAGTAGGCAACGGTATCGGCACTGGCATCGGGGTCGGCCTGAATAGCTTGCTTGCGATGGTTGCTCAGCTCCAATCGTCGGGCCTCGAGCTGCCCTGGAGTGAGCTTCGGTCGCTCAGATCGGCGACCGCTTGCCCAGTGGCGGTCCCCGTTGTAGTGTCGCTGCAGGCTGCGGCCCCATTCCAGGGATTCTTCTCGGGCGGAGTGGTTGGAAGACTGGCTGGCTCCCATGATAGATTTCGTTGAGCGGGGAAGTGAGGGTAAGGTTTTGGGTAGGTGAAGAACGGACGAGACGAAAAATAATAAGAGGGAAGATCCAATATATGGCATAAGAGCAGAGCCTCGCCCCTTCCCTCCGTTTCGCCTCTTTCCCTCCCCCCATCGACGCCAAGTGAGCCTCCTTCCGGCCCGATGATCATTTCACCGTCAGTTCTCAATATCGAAACCCTCAGTATTTCTGGTCATCATGGTCGGAGCTAGAACAATCCCCATCTTACGGGTCGGGACTCGGACGGAGTTAAGAGACAAGCACACATCAGATGCTGGATTGGGAGCTCACCCCTGATTGCCAAAAGCCACAGTGGTAGAAGACGAGGCATCGCGACGCTTGATAGGCACAGCTTACGGGGGCCCCCCAATATAGGCGTTTTGTGTGATTTGTAATGGGTAGTCAGCTCCTGCAGCGAGTTATTGGCCGTGGGAAAGAGAAGAGTAGCACAAGCATTGCCCGGGTGTGGTCACAGCCCGGGCGAAAGAATTGATGAGAAGGGTTTTCTCGGAGTCGGGCGCTGATATTCTTCGCCGAGGATAGTTGCTTTGAAACGATGTGGGTGGACGTCGAAGACAAAAAGAAAATCTCGGCATGAGCAGGAGCTCCCTTGGGAGAAAAGCCATTGTGCCCTGGCCAAACTCGGCAGGCACGGCTCAGTCCAGGCCTAGGCCAGAGCCCTGTCTCTTGTCGATGCGACTGGGTGATCCTGTCCTGATGACCTTCTGAGCCCCTCGTTTGGCTTGTGTGACAACGGGAAGGAGGACACAGCATTGCTTACGGAGTACTCGTGTTGACAAATGCAAGTCCGCGCGGTGGGCTGATGACAGCCTTCAATCTATGCTGACTAGATATCTGATTGGCGAGTATAAAGGGTCAGAGTCTCCGGCGATGATACCGCGAATGTAGATTAATCATGCGTCTCGCCGTTTATTGAGGCTCAGCAAAGCAACGTTGACATTGTACGACCTGACAAGCCCACCCGAACCAAGGGCTTCGTATGTTCGGTGTCAGCTTTAGTTGGTTTCCGGACAGAAGACGAGCGTGACCTCAAGTGTCATGCATACAAGGCTATAAGTGGGGGCTGACTCCATGCAGCTTGACCTTCACAGTGTCTATATCGGGAATCGGCCGGGGTCGCGGTCTTTCCCAGTCACCTTCCTTCTCCCCGCCATCCTGGTACAGAAACAGGAGTGGCAGAGGATCATTCTTCCACCTGGGTGCCCTGCGTCGTCTCGTTTTCCACACCGTGCCAAAGAGTGCTACAGCACCTAATACCCAGACAAATATCGGAAGCGTAATCCACTGCCAGTGCACGGCAATATGGGTGACCGTCACCTCCAGGTGACCGTAAGTGGTATCCTGCGAGTCCCGAAAGGTCTTCGCGATCGCCTGCGCAACGCTCGACATGGTACGATTGAATCTGTCAAGCTTAACATCACACCGCCTTGAGTCGCACGCACTCCTTCCCTCGCGGTGGAACGATTGAAGGACGTCACTGGATGCGTACAGGGCTGCCTCGGGATCTGTAGAATTATAGCCGTACTCAGTCGAATTTTGCCAGTAGTAGCCCGTGAATATGATGCGCAGGAATTTTGCGATGGCCTTCTCGGCTGAAAGAGTGTATATAAAAGACTGGTTGGGTCGCAGTTTCAGGTGTGTCAACTCCTCAGACCAGGGTGGGTAGAAGTGCCATTGATAGTCAGTGTCGTTAGTGAAGGCAAAGTCTGGAGATGTACCAAGGTAATCAGGATCCTCGGTGTAGTTCATCCTGACTAACGCGCGATCCGACCATATGGCAAGTGTTTCCTCACTATAATCGTTGTTCCTCACGGATGCACGGAACTTGCGGACGACGGGCTCGATTGTGCATTCAGTTGCCTCCCATTTTATGACCGGGTCCCCTGGAGAGCTACCAGAGGATTTTAGAGGCTCGACAAACTGAATTGCGCTTGTTGTCGTGTTTGTGTAGGTGATAGCTTGCGATGAGTTGACAGCTTTCACAACGAAGCCTACTGCTTGGGCGTATTCGCTGTCGGGGTCATAAGGCAAGGCCCACGCGTCGATCTGGCTCTTGGTTAAAGTTGCAGTACAATTTATATCGTCAGATGAGAGGCCATCGCACGACTGGGTCAAATGCTCCGTTATGTTGGCGCAAAGAGCCCTGGCATCTAACGATACTATCGAATCCCACGTGCAATTGGTTGATGGGCATCCATACCGAGGGATAGACCACGGGGTCTCGGAATCCCTGCTGAAAAAGACATTGTATACATTTGTTTTCAGCGCATACTCGACGGGAAAGGCTAAATTGAGGTTACATTAGTATATACCTTACGAGGCAGGAGTCGCTTACCATCCACTTGAAAAGGTCCGCCATGGCTCCCGTAGTAGGAGCTGCTCGAAATCGTAGCAGTATTCGATGTATCTCTCACTGTGCCTTCATAGTAATGGACCAGGTTTTGGGCAAATGGATCAAATGCCAGTGCCAGGACAACCGCCAGGCTGCCTAGTGCAGCAAAGTGTCTAGAAGACAAGGATGATTAGTACCAGCAGGATAATGCTGACGTGCACAAGGGACGTACCTGCCCTGGAGGGTCCAAATCAACTCGAGAGCCCCATAAGGGCCTCGGGTCGCTGAATCAAAGGTGCGGATATTGCTTATAGGCTGTTCCTCCTGGGAAAACCATACCCATTTTGATTGGCCCAAGGCCTCACTGACAAAGAACAGAATGCATGCTCTTGAAATGGTGGACAGCCAGGAAATAAGAGAGTTGAGTGACATATAATACCAGTCTGGTTGAGGTTTTCCGTCATATTTGGCGAGGACCGCGACTAGAGCAATCAAGGCTCCGGCAGATACACCGGTCGCGAGTATTTCGAGAACAAACCAATCACTTATTCTCATGCGTGCCGACCGCTCGCTAGCAGTCTCGTGCACCGTGGAAACGGACGAGGTAGTGACTTGTATGTCTGAACTCTGGTCTTCTGACATCCGCCGATCGTCTTCCAGGAGCTCCTGAGTGGGCGCTGGCCCTTCAGTTCTCGCTGCCATTGTGGCGAAAGGCAAGCGCTGCCTCGAAGGATGTGAGGGAAAACTAGGTAGAGGCTTGCCACGGTTACACGCATTGATTTAAATAGGAGGGCTGCAAGGCTGTGTGTCGACGCTAGACTCGTATTGGCACATGCATGCTTATATTTTTCTTGTTTAGGCCGCTCGCTGGATGATCGGTGTTTGTACATCATTATTATGTGAACTCCAAGTCCTTGGTACTCGCGCATCCGTCGGCTTGCTTCAATTCCCATAAGATTGCCCCTCTCCAGGCAACAAAGAGTACATCCCGTAGCGGTTACTGAAGATTTTCGATGGTTGAGGTTGCGGAGACGAATAATCCCTGCGCCGCCGGTGCCATCTTAAGAGAAGGAAGAGAGCAAGGATACAAACGAAGACAGCCGCGCCGCCAACTGCGACTCCCGTTATTGCCCCAGAGGATAAGTGTGATGTCGAATTAGTAGGAGATTTTGCATCACGAAACAACTCGTATTGATCCGGGGCGCTGGCACTCCAGGCTGCGGGTATCAAATCCTCCAAGGGGCAACCGCTTCCGGCACAAGGATTACTTCCACAACATCCCAAAAATGGAGGTTCTGTGAAATTGCACGTGAACCAGTATTCTGATGGAAAGTTGATGCAGACGCCCGGCCTAATTTTATCGAACATGGCGGCCCCGTCAAACGAAGCTGGCCGAATATCGAGGGGCGGGCACGTCGAGCTGGTCGCATTGTTGCAAGGAGCGGAGGTGCAGCAGCCCACGAAGCGAGGCGGGTCTGGGCAGGCATACCATTTGCTTCCTGGCGGGCAAGTAAAGTGGCAGTTGGGCGAGGCCCCATCGCAGGAGGACATGGTAGGGATGGTCTTGGTTGAGGTAGGATGGTAGTCAGCGGCAAGGACTTTATAGGTGACAGAACCGGGATTTCCTCAAATCATGTCTTGAGATGTTATTCCGAAGAGTTCCTGGGAACCACAACCTCTCGTCCAGAGACTCCCTCAGCCTTGCCTTGGGACTCTTGGCCAACATCCGTGCCACATCCAACCCTTCTTGCCAACCAATCATCCACGGGCCAAGCTGCAATTCCCGCACTACTGTGATTGCTTATTGGTAGGGGCGAATATGCAAGCGGCTGAACTGGGAATTGATTCGGCGAAGTGGTCATAGAACGACGACACCTCTCTTCATTGGCGGCAACACTGACTCTTTGAGGCTCTGGAAATTGGGGGCCGAGTGAGTTGGGCCAACGTGCAGGCACCCTCCATGAATACGACAGTGCTCGTACTGTACTGTGCGACGAAGAAAAGCAATTTATGATTCCTGCGTGACTTAATTTCACCGACGAGCATGGAGGCTTCTGCAGCCTTCAGGAATTTTGTTCAACCGCGAAACAGGGTTCAGAGCCTTTCAGAATAGATTCAGGGCCACTGTCGACGAGGGCACATCGTCAACCAACCGTGGCACTGGTCACTGAGGAACCAAAAATAAAAGACTGAGACTCTACTACAACATTTGAAACTAAGCGGAGTCGATGCCGGACTTCATCGTCAAGGAGAACTCTCAGTATGTATCCTTGGCATGAGACCTTTCGTTCCTGGGCCGAAGATACAGGACTTCACATTGACGCCCTCGGGCTCATTACCCTCTTCGGCGCCGAGGAGATGGACCGAAGTATTGGGAGACTCATGCCGAGCTCGTACTTTGGCTATCTACCGTTACTCGGAGCGTTTGTCGTCGCCGGAAATCGTTTCACGGAGAAGAAGACTGGGTACGTGATGTACAACATCTCGGCGGGAATCATGACGACGGAGTTAGCAGGATGGTTCTCGCGGTGGCTGCAGGCGCAGGATTTCCATGCGGTCCGCAGTAAGGTATCGTGGGAAGTTGTGGAGGGGCCAGGTCCGAGACGCTGGAAAGAATTGTTCATTGGCATCCTGCTTGTTGCATTGCCGGTGCATGGAATGTTGCTGACGCTGACCTTGTTGACGGCGGACTGGTGGGGGTTTAGCAATGTTGTGGCTATGCTGGTCTCGGTGGTGGTGAGGTGCGCTCTGGTTGCGGAGAATCAGGCCGGTATTGATGCCAATATCGAGGTGGCTCAGAAAGAAGTGCAGGAGGCATTGGACAAATACAAGAAAGCAAAGGAGCAATTTGACAAACGTCGGCAGAACGATACCGGCGAGAACGAAATGAAGCCACCTGCCGTCCCTAAAGACCACGAGTGGGTTAAAGCAATTGTGGTAACGCAGGATTCGAAGGTCATCACCATTGACGCACCAGCGTACCTGGTTAGACCGGCTTTTACTGCAAACCCGCACATCCCAAGCCCTGGTTTCTACCTGACTTGCAGAGTCATCGGCTGGATTGCATTTGCCGTCCATGTCATCGCCATCGGCATGGCCGCCCTGCATACCCAGATCTGCTCTGTCGCCCTGGTAGTTGTTGCCACTGTTCTGACGGGATACAAGGTCGGCTGCGAGGATTCTCGGATTAGCATAGTCGGTTGGAACGAGTTGCGCCGGGCTCCTGTTGTCGATAACGATGAGAGATGGGAATGCTGGTTAACACCGAAATTAAAGGCCACTGTCAGCTCGCACTCGTCCCTCGACAAGCAAGCTACCCTCCAAAGCAACACAATGCCAACGAGAGGAAGAGGCAATGCCACAAGAGTACAAGATGTCATCGATACCAACAAGGTACGGTTGTCATGGTCTCGACTCTGGAGGCCAAGGAGAAAGAAGGCTACATCGACAGACACCGACTTAGAGCAGCCGAACATGGTCCCATTGAAGGAGGCCCGAGCGGCCACCAAACGAATACGTCGTCAGGACTTGTATGCTTGGTTAGATTTGACACCGGAAGAGGACGAACTCATGGTTGCCTGGGGGTTGATTCCGCGCAGTCGAGAGTGGCAGGAAGAATATCGGCAAAAGAAAGAAGAATATCGGCGGTTGCAGACAGGGCCAGCTTCTCAAATCTCATAGTAGCGGCCACTGCGACTACCGATAGATGAATGAATGAAACCATTCAAATTTAGGAACTTGAGGAAAGAGGCCAAACATGAGGAAGAGAAGAAGAGGGAACCTCCAAGCCGCTTCTGATTGGCTGCCATAGCTTAGTCATATAACCACTTTTTGCCTTACTAGCTTACTGCCTTACTGCCTCACTGCCTCACTGCGTTACTGCCTTACTGCCTTACTGCCTTACTATCTTAAGCCTTATCGCCTTATCGCCTTATCGCCTTATCGCCTTTGGGGTCTTAAGGACTTTTCCTGATCACGTCTTGTTTCTTCCAACTACGCCCTCGCAGAATTGAAAATGTCGACTATTCCACCAGGTCATATTCTCCTACTGACACTACGGAGCAGCTGTCCCAATTTGCGGCCTTGGTTCGAACGATGCGCTGAGATCTGACCGCATCGGCGGAATTAATGAGCTCTTCTTACGGTACCGGTAAGCCGCAATGACCAGCTCGAACCTGGACAGGAACTTAGACCTTACTTTAGGCACTTCAAATCAACGGGACCAAATGTTTGATTACTAGCAGACTGAAAGGAACATTAATTTCGGGAACCATGACACCAAGCCCCTTGGTCACGGCGGGACCATCGGCGGAGGGAGGCTTGAAAAACGGATACCCTTCGGCGGACACATTGCCCGCATTGACCACTTGCTCTCATCATCAAAGATTACGCGATTAGGTTAGGCACTTGTCAGCCTTAGCCCACAACCGACGAGGAATCAGGATCAGGAATCAGGGGGAGGCGGCGGAGCCGGGCGCTTACGTGCTCGGTGGCTGAAGTATGCGATGATGAATTCTTGGATAAGTGATCAGCACTCACAGCACTGGGCCATTGTATGTGCTCAGCTAAGGGGTTTTAGAAGACAAGATAGGCAGTGAGACGCCTATATAAGGGGAGGAGAAGGTCGCCGTGGATCAACTTCCACACACCTACAAGCACCTCGCTTCCGAGTCATCCCATTCTATTGACCTTCTACTCCACCGAAATGCGTATCAATCCTCAACTCTGCATCATACTTGCGAGCACGGCTGGGTCGGCTTACGCTCATCCCGGTCACGAGTCTCATTTCAGCAAGGCAGTCTACCTCTTGACGAACAACCCGGAGAATGCTGTGATCGGGGTCCCAATCCAGAGGAATGGCCTTCTCGGACATGCCCAAGTGACCTTGACCGGAGGCATTGGAGAAAGCGGACTTGATAATGCTGGGGTACCTGCGGGCCCGGATTCACTCTTCAGCCAAGGGGCAGTTGCTGTTGCAGGAGAAGTATACCACCCAGACTGCCATGCGCTACTAGCACTAACTTGAGGTCTCCAATCAGTACGTCTTCGCCGTCAACCCCGGATCCAACAGCGTAAGCATGCTGGAGTTTGGCCAGCATGATCCTTCCAAGCTCACTCTGGTCGGCCAACCCGCTCTCGTCCCAGGCGACTTCCCCAACACCGTTGCTGCATCCTCAAAAGGGCGTCTCGTCTGCGTCGGAGCAACGGGTACAAAGGCCGGTATATCCTGTACAAGCTACAACAAGCATGGACTGGGAACATTTGACGAGTTACGCCCGTTCGAGCTGAACCAGACTACTCCGCCCGTCGGCCCAGCCGGTACTCTCTCCCATGTCCTATTTTCGGAAGACGACGCGTTCCTCTACGCCGCGGTCAAGGGAGACGGAACAGCCAACAATACTGGCTTTTTCTCCGTCTTTCCAGTCAATTACGGCTGTTCCCCGGCTACGGCTGCCACCGTGGCAAGAGAAGATATCCGGAGCTCGCCCAACGGCACGAATCTACTCTTCGGCTCTGTCGTCATTCCTTCTTCAGGCCTTGTCTTCGTCACGGATCCTGGTTTTGGCGCCGCCGTGCTTAAAGTCAATGATGATACGCACGAAGCCGAGCTTGTCGCGAAAGCTACCGTCCCCGGCCAACAAGCAATCTGCTGGGCCGCGTACTCGTACAAGGCAAACAGCGTCTTTGTGACGGATGTTCTGGTGAACAGGCTTGTTGAGCTAGATGCGAATGACGCGAGTATTCTGCGGACGGCCGACCTTCCGAATGACGACCCCGGCCTGATTGATCTTGTCGTTGTGGATCGGCACGTCTATGCGCTGTCCCCAGGAAATGGAACTACTGATGCTGCCATCACCGTCTTCGATATCGAGAAGAATGAGCAGGTTCAGCGGCTTTCACTGAAGGAGTTCGGCGCAGGGCCGAGCGCGATGGGGATGGCGTATCTTGAGCTATGATATCGAAGTCTCACGTACTACTATTGAGGTTGAAGCCCCTCCGATCTTTTTGTCTTTCAGTCTTTATTCTTTCGCAGGGCATGGCAAGATTCAGCTCTCTGCACTACGCCTCCTTCTGTTTCGCTTGCACAGAATCCACTACGAAAATACCGTAGCGATTAACCATATTGCCATTTTTCTGTCTGATCCATTAATGTGCATTTCAATCTAGGAAAAATGATCCATCATGCGGACCATGAAGTTGCAAGTACGGAGTAGATACATCCAAGTGCCTGGAAACTTGAATTCCCCGCACCGACCTCACAGATCCGTGATTCTTGGCCAAGGAATCATGCTTGCTTCCCCCGTCCAATTGTCTCGGGCTCTATACTAATTGATCATCGTTGTGCGTCACGGGGTTGTTGAAACGTCTTGGTTGTTTCGAATCTGCCGAGGGTGCGCCGTGATGCCGACAGATCGCAAGTGCCGAGTATAAGGCAAGGATGACCATGGTAGGGCTTACGGATATTGGTCCGTCTACCGATGAAATAGCCTGGTTTGAAGTGCCAGACCGAGGTGTGGATTGAGCAAGATGCTTCCGTCTGTTTGGTTTCAAGGGTCTTAAGAGGCCTTGGCCATAAATACCACACCTTCGACGCCATCTCCTCTACGCACCTTCAGAAAACACCACAGTTTCTTCTTTTTTGTAGATACCCCAGCTTCACCCACCATGAAGTGGCCCCTCGCAGGCCTCACCTCCATCCACGCAACCCTCACCCTCGCAGCAGGGAACGGTCCCTACGATGCCGTACGTCTTTCCTCTTCTTAGTCTGTTCATCATCGTCCAATACCCTATCCAATCTACAGCCCTTGCTAACATACTCCTTCTTAGGCCCACACAACAGACCCAACCCTCCCAAACCACACCCTCTACCTACCCAAAGACCCCCCTCGCAATACCACTCTCCCAATCTTAATATGGGGCAACGGCGCCTGCTCCGCCAACGGCACACTCTTCGGAAACATGCTCACGAACATTGCATCATACGGGTTCCTCGCCATTGCATCGGGCGCACCGAACGGGCACGGGACAACGACCGTGCAGCTCATGAAAGACGCGCTGGATTGGGTTGAGAAAGCTACAAACAAGACAAGTAGATATGCGAACGTCCCAATCGACACGAGCAGCATCGCCGTCGCGGGACAGAGTTGCGGGGGTCTAGAGGCGTACCAGATGCGCGATGACGAGCGCGTGAAGTACCTCGGCATCTTCAACTCTGGGTTTCTGGACCTGGGATTCTTCGGGGAGTTACTGGGGATGCCGAGTGAGGATCCCGTGACGATCAAGGGGGTGAAGAAGCCGGTTTTCTACTTTCTGGGTGGGGAGCGGGATATTGCGTATAAGAATGTATGTTCTTCTGCACCCTTTTTAGAGGTGAGACTGATGAGGACTTCCCAGGGCATGGCCGACTACGCCGCTCTTACTGGCGTTCCAAAGTGGGTTGGGAACTACCCCGTCGGGCACATGGGGACGTATGCTGAGCCCGAGGGCGGTGCATTTGGCGTTGCGGCTGTCAATTGGCTGAAGTGGGTGCTTAAGGGTGATACAAGCCAGGAGGAGTGGTTTGTTGGTGGTGGTGCACAGGAGGCTGGGTGGGAGGAGGTGGATAGTGAGGGCTTGGAGGATCTGTTGACCTTCTCTGGACCCTGAGGCAGGCGGTACTATACATGCTGCTGTTGAGGAAGTTCTCGATGGCTATATAAACGGAGGAAGGAGAGTGATGTTCCCTTTATGGAAATTATATGCTAGAGGCCTGCTTCAAAGCCTAGCTTGCATATTCACATCATCCCGATCCCTCTCCTCATCCCCTTGCCCGCCTTGGGCCAAAGGCGAAGACGAGGACGAAGCCAAAGAAACCGGCAAAGCCTCCCCCTGCACCAAATAAAAACTCAAATCCCCAACCCCCTGCACACCCGGAACTACACTCGCCTCCTTTGCACCCTTCCCCTCCCTCCCAAGACAATCCACCTCCCCAGCCAAGTCCTCAACCCACGAGATCCCCCTCCCCCAATACCCAAACCGATTCCCGGTATACTGCCACTCGAAATCCTCCCAGCGATCCTCAGCAAGAACCTGCATATAGTGTAGCGAGCTGCCCGGCCACAACGCGGTGATCTTGCTGGTGACGTTATTCTTGTACCAGCTTCTGCATGAGCCCGTCCAGACCATGTCCCCCATGTATGACTGCGTATGTGCGTTGAAGTCGGCTTGGGCGGATGGCTTGATGGTGAACGAGTGGATGTTTTCGCGGACGGTTTTGAGGAGGAGGCGGGTTATGTAGGCGCTTGTTGCTTCGAGGGGGCCCGGAGGGGTTTTTGTTAAGCCAACGGCATTCTAGAAGGGGGTAGGTAAGGAAGTAGTGCGCACCCATCAAACTCCCATTCGAAATCGGCGTATTAGGCCCCAGGAACATGAGGTAATTCGGGAACCCTGCCACCGCGATCCCAAAATACGAGGTTGGATTCGTCTCCCATACATCCTGGAGGTTGATCCTGTCAAGGCCAATGATAGGAAATCGGGAACGAAAGGAGGTGTTGAAGCCCGTTGCTGCTATCAGGATTTCGCCTGGATTCGTTGAGTTGTCGTCCATGACCACGCCCTCTCTCATAATCTCCCGAATGGAATCGAAGATAGGCCGCACGTTCTCCTCCTGCAGGGCGAGCAGGTACTCCTCGCCAGGATTAACGCGGCGACAACCAGCCTCGAATTTCGGAATGAGCTTTTCCTACAGCTGCGAATCGGCAATGAGCTCCTTCATGCGTCCTTTAAACCTCGCCCTTAAGCTCCTTTGCCCCGGAGAACCTTTCACAAAGGCCCGGAACATGCCGTTGAATTGGTTCTCGAGCCCCTTTCGCATGGCAAGGTATCCTTCTTTATCTTCTCGGAAATCCTGCTTCTCAGCTTCAGAGTAAACATGCCCCTTGCTTATACTAGGCGGCAATGGAACAGGCGGCGAAATCCACGACGGTGTCCGTATATAGATATCGACGTGCTCGGCCACTTTCTGGACTTCCGGTAAGAGCTGCACGGCACTTGTACCGGCGCCGATAATCGCGATTCGTTTCCCGGCTAGATCAACGGTATCATCCCATGCCGCGGTATGCAGTACCGGTCCGGCGAATGTGTCCAGTCCGCGAAAATCAGGCATCTGCGGGTGATTCAGGCTCCCGCCGGCATTGATGAGGATTTCTGAGTCGAGGGTTCTCGGGCCGTGGTTCTGGTTCTGGCTCTGGACGGTGACGGTCCAGGTTCCCCGTTCTTGGTTCCAGACTGCAATTATGACGGGGCTGTTGAGGCTGATATGTGGGTTGAGGTTGTACTGCTTCACGACGGCTTTGAGGTACGATTGGATCTCGGATGATGTTGCGTAACTATTAATCACCAAAAGTCAGCATCACTGGGACCAAACCAAGTCCAGAATCGCTTGCATGCAAGGATACGCACAACATAGACCACTCCGTATTCGGCGCAAAGCTGTATTGATAGAGATGGCTGGGGACATCGCAGGCACAGCCCGGATAGCGGTTCTCGAACCAGGTCCCGCCGATCTCGGGGGACTTCTCGTAGATGTGGAAGTCGATATGTTGGGGAAGGTGTTTTTGTTGCAGGATCTTTATGCCCATGAGGATGCCAGAGACTCTGGCTTGTTTGTCAGACTTGCATTGAGTAAGGAGGTGGTGGAGGTGAATGAAGGACTTTGGACGAACCCGGCGTCGATGACTGTCACCCGCAGACGCTTGGAGGGTTGAGCTTGTACCATGGTGATGTCTCTTGCTTATTGGATATGCAGAGAAAGTTCTCTATTCTCTTCTCACCCCTGATATTTTCTGCGTCTATTTATCTCTATCACGCTATCATCTATCTCAGACGTCAATCACCGTGCGGGAAAACATCCGGATCTCTCCCCGTCTCCGAATCCTCCGATAAGCAACGACGAAAGCGCCTCTCTTGGTCGCGGTCTTTCTATATTCCCAATCTCTACTCAGTAGGTATACAGCTCACAACTTCGACTGCTCCAACACCGACAACTTCCGCAGAGGCGGTCCTCCGCGGCTGCCGTCTCCAGACATAACCACCGAACCACCTACACTCTCCTTCTCAGGCGCCTTCAGCCTCCATTTCTGGCGCAGCTCGTTGGATGCGCGGTCCTCAAAGCAATCGGCAACGTATTTACCTAGGACGGGGAGGAATTTGAATGCGCTGGATCAATGTTAGTCTGCCACCCAGTCAAAACGTAGGTATAGAGTAAGAACGTACTGCCCCGCACCGCCCGTAGCAACAAAAAGGCCTTCCAATGCTGGATGACGGTCAATGATGAAGTCTCCAGTCGGAGTGTCTGTGTACCAGCACAGCCTGCGGTTGATCCAAGGCCGATCGGCCAAGCTGGGGAAAAGACTCTTCAAGCCATCTCGGAGGCCTGCATCCGCGTCGTCAGGTAGAAATCCAGAAGCTGCATTGCTGGAGTCTCGCCTGGGGCCTGAGATAGTGCGACCGGTTGCTTCAGACTTGACTTCAGTGGCGAAGCCGTAACCGTGGCGGGCGAGCTTCAAGATGTTTGTTCCAGGTGTGGGCGGGAAAGAGAACACGCCGGATGTCATGTTGATCATGACAGGCGTCTTAGCAAACTTGACGGCCTCATCAGCGGTGAGTTGGATGAAGCCGACGGGTTGGCCAGAGGAGGATGCAGTGTGCGAGAGATCGATGAGGCGGTTTGACCATGCGCCTGTGGCGAGGATGACTTGCGACGCGAGGAGGTGTGTTCCGTCCGCAAGGTTGACGCCAACGACACGATCAGCGGACCTACGTAGTGAATGTACTGTTCCACGACGGCCGGTGATGAAGGATACGCCCGCAACGCTACACTGGGAAGCCAAACGTCCGATGCTTCCCGCTGCGTCCGCCCATCCTCCGACGGGGTTGTTGTATCCCTGCGCGGATGGCAGGTCGGCTTCAATACCGGGGTAAAGAGCGCGCATCTGTCTGATATTAGAGAACTCACGGACACGACCGCCCTTGTCAAGGATGTTCTGTTTTGACTTCTCAATGTACGGGTTGGAGGCGGTCTCGGATATCAAAACGAAACCGGACTCGTAGTAGAAGTCGGAGTATGTGCTCGTCCAGCCCTTGTAGGCCTCCAAGGCCATCTGCGCGTAGACGGGATCAGCATAGTCTGCACGTATAATGCGCGAAATGTCAACACTGCTTCCGTCGACAACCGGCGGGACATGGCGGTCGAGCACAGTGATGTTTGTGTATCCCCTCCTGGTCAGCTCGAGCGCTGTCGACAGGCCAAACACCCCGGCACCGATAATCAAAATGGAGTCCATCTTCTGGTTGGTCATTTTGAAGATAAGAAAGGCGTTACTATCGACGAATAGAATAAGAAGAGACAACGACACGAGAGCCGGGGATTTTTCAACCCCAATTGTCCGGAACTCTCCCCGTCGGGTTTATCTCCACCGAGCGGATCCGGGGCGCATTCCGCCGACATGGATAGAGGCGTGCGCTACCACTTCTCCAAAACAGGCAAAAACGGGGGGCGCGATAAGGCCCATAAGACAGAGATTGTGATGCCACTCCGAGAGTTCAAAGTAAAGCCTGTACTGAGACGAAGCCTCTACTGCTGCGCCAACTGGCTACTCATCTTGCATCATGAATCGTCTCTTCGGATACCGACAATCCCAGCCTAGCGATAATGCTGCACTTCCATCATCATGGTATCGTTCCGAAGCTATGTACAGCCTCGAGCGGCGTGCCATCTTCTCGAAGAAGTGGATGCTTGTCTCGCACCAGCTGAGGTTAGCGAGCCAGGAAACTACCTACAGCTTCATGAAGGAGGGTTTTCTTTCTTTCTCGTCCTTGACAGACAAGGCAGGATAAATGGCTTCCACAATATCTGCAGACACCGCGCATATCCGCTGGTGGAGGAAGAAGCCAGAACGGTCAAGATCCTTGCATGCAAATACCACGGTAGGTTTTTCCACCGCGCAGGTAACCGTTCAGAGTTAACTGTCTAGGCTGGTCATATGGACTCAACGGAAAGCTTGCCAAAGCACCTCGTTACCAAGAGCTCGATGGCTTCGACAAAGAGAAAAATAGCCTGTTCTCGATCCACGTCCACATCGACAAGCTGGGTTTCGTCTGGGTGAATCTCGATGCCGCGGAAACGCCAGCTGTGCGATGGGAGGATGACTTCGCCGGCGTCGATGAACAGCCTCGTCTGAAGCCGTTCGATTTTTCGCAGTACCAGTTCGACCATGCGTAGGGTATGATGGGTGAATATAACTGGCAGACTTTGGCAGATAACTATAACGAGGTCAGTAAATTTGGCATTCTATCGCGCAGAGGCTGACGGCCGCAGTGCTACCATTGTCTAACCGGCCATCCTGGAATCGTCCAATATACCGATCTAGGGAAATACTGGGTCGAAACCAAAGCTGGCCATATCCAGCATTATAACACGGACCGGCCGGACCATGACGGCATGGGAATCATCAGCACCTTCTATTTTCCGAATGCCTGCATGACCGTGTCACCACACTTTTTCAAGCTCATGCGGTGCGTTCCCATCTCGGCATCACAAACGTATATGCAGTACGAGGTGTACAGACATATAAACGCCTCGCATGAAGACTTCCACAGCATCGACAGTATATTCAAGCAGGTATTAAAGGAAGACAAGGACCTGTGCAATGCGGCGCAGAGGAATCTCAATGCTGGGGTGTATGTAAACGGCGAACTACACCCTCAGCACGAGAAGGGTCCACTGTTCTTCCAGCAAAGCGTAAAGGACTTGATCGTAAATCATCATCGCGCTGAGGAGAAACAGGGTAGAGAAATATGGCCTGCAACACCGACACCGATTATGACGACTGAACTGAGTGAGGATATGGAGTTTTGTCGGAAAATCGATTGTCAGGCTGGAAACAAAGGTCTAGCTTGGTAGTATTGCATAACATGTCGGTTTATAACAAATGCTATGTGGGAAGGTCCAGCCAATTATCGATGAAGCGTCCATAGTCCTGCGGCTGTAGGAATGCAGTATTCGAGCCAGTGAAGGCCATTCCAGGCTCGCCCAGTAACGCCGACAGATCCGGAGGCGTCGGTTGTAGAACCTGCTCGGGCGGATAGTAGGTGACTAGTTCTCTTGCAACTGTCTTGTGACCTGATATTCCCGCAGACCCTATCAACTCAAATTCCGGATCTGGAGTAGTTGAGTCTATCTGAAGCGCACATTCCATGGCAAGGCCAGGACCGAGAATATCCGCCGCAGTCTGCTTCGGTGGGGCAGCGATCAGTATATCTCGGAGCAGGCGGACGTTCACCGACCATGTCTGACGCGAGTTCTGTACGTCTCCGGCGGAAATACTACTTCTCAACCTGCCAAGGTTGTCGACCTGTCTCTCGATGTTCGGCCATCGAAGGGCCATTTTCTTGAGAAATTTTAGGCATCTATCATACCCAGATTGAGCCTTTTCTCGGAAAAAGACGTCCTCTACGAAGCTATGCTGGAGATAGATGGTAGCCACAATCACAACGGCTTGACCGAGAGTTGGGTCAGAAACTTCATAGCCTTTGTTCCCCAAGAGATCGATAAAGTGCAATATCCACCCTGCATGCAGAGTAATCTGTTCGTATGAATGCTGTATAAAGGACTGTGGCATGGTGAGCCGAAAATTCCGCAGCCGTGCTGAGAGCAAAAGAGGGTGATTTAGAAGGCAAGGGACCGCATGGAAAATTAGCTGGAAAAACAAGCAGTGGCCCCAAAAGTCCCTTTGCCGCTGCAGCTCCGCCCCAGTTAGCTCGTCCAAGCGGGTCTCATGAAGGCGATATCTCAGCGGCGTAACGCTTTCGAACTCGGTATGTCGGAACGTGATCCTTGAATAGTCGGAATGAGGAGCCCAAGGCGGAGGGGCGTCAGGTGTGATGGCAGCCGCGGCGTAGCTCTGTGCCAGTCCCCAGACTTCGCTAAGTTGAATGGCGCATCCGACAATACCCATCTCATTAGCATTGGCAGAGCCATGTCCGTTGTAAACAGGTCTCAGATTTGTCGCTGGAGGTTCTCCGATGAGATTTGCAAGCATGTGGAGACTCCAGCGCAGCAATAAACGCTCATCGCGCTCATCCTCCAGATTGGTAAATTCGGCACTTCCAAACCGTAAATTCTGTAGGACATAGAGCGCTAGGCGGATGTTCGCGCCCGCTTTCAATGTGTGTCCCGCTGTGTAGTCGATCAGAGTAAGGATGCAAAGGGACTGCAACGTCGAAAGCTCCACGGAGCCTTCTGCCACACGAGTCATCACCATGCGGCTCGAGCTCTCAGTCCAGTCCTTTATTTGCCGGTCAATTTCCGGGTCTGCAATGCCATTGCCCTTGAAACGTAGGCCCAGTGCTTTCATGGCTAAAACGAGCTCCTGGTCACGGCTCTCATTGGGGAGGAATGATTTGTGGTGAAACAGAGGCAGTGGTTGGAAATTGCAGTACGTATGGAATAGCTGTATCGCATTCTGAACGACTGTCCTTGGGCTAGTTAGAGTCAGCAATGATATTGACGGCGATTACGGTTGTCTTACGTGGATGGAGTAACAGATGCTTCTGGTATCGGCTCAGGATACGGCTGCCTGGGCTGAAATGTCGTCGATGGCGAGGGAAGCAATGGCTGGTTCTGATTACTGAAGCAAGCCATCAGCGCATCGATCTTCCCTTCGATGCCCTCGATGCGTTGTTCCTGCATGATCAGTATTGAGATTAAGCTGGTCGATTCATGGTGAGTATTGTCGCACCATCTTCCGGGCATAATCCGCCTCCTCATCGCCAGCATATTCGCAAACCTGACCCAGTCGCTGGCAGGACGAGCAATCCGGCCGCTCGCCGGGACAGCGAGATTTCTTCCGTCTGGTCGCGTCAGTCGGCATTGAAAAGTCGGCTGGGGCGCGGGAGCTCACCTGCATTGCTCGCACGCTTGACGGATGCGCTTCGGCGGCCTTGACGCGTCCATGAGCAGTTGACATGGAGCATCCTTGCTTGTTTGCAAAAGCAATGGCGAAGATTGCCTGGATCCGGAGCTCATCCGGGCTGAATTACTAAGCGGAGGGCACCTGCCGTATTTGACAGCAAGATAAAGTCACATGACCAGAGTAGGATGTACTCATTGTATTGGTCAAGTTGCTGCGAGGCTGTGCACATTCAGCCTCTCTCTTCCTCCAATCTCCCCGCCATCGTTCATTCCCCATGCACCCTCCATGGATCTCCAGGCACAACGAAGATGGTGGACCCTTTGTCAGTCGCTGCCAGCGCTGCTGGGCTTATTTCTCTCGGCATCGAGAGCTGCAAGACCATCGTGCACTACTGCAGCCACATACATGGTTGCAATGAGGATGTTGACGCCATAGCGCTTAAGGCTGGCGGCCTCCTGACTACTCTTCAATCATTGGCCGCGTTGCTCGACGAAACTGACCAGCTAAATCCCAAGGTCGCTGCTGATATTCGCGAGAAAATTCTACAGAATCAACAATGGGTCGAGAAGATCAATGACCGAATTTCGAAGCTGTCTGTCACTGCCCAGGGAACAGGGCTCGGCGAGAGGTTGCGTGTCTCTGCCAAAAAGGCAACCTATCCTTTCAACAAGGATACACTGCTCGGGACGCTGGATTTACTGCAGGGTCTTCAGATGAACTTACATACGGCGTTACTTGCGTCAGTAGTTTGGATTGTCGCCTGAAGTACATACTGATGCGTAAATTAGACTGCAAATACAACATGCTTCTGCCATTGCTCGACAAGCTGAGGTTACCACGAGAATGGAGACCTTGGTCCGAGCAAGATTGGACCAGCTTGATTCGACTATGGGAAGAATGGTATGTTCCGCGTCACTCGAATCAGGTACGGGCAAAACTCTGACGCTCTCAGACCCTGGCTATTTCCAACGCAACGCAACAAAAACAGCTAGAGGCTACATATCCCACCCAGGGCATGAGTCGTCGGTCTGCTGTCAGGGCGACTTGCACTTGCTTGGAGATGGGGGTATCTTCTCTTGAATCTTTGCGGCTACCCCGAGCATGTCCACGGCATAGGCGGATACAGACAAAAGCACGAGCAAGGGTATTTCGATTCGCCAGCGCCTGGCTCGGGCTTTCTGTTGAGGCGACCATATCTATAATAACCGGCGGGAACGGTGTCTCGGTCTGCCCAACACTCCGCGTTCAGTCGATTGTTATGGATGACTCCCCTGGGTTTGAGCTTGTGCGCACTTGTCCGCCACTCGACTCGACGACTGAAGAAATCTCACAGCACTACCACACCATAGTCCAGAAACTGCAACTGGCGTTTGACCAGGGCTATGCGAGCCCATATGACAGATTGGAAGACGGCCGTACGCTATTGCATGTACGTCCCTTGCCATCCCACACACCACAGTGACTGATATTTGCACCCTAGGTCGCATGCCAGCGTCCAGGTTCTGTAAATGACTGCCTACTAAAGTATCTCGTCAACGCAGGTTGTCCCATCAACGAACCCAACTCTTACAGTGACACCCCGTTGAGCCAGATACTTTGCAATTGGAACTACCATCGGGGCGATCCGATGATGGAGAGGATGGCAATCACTCTCGTAGAGCTTGGTGCGCTCGTGCAAGATGAATACCTTGTTTACTGGCAATCAGCTGAAGTATTGAGCCGCGTGTGGTCCCATTATGAAGAAAGTACGTCACGGATTTATTATTCCGAATTTCATCGACGACTAATCTGTTCCAGCATCCGCCGTGTCAAACCTTGTGGACGCCATTCTATCCCATTCCAGGGAGCGATTGCAGCGTGCCCTGGAAATGAATCACGAGCGTGATTTGTCTCTCTTGTACAGGCTCTGCCTTTCCTGGGCAGATGGAATAGGCATCCTGCACGAGACTGGGAAGGCTATTTCCGCGGAAGAAAAGAGTCTTCTTCTAGATGAAGCAGTGCAATTTAAATTGCCGGAAGCTGCACTAGCGCTTGTTAATGCTGGAGCTCCGGTGACTCCAGCCCATATCTTCGCATCCAAGTCAGTGCACTTGGAGAGAGATTTATTCACTGCCTTTCTATCGCAGGCCGAGCGTCTTTCAGAGCTCGTAAAGACACATCTGCCGCCTCACATCCAAGCGAGTCTCGGAATACAAGAGGGTCAGTGGCTTGACCGGAAAGCAGCGGAGGCATATGCGGAGCTCAACTCTTGCGGCGTTCAAATGGATGAAAACCTCCGTTACACCGACAACTGCTCTGTATTTCACAACAATGACTTGACGGTAAGCCAGATGCAGCGCCTATATGAAGCTGGATTCCGAGACATGGACAGCCGTGATGATCAAGGATACACGCCGGTGATGTTGACCGTGTCCCCTTTCGATTTTTCTCCGTACGATAGCATCTGCCGCAATGTTGGAGGAGCGCAATGGTTGGTTGACAAGGGCGCGAGTCTTGACAACGAGCGGCCAGATGACCGATTACCAGCGCGCCATATCATTGCCCTGAATCTCGCTGCCAGATTAGCCGGACGTCTACGGGCGCCCTTACTCAACGGCTTCGATGAACCCCTCGAAACTATCCAAGACATACTTTCTCTCCCCACGCCGGCGTCTATATTACACTGCGCTGATATCCCGCATGTTGCCATTGACGATAAGCAAGTCGGACCTCCATGTTTCTGTCTGCGTTCAGGGTCTTGCCCTCTACACTTGGGCTTGCGATACATCATCCACGTTCATTATCATGAGCCTCCTGATGACGAAGAAAATAATCCTTGGGAATGGGCTCAAACCGCATTTGAAATGCTCCTCGATGCTCCGCAGATAGCACCCACCATATCAAACCAGATCATTCGTCTCATTACTTTCACTGACATCCAGCTCACGCACACGTGCTATGGCTTTGAGCGTGACTCCGGCTATAAGCTAGTGGAGGTGCAACCTTTTGACCAGGACGACGCAGCCGAGATCCATGAAGAGGAGAACGCGTTTATCGAGGAGCTGGAGGGATTTGTCCCGCAGCTACAACGCGAGTTTGAGGCCATGCAAATCCCGCTATGGGGGTTTATCCAGACGCACTGGTGTGCGCGGATGAGGGAGCACCTGCTTGAACAGGGGGAGACTGTGGCGAGTAACTCCTTGTGCTGTATCCTGCAGAAGAAGGCCTACGAGGTAGATTAGGGTAGATGATACCAGGCAAATTGCGCCCTCTCAACTTATCAGCACCGTCCTTGAGCATAAACTGGACACGGCCGGATTGTTTATATGTCCCTACGGGGTGCCTAGGTACTGGATATGGTGACATCCGGATGCGGGAAAGACAAATTCTGGTCACTATCGATCTGCCCAAAGAGGCACTTATAGTCTCGCCTTCTCATTCCACCGCCAGAGCTGCACCAGCGGCCCTGCAACACCATAGACAGGATCCGCCTCAGGCTCGGCAACCCTCTTCGTCTCTTAACAGAGTACAGCCAGGTCGACCGGCTTGCTTACCATCTCATTCCGCCACCGTGGACATTGTGTCCGGTATCAGATATACTTCAATACTTCACGGAGCATCGACGTTACCGTACCTCCGGATATACACCAATGTACCGATAATCCTCGCTGCTCTCGACGCAACTGTGTGCCGTCCTTGCCGGAAGGACAATTACATCGCCGGCTCGGACAGCTACCTCGAGCTTACCGGTTTCATCGCCGCCGCCGACACCAAGGAGGAGCTTTGACGAGCCTTGGAATATTCCTGGGTCTGTTGTCAGCTTGGGCTCACGACTCCTGGGCTTGAGAGTGTACGGTACCATAGCATTCGTGACTATTTGGGTGGAAGTGGCGGACTGGGATGTGGCCCCATGTTCTCTGTGGCTATCAGTAACCATCCAGGGCCGGATCTCGAAGTCCATATCGCAGCATACCATCTCCTCCCATTTGTTCGCCGTAAGGAACTATGTAGCCGACTCCTTACTCAGTGGCGGCACAAGGACACTCCGGTAATGAAGGACAGGGAGTAAGTTGTTGGGCGCATGAGGAGTGGGCGGAAGGAAATACGTATCGACGGACGACATGATGACTGAGTAACTGAGGGAGATAACTTGGAGGGGTATTGTCTCTTGGGTATTGAGTTGCGATGTCTACCAGAGAGACCAATATCTGGAAGCTCCCCGCTTGGATCGGCTCGTTCCCCGGGCTTGATACCTGCAGGTGCGATCGAGGTCGTCCCTATCTCGAAAGAGAAAGACAGTAAGCGGAGGAGATAAGGAAAGCCAGCCCACATTAAATGATCAGTGTACTCACTTACATCCCATTCCATGTGCTAACTTGCTTTCAACAATCAAAATGACCGAACGGCTTGATGGAAACGGGTCCGACAAAGTGGGCGTGGGCCTGGATGCTTGTCACTCCATGCGGAGCACAACGCAAGGCACGTTGGACGTTCTAGCCAGCGATCAGCTCGTCGTCGACCAGGCGATCGAGGCCATCGGAATGGGTCGATACCAGTGGCAGCTTCTCTGCTCGTGTGGGTTTGGCTGCCTCGTTGACCAGGTACTCGACCCATCCCTACGGAGTCCCCCACCGAAAAGCACATGGAGCTGACTGGAGAGTTCCACTGCAGATGCTTCTGATCTCGATGTCGATTATAATGCCCAATGCTGCTAAAGAATTTGGACCGAAATACCAGACTCTTCTCTTGGCGTTCCTGTACGCCGGCCTGTTCGTGGGCGCCGTTGCGTGCGGGTTCATCGCCGATATTCTGGACCGCAAGATGGTGTGGCAATTGTTGATATTCGGAGTCCCGATCGTGACATTGCTCGCGGCATCATCCCCCAATTGGGCGGCGATCAATGTCTGGACGGCGCTATGTGGGTTGTTTGGCGGAGGGAACTGTATGCACACGCTCCATTGGTATGTTCTGGCGGGCAGCAAAAGCGCTACCTCGTCAACGGGGCCAACAACTTGACCTTCCCGTGGTATCGTGGTCTTCGATTGCCCGTTGTTTTCTATCCTCGCGAATCGATACGCCCTTCGACGGGTCTTGGTTCTCGACACACTGGGATACGCCCCATATTCGGCGTCGCTGGATGCCAACAACCGGTATGGCACGGAGTGGATTGTGCTCTTTGGAGGCGTCACTTGCGGTATTGTGGCTTCTGCGCTATCGTCAATCGAGGTGCCATTGCGCTGGGGTATGGTGGGGTTAGGATAGACGAAGATTCAGCATGCTTCCTCCTAAGATTCGTCGAAGTGAACGAATGCTGACTTGAACAGCTGGAATCTGGCTTGGACTGTGTGAACTCGGTCAGCTCATCGGCTCTTCGATGCAGCTATCATTGAACGTCAAAGATGGCGAGACCCGAGGCTCCCCGATCCAACGAAGCAAAAGGCCATCCATGGATAGTTCTGCATACTCTGGGCGCAGGGCAAGAAAAAGCATACCTTGCGTTTGATCCCCATCCTTGATAATCAGATTCAACTGGAATGGCACGTACCCGACCCCTGTTCTGGGGCTGGGTCTTCGACACAAAGTACTTCAGCCGGCCGAAGCTTGCGAGGATAACATGGTTCAGTTTCGCGGTTATCATGCTCGCGCTTCTCGGATGACAATATGTGAATAAGAAAATGTACGAAGACAGCCATCCCACAATTGACTGGGTGCAGCTGAACTTTGGGCGCTGATTCGCGGTCAACGTGCTTTTCCAAATGGTGAATGAGTCGCATTATATCTTTGTGTACTGGCTCCTTGGTGCCTTTCATGATGACCTAGAGACGTTTACTCTGACAGTTGGTACTGTGCGGTGCTTTGAGAGCGTGGGGCCCTGTCTTGCGTTTGGGATTGGTGCTGTCGAGGTCTCGCCGATGGTTAATCTCATTGTTGCTTTTGTAATGTTTGTAGTGTGTATTCCGACGACCTCCTGGGTGGTGCTTATGGTGCCTGAGCATTCGGAGATTGCGCCCAAAGATAATAAGTTGCTGAAGACGCGGTCTGTGATCCATGTTCCCCAGAGTTAGGGGCCGTAGAATGCCTCGATTTAGACGGAGAATACTTACCTTGACTGATCTATCTCTTATCTCATCCATGGCGTGCCTTTATATCGAATTTGCAGCGAGTGGGCTTGGGAACCTTTGTCAAAGGCTCTTTCCCCTTTGCACCCATCCATCGCCCTTCCAAATAGCGAACCCGTCAAGGCTGAGGACAATTCTGCTCTGCATCATACACAGCCCTGTGTACCAGCAGGACGCATCGGACTCGAACGACTGCCTTCTTCCGGAAACCGTCTTCAGCCCGCATTTTGAGCAGCGTTAGAAGAATATTGAGAGGCACGTTCACGCGTTGATCGACTGTGAAAATTCAACAAGGACGCAACATTTGCTGTGCCAGATGCATATTCTTGAATGATTAGATGGTTGAAGTCACTGAACTAGCTAAGACGACTCCCTCGCCAGGGCCAGAAACTAATTAAGCAAACGGAGAATTTCATGGCCTTAGGCAGTCACTTTGCCTTACAGGCTGGCATCCCACGTGCAGCTCCATCATGCCTCTCCTCACCCCGGCTGCGAAAAGACCAGTGCTCTCACCTCAACGCTGACCCTGGGACGCGACGGCGGACTGTCAGAGCCTGGGTTCTTTAATGGCGTAAACGAGGTGTGAGGAGTATCTGCGGCGAATCAGGCAGGTCAGTATCTCATTTCCATCGTTGCCTTCTGCATTCAGCAGACTTGAAAGGGCACAGTGACTTACACTTGACAGAACCCTCCTCCGAATCAAGCCCCTTGAACAAGAGCACGTCCTCCACGTCCTGTCGACTCATATAATACCACTGGCATGAACCGTTCGGCTCGTACTGCGGATACAGCATGGTGCCGGTATACTCGCCGCGGATCATATCGGTTTCGATCAACGAGGATGTGTCCGACGTTTGTCTGTCGCATACGGCCATGGGGTGATCCTCGATTGGACCGCTTATGGGCCGCCAGAGACTGTTTCTTGTGTCAGCGCCGCGACAAGTATTTGATCTGTGTACCCACTGGATCTAGCTGCTGAGCTCTCCGCGGCAGAAACAATTTAGTAGGTTGCGGACTGGACCTTGGTACTCACTTGATTAGCCGGACTCGCCTCGAGAGAAGATGTCGAGATTCCGGTGGAAGATGGTTCCGTATACGCTCCATTACAGGCATTCCCAGCTCGTCCCGAGTCAGAAGCGTGTCTACCGATACTGTCAGCAGAAATCGTCGCTGTTTTGATGTGCGTCTTACCAATATGGACCTGCCGGGCAAAGCCCTGCAAATTGGGGTTCCTTCTTCGTCTGTCCTTTGCACTTTTTCGCTTCCTGATCTTTTCATGAGAAGCTCAGCAACTAACCATCCACCAAACATGATATGCTACTGCTCACCTTCCAATCGAAAATCATCACCTCGTCCGCCCCCTCGACCTCCCTTCTCAAGATGTCCTCGCACTCTGGCAGAAAAATATTCTCAATCTTCTTTGGATCCGAATACATCCATGCCTCTGTGAGAGCCGGCGGACCGCATCTCGTGTAAGCGAAACCATTGGTGTCGAGATCAAACCTAGGCAGTCCCCTGACATCTCTTATTGTCTCTGGATGATCCGCCACGCGGAACACCAAGTTGGTGTCGGCTTGCTGTTGTTTTCTGTTGGGCCTTCTGCGCCCGATGAACTGGGAATTGCGATATGGCCGCGTATGGCTGTAGCTGGGTTGCCATTGGAGGTATGTTAAGTGCGCTGAAACGTCTGCGGCCATATTCTAACAAGATTATAGAAAATACTAAGCGAGAGGTTGAGAAATTCAACGCAAGTTGATGCTGCAAGTATGCAGGAAAGGCCCATAATATACTGACCACCACGTGCCTCATCTCAAGCACGGAGACCACTCCATCACCGCTTTGAAGTTGATATAATGCCTTTTCCACTAGGATGTCAAACTAATCGATCCATGATCTCAAGGCCCTGCTATCTGAGATTCGGTATGGAGACAAATCCACTTATGCTAACCGTTCTCGGTCCCCGCAGGTATGGACTATGGGGCGAGATGACTCAGTAGGAGGTCAAAGCCTCTCAGATGTCAGAGAGTCATTTTTGTTTGAATCCTCTGGCAGCATGGCTTTTGTGAGAAATTGAAACTTGCAACTTCTCAGAAAATGAAACTCGATGGAAGACACAGACATAGTGCGATAGATGTCAGCAAGGGTGGTACCTCGCCCAAGCGGGACGAACCGATGGGTCCAATACCTATTATTATGCTTGATTGTAGTCGATCAGCCTTTCACCATGGTTCGCAAAGCTAGGCATAGCGGCCATAGCCACTCAAGTGAGCCTAGCAGAAAGCCACTTGCATACCTGAACCAGTTCATCAACGCTGCCTACGGAGGATATGGTGGCTTGCCCCGTTGCCCGATTTCACTCAGCCTCCGCCACCGTTACACTTACTATAACCATTACGCAGGTAAGCTGCAGATTTCGAGTGTCTCTATTGATCCTTGCCCAGAATCATCCTATGAGATGCAGATAACCAGGGCTCAAGAAAAGCAAGCATAGCCACCGGACAGTTGTCTGCCTCAGGCATCAAACTCCGCCCCGCGGCGCCGTCACGTGTGGGTAGGACAATTGGGGCGATGAGCTCGTATTCAGCCTCAACCTCCCTCCATTTCATTTCATTTGCATATCCTGCGATGTCATCATATAAGCCCAGAGCCTCCCGCACGGAGAGCCGATTGCTTCGCTTTTTCTTTCTGACATATTAAACGCCGAACGCAGATGTATTTGTGGCGGAGACTGGAGGTCCGACTCAGACAGCAGCGCCATGGCCGTCTCGTCCCAGCGCGCTTTCCAGAGCACATTCCGCGTGACGCTCCCTGATAGACAGGCCGAGCCTATTTATCATGCTCGGCGTGCGCATAGAAAGTCGAGGAATGGTTGTCTTGTTTGCAAGGGGCGACGGGTTAAAGTAAGCTTCCCTTGTACAGAGTACGTTATTTTCTTTATTGCTCACCTGGCCAGTGCGATGAACGCAAACCAGCTTGCCTAAGATGCGAGAACTACGGAGCCCAATGTATATACGCTCAGAGCTCATCACCACCTTCATCGGCCAGCGGAAGCAGCACCCCCAACAGTCTCACCACAAGCAGATCGACACCACCAAACAACACCCTGGCATCCCTATCCATCTCAGACATGGTGAATCAAGTCCGAGGCGCACTAGGAAACGACCTAGCCTTTGCACCCCGCGCCATGGGGAACCCCGACGCGGTCCTGCATCTGTCAGTCAACTGTTTCCGGTTCATGCTGACCTGCTCGACGGAGACGGTTTTTGCGGCGCCGCATATCCAGCGCGTGATGCAGAGGGAGATGGTCCATGTTGCGTTTGATGTGCGTCTGCCTTTACCACCTCTTACTTTCTTGACTCACATTGCTAACGCTGGCAAAGAGCACATACCTCATGTACACGATCATGGGCTGCGGCATCCTGCACATGAACCGCCTCTCGCCCGGCAGCGTCAACGAATCCCGCGAACTCGCCGAGGCTTACTTCTGGGAGCGCGCTCTACGCCTCTACTCCTCTGCCCTCCAGCACCCAATCACGGAGAAGAATGTCTCCGCCCTGATCTCAGCCTGCATGCTCATAGGCGTAACCTCACTAGCACCCGCGAACTTCGAAATCAAAGACTCGTGGGTCTTCACGGGCCGCAGCAGCGACCTAAACTGGCTAGCCATTCAGGGCGGCCTAGCATGCATCCTCAAGATGGCCGCGCAATACGTCCCGGGCAGTATATGGGGCGAACCATTCAGCCAGAGCAACGCGGCCGAAAGCCAGCTCTTCCACTACGAAATCTTAAAGGGCCGCGAAGGTCTGCACGAACAACTCGCGGACCTGTGCGGTATCACCGACGACACGACCGAGGCCACCAGTCCGTACTGGTACCCCATCAAGCTGCTAACGCCGTATCTGGCGCTCGAGGCGAACGCGCAGAATGCAGTACAGTGCACGACGTGGATGGGGCGGATCGAGCCGGCGTTTGTGAATCTTTGCCGTGAGCGGGATCCGCGCGCGCTGGTGATTCTGGCGTATTGGATGGGGCTGATGTGTTCGGTGTCGCGGTGGCAGCCGTGGGTTGAGGGGCGGGTGAGGCAGGAGTGTATTGCTGTTTGCATTTATCTTGAGAGTCTGGGGATTGAGGAGGTTCGGCCGTTTTTGGACTTTCCGGCGGCGGCGGCGGGGTATACCCTGCTTGAGGCTTTATGATTTACGACTCTGGCTATATAACGTATCTATCATTGCTGTGGTGGCTTGTTGGCTATGTGTATTTGCGCGGTGGTGGAGGGAGGAAAGAGACATACATCTATACAGGTTACTGCACCTCATCTGGATCAGATGGCTGCGGATTTACCACATCCTATCCTCTCTTGTCCAACTCAGAAGGCTTCCCATAGCCGAAGCCATCAGCGCATAATAGACGCATTGATAATGATGGGAGGTGAGAAGGGACTATCGTTTATTCTCGCTTGATAACTCTAGGCGGCTTAGGTTCATGATGCTCTCCCTTGCCGAGTCTGAAGGGAAGGACACACCAAGTGCCCAGCTACCTAAGGACGGCCAACTACAATACCCTTCTCAGTTGAGAGGGCAGGCAGTCCACCGAAGGACTACATCTCGCACGACGCATCCGAGCAATGGAATAGGCATATTACAGAACCAAAGAAGATGCATTGACTAGATCTATCGATTTATTCATTCTCTCCCGCTATTTTAGTCTTCCATGAGCACAAATCGCATTGGAACCCAACCTGAAATACTGGTCTTTTGATGCCAAGTTGAACTCTGTTAGGGCACGCGGTATACTAGGCCCACTGGCCTAAGTCAGGCTTCTCTTCGCCCTCACAATCTCCTGAAGCCGGCGGAGCTCAGCAGCTAGCCGAGTACCATCGAGCTCAGGGTGAGAAGTGACATCTTGAGGATGAACTCGTACCCATTCAACGTAGCGTAGCTTGTTAGAAATACCATCGGCCAAATGCCGTTCAAACTCCTCCTTGGCGCCTGGCTGGCCAGGACGGAGTTTCAGCTGCTGCGGCCACTGCTCGACAATGGTGTGCTCGTCTTTCATTTTAACGCCGAGAAATGCAGCGGCTTCGCGAAGTTGGTGCCTTATTACGACCCTGCTCCATCAGCTAGGTAAGCATTCCTCTATACTGAAGAGTTTCAACTTGATGAAACCCCTTTGCGGGATTCGAGGGAGGTTTGATGTGACCGATTGTGTGGCACTTACCGATCCCAGACATGATCCCAGGTAGCAATGACCTTCAAGGCAATCTGGCGTCTAAGAATATCAGGATCGTTTTCCGAGGTTGGAAGACGTGTAAAGGGCAGGTAGGTTTGAACGGCCCGCCTAATTGCGTCACTTCGCGGACCGGGGTTTTGAAGGTTGTCTGCGTCTGTCAAATTGTCTTCGACGGCATGCGGGAAAAAGGTCACTAGAGTTGCATGCGGGTTCTCGGTTGGCGGTTGAAGCAAGTCAGTCATGATGACTAGGGTTCTGTTGACGCCATAATAGTCTGGGCCGATGAGGTTCGCTGCCTAAGTGTCGCCAGATGTATTAGTATGTTCATGAGAAAGACCTGTGCGTTGGACTGTACCTCAATTCTAGTGAATGAGTCTGGGCTAAGTTTACCAATCAGGTCCATAGTAGTGAGCTGATAAATTTTCCACGATACCTTCGTATTCCTTAGTCGGAGGACGAACGCGCGGAGCGTTTCGCGTAGATAGAAGAAGAGCCTGCCGTGTAAGTCTGCTGTTACAGGCCCCATGTGCATAGTAGCGACTTCCTCAGACGACCACGAACAAAGGGGATCCGCATCAGGTTTCAGGCGCCACAAGATATGACCTTGGAATATTGTCCTTATGGCTCGTTAGTCTTGTGGCAAGCTATCTCACTCTGACGACTTACGGGTTGGGGAATCGGAACTCATGACGAGGATACTCAAATGGGAGGAGCAGGCCGTCGTCGCGAAACTTCTCGTGCGCCAGTCGTTGAGAAGGACCCTGGCAGTACAAAAATAGTTGCTGATTGTCCCTAGGGAGTCCACCGATGGTGACTGCTCTACGAACTTCTCGGGCCCGCTCAGCAGTTAAGCCAGCTGGTACATCCAGGCAAGACAGTACGTGTTTCCAAGACAAGGAATGAAGTACTATCGTGAAAGAGCGCTGACCAAAGTTGAACGTCTGTTTAACGAAACCCTCGAACTTGCGTTCCTCAATATTCTTGCAGACCGGTTCGATGAGGGGCCGAATCTGGGTCCGGAGAATATCCAGGTCTGACTCTCGTATGAGAGCAGAGTACCAGAGGTGGATGATGCAGTCGACGGCTTTGCTAACGTTTTGGACACTGACAGAAACTAGGAGTAGAATCACATTGCGTGCGACGATATCGATGTCTGAATTATTGATAGTGATTTCGATAGGCTTCTTGTATCTGGCGGGAAGCTGGGCAATGGTCTTGACGATGTTTCGGAGGTCCATTGAAGCTACGAAAATACTCTTAGTCTATCAACCCATCGTATAGCGCAAAGTACGTACCGGGGAACAACAGTCGCAGCTCATCGGCGTAACCATCCCCTTCATTGCGGTCAAGCTGAACAACGTCGATTGCGGGCACATCGCCCCAGAAATACTTGGTCCCTCCAGGTGACACGCCTCTGCCCACAAACGAAGGTACTCGCTGCCCCTGGGCCCAGTCTGGCAGCCAGGTTGTCTCGTTGAGGGGGGAGCGACAATCGAGTCTGTGCTGAGGCCAGTGGGCTGTTTGGCATGAGCGACCGCAGTACTGGAGTCAACGATGTCAATAGTGGCGGCATGGAAGGCGCTCGAACAAGCAGGTGCTGTGCTGAAACTGGAAATGGTTTGTACTCACCGCGACAAGAAGGCATTTTTCACAAGCGGATCTGCCTTCTTTGCTGCAGTCGGAGTTGTGGGCATTAGCCCAGTTGGCGCAGATGAATCTTGAGGCAGCCATATCACGATCTTAGTAGACCTGGGCAATGCTTGAGAGAGAAGATAGAGAGAGAAAGCAGGTGGGCGGAAGAGTGGAAGAGGTTGAGACAAAAGGACCAAATCCGCTGAGAACAGACAGACGGCACTCCTGCATGCTGAGCACTCTTGCCTCTCTAAAAGCAAACCCCGGAAAATCACCCTTTCAACGTTGATGCTCTGCAACTTCCTGTTTGCCAGCTCTCAACCTTTCTCCTCCATTATGACCAATTCCAACATCTTCCATGTGCCAACGCTTCAGCCCTTTTATATCCAAATTAGCCAGGCAGACAACACAAAGGTAGCCAATGAATTTCTTCATCCCGCATAATCGCTCGCCGTCTCTCTCTCAATTTTCCTAGCACCAGCAACGATTCGAATACCGTCCTCGATACAAACCATCAAGCCCAACTCGTTTATTCTGGTGCCGGCAACTCAAGCTGATTTAGAATAATCGATAGGCATTGCTGAAGCCCTCAAAATTTGATCAGCCGTCGCCCCCCTTCGGTGGATGTTTAGTACAAGGATGAGAATACCAGCCACGATCCATACCTCTCAACATAGGACTCTCATCGACCCTGATGGCACTCTCCTGGCTCAGCACACATTTGAACCACAGGCAACTCAAGGTGTTAGGGCGAAGTCAAGGGAATATCCACCAACTGGCGCCAGGTGGATATCGCAACCTGTCAATATAACGTGGGGAAACCATGACACACAGAAAACGAAGGCGCAATCCAGGGCGCAAATTTGCACAGACCAGCGCGTCAAGCCTAGCCAAGCATGCTGGGCGGTGCTTAACTCCATCAGATTTCTCTATCGGTATCGGTATCTCCTGATATGCAGATAATTTCATAGATATCTGTATCACCATGGACAAACAGCCCGCCGTCACACCGGCCTTCGAGCCCGATCGCGAGCACGAGCACGAGCACCAAGCGCATGTGCAACATGACCGACTCAAGCGCGGCCTCTCCGCCCGGCAGGTCCAAATGATCGCCATCGGCGGCACAATTGGGACAGGTCTATTCCTCGGGACGGGCAAAGCGCTTGCGACAGGTGGTCCGGCGTCGATGCTCATTGCGTATGCGATCTCCGGCGGCATTGTCTTTCTGACGATGTTGAGCTTGGGTGAGATGGCGGCGTTCATGCCTGTTGCTGGGAGCTTTTGCACTTTTGCTGGGTGAGCATTGACCCACAGTACGCCGCTTCAAATTGATTATTAGGGCTGACTTGTATAGGCGATTTGTTGACGATGCGTTTGGGTTCGCTTTGACCTGGAACTACTGGTTCAATGATGCGGTTTCAACGGCATCGGATCTCGTTGCACTGCAGATTGTGCTGCAGTATTGGACCGAGTCAGACGATTTTCCGGGCTGGGCGTTTAGCTTGGTCTTCTGGGCTGTATTGATTGCGCTGAATCTGTTCGCTGTGAAGGTATATGGAGAGGTATGTCTTGTCTCGGTCAAGAACTTCCTAGGTACTTAGCTAATGCGGCTCTCAGGTCGAGTACTGGATGAGCGTGCTCAAGGTGGTCACAATCATCGTATTCATCATCCTAGGCATAGTCGTCAATTGCGGCGGAAATGAGAGTGGCCACTATATCGGCGGCGAGAACTGGCATCTCCCAGACGCTCCCTTCGTTGGAGGTATCGGTGGCTTCGCATCCGTCTTTGTAACGGCTGCATTTGCCTGTAAGTTTCCACAACTATATCTGAAGACCAGGCTAATATTCATCTACAGATGGCGGCACCGAATCCATCGCCATCACCGCAGGCGAAACCAAAGACCCAGCACGGACTCTCCCAAAAGTCGTCCTCAACGTCTTCTGGCGGATTCTCATTTTCTAGTATGTCCTCTACCCTACTCGGTACCCACCATCCCCCTACTCTGTTTTATCCTGACGATTCGTCATAGCATCCTTTCTTCCCTAATAATCGGCCTCAACATCCCATACAACTACCCCTCGCTCAACGACGGGACCGTCAAAACCTCCCCCTTCACCCTCGTCTTCGAAATGACGGGCACAAAAGCCGCAGGGACCGTCATGAACGCCGTGATCCTGACGTCCGTGCTATCCGCCGGAAACCACGCGCTCTTCGCGGGCGTGCGGCTGCTCTACACGCTTTCCGTAGCAGGCCACGCACCGGGGTTCTTCGGGACGCTGAACCGCAACCATGTCCCCTGGATCGCGGTGCTTGCAACGAGTGCCGTGAGCGGGCTTTGCTTTGGCTCGAGTAAGATTGGGGCTGGGCAGCTTTGGAGTTGGTTGCAGAAGTATGCTCGCCTTTCCCTTTCCGCCTCCTACCCATCATGAAACATGCTAAAGAATATCCGTCCAGCATCGTCGGCGTCTCAAACCAACTCTCCTGGATCTCCATCGGCATAACAAGCATCCGTTTCCGGCGCGCCCTGAAAACCCAAAACAAAACGCACCTCCTCCCCTTCCGGAACCCCACGTACCCATTCGGTCCATGGGCGTGCGTGGTTCTGAATATCGTTATCGTGCTCGTGCAAGGGTGGAGCTGTTTCAGTCCGAGCTTTGACGGGGTGAGCTTCGTGAGCTTTTATGTGGAGCTGCCGATTATGCTGGTTATGTTTGTTGCTTGGAAGGTGGTGAAGCGGACGAGGGTTGTGAGGTTGGAAGAGGTCGATTTGGAAACGGATGTTTATACGCGGGGTGATATGGAGCCGGAGGGGATGGGGAGGGGGTGGAAGCGGTTTGTTGAGTGGGTTGCTTAGCTTTTCATCTACGGGTCAATGAAGTATCTATGCGTGATGATGACGAATAATGGCGGCCGACTTCGTGGGCGCTCTAGGTATGCAATGCAGAAGTTCGAAAGAGTCACGGGGTAAGCCAGATATCTACACTGCAAATCTGTCCAGACAGAACCTTAAGAAACTAACAGACTCTATTCTATATAGCATGTTCCATCTATATCTACCAACAATGCAAATCTACACACCCAAAAACCCAAACACAGCCCCCCTAACCCCCTCCACATCCTCAAAAAGATGCCAATGCGCCACATCCTCCAGAACCACAACCTCGGAGCCCGGAATCCTCCCCCCATACCTCTCACACAGCGCCGGCGGCGAAACAGCATCCGCCGAACCGGTGAGAATCAGCGTCTTGGCTGCTATCCTCTCGACATCCAGCGTCTCCTCCGCAGAGCGCGCAAGAGCCATGCACGCCTTCGCGTACCCCTCCGGGTCCTGACTTAGAAGGGAGATCTTTGTGGCTGTGACAGCGAGCGGGTTGGACGACTTCGTCTTGGCGGAGAGACCTGCGTTTACGATGGCGTCGACTACAGCGAGCATGCCCTGGGCACGAACTGTTTCGGCGCGCGCAAAGGACGCGGTGCTTCCTGCTTCCGGCAAGGGAGAGGGAGGGGGGCCGAGGAGAATGAGTTTTTCCACGAGGTCTGGTGTGTCGAGGGCGAGTTTCAGCGCGACGAGGCAGCCCATTGAGTGGGCGATTACGGTGGCGGGTTTAGGGGAGTTCGTGGCGAGGGTGTAGACGTCTCGGATGTCGTTGGCCAGGGAGGTGATTGTCAGGCTGCTTAGGGCGGAGGTGGGCGAGAGGCCGTGGCCTTCGAGGTCTGTGAGGTGGAGGGCGTGCGTTGGGGCGAGCTTATCGAAGAGGGGCGTGAAGTACGAGGACGAGCCGCCGAGGCCGTGGATGAAGATGACGGGGGTGCCGTCTTTCTGGCCGTGGAATTGGTAGAAGAGGTGCTTTGGGCCGACCTTGAGGAGGCCGTTGGTGCTGCGGGTCTTTAGGTTGGCGCGTGGGATGGAGGTGGAGGATTGCACGCGGTTGAGTGTTGGGTTCGGTGCGTCGAGCGCGGCCATCGTGTTGACTAGGCAGCCGAGACCGGTGACGGAGACTTTGACCTCGTCGCCAGGCTTGAGGAACTTCATGGGCCGGAAGCCGAAGCCCACGCCGTAGGGGGTGCCGGTTGCAATTGTGTCTCCGGGCTGGATGGTCTGGCCCTGGGAGAGGGTGGAGACGAGGTTGGGGATGGAGAAGATCAGCTGGTCCATCGTGGCATCTTGCCTCTTCTCGCCGTTGACAAATGTCTGCAGGCGGATGTTCTCCTTCTCAGGGAGGCGTTCTTTGGGCACGGCGACAGGCCCGATGGGGCAGTATGTGTCGGGCGACTTGCCGATGTAGAACTGCTTGTGATCGCGCTGTCTCTCTCGAGCCGTGAAGTCGTTGATGATCGTGTAGCCCCAGACATAGTCCATCGCCTCGGACTCGGGGATCTTGTGCCCTGCCTTGCCGATGATCACGCCGATCTCGCCCTCGTAGTCGGGGGTTTCGGTGAAGCCAGGGTGGAGGAGGACATCTTCGCCATGTGCGATGATCGAGGTGGCGCGTTTCGTGAAGATCACCGGCGCAGTCGGCTGGTCGACTTTGTCTGAGGAGTCGAACCCAGACGAGTTGAACTCTTTGGCGTGCTCGGCGTAGTTTTTGCCAACGGCGAGGATATCGCGGCCGGAGATGGTGGGGAGGAGCTTGACGCTGGATAGAGGGAGAGGGTCGGCGCGAGCATTGATGATATTGGCCTCGCCGGCTTCAATGACTTGGTAGAGATTTGTTATCCTTGTTCCTGACGTGAAGGCCAGGGGTTGGATGTGCGAGGATTGCTGGTCGAGGGAGCCGATGCGGTCTTCCCCGCTGGCAGGGTCAACGTAGGCGCAGTAATTGAATGCCATCTTGGGAATAAAGATGGAATTGAGTTTTATTGCGAATCTTAGGAGCTCCTCTCCGTGCCCCTCGTTATAATAAGTAGGCAATCGGCCATGGACCGAGGCAGCACCCCGCATGTCTCCAATTTCCAGAGCGGACCCTCCGTCCTTCGCCGCGCTCCACTCCGCGCTTCTCCGTTGTGGCCACGGGCATAGGGAGCGTTCCTGAATTAAGTCATCCCGGATAGATCTGGGGATGGCTGAGTGTTGCACCGTGTATACGAAGTATACGAAGTCATGTCCCTAGAACATCATCTCTAGCCCTAATGATTGCCAGCACGACACCCCTATCTTATAAATTCAGTCTCATCACCAAGTACGAAGTAGTCTAGCTGATATTAGCTGTTTGTAGCTGCTATGTACATGATACTGCTGCTCTGATACTATCTCGAAACTTTCTTGCACTGCTAATCTTCCAACCAAGCCAAACCACCAAACCCAGTACTGGAGAAACCGACCCGCAACACCATCCTCAAACCAGCTCGACCGACTCCTGACACTAGGAGGACCCCAATGGCCGCTCTCAGATTCCGCTGCCGGTAGTACACCGCAGGTTCGCCAACCAACGCCATTAGGTTTGATCTCTTTCGCTGCCATTCTATCGAACAGATCTAATGAGAGTACTCTATGCTATACCAACCGCCTAACCCATCATACCCCAAAATCCCAAAGCAAATCACCACTCATCATCCCCAAACCCACTCCCCAACCCAACATACCGCGGCGGCTCCACAAACCGATTCGCAACACCACTCGTCCTCCCAATCCTCAGTCGTCCCCCGTACTCGCTCAAATGCGACGGGCCATGGAACCGCCAAAACTGCCACGAGCAATCCTGTCCCACGAACGAGCGGATCACCACAGAACCGCCGGGGTGCGTGTGTTGGAAGGCCGTGCAGTCGTAGACGATGTTGTCGATTACGATCCACAAGGGGACGGATTCTGGTGGGCTTGTGGAGTGTTGGGCGGTTGGTGAGGGGTTGGAACTCTTCCAGGATTCTTCGAGTTGATGGAGGGTTGAAGGGGGGATGTAGGGGAGGTCTGTATCGGGGATATTGAGGTGGAATGTGTAGGTTTTGCCGAGGAAGGTGGATGGTCTGGACGGTGGGTGTGATTGTATGTTGGTTGGAGTGGTGGTGCTGATGTCTTCGGTGTGCTCGCTGTAGGCACCCGTTTTCCCTGGAGAGATCGGTACTGGGATGATTCCCGCGTCGGAGATGTGGTTGTCGGCGCGGCGGCGGAGGGTTAACCAGCCCATTGTAGCGTAGCTTTGAATGCGTCGTAGGACCTGAAGAGACAGAGTAGGTTTGTGAGAAGAGCAATAGCTCTAATCTGGGGAACTCACTGAAGTCTGGGTCTGGCCTGGAGAAGTGCGGAGTGCGCTCGCGGAGACACCGAATCCGGGATCAACATGCCTACTAGAAGCACTAGAGGCTGGGTCCTCGGTCTGAGGGAGCGGCGAAGTGCGGTGTTGCGCGGAATGAAATCCACGCACAAGTCACTGATTGGTGCCCGCATTAGTTCTTCATGATCGTCTCTCTACTAACTTGGAGCGGAGATCAAGGGGGTTGTTCGACTTACAGCTTGCAGCGCGCCTGAGCTGTCGAGGCCAACGGTTGTCTTGCCCCGTGCAGACGATGGCGTTGGCGTATATATAGGTACTCCAGGTTCTGCCCTCGCCTGACTCGTTTGTTTCATTTTTCTAGTCTATTTAATACAATTATAATACTACTTTCTTGAGAATTTCTACATCAATCGATATGTCCTTGACATGGTCATCTCCAGACTATCCTCTCGAACCATACAACGGACCGCCACGCAACGTCGCCTACATCGACCAGCTCAAATTTGACGAGAAGCTGCAGCCAACGTCATACAGTATTGCGGGGACGCATCCAGATTCAAGGGTCCTGATCACAGATGTCAAGATCCTTGATGCTACTGGGCGAGAGCCATACAAGGGAGACGTGCTGATTACGGGTAAGTCCCTTGTCCTGCAACGTCAGTAAAGAAAAGTCAGTGTTGAATAAGCATAGGCGAACGATTCACACATGTTGGCACGGTACCGAACAAAGAAGACTTACTCAAAGATCCCCGCGTCCGTGTCTTCTACGGCAACGGTCGCACCCTGATACCCGGGCTTGGAGATGCCCATACCCATCTCAGCTGGAACGGAGGCGATCTTGGTCGGTTGGGCGACCTGGGCATCGAGGAGCACACACTTCTGACGGCGCGGAGTGCGCGGTGCTTTTTGGATTCAGGATACACCATGTACGTTCCCTGATTGCTCAAGAGAATGCAGGATCGCTGACAGCGCAGGTGCTTCGGTGCTGCAGCCGCGAAGAGGAGACTCGATGTTGTTGTTCGCGATGCGATCAATGCGGGTGATATCCCTGGCCCTCGGTATCTGGCGAATGGACAGGAGATGGCCAGACGAGATGGGGATTTGGTCCCGGGAATCACGGCGTATGCAGATGGGCCTGAGGAGATGCGTGAGGTTATCCGGGATCACGTTGCGTTGGGCGTGGACCAAGTAAAGCTGTCGATGTCCGGAGAGTCGGTGAGTCGCTGAGATCCTGGTGTGAGCGTTGCTAATGGACTAGATCACTGAGATTCGCGATGCAATGGACTGCTACTTCAGTGACGAGGAGACGAAAGCGTGCGTGCATGAAGCTCACAAACACGGCATCAGACTCTGCGCTCATGCTCGGGCTCGCGATTCGGTACGGCAGTGCGTTGAGCACGGAGTCGAGGTTATCTATCATGGATCATATATTGACGAGGAGGGTAAGTTGACACTGTCTTGGACTCAGAACGCAATATTAACCCTCGCAGGAATGGACGCCCTAGAGAAGAAACGGTCACAGCATGTAGTTGTCCCTGCGATCAACTGGCTGTACGCCACGCTTTACGAAGCAAGCGCATTTGGCTACGCCACAGAAGCAGCGGAGAAAGTCGGATACAAGAAAGAGCTGGAGGCTGCAATCCGCGGTCTGCGCGAGATGCACCGGCGAGGGATTGCCGTTCTCCCTGGCGGGTATGTCCACCCTCACCCTCCTTACCTCCCATCCAACTGATGGCTCGAACAGAGACTACGGTTTCGCTTGGACTCCTCATGGCACGTATGCGCGAGACCTAGAGCACTTCACGAAACTGCTTGGTTTCACGCCCCACGAAGCCATTATCGCCGCAACATACGGCGTCGCCAAGCTCTTCATGCGCGAGCATGAAATGGGCCAGATCAAGGCGGGGAACTTTGCAGACTGTGTCCTTGTTGATGGAGACCCGCTGGACGATATCACCATCCTTCAAGACCATTCCAAGCTGAATGTGATTATGATCAATGGGCGGGTGCACAAGGCTGGCAAGAAGGAACTGCTTGCGCCGAATCTCGTGGCGAGTCAGGAACTCACGCAGCGCATCACGCAGGCGATTGATGAACTGGAGATTGTGGCGCCTATGCAGAAGGCTTATTAGTTATGTTCTTATGATACCAATGAATTTGTCTATGATCTTTCGAATATGGCTTCCTCGTAATGCATTTCGCCCCGTAGATCTATACTTACCTAGTGGAGCTCGGGGTACTCCAGCGACCCCTCTTGCTTAAGTTAGGGGCCGAGACTCATAAATTGGCGTCCCCCGCTTAGGCATCCCCCGCTCCCTACTGTACAGTGACCCTCCGGCCAACCCCCAGACTTCCAGCTGAGATTTTAGCTTTCTCCCACCTGATAGTCAGAGAATGTCGTCGAAACGAATCCCACTTAGCTGCGAGAACTGCCGCCAGCGCAAAATCAGATGCATCACTTCCACCTACCAAGCTCCCTGTGACACCTGTCTTCGCCGCGGCTATGCCTCCAGCTGTCGATTCCGCCGCCAGGACAGCTATGGTGCTCAATCGTCAGCCCCAGAAAGACCGGCAATGGGAAATGTCTCTGCTCTCGAGGGTCTCCTGAGACAGAACATTGCAGTTACCACCGCACTGCTCGGCCAGCGCAATGAGACCCGTCTGCCCTCTCCAGACTCGAGTCCGGCCTCGTCGCTTCATTATCCGGTTGAGCACGCGGTGACTCCTGAGCCCGTCCGTCAATCAGGTCATCTGGTTGCGACACCCTCAAACCATGTACGGTTTGTGCCGTCTAACGATCTCGGCGACTCGAGTCTGATTGATGCAATGCACGAGTCAACCCCCGACTGTCCGACCGGCTTCCCCTTCTTCGAACAACCAGGTCCCAGTGCTGTTTCTGATGAACTGCTGGACCTGCTTCCTCCCCTCCCGCAGCTGGAAGAGCTCAAATCGGCGTACTTTATCGTCTTCTCGCCTCTATTCCACGTGCTGCACGATCCAACCTTTCACGCTAGATACGAAGACTTCAGGCAGAATCCAAAATCCGTCTCCTTATCATTTCTCGCTCTCCTCTTCGTCATCCTCAGTCTCTCGGTCACTGCATTGGACGACGACAATCCACTGCTTATGCACCTCGGCCGCGATCCATCGCCTGGGGCAAATATTCGCAGTCTCTCAGCGAAATACCGAGCAGCCGCAATGCGCTGCTTGGTCGCGGACAACTTCATGTTCCGGCATAATCTCTGTACCGTCCAATCTCTGGTTCTGCTCATCTATGCAATCAACCATGCACAAGGGCCTGCTTGGTCTCTCCTCGGGACAACTCTTCATATCGCCGTCGCCATTGGGTGTGCTGTTGAGCCTTCGCGTCTCAACGTGGGCAGGATCGAAGCAGAGGAGCGTCGACGTTGCTGGGCTGCTCTGCAAATGCTGTACACCATCCAGAACACCTGTCTCGGCAACTTGATGCCATTCCGAATTGACTCCCACGTCGACCTTCCGGCTGACATCGAAGACGAGGAGCTGTCCTTCGAACAGTTACCCAACGATGACCCATCAGCGCCCCCAACGAAAATGACTTACCTTCTGTATAAGTTCCGCCTCTACAACCTCGCTTTCGACATCTGCCAGCTCTCATCCCCGGCTGACCCCGCAAAAATGTCCGCTCTCGATGCAAGACTCGCCCAAGAACAGCAATCTCATTTCGTGCGGTTCGCTGCCCGACCATTCGACGAGTTAGAATCTTACCATCAAGCTCACTACTACATCCTCGCCAACTATATTAACCACCTCACTCTCCTCCTCCACCGGCCATCCCTTCCTGCTGCCAGCGTCAGTGGACCTCGCGCGCAGAGTCCAGAACAATGCGAGCATGCTGCGACAACCATCCTCTCCAACTTTGAAAAACTTTCTTCGGACCAGCTCTTCCGCTCCTACCGTTGGTACGTAGACGGTCTCGGCTCGTTCTACGCTTTCTTCTCAATCACAACGCTACTTGTTCTCCACGGAAACGGGCAGTTGAATGCACAATCGAAGTCGTTGATAATGAACCTTGTACTCCGCTGTGTGGGGCTTCTCGTTGGCAATGCGTCTAGAAGCGCTGTTTGCTCTAAAGCTGCAGCGATTCTTGAACCAGTGATCCGGCATTTGGACCCGGTTGCCCTAGGCTCTAGCCACACCCAGAACCAGATTCAGACTCGGGATATGAGTCCGGTGAGCGAGGCGGCGGTCTTAAGTGCCTTTCCGGAACTGGGTGGGCTCTTTTTCGATGTTCCATGCGAGCAGTGGTTGACGCCGGCGGGTTTTCCTTGGATTGCGTCCTGAGCTGTCCGCGGTGCTTTGCATGCTGGTATACTAGATGCGGTAGGTCATCAGATTGATGCCGTGATATGCTCGGTGGTCCGAAGCAACCGAAACTCTATGCAACAAACTTCCCACAAAACTCTGTTCTAATTCATCCCTCGTCATTACGAATCCTGACCCCGGTTCATAAACCTCACGTCGCCAGCTGACACCTTCCACATCATCATCATCACCATGTTCGAGCCTCTCCCAACTTACAAGCTAAGGAGCCGGTCCGGGTCCAAGCCCGCGCCAGAAACGACCGCAAATATAGTGGATACTATGGTGTTCAAGTTCCTCGATCTAAGCGACCGGTATCATGCACGCTCGCGCCAACGCCAACATCAGCGCAAACGCCTCTCGCTCACAACCATCCCGACTGAAAGCCTCAAACAGATCCTCCCCTACCTCTCAAAAGTCGATCAAGCCTGCCTTGCCCTGACCTGCAAACCGCTGTACATGGTCCTCGCCCACGTCCTCGAAAGCGAACTCTTCCGCTTCCCACGACTATACCAACTTCAGCTTCCGGCTTACGAGTACGAGCTCGCTACGCTTGGGCTTAAAAATGATCAGAATACTTTCGGCGATGTACGTTGCCAACTCCTCCATCGACTTCAGGATAACCGGGCAAAGTACTGCGTGAAATGCATGAAACTCCACTCTCGCGGGCACTTCGCTGAGGCGGCATACCATGGACCAATTTATTATCGACCTTATTGCTGTTCTGAAGCCGGAGTCGTCGATCTTTGCCCATGCGCCTGCATGACCATGAGCGATAGGCACCGTGTGGTGAAGTACTTGAAGAAGCTGAACAGAAAAAAAGCGGGCTACTTGCCCGGTAAACTAGGAAAGGAGTTTGCTCCTATCATTTACGACGGCTCTGACTTTATCCCTGTCTCTACAACAGCGGGCGCATCTGGTCCGGCTAACTCTCGAGCTTCAGCGTCAGCAACCGGCTTACCAGCCCTTTTCCACTCATGCCAAATCACCAACTGGTTTGTCGATGCGCATGTGAAGACTGTGCTCTACACCAGAAACAAAAACTGCGGTGGGAAAGCCAAACAGGTACTTGTCGCGGAAACCCAGTACAAGGTCAAGCTCGACAGCAGGGTGCTGGACTGGCAGCCGAGCGAGGCCTTCCCGGATGCGCACTATAATCTGCTTTGGGCTATGAAGATGGCGGAAAAGGGTGTTCTGCTGGACATGGAAGTTGACGATCATATGCGCGGCCGGCATCAGGGGACAAGGTCAGAGACTCTGACTGTGGTGCGGAATCTGGGGAGCTGCGATGTGCCGGCTGATGGGCACTGGGTTCAGCAGGACCGCGCGTTGAGTGCGTCGTTTCTGAGATTGATGCAGTATGTTCCGTTTGCTTCAATATTGAGCTTGGCTAACTTCTTTTCAGTGCGTATTCGGACTGATGAGTCGGGGTTGAAGGAGACCGGAGAGTGCTTACGCTTATGCTACAAAGATTGATATTCCAGCTCTGCGGTCTTCTTGAGGATCAGGTTATGTACGAAGAGTTTGCAACGAGAGGCACCATACACCGTCGCCCCAGTAGTTGCGTTTAGTTCACATCTTTTAATGCTATATCATCAAAAACCGATCCTTCCACCACTGTAGAGTTCTGCCGAGTGCTTCAGCGGTATACCAGCAGTAGCTATCTTCAGCTCCTACTCTATTTCCCGATTGGATCACTAGCCGTCAATCCTAAGCACTAGCCATGACACCATGAAAAATATCCCCAGCGCTTCCCTGATATTCTGGCCCTTGTTTCAGATCCCCCAGCTGTAGAAGTATAAACCAACCCGGCCCCCCAAGCTGGAACCCCAGCACCAACTCCCCTCCCTCATCCCACCACTCCGGCAGACCTTTCCCATACTTCCCACCGTCACCATGTCCTCAACCTCCTCAAAACCCCAAGCTTCGAATCCGGTCCCTAACACCCTAGATCCCCTCAGCACCAAACACCGCAACCGTTGTCGCCTCAAACGCCGATATCACGCCTTACGCCGGCGAGTACTACCTGTACGCCTTCCTCTCTCCATTCTCAGCTAGCCCTAATACCCGTCTAGAACCCTCCAATCCAAACAGCCCCCGGAAACCGCGACAACACAATCTCCCACCCCCTGCAATCTAGCCCCGGACACAAACTACCATCTCACTCGCAACGCGTACTCCAGGGTCCAGCGGCGCAAATTACTGCTCTGTTTTCGTGTACGGTGGTGTGAATGCGACAAGGGCGCGATTGTGAGTTTGCTGGATACGCTGGATGAGTGGATGCGGTTGGTAGGGTGGTATGTGCCCAGGACGGTGGAGGATAGGTTGAGTCTTGTTGGCAGCTGTACGTTTTCGGGGAGTAGTTATACGGGGACTGGGCTTTTGATGAGGTGTATTTTGGGGAGGTGTAGATTGTTAGGTAGCATATATATCTCTAAACTATAAAAATACCTGGCTATAGTTTGTCCTTATAATCCATTATATCGTAGATTTGGTTTACGTGGAGAAGGAGGCTGATCCGGGGTTGATCTCAGGAAAGATATATATATTGGATCTAAGTCACGTCTCACTGCTGCGAATTATGCCTTTTATGTTTCATAGTTGCTTTTTCTTTGAAATAATACACGTTGCTTGGTCATTTTATTTGCTACCGTTATCGCTGTTTCTACTTTCTATTCTGCATCTTCATACTAGCCACTGTAGTACAGTAGAAGCGCAACTCAACCAATTGACGGACCTCACGCCAACGAGCATCGCGTGGCTATTGCATAGATACCTAGCGCCTTCCAAGGCTATATACAAGCTTCCAATTGTATGCCGTCTTTGCTTCATCGTAATTAGTTTCAGGGGAAGTGAAGCGTCGAGTCTACTATGATGACGTCACCTTGTTTGATAGACAGGACCCTCTGCCGCCTCACTTGGCTACTTTTAGCATCCTCGATTGCTTCAGATACTATAAAGAAAAAGAAATATCTTGACCAGCTCCTAATCGTGCAGAAAGAAGTCGCCAGTAAGGAGTGACAGAAGATCGACTCGGGGCTGCAAGACCTCCACCACATTGCCTTGGGAACTGAAACTCTAAACCGGCGAGTGTGCCCAGCCAGAACTGCACCACCCCAGCTTCTATTGCGCACATCGTTTGCTTTGCCTCCTTTGTTCTTATCGTTCCTTTGTCGACGGACTCGGTTTTTCATCTTCTTTCCTCAATTTGTGGATTCTATCCATCCTTCCTAACAGCTGTCTCGGCCTAATCTACTGCCCAACTATAGTCCAACCTCTACTAAATCGACGCCGATATTGCGCCGATTTCGATTTGTTCGTCCCTGCAGCTTTGACCAGAACTCAAAGTTCAGACGCACATTGTGCATACAGCCATGACCACTCCAACCTTGATCAACCTTCCTCCTCCTCCCTCCGATCCGGTGACTCCATCTGAGATGGGACCGTGAGTTAACTCGACCCGGTTAGATCGCTGCGATAAGCTAACACCTACTAACACAGCGGAACCCCCAATTCCACCACCACGTCCCTCTCCGCGCTCTCCACCACCGCCATCAAAGACGGCCACCAAGGCCAACCCTTCCCCCACGGCCGCCATGGGCACCACTCCTCCAACGCCTCCATGAGCTCAACCACGACCCTCGAAGCCGAGCGCGCCGATCGCATCTCCCGCCTAGCCGGTCTAGAGCGGGTGGCTACCGCACGGGCCGGCGGCGCACATTCCACCACTGGCCCGTCCTTCCCATACACCCCGGGATACTTTGACACCGGCGCCGGCCTGAAAGAGAGAAGCACCGTCGGAAGCGCCAGCGCAACAGGCAGCGTGGATGCTCGGACTACATGGGCCAGCGGGAGCGATGCCTTTGATGCGGACAAAATGAGCGAGGCGGACGACGGCGTTTCGAGCGTCGGCAACCTCAGCGACGAGGGGGATGCCAGTCTCGTTGGGTTCGGCGAGGGCGCAAGCACCATGAGCGGACCGATCTCACATCCTGGAATTGGTCGGGCGTCGTCGAGTGGAAGGCCGAACAGCTCCCTTGGGAGCCCGAGACAGAACCGCGCGAACCCGGTGACATCCTACTCGCCACATACGGGCTCTGCTACTCCTGAGCCGACCCAGGATGCGCGTATGGTGGATGGAATGACCTTCGATCCTGACGTGGTTGACACTACGGCGCGGACCCCGAGAATGGCCACTCCGGGCTCTGAGAACTTTCCCAGCGAACGGTACTGAGGTCGTCGCTGATGGCTATAGTACTGTGATCTAAATGAAGCTGGCGTTCTTCATATTTAATGCTTTCGGATCTGGAGTCTACTGTTTTCGAAAAGGGTAGAAACCGATATGATGGGGGGCAATCTTCTATGAACAAAGTAACAAGTAAAAGGGTCGGCGGAGTATCTGGCTTTGTAGGATATTTAGCTGCTTGTTTTCTCATCATAATTGAATCAATGTAAATTCGAAATCCAAGGTGATTGACTTAAGTCGAGATCTATTCAGTGGCAAGCACCGGCCTCAACTCCAGGCCGATACTAACAGATTGAATTGGAGGCTTCGATTGACGTATAACCAAGATGAAGAGAAGAAATAAATGGACCATGGTCAATCTTACTACGGCTGCAGACTGGTGTTCCACAAAGGTTGGACTCTGTCTCATCGCAGGCTTGCCGAGTTAGGATTTGCCGCTTTTTCTTTCGCCGCTCACTCACGTCAATTCTCTCTTCCTCCTCACTCTTCCCTTCACCACCACCACCCCCTCCTACAGTCGTCCTGTCCTGTTCTGTTCCTGCTGGCATTGACTTGTCAAGCATTGATCCTATTCTGAAACAACCCGGACTGGAGACTCGACAAGAGTTCCAACCTGCCAAGTTCCACCTCCGCCGTCTTTGACTTCGTTCCAAGGTTCTTTGTGCGTGTCGTGTCAAACAACTGCTCGCCACGCATACCTTCAGCCTTCGAGTCGGCCTTCGTCTCTTCGATAGCGTTTACATTCGTCTCATCGACCCATTTCAGCTTCGCTTCCGGTGCCCGTATTCGGATCGACCGCGTTTTCTCCAGCTTTTGTTTATCATTGGCGGGGAGTCAACTTCAGCTCTGCACAGCTCGACTTCTTACGGGCCACGCGTTTCACTACATTAGAAAGAAACTTGGGTTTTTGATTGAGATATTCTAGAGATTCGGAATGGCTGCTCCTACACAACTTGCTTGTATGTCTCCGACTTACTGACTGCTGCCTGAAACGTCGGACGAAGTGCGAACAATCGCTGACTGGATATAGTCCGCACGGTCAAGGGAGTTGGCATTTTGGATGCTTCTCCTGTGTACGAGCCCTTGGCGGGATTTGAGAGGTATGTATTGCATCACTGCTACTGGCCGACAACGTCACTAACGCAAACGACTGCAGACCCGAGGGGAACCTCCGTTGCAGCGCTTATTCTCCCGACGGCCGATACTTTGCTTGGGCATCTCCCGAGAAGTACATACACTTACCCCGCAACCCGCGGAGCATTGGCTAACGTATCACAGGGTCACCATCATCGATCCCTCCGTCGGTCACGTCGTTTCCACCATTCCCGCCGAGAACGTCTTCGAGCTTGGCTTCTCGCCGCTCGGAACATACCTGATTACATGGCAGCGCCCTTCCAAGGATGCCAATGGCGATGCTGTCAAGAACCTGAAGGTCTGGCAGGTGCTGGAGACTGAGGAGGATCGCATCGTGGGACAATACGTCCAGAAGTCGCAGACCGGCTGGAACATCCAGTACAGCGCCGACGAGAAGCTGTGTGCCCGCGTCGTCACCAACGAGGTCCAGTTTTATCAGAGCGATAACCTGTCCAAGGTCTGGAATAAGTTGCGCGTGGAGGGGGTGGCAGACTTTGCGCTTTCACCGGGCCAGAATCTGTCGGTTGCGGTGTTCATTCCCGAGCGCAAGGTTAGTTGGCATGCTGGTTCGGTTTGGTTTGGGCTGGGCTAATTGTTGTAGGGACAACCTGCCGCCGTCAAGGTGTTTTTGGTGCCCCAGTTTGGATCGCCGGTCTCGCAGAAGACGTTCTTCAAGGGCGACAAGGTTCAGCTAAAGTGGAACAACTCGGGTACTAGCTTAATCGTTCTCGCCCAGACTGATGTCGACAAGACTGGCAAGAGTTACTACGGAGAGACTACCCTCTACCTTCTGAGCTCCAGCGGGCAGTTCGACTCTCGGGTGCATCTCGGTACGTCCCCATACCTGATTTGTTAGACTGCATTCTGACCCCTCAACAGACAGGGAAGGCCCGATTCACGACGTTAGCTGGTCGCCCACCTCCAAGGAGTTCGGTGTTGTGTACGGTACCATTCCCTCCAAGACGACAATCTTCAACGTCCGCGGTGTCCCCAAGCACAGCTTCCCCTTGACCCCCCGAAACACCATCCTGTTCTCGCCCCATGGTCGTTTTGTTCTCGTTGCTGGCTTTGGAAACATGGCTGGTCAAATGGACATCTACGATATGGAGAAGAACTACACCAAGATCACTACTGTGGAAGCGGCCAACTCGAGTGTCTGCGAATGGTCGCCTGACGGACAGACCATTCTGACTGCGACCACCAGCCCTCGCCTGCGCGTCGACAACGGCCTCCGCCTGTGGCACGTCAGCGGAGCTCTGCTCTACAACGAGGACATCAACGAGCTCTACGACGTTTGCTGGCGCCCGCAGTCGACGACCCAGCACCCGCTTGGCGACCCCTTCAACCCGCTGCCCGCTCCGCACGCTTCCGCGGTCGCCTACCTCAGCACGAGGAAAGCTCCCGTCAAGCCTGCCGGTGCTTACCGCCCCCCCGGTGCCCGTGGCACGTCCACCCCGCTCGCCTTCCGTCGTGAAGACCAAGGTGGAGCCGCTTACGTCCCTGATGGGACCGCGACTGGTGGCGCTCTGAACGGTCCTGCCCGGTCTCGCAGACGCGCCGTGCCTGGAGCCGAGCCAGCAGAGGAATTCCTTCCCCCGGGAGCCGCTCCCGGAGGAGGTGTTGCCCTCCCCCCTGGCGCCGACCAGTCGGAGAAGCTGTCCAAGTCCGCAGCACGAAACAAGAAGAAGCGTGAAGCCCGCAAGCTCAAGGAGGGCCAGCCCGAGGAGGGAGCCAACGATGCCAACCAACCTCGTGGCGAGAAGAAGAAGGACGGACCCCGCAAGAACGGGCAGCAGCAGAAGCAGCCTAACGGCAACAAGGCTGCTCCAGCTCCCGCTCCCGTTCCGGAGCCCGAGCCCCTCGATGACGGTGTTCCTAGTGTTCACGACAAGAAAATCCGCGGTCTCTTGAAGAAGATCCGTGCGATTGAGGACCTGAAGATGCGTTTGGCTGGTGGCGAGAAGTTGGAGGATACGCAGATGAAGAAGATCCAGACCGAGGACTCGGTGCGTAAGGAGTTGGATGGCCTTGGTTACACTGGCGCGGCGTAGACACTCTACAACTCTTTGAGCTGGACTTGTCCATGTTGCATATGTAAATCTACCAAACATATTGCTGCCTTCTCTTGGCCCATTGTCGCATCACATTGCATATGAATCATGTACATGGCTGACATCTATTTACCTCGTGCGTAGCATAAATATAGATCATAACCATCCCATGAATCAATTAAATACCATCCCCAATCCCCCTCTCCCTCTCATTCCTCTGCCTATCCGCATTAACCTCCCACCACCACGCATTCAGCACATCCTTAGCCGCCTCTTCCTCTATACTAGCCGGCGGCGTTTCCTGCCATGGCTTCACCACAAAAATATAATGCACATTCCTAATCTCCTCGTCCCTCCAAATCGTCCCATGTACGTTCGGATCCCTCATCGTCTTGAGCGCGTTGTACACATATGGCAACGGCACCCATTGATCCTTAAACGCGTCGGAGAGAAGCTCCTGGTCCGGAAACACGTAGCTGTCGACCTTTTCGGCGTCGTCAAGGAACCGCTGAATTGTCGCAAAGTGGGTTTGCGAGGGGCGCACGACCAGCAGACCGCTGTTCAGCATGCCGACGCCAGAAGCAGAGGGTGCACCGGTCGTTTGCGCGAGATCCGGGGCGGGATGTTGGGTCGTGAATGCGCAGTTTGCGGGGATCCTGGTGACAAGCAAGCATAGACGTTAGCGTAGCTCGGAATATGAGGAACGGCTGGAATAGAGGGGGGGGTACCAATGTCCCGGATAATGCGCCTTCTTCATCGGGTTACACGCGCAGGCATGGCTCGCCGCGAAGACAACCCCTCCCCCGTTATCGTTACCATTATGGCCCGCAAGTCCAACATCCATGAGCTCGTCCATATTCCGTCGAACCAGCATATCCCCATCGAGCAGGACGACCCTCTCAAACTGCGTCAGCGAGAAAACAACGAGCTTGTTCCACGCATCCTCGAAGCGCGGGTCGTGCGCGTACCCGTGTTTCGGCTTCGATGTTGGCTGCACGGGGGGCACGGGGAGGGTCTGTATGCCGCGGCGGTGCAGGGCTTCGAGGCCCGAGGGTGGGAAGGAGGGCGTGTAGAGGGCGATGAAGGGGTAGGCTGTTTTCGAGAGGCGCAGCGAGTGGTGTAGGGTTAGGAGGCCCGGGAGGTAGGAGAGGGTTGTTATTAGGGAGGCCCAGACTTGATAGAGCGTTGTTAGGGTGGGGGTTTCAATTCTTGGATGTGAATGCGAATGCGATTAGGGGTGGAGTGGAGGAGGGTGCATTGTGGTGGTGGTGGTGGTGGTACCCTTTTTTGGATGGGGCTCTGAGGCTGAGGTTGAGGCTGAGGGGAGAGCCATCACGCTGTGTATATGCTAGGATGGGTAGGCAGGTGTATATAACTCATTGAAGGAGAAGGAGGAATTGGGGAAGGGGATTTGCGACTCCAAATAGTTTCCGCCGATTGCGATATCGCCGATCCCCGCCGCGGGGTGATTATGTAACTTGCATCTGGATCTTCTATCGGACAATGGAATCAATGACATTGTGCTAGTAAGGAACAGCTACAAAGGGGTTTTAGATCTTGATGTCCACACCACGCGCGAGCGCTGCCCGGCCCCTTCAGCGCACCGAAGAGACCAGGCCGTGGTATGGGCGGGACGCGAAGAGTATGCATAGAGCGTCCCCATTGATATATCGCAGCCGATACAGAGCTTATACCTCAAGAGGCATTTCAAGGCATGATCCTCGCCTTGCGCTCCACCTTACAGCGCGAATGTGCAGATCGAACGAACATAGAGTGTATTGCGGAAAGGTAAAACGGAAGGGTATCTGTAATTGATCCTATTAGCTGTTGTACATCATGCAAAAATCCGCGTCCGCTTGACCGGGCTTCCCATGTGAAGCGAGCGGCCGTGCGCCATTCCATTCAGCAGCCGGTCCATTCCATCGACGTCTAGCTCTCCTTGGCGAAGTCGGAGCTGGTCCGCCTCGACTGTAGAAGACTCCGCGACCGATGCGTGGGAGATAGGCGCCGGCTCCGGCTCTGTCAGCTTCGCAGCGAGAATCACAAGACGATGTTCTGCGGCGACGATGATATCAAACGTCCGGGGCTCCAGGTGAGATTGGCGAGAAGGCGCAGGAACGTGGCTAATTTGCTTCAGAGGCTCACCCATGAGCGCGATATCATGAATCGGTGTCACCCGACAACGGTTGGATGCATCCAGTGTTCCTGTCGACTTGACAGCGCTCCGCCACAGAGTCAAGAGACTGGGTATGACAGCACTTTGGCTTCCATGTCGAATGAGAATCGATTCATCTGGCAAGGCGTCCTGCGTAGTATTCGTCTGGTATACCGAGATTCCGCCACGTAAAGACGATGTAGACGTTCCAGCCGCGTTCCCTTTCAGCAAAGTGTCCTCGCGGATACGTTTAGTCGAAGGGGTCATTGGAGCGAACCTCGGGCGATGCTCAACCGCCGTCTCCGATTTGCCACCAGAGGGGAAACTGAGGATACGCCCGCTGACTGAAAACGCAGTCAATGCTCCACCTGACACGCCTTGCACGCTTGACTGTCGCTGGAGAGGGCCCTTGGCTGTACCAGGTCCGGCTCCTTCGAGATCCCAGACTCCCCAGTCACCATCTGCCATGAGCACCATGATGGCTCGTCCACCCAACACCCACTCGGCATTCGTGATAGACTTGCGCCGCGGAAGGTTTGACGATGACAGCTCGAAGCCGGGGTAGAGACTGATCAACCATTTTCCTTCTGTTTCTGATGTTTCATAATCATTCTGCGCTGCACCAGCTCTTCGAGAAGACTTGGATGGTTTTGTGGAGAAGCAGGAGTACACCTTGACACAGCCTGAGTGAAACGAAACCAACAATGTTGAATGTCTTGCAGCCGGATACATGGACGGGTTGAAAGCTATGTTCTGCGCGGGAGAGGGTAGATAGCGACGCTTCGTCTCAACATCTTCGGCCACGAGACGATATGAAACGTTGTCGGTCTTTTTGTCTTCTGCGATTGGAATCCGATGAATGACGAGCAAGCCAGACGACTCCGCGGAATGAGTGGCAACGAGAAGCTCCCATCTTCCCTGACCGCCGTCCTGCGAGTCGCTTTCCTGGTAAGTGAATGTGATGCTCACTCCTCGCGGAATCTCCTGATGCGATACTGCGCTGATTGCGAATGTCTGGATACCCCATGCAGCCATGTCGTTTCCCGTCGGCTGCGGAGGAGCCAAAGGTACTGTCACAACGCGTGTAGAATAGTCTGCACATACTGCCGACACGACAATAAGTTTGTTCAGGATCGCTGGGAACGGGTCGAGGTGCGAGCGCGCACTCTCGGGGAGCACGCGAGGAACAGCGATGTCTATGACCCGGCTTCCAAGGGGTATATCAATCTGGCGCAGAATACCCTCGTACGGGTGAGCAGGATCAACCTCGGGGTCCTCATCCTCAAAATCGTATGTTGCGGCTTCTGGTTCCTCGTCTTTGTGGGTGTCCGCCATGCTCTCATCATCGGAGTCGATGATCATGATCGCATCGTCATTGTTACGGCTGGGCTTCCGCGGTGTGTCCTGCTTCGGGGGTGGTGGTCTCTGATGCGAAAACGGCCGTCCTCCTCGCCAAATGACCTTCAGTCCATCTTCATAGCCATAGACAACAACGGAAGAGCCGTTAGGGGCGAGGATCGGGTAGCCTTGAGCGGTGTAAACACGGTGAGGAAGCTGGTAACTAGGTGAGCAAACAGGTTAGCGACTACTGACAAGAAGCGCAAGTATAAATGCACACCTCAGCTGTAGCCCATCATCTCTGGCTCTGACGAGCGGTCGAGAGGGAAAGGAAGGCATCGTGTGTCTGATGCTTGATCAACGACCTTGGCCCGTTGAGAGCTCCTTCTAGGAGTTGGCTGGACCAGGGTTTACAAGGTAAATCCGTACGAGCTAGTATCACATGAATAGACTAGAGGCCCAAGATAAAAATCGAAAGAGCGCGTTGGAATGAAAGAGAGAGGTCGGAGTTGGCTGAGTGTTGTGTTGCGGAGGAAGAAAAAAGCCGCCGGGCAGCGACTCGTCGGTATTTACGCTCCGTCGCTCATTCAGTTCGCGCCCACCGCGTCACTTCCAGAGCTCATTTCCAGCTCTACGGTTCAACCACACTTCATTCCTTCGTTAATTTTACTTCCAAGCTTGCTATCAGCACCTCCCTCTTTCTACTACTGGGCCCCTCTTTCTCGAACCGTCCCGATCGATCAACAATGGCGTCAACTGCCCGACGCTCTTCTCCCCGCTGTGCCTAAACGCCGCCTTGATAATGTCTACAGTACGGTCTCTCGGCCTGCACGAATCGCCGGCCATCCCATTTCTCATCGCGGAGGATCTTTTGCCCCCCGAACCATCAGAGAAGCTCTACTCATGGTCAACGTCCGTTGATACGGGCCCGGACGGTCCTGTTGAGGACGAGTTAGTATGGACAAAAAGCTGTGTGGTATGGTCTCGGGCGGGCGTGATCCAGAGGGTCTTCCGGTTAGATCTCGAGAAGGAGGATATACGGCATGCTTTGTTGACAAATTTTGCCGTGAGCAAAGTCAAACGAACCAGCGGCGGGTCTTCTACAGCATCGCATAAGACGAACAGTCATTCAGATCAGCCCAGCGACACGGAATCATCAGAGGGCACAGAAGCAAGGGGAAGAACATCCAGCAAAGACTCATCACGAGCATTAGTCGCCATTCTCAAGTCGCAAGCTCATATCTTCTTCCTGGAGGGCAACAGCCATGTCGTTCCTCTACCATTCGAGGTCGACTCGGTATTTGCGACACCTCGTGGTTTACTATTGCAGAGGAAGGTTGCCGACGAGAATCACACTAGTGGCCACCCAATGGCGCCACCGAATTCATTCTTGTCATTCTCCCAGGACTTTCGCGCTTCTCAGTCTTCAGGCAAGGCGCAACGAGCGTCATTGAGCACCATTCCAGCTCAAAGCCCTGGCTGGAAGCCCCGTACAAACAAGCGTGCAGATCTCCCTAGGGTATTCTCTCTTATGGACCCCCATTCGGAGATGGGCTTGGTCGTAACGAATCAAGCTTCTCGATGGCTACAAACGAGCAGGTTGAGTAGACCATCTGGATATGATGTCCTTGACCCTGCAGACGAGATCATCTACGTCTCCCCCCGCGATGAACTATCAGGAACATACCTTGCCAATCCGAAAACTCCCCTTATCCTCGTTTTGACTGTCAATACCACTACCGGGTTGTATACACTTTGGCACGCGCGTTATCGGGAGAGCGAGACTGTCCCGTCTTCAAAGAAAAAAAGACGCCGCGAAACCGGCGGCACTCGCTCTAAGAGGCGTAGCTCCCATTTTGGAATGACCCCAGGGACAACAACGCCGGGTGCGCGCTCTACCACCGCGAGAGAGAGCTTTGGCCCAAGGGGTGATAACTGGAACGCATCTGTCATGTCTCACTCGCAGTACTCTACTGAAGGAAGACCAGATGACGATGAGGATGATTTTGCTTCTAAGTTGGGTCAGGAGTTCACCGAAATCGGTGTTCCCTCGAAGACTTCCAGACGAGTGAGCTCGATGTTAGCCCGTGCGGACCTAGCGACCAGCCAGGATAGGATTGCGTTCTCTGATCTTGCGACAGGGAGCCAGTCGAGCACAATTTATCCATCGGGCTTGCGGCAGTCAATAGGGGCAGGCAGCGCCCGCGGTAGCTTTGGCTTCAATCCAAGGGGTTCCTTACCACCTGGAGCCGGTTCCGTTTACAGCACCACAAGCAGCTTTGTCGACCCCCCTGCAGACAAACTCCTGGAGGAGTTGAATAATGAAAGTCTCTTCGAAGGAATGGAGAATATGAATCTCAAAGAGTCAGGTTCCGGTCTTCCCGAAGAGGTCTTTCTGTTTAAAGTGGAAAGCTTTTCTTCAAAGTTCTCTGGAAGCTTTCTGGCGCCATCGAAGTTGAAGTCATCCAGGAAATTGAAAGTGGTAACCATATGCCCGACGGACTACGCGTCCGCGCACAGTGGGAGCTCGACGCCGGTGGCTCTCTATTTGGTGGATCAAGAGGCGAAATCTTTGACCGTCGTCAGCATACGAGCTGAGAGTGTGAAGAAGCCGACGAAAGATGCTGTGTTCTCGAAGAGGTCCAAAGTTAAGCCGGCCACTGATGAACGCACTATACTCGTACAAGCAACCGGCATTCAGCATGCCTCGGGAACGTTAGATGTATGCAAGGTGGTAGACGGAGGTCTCTCGCGAATTATCACCCTGAGTGTGACCGACACTGGGAGTTCGATCCTACAGTTACAGATGCAGTGGAACAGCCCTCTAGTCCTTGACCTGCCTGACAAGTTCCTGTTGCATGAAACCGATGCGCTTTCCTCCATCATGACTGTCAATCTTCCTCGAGAAGGGGGCATGAAACGCGTTATGACTGATTCCTCAATTACCATAGTTGGCCTGGACCATTCTGCTGCTGACGGCAAGTTCGACGTAATAGATTCGGCGAAGCGAAGGCATAAGCTTCAGATTCGTATGGAACCCACAAATGTCCTGGTTCAGAAAGCATTTAGTGTGTGCCGATTTGCTTTGGGTGGTTACTTTCCTGACAAGGTGGCCGACGGGCTTTTGATAGGCTGGTGGGAAACCATGAAATGGCTTCAGGAACGGGAAACGGGCGAGAACGACCTTGAGTGGACTGCGCTGGTGATTACTCTCTTTGCACAAGCCATTCCATTCATTGAAGGTGACTACTCCGGGACCACGGCCAGGCAGACTCGCAGAAAAAGAGGCCTCCTGAGGTCTAGCAGTGGTAGCTATGTTGACACGGAGAGCTGGGAATCTATGCTAGATCAAGAGTCCGGGTCCTCTGGGGTGGTAGCCCCTTGGATGAACACTGCCTCTTGGGATTGGATTGTCGAGCAAGATGCTGAAGACGACAGCACGGCCAGCAACGGGAGAAAGTTTCACAAAGAAACGCCCCCGTCTAGTCGCTCTACCTGCCGCAAAAACACCTATCTTCTCCGGTGCGCCGCACTAACCAGGGAGTTTCTACGAAGCCCTCGGGGCAATATGGCGATTGGAAGCGACGGCCATCTTCGCAAGGCACTCGTCAACAGTGAACATTCAAAGCACACTCCCATATGTACCATTCTAGTTGCTTTGCACCTCCTTCGAGAGGAGCAGAAGCTGTCAGCGTGTGATGAAGAGCAATCACACAAATCATTGGGCCTCCTTGCCCCAGTCCTAGCACAGCTGGGTGGGTGGCTTGGATGGTCCTCCTGGAATTGGACGAAGGATTCCTACTATGGACTTGAAATCGCTAGCATAGGCCGCTGGCAATTTGAGGATACTCGGATGGCCGGATCGAAACTTCCTGTTGAACCGCTTGCACCCCCTTCAATCTACGCGTTCTTAGAAAAGGCCTGGCGTGGAGAACCCTGTCATTTCTGGAGTTTACTTAACCTCATCAACTCTGATGATCACCCAAGGAGAGGAAGGATGTGGCAGTGGTGTTCCACTCTGACTCCGAGGTCTCTTGCGCTCGAAGGGTTCGTCCACGAAATGCACGATAAATCAAGTGTTTTTGAACGGATACAACTTCTTCATCGCTGGGGACTGACGCGCAGCGTTATTGAGACATTCCCAGCGGGCGTCAGCACGCCCTTGTACGAGGCTATTCTCCAGTCGCAGACCCATGCTTCGACCTCGTGGAACTCATCTCTCTTGGAACTAATTGACCGAGACGACCTGAACATCTCAATGAGTCAATTAAGTACCGCTCGTCCGCCTCCGCCGTCCCAGCCCAATGCCTCCCACGATTCTATGCGTGACTATCATCATATCAGCAATTCTGCACTGGATATTGATGCGATCAACTCGTTTGAAGCTTCCGCTGAAGCTGATCGCTTTTCAGTAACAAGACTGATCTTCCGCGAGGACAAGCGCTTCATTGAAGCCGCGCGGTTACTAAACCAGTCCAAGGCCCCTGCAGCAGAGTGCACCCCGGAACCAGAGTGGACTGACTCGGATCTGCTTGAGGCACAAAAAGAGGTGGTACAGTTAGTTACCCTGCGGACGTTGTCCATCCCGACTGGGCGTGCCATGCTCGCTTTTAGTGGTCGCCTTCCTCTCCTCACTGAGAAGCTCCCAATACCATCATTCTCGTTGCAATGCGTGATGAAACCTTCAAACGTGACTATAAGTGCAGATAGAGCCTCCTTCCACGAGGAGAAGATTTGCTGGGCCTTCTTCCACAACGGAGTTTCCACTGGCCTCGCTATTTCGAGAAACTCGAGGGGAATTGACACATCGTGGATTCTGTTTAACAAGCCCCAAGAATTGACGAACCGGCATGCTGGTTTCCTTTTGGCGCTGGGTCTTAACGGACATTTGCGGTCTCTGGCTAAATGGGTGGCTTTCAAGTACCTGACTCCCAAACATACAATGACTTCAATCGGTCTATTGCTTGGTTTATCTGCGTCCTACCTCGGCACAATGGACACACTGGTCACTCGACTGCTGTCCGTACATGTAACCAGGATGCTCCCTATGGGAGCCGCAGAGCTCAACCTATCACCGCTGACGCAGACGGCGGGAATCATGGGTATAGGCCTCTTGTACTGCAATTCTCAACATCGGCGAATGAGTGAAGTTATGCTCTCAGAGATTGAGAATTCGGATGCGGAGGAAGGCTCCGCTACTCACGAGGGTTTTCGTGATGAGGGGTATCGGCTAGCTGCAGGATTTGCCCTTGGATTCATTAACCTAGGAAAGGGCCAAGACCTAAAGGGAATGCGAGATATGCACATAGTTGAGAGATTACTCGCTGTCGCGGTGGGTACTAAGAACGTCGATCTAGCTCACGTCCTTGACCGAGCAACGGCTGGAGCGACGATTGCTCTAGCGATCATCTTCATGAAGACCAACGATGAGACTCTCGCCCAAAAGGTGGATATTCCCGACACCACAGTCCGCTTTGATTATGTACGACCGGATCTCTTCCTTCTCCGCACGCTCGCGCGACATGTCATCATGTGGGACCGTATCCAGGCCTGTGATGATTGGTTTATAGAGAGTCTCCCAGAAGTATACCGCCGCCGCTACCGTCTGACTGGTGTGCGACGTCTGAAAAGCAACGATATGCCGTTCTTCAACATCATTGCCGGTCTTTGTTTCGCCCTTGGGTTACGGTTCGCTGGCTCGCCGGACCCAATAGTCCGTGATATCCTCCTTTCTTACCTCGACCAGTTCATCCGCATCTCTCGCCTTCCAACAGCCAGCTACGATGCAAGGCTGGCTCGAAACTCGGTCCGCCACTGCCAAGATGTCGTTGCATTGTCCCTGGCGGCCGTCATGGCAGGAACGGGAGACTTGGCTTTGTTCCGGCGTCTACGTTCTCTTCACGGTCGGGTGGATCCTGATACACCATACGGAAGCCATATGGCCGCTCACATGGCTATTGGAATGCTGTTCTTGGGCGGAGGAAGCTATACATTAGGCACTTCGAACCTCGCAACCGCGTCTTTAATCTGCTCCCTTTATCCTATCTTCCCAACAACGGTGCTCGACAACAAATGCCACCTGCAAGCCTTCCGTCACTTATGGGTCCTTGCCGCAGAACCACGCTGCATAATTCCCCGTGATCTTGATTCTGAACGACCGGTATCGATGCCGATTACCATAACAAACACCAACGGCCTCAGTGACACCTTCACTGCTCCCTGTTTACTACCTGACCTGAGTCGCATAGCCAAGGTGGAAGTCCTCTGTCCAGACTATTGGCCGCTAGTCCTAGATTTCACCTCCAATCCAGAAGTCCGCGAGAAATTCCAACGAGGCGACCAGTCGATCTACCTACGCCGAAAAGCAACCTACAACCCAACCGGCTCCTCTTTCTTCTGCTCCACACTAGCCGGACTGAGCAGCGCCCAAGATATCCTTTCTTCATCTTCCACCTCAGCCTCTAACCAGGGCAAGGGTCTACCACCCTCCGCTCTACCGGACGTCTCCGCCCTCCTCGCCAAGAACTCCCACCGATTTACAGCGAGACCCGCAACCCAGAGTATCTGGGACTGGATCTTCCAGTTAGACTCCCTGGACGGCCTCCTAGACGCTCGGGAGAAGGAACTCGTCCTCCCATCCTCCTTCCCTACACGGCCGCGCTCATCCCCTACCCCGCACGATGCCCCCTGGCTTCGTCAGTCCGCTGTAGACAGCAAACTCCTCACCGAGCGGACCGTGCAAAACGTCATACAAGCGGCGACAGGCCGCGGTGCTAGCCCGGACGAAGTGCGAGACCGGCTCTGGCAGCTGAGATTGCTTTTTGCTTGGATAGACGCTGGCTCCTCTTTCCCGTCAGAGAACGATGGGGAGAAGGGTGATGGAGAGGAGTTGGGGTCTGCGTCGACGAGCGGGCTCTGGCTGAGGAAGGATTATATTGAGGAGTTGAGATGGAAGATTTGGGGGGTTCAGGCTGGTGGGGAAAGAGGGTTTTAGGCGCAGAAGATCTGTACAAATACAACGGGAGTTAGGGATATGGGAAGAGGCTCATGTGGTATGTTATTAGGAGCGTGCTTTTTCATGGGCTTGACCTTGCATAGCATGATACTCTGCTATTATTATAGTAACTTTGAGAACCGTTCCTCGTTATGATACATATATCGAACACACAAGATATTTCTCAACCTCAAAATGCAAAACTATGTTTAAAAAATCCTTTCAGCGGAATGATTGTTACTGCGATCGAACAGCACCAGGCTTCAGAATCCCCCTATCACCGGAACCACCCATCTGCCATAACCAGACCGCTTCAACAGCCCAAGCTGACGCGCTTGCATGCCGTCCAAGCCCACTCCCTTTTGCGCCAGAAGTCTCTTGTGGATTGTCCACCGCACCTGTAGAGCTTCTCTCCGCACGACCAGACGACGAAGAACTCGCTGAGTCCGCCTCCTCCAGCATCCCAGCCACAACTCCTTCACGCTCAATGACGGACCAAAGCCCTTCAACCAGTGTACTCCCACGCTCACCAAACTGTCCTTTCCCCAGTCGAAACAAAATGCGGCCGAGAACCTGCCAGGCGATGCAGCGTTGCGCGGGGAATGAGGAGCGGCTAAGGATCGCGAGTTCGGGAATCGTGTAACCGGCGGCGTGGGGGTCGTCGCCGTGATGATGCAGGCCGAGCGTTGTTGGTAGAGAGAGGGAAGTCGAGGGTGAGAGTATGGTGCCGATTAGAGAAAATCGGAGGAATGCGGGGTGTACGGCTTCGGCGCTGCTGCCCGGATGGTAGGCGGAGGAGGGAGGGGCGCCCGGTTCGTCTGGTTCTGAGGAGGGTGGCTGCAGCCAAGAGAGTGATGATGGATCGTGCGAGATATTCGGGAAGTAGTGCGCTTGTAGATCTGAGAGGAAGGATGGCGATGAAGGGTCTAACGTTGGCATTTGTGTGCCGCGGGACGGAGGCGTGGGGAAGTGGACGGATCCTGAGGCTGGAAAGTCTGCTGCTGAATGGAGGTCTTCGGGAATTTTCGAGGGAGGGGTATCATCTGAAGCAGGGCGGCTGTTCGATTTCGTGGGTTGTTTCTGTAACTGCGCAGGGGTTGGAGCTGGGACAGAAGCTGGATCGGGCTTCGAGGCACAACCTTTGGTGGCGTCGTTCGTTGCCGGGGTGGAGGGAGAGGACGCGGGCTCATCATCATCAATGCGAGCGCGACGAAGAAACCGTTCGAGTAAGGAAGGGTCCAGTGTGGACATCAGTTCCTCGCGTTCTTTCTGAATTTCTGCGTCGGACATCGATGCCAGTTGCTGGCGATTCTGCTCTCCAATAGCCGCTTTCTCATCCTGTGGACCAGATGACGGATTTTCTGATCTGTTTGTTGAAGCTTTGGGCTGTGTCTGGCGTTGTTTGAAAGCGGACTGTTTGGGGGCGCGACGGCGATGAGCAGGAAAGCCACTGGCGGACTTCAGAGTTGGAGGCGCGGGAGGTGCGGCGGGGGAACGTTCCTGGATCTCCCCGATGACGCCAGGGATCGCGAAAGTGGGTGCGGGGGACTCTGAGTCGGAGTCAAGATCAATGTCAAAGCGTTCGCCGCGGAAAGCCATGTTTCTATGTGCGTGCTCAAAGGTTTCTGGGCTATGAAGATGAAGCTTGAACTTTGGAGACTCCAAATCACGGCGCCAAGTGGGATACGCCAAGACAGGCAAAGCGTTGCTGAGTCAATGCGGCTCAAAAGTTAAACATTCCGGGCTAGTCCAGGAAAGACCTAGCGGATCCCGTGACTAGCGCGCCAGAAACGGACAAGCGCTCGGGATCATCTGATCGGCCATTGAGGAAGTCCGGAGTCCTGCATCACCAGATCCTAGTTTCATCCTCACCTGTCCAGGCTTTGCATGTTCAGCCATGACGGTCTATCTATTTTCATATGTAGATTAGCTCTAGCCAACTGCTGCTACATCCGTTTCTCCGGGAGGGAGGATGGGCTCTGTTTCATGATGGCAGCAGAAGCATTGGCGGTCACCAAAGTTGGTTCTATACATACAAAATGATATCCGGTTATTTCTTGTCGCCAACTTGAACGCCAACAATAGGAGGCTCCCCCCAAATGATAGAGACACGTCAACTCCTTTGTGTTGGCCTTCGTTTTAGAACCCTCTATTTGTTTGCTCACTGATCTACCAGGTGGGATATCACACCTATCGGCCATACTGTCTATCTGATCGCAGCCCTTCTTCACCCTTCTTGCTGTCTTGTTTCTGCTCGTCTTCGCCTGCCGATTCCCCTTTTCTGCCGGCCTTTTGCTCCGTCCTCTCCTCGTGTTCTTTCCCCTTCTTCATCCACTCCTCCATCCCCCATCAACCCTCCTCCCCGGCCTTCGTCTCCTAGGGACATTTTTCATCAGTTATTGTCTTTTCTCCATCAAATTCAGTCTACGGCTTTGTCTTCGGAATACGCAAATATCCCATTTCCGGTTGCCAACGCCCTCCTCCCACGACCCAGCCCTCGCTCTCGCCCTAAGCCGCTCTCGCGCCGTTTCAATGAACCAACTTCACTGATTTCCTCCACAATGTCCACGGGGCCGCCCGTTTGGTCGGCTCAGGACGAACACGAGCCACAACCACCAGCTGAAACCCAAACCCGTGCCCGACGGTCGCGCCGAAAGAAGGACGACGTTGCTGAACCCGATCGCAAAGAAAACCCAAAGTCGGCCAGATCTAAGGACAAGGACAAGGATAAAGATAAAGAGAAGGAAAAGGGAAAGGAGAAGGAGCAAGACAAAGAGAAGGAATCAAAGCGGCCGGCTCGTCGCCCGCGGGACAAGTCCTCGACTATATCCAACAACCCTACTGCCGCCCAGTCAAATCCCCGCAAGAAGCCCAGGTTAGAAGGCACGCCGCCGAAGCAAAGCCCCGACCCGGCCCCTGCCGTTTCTGCTGCAGCCTCGATAGCTCCAGTTTCGACCCCGGTTCCTGCGCCCGTAACCACTGCGCCGGTTATTACTCCGCAGCCCAGTCCTCCAATTGCAGCCGCACCGCTGTTAACAAATCACTCTCAGCCTCCACCTCAATCCCAGATGCCGCAGTCTCGCCATCTTGACCTGACGTCTCAGCTGATTCACCCTACCCAGCCCACTCCTTCTCAAGCACCAGCGCCTACAACATCACCGCCATACCCGACGATGGTCTCCGCGCCACCTTCTCGTCCCCAATCCCAACCATTGGCTCCTCCCCCACAGCGAAGCAGCGGACAAAACTATGATCCAATTCGCTCTGCATTTGGCACGAGTTCGCCGGCCACCGTGCCCCCTCCAGCTCCGGCTTCTGCTTCTTTCAGCCCTCCAGCACGTCCGGTTTCACCGCGGCCTTTTCGCGCCAGTGCTTCACCGGCAATTTCTAGCATCATCGATCCACCTCAAAGCACTTCACCACTTCAGTATGCTCCACGTCCTTACGGTTCACCTAATCGCGCCGTGTCCAGTTACCCGCCAACTCCAGTCGCTCCCTCAGTTGCTCAAACTCACGCGCCTTCGTCGTCATCTCTGTATGGACATCAGTCTCCGTATGGACCTCCTCCACAAACGCTAGCATCTCAAGAAAGCCAGCCCCACACCCGAATCTTTTCGTCGCAACCTTCGGTGCCTCCAACTGTGCCCGAACCCAGCGCGCCTGCACCACAACCTCAGCAAACATCATTGGGACCAGCGGCAATGGAGGTGGATAACGAGCGTCCCGCCCCTGCAGCCGTTGAAAAGGCCTCTACGAAGGAATCCAAGACCCCAACGGCGCCCTTATCAAAACCGCCCTCTCCGAAACCTTCACGGCCCGCGAAAGAGGCCCCTCCTCCATTACCGCAGGGCTCCGGCCTCATTTCTAATGCTCTATTTGGAGTGGATGATAATACCTCCGATAAACCCGATCGATCAACGCCCAACATCGTCGTACATATTCCTCTCAGAGGAATTCCTAACCAGATTGTGAACTTTGCCCGATTGGCGGAGGAGCAATATGGATTTAACGCCCTTCATCCACGACTAGCCGCCCACAAAGAACGGATGGCCCGCGTGGCCGCTGCAGGCGCTGCTTTAGAGCGAAATGACCGGTTGGGGCGAGGAATTTCAGCCGGGGAAAGTGCCGACGAGGATTTGAGCTTCGATGCTGAGCGCGACAGCGAAATGGACGGCGATGGCGCAATGAGTGCTGCGACTGCGAAAGCAAATGATCCTGCAGAGGGAACGAAGAAGCGCCGCAGAAGGAAAATAGAAGAGTATGATCGTGAGGACCCTTTCGTGGATGATAGCGAAATGGTCTGGCAGGAGCAGGCTGCTGCAAGTAAGGACGGATTCTTTGTGTACAGTGGTCCCCTAGTACCTGAAGGAGATAAGATTCAGGTTGAGAGGTATGTGTTCCTTCTTTCCTATGTAAGACTCTTAAGCTAACAGGCTGATCCAGGGCGGATGGCACGATCAAACGAGGGCGAGGACGAGGGCGCGGTGGTCGAAGTCGGGCTCCAGCAACAACGCATCAACAGTTGCCTCTAGCGGCTGCAATCCCCATTTCTCAAGAAACTGGCCTTCCCATACGCGGTCCTGGGTCCCGGGGTGGTAATATCAACCGCCGGCCTCGCCAGAGCAGAAAAGCGGATCAGGACAAAGCAGGCGGTACTCCATCCCAAGGACGAGGCGGAGGCGCTTCGGGCCGTGGCGGTTCAAACAGCACTCGAGGAGGCAAAGCGCCGATGGTGGAATTGGCACCTCGGCCAAATATTGCACCTGCTCCGCCAGGACTTCCTTCAACGGCAGGACCGGAGATCGTCATGAAATAGCTTTATCCCATTTCTTCCACCGTTCCATGACATCCTACCGCCATGGGGAACTGATTTCTCTGAAGAGTCGGGCTCTCTCATCGCTCACGGGGTTTTCTTTTTCCGGATCGGCCACAGAAGAATTGACGGACGCACAATGAGTAGGCATTGTTTTATGCCGTCCGCTCGCCGAATCATGTTTCTTTAACTATCTTGCTTCACGTGCAAATGTTACGGGTTATTCTCTCAGTCTAATGGGACATCGGTACCTTTCATCATCGCGGAACCTAGGAGAGCGTGTTTTGATGCATGAACTGGTGTACTGCTTTGCTATATTACTAGATAGGTAGTTAGGGATTGAACATCGTCAGGCTTAGCTACGAGTCTGGCGCTTTATCTCTCTCCATCACAATACGAACACAGTTGAACTCCTACAGCCCTTGCGGCATGATTAAAAAGAAAACGAAAACAATCGATTGTTTCTGGTAAAAAAAAACGGACGCAGTATTCTCTCTTCCGGTTCAGCCCGTCGGTTTAGGTTGTTGGTGCGTTGCCATCCCCAAACATCGACTTCGGAAGAGATACAAAAGGACTAACTAACAAACAAAACATAGGAAATGTGTACAGGAAATTCGCCAGTGTGGTCTTTGTTCTTCCAAAGAATCCTGATTCATGTGGCTTTATGCCTAACATGACCCAAACCAAGTTTTCGAACATCGTGGTGATCGTGCCTGGTTGAGGTCTCTGCTGTCAGAAACCTGAGTCCTAGGGCTAGTGACCACAGCCGGGAGCATATTGCCTGAACAGGCTGTATTCGAACGCACGGGGATCATTTAGAAGAAGTTCCGCTTCGTATGACAGTCTATACTCATACAAATGGCGTATGCCTTCAACGTCTTGCGCCGAAGGTACAAGGTTTGCTCCGATCAGGCCCCCATCTAAGTGAAACAGAGGGCTTCCTCGATGGTTCCCGCCCACCCAAGACGGAAGCATCATAATAGAATTCCAGTCAACGTCATCCTCAGTAACATACCAGCCATGTTTTGACACCGCGTCATGTATAGGCAAGTATTGGTAGGCGGAAAATTGTGCCTTCATGGCTGCCTCCGAACTGCGACAAATACCGTCATGACCCCAGATTTCCCACTGCTGCAGGCCCATTATTTTATCGTCAAAATCAGCCAAGTGGTCGCATCGAAACTTAAAGACCTTGTCGAAGTTGTTCGGTGCCCAGAAGACCGGATTGTGATTCTCATGAAGCAATCCCCATGCATGTCCGAGCTCGTGAGCAATATTGGCTGCTGGATCCCCAAGTTGGTTATGACTAATGTGCAGCGCGGCGACTGGTCCTCCTCGACGCGGGTTCTCCTTCGGTTTCTCCTTTCCGACTGAGGAAAAGAAGGCACCCGGATCGATGTACACCCAAAGAACATCCGGTCGCTCCAGGACGCATTTCAAGTGGTGTGCCCGTTGGATCTTGTACTCTGCGGGTAGACCCGCCGCATACCAAAGATCCATTGCCGCCTTGATGTATGGGCCCAACTCCCGTTCAGCCTCGAGGTTGCCATAACATATGGGAATCAATTTGTTCGGCCAAGGAGAGGTTGACGTGCGGCGGTGGTTATCAAAATGCGCCCAACGAGCATGGGTCAAGCTGGATTGATGAGATGGTTCCCAGAGATGGTTGCCGGCTTCCACAGGAAAGTGACAGACGAGAAGAAGAGCCAAGATGAAGAGAATGAAAGACTTCATCTTACTCATGGTCAATGCTGTTGCCTGAAAACAGTGAGTGGTCTGATATATGTGACTTCGAGTGAAACTTACCAGCAATAGTGGCTGATCGATGGTTAGTTCAGGAAGTAAGAGAAGGAAACCTTAACAGACAGAAGAAGCTGATTGTCTTTTATTGCTTAAAGTAGGTACTTGTGTTATTTGTGGTTTTTGTGGTTTTGACGGAACTTACCAGCCCTTGAGATTGGTTAATAGTCAACACAGGGAAGGGGTATCAGATGACTGCTTTGGAGGATAGATGGAGAACAAGAAAACAAAGGCAGGCTGGGCAGTAGGGCAAGTTGTGTTAAACAAGGCCTTTGAAGTGTGAAAGAAAGTAAGGAAGAAAGTGAATATCCATGTGAATATTTACTGGAGGCTGCACTAGACACCTGGGCGCTGCAAATCTTACTCCTATTCACTATATTCTGTTAACCTGTGTTGACTATCATTCACAGATCTGTCACTCAGTCTTGGAGACCATTATTCACACCTGGATCAATGCTGAACTTCTGAACTCCCGAACTCCTGACAACTGAATATAAATACCCCCTCAACCCCCGGCCTAATTTTTTTTTTTTTTTCTTCATCATCTCCCTCTCATCTTCTCTCTTCCTTCCTTGCTATCAGAAAAAACTTTGACAACCTTTATGGTAAAAATCTTCAACTCAACCACGATGAAGCTCTTGGTCTTTCTCCTTGGGCTCCTTGGGCTCTTTGCTCAAGTGTCTGCCTCCCAGTTTAGCGGTCTCCAGGTCCTTGCCAATGCCGACAATGATTACACTTGCTCTCTTTCCAAGCCCTGCACTATTGGTTGCTGCGGCCCTCTGTGTGTCTTCCCCTCCAATCACCCTTGTGTTATAGTACTAACATCAACTAGCAATGACTTAACCGGTAAAGGTGTCTGCGGCTTTGGTCCAGATTTCTGTGGAGAAGGATGTACCTCGTCTTGTGACCGAAAGAGCGAGTGTGACGCTGGCTGGGGAATGCAGTGGTCGAATCACTCGACTTGTCCTTTGAACGTTTGTTGCAGCAAGTTTGGATTCTGTGGTATGTAATTGGTCTCTTATGAATTACTTGACATGTCGAAACTGACTTCTTCCAGGTACTACGACCGACTTCTGTGGAGACAAAACTGTGGTTTCACCTCAGTGCAGCGGCACCAGCGCTCACCAACGGACCATAGGTTATTTTGAAGGTTGGAACATGGATCAGCGGAAGTGCAACAGTAAGTCCCCCCAAATTTTGTCCTTCAAGAGCAGACTATCATACTTACCTTGGATGCAGCAATGGCACCCGAAGATATCCCTCTTGGAATCTACACACACATCAATTTCGCTTTCGCGCTCATCGACCCAAAGACCTTTCGGATTGCCCCCATGGACCAGAACACCGGCTCTAGATACCGTGCCGTCACCTCCCTCAAGAACCGGCAGCCGTCGCTGAAGGTCTGGATCGCCATAGGTGGTTGGGCAATGAACGATCCAGGAGCCACCCGAACTACCTTTTCTGATCTTGCTGCATCCGAGGAAAAGCAAGATATTTTCTTCGAGTCGCTGCTTAGCTTCATCGTGAATAATAACTTTGATGGTGTTGACTTGGACTGGGAATATCCTGTTACCGATGATCGCGGTGGAAAGCCCGAAGACTTTGGTAACTTCGTCACCTTGCTTGAGCGGCTCCGAGGTCGGTTGAATCAGATTCCTAGGCCGATTGGGCTGTCAATTACTCTGGTACGTCTTCTCTTCCATTTTCTGTTACTCATTATGCTCTGATGACTGACTGGATGTTGCTGTGTGTGAAGCCTGCCTCCTATTGGTATCTTCGAGGTTTTGACATCATCCGTCTTGAACAACATGTTGATTTTCTAAATGTTATGACCTACGATATCCGTAAGTATTTTCTTATCCCGCTCCTCTCTGCGACTCGCTGTGTGCTAACCGCCATACAGACGGTACTTGGGACGGGCCTATTGAATCTTTGGGTCCATACGCCCTCGCGCACACGAACCTCACGGAAATCAATCTGGCTCTGGAGCTCCTTTGGCGCAACAACATCAATCCCTCCCGCGTGAATCTCGGTCTCGGCTTCTATGGTCGCAGCTTTACTCTCGAATCTCCCAACTGTATTGCACCGGGCTGCAAATGGAGCGGCGCCGGTAGGCCAGGTCCTTGCACAAATACAGGCGGTGTTCTCTCGGCCACTGAAATTTCCCACATCCTCAAAACTGAAAAGGGTGTGACATATCTCGACAAGGATGCTGCCGTACGGGTTGCCGTATTCGACGAAGACCAGTGGGTTGCCTACGATGATGCGGAAACCTTGAAAATGAAGCTAGACTTCGCCAATAAGCGTTGCTTGGGTGGCACAATGGTTTGGGCGGCTGACTTGGATGATGGCGCCCTGATTGATGCTTTGGGCGAGGCAATGGGCAAAGAAAAAGCCTTTGTGGGTGACGGGCTTCCTGATCTTGTTGGGGATCTAGGAACTATTATCGAGCCGACCAACTTGCCTGCCTAAATGTACAACCTTGAGGTCTGAAATGCTAAGTTTCTCTTGAGACCCATGCAACCCAGACAGATTTCTCTTAGTTTATCAGATTCAATGCGATTCTTCTAAAGTTTTTATCGTGATGTAGCCTTAAGGTTGCTCTAGCTATGTAAATGCTCGGGGACATAAGCCGGAACTTGAAGTTATTAACGCCTTTTTATCAAGGTATAAGTCATTCCAAGGCCCATAAGAAAAAAATAAAAAGGTGAGAACATAAGATTGCCATTTCTCCTTTATCTATACATGCCAAATGCGCCGACCCCTCTATCCTGACTGTTTAATTAGATAGGTACACTTAAGCTTCTTGACCAAAGGTCTTTATTAGCAAATTAAAAAGCTGTTGGGTAGCGCAATCGAACCCTATACTAATTTCCTTATATGCCACGTAAAACAGTGCTTTGTACTACTTATACGGATTCTTCATTTAGGTATTTTGTTTCCTGATCTGATAGAGTGTCCTAGCTGAACTTTGAACGTAAAAAATTTTGCCATGGGTCTTCCTTATCCTCCGATGCGACAGCCTTTGTATTCTCTTCTTCGAAGTCATGCCATGTTTATCCTACTTTATGCAGCTTGGCTAAGCAAAGTGGATTGGCAAACGTGCTAGACGACCCTTATGTGATGTAGCCCATTCTCATGTACAGCTATCAAGTGTCAATCTTCGAAGCGTGCATCATATGCGTATACCTACATAGCCATCGCAATAATGCCTAGACACCAGTTTCGAGGCTTGATAGATCAATACAGCTAAGCTATGGAGTAGCTTTTGTGATGTAGATCCAGCATGTATACAAGAAAGGGTCCGACCTGCCGCGAGCCCTTGTCATGCGCAGTCATGATTTGGAACAGTTGAGTTTGTCACTGAACTGGCAAATGTGTGATTGTTATCAGGTGCCCTGCTCGTGGAATGTTGGATACGGACGACAATATAACTCCTAGACTAAAATCCAAAATCTCTCGCCTTTGACTTCTAGCCGTTCGCATCCCAGAATGGACAGACAACGTATATACTTAGGCCCACTACGGATTGGCAAACTAGAGGATCATGATCCCAATCCAAGCAGCCGAGCAAGGATGCTGTCGAATGGAACTCTGTCTAAGAGCGTGGTCCGTTCCCAGTCAATTTCGGCGTAACACACTCAACGAAGAGAGCACCAGACCCTGCCCTCAGCTCAATTCTCCTCAAAGACAGCCTCGGGCATGCAGATTGATCTAGACTCAACATTATCATTCTAGCCAGAAAGTGTTTCGGGTGAGGACTGTCTCAAGAGTGACTATCCTGCAGTGACGTGTACCAGTGCCTGGCGAGGGCTAAACCCGACAGTTGACGATAACATCAGGCAGAGAGATTCACACTGCGTTTTTAGTAATGATATTGACTTGGGTTGGAGCATAGACAAGGAGAGTGACTACAGTGGTAAATAACAGAAATCTGGGAAAGGCTGGCTCAGCACCTCACCTGTAGGCATGAAGCAAGTAAGAGCAGAGTGAATCTCAAAGTGACTCCAGCAGTGCAAGCTTGGAAACTGGAAAACTCACAATCTTCCTGGAAACCCCCATAAATAAGAGTCTTCCTCGGCCAACCTGTTGCATTTTCCTTATTTTCCAACCACTCCTCTTCATCTTCCTCTTCATCTTCCTCTTCCTCCTGTCGTTTCTTCCTCTTTTCGTTTTATCATTCTTGTCCCTTCAGCCAAAATGAAGATGCCTGTTCTCTTTTCATTGCTTCTGGCTTGGCTTTTTATGGTTCCCATAACTAGCCTTTCCGTTTCCCAACCCGAGCATTCTGACATCGCCGTTTCTCCTGTCAACACTCTAAATGTGTTCCATTCTTCCCCTCCCTCTGACACCCTTAGCCCTGACAATTTTCGCTGGGTAGAACGCTGGGCTGCGATTGGGGACAGCTTCACAGCAGGAATCGGTTCTGGTCAACTATACTCGAAGTCGGATGGCGATACTCGGTGCTCTCGCTACGACCGTTCGTATCCTGCCCTTATAGAGCGTCGTCTAGGCCCTTCTGTCAAAGTTTTCGAGTATCTTGCCTGCTCTGGAGCTCGTACTGGCGGTATCTTCCAGCAAGCCCTTTCTTTGCGCCAGGACCTGGACCTCGTTGTCTTGTCGGCTGGTGGGAATGATCTCTGCCTTGTATGCCCCTTCAAAGCGCGATACAGAATCCATGCTGACAAGGAAACAGTCGAGTATCCTCACCACTTGCATCTTCCTTCCTTTTCAGGGCGAAAAGGCTTGCCAGGACATCCTCGATAAGGCCCAAGAAAACATCGACACAATTCTGAAACAGAATCTTCGACAGGTCCTTAGCGCCCTGAACAGCAAGGTGAAGAAGAACGGCATTATCGTCTTTGCCCTCTATGCGCAATACTTCAATACCCAGAACAACGAATGCGCAGACAAACAAGATTGGTCGTTTCCCCAGGGCCTTCCTTTTTCAGGTCTCAAGCTCACTATTGAACGACGTCAAAAGTTCAATAATCTCGTAGCAAACATCAATAAGGCCATCAAGGAAGTGATTCACGAGTATCAACACGACCCTTGGATCAAGTATCGCATCACTTACGCAGACTGGGAAGTATGGGCGCGCGAAGCCGTCAAAGGCCAGTTCTGCGTCCCCGGAACGACGCGCGCATATCCAGATGATTGGCAGCCGGACTTGCATTTTTTCCGCCCTAGCCTTCGGTCTCGCGGGTCTGATCATGATGAGCTCAAGAAGAAAGGTCTCATATACCACAAGAAAGTCAACGAAACAGAGATTCAAGAGGATGAACTTGCCATCTACAACACATTTTTGTACAAGTCTGCGAACCCTGCCGCCGATGCCTTGAAAGCTCTAGAGCCACGCACCCCTACTCCTCCAGGCTGTCCCGGAGATGACAAAGCTAGCTTTGGGATCGGACTTCCAGATAGATGGGGGAAGCTGTTTCATCCGAACGAACTCGGCCATCGAACAATGGCGTCATTCGTGATGGAGGCGATAATTGCTGTGCGGTCCGGTATACTGGGCATCGAACACCCGATCTGCAAACAAATTGATCAGTTCAACTGCAATTCGCCATGGGTCACGGATCATCGGTATCTGAGCACTGACGTTTTGACTGAAACTGTCAAGACTTATTGCAAGGAAGTGGTCCCCCGAGAAGGTCAGAAATGGGCCGACGAACGTCTCTTTTACAAGGGCACACCTGAAGCTCACACTTACCGGATTGAAGCGCGGGCTGGAGTGAGCGAGTACTCCGAACAGCAGTGCCTACTAGCTTTTAACCGCATAATACATGGCTGCAACCGTATAACCAAGAACCCGATGAACTTCAAGCTTGGCGGTAGCTATTACTTCGGATCATTCAGATACATACTCAGGCCAGTTGGGAAACAGCGACCTTGGCCTGTAATCGAAAAGCCGTACGGCAAGTGCGAGGGCAACGACGAAGGCAGCATGTCAACATACACTTTGTATGGCGCTGGCTGGGCATCTTCGGACCGTGGACGAAAGTTCTACAAGGCCATGAGTGACTGCATTGGCTGGACTGTGAATAGCTACAGCTTCAAATACTTTGACCGACCAGACAAGGATGGGTATGAGTGGAAGATGATTGTGCATTGGCCAGACCATGTGAAAAAATGCTTCCGTAATGACAAAGTTCAGAAGGAAGCCGGAGGGACTACCGGTGGATGTCTCGGAACAGATTGAGCGTATCCCATTTCATGTTGTGGGCAAACGCAGTGTTTATTTCTTGTCTCTTTTGTATCTAAAGTACACGAGGTCTTGTCAACTTGAAGTACGACTTATCATAGCTTCTATTGGAGAGAAATTTATCGCGCTTAGCAGATATATGCATGTAACCTAGTCATAGAGCTATTTAAAAGGTCCTTATCGCCGAATCAACATAAGCCTGTGGTCAAACCAATTGGCTGCTGCAGTAAACGTAAGCAAAAGTCGTGCCACTCGTAAACATTCATTATATACGCAGATCGAAGTGGCTATGTGATGGGCATGTTCCAGGGCCATGTCTGTTCTAACCATTTTCTCCAGGGCTATCGAGTTCTCTGGTTTTCGTAGTGCCCTCGAAGATCATCTACCTCTTTCTGCAATCGCGACAGGTCTGCCAGAATGTCCTTCGCGTTAGATGGGTGCGAAACAAGATTCTCAGCCTGACTTGCGTTGTGCTCGGAACGAAGACTGGATCGCGAGTCATTATCACTGCCGTGATTGCCCGCGCGAGTGCGGCGAGGAGGAGGAGGTGTTGGTAAGTGGCTCATTGATGATGCTCGCCTTGAGGTACCCTGAGAACTCGACTGGATTTGTAGGCCAGATACTTCGGTCGTGTGCAAGTAAGATGTTGGGGGTAAGTTCTCGGACTGTAAAGTAAAGCTCGAGCTCTCCTCATCGTGGGTGGACGAGTCATTCCTCGAGTCTCTAGTCCGTACCGAAGGAGTTAGTGGCCGAGATCCAGGACTTGATGATGTCGACGCAAGAACCTCGATCGTGGAATGGCGCGTGGACAACTGAAAAGAGCTCGGTTTTGAGAGCGTCGATTTGGAACGCCTCATTTGACTATGTCGTCGACTCAACGGAGGAGTGGGTGGCCGCTTGTGTTGGGATTGACTGCGCCGGAGAGCATCAGTCGGCGGCGCAGGCTGACTTGAGGGTGTACCGAAATGTTCAAGAGGTTCTTGCCGTATTCGAGGAGGCACTGGAAGGCCTGCAAAAGAGCTGGAGCTGTGAAACGAGATCCCGTTTGTAGCTTTGCTAGGCATCGTTTGCAACATAGACGGTGCCATTCTCGGAACTGAGCTGATCAGCTTTCCATGATGACTTTTTGGCGGAGGAGGCGGCACCCGGTCTTTATTTCCCGAACGAATAGCAAGGGCCTTTGGGTTTATGCCCGTGCTTATAGAGATTGGCCGGCCTGAGGTTTTGGGGAGTGCATACGACTGACGCTTTTCGGCAGCGTTCTCGCTATCTGTTTCCTCCATCGAAACGGACGACCGACTGAAGGCGATCGAGCTGGAAACGGCTGTATCTTCCAGGAATTCTTCAACATTCCGGGATTCCAATCGAGAAGTAGCAGTTGACAAGGTTTGTCCTCGAGCTAGGTCAGTTGGCGTGGTAAGCAGCTGACGAGTATCAGCCCGGATGGTTTCCTGAGAATACAGAGCGCCAGGGGAAGATATTGCTGGCTCTTCAAGGCGTTGTCCCCGTCCAGCGTCATCATCGCTCACATCAGAGTTCTGACTGAATGGATCCGAAGTTACTGTATTGTTCAGACCAGGCGCATTGGCCGTTGAGAGAGGGGCGTCCGCAGTCAAGGAAGAGCGGTCCGTCTGGCCAGCTGCAACCGCGGCAGTAGATGAAGGGCTAAGCGAAACTGGATGCGACGCAGTTGAAGACGACTTTATGAGAGGAGAGAGATGAGGCTGATGTTTATAAGCTGTATGATCTGGAAGGGTCAGCCGGTCCGCGGTGGTCTTGTAGGCTGCGCGCAGGCAAGTCGGAAGCGGCGGAAGGGAAGCCTCACCTTCTAACTTCTTAGGGCGGAAAGGATTTAATCCAGACATCGCAAAGAGAATTGGCAGCACCGATCATGAGCACTAAATTTGGGACGAGACTGACGAGAGCGGAAAAACTGGAGGGGGGGAGATAAGAGGGGGAGAGAGTGAAGCTGATGGCGGAGTCGTCGAGCGTCAACAAAAGGCCGCTGACCATCCGCACGGCTTCCGGAAAGAACAACGGCCGACAGCCTCTACATTACATGCGCTCATCTATTTTTGACAATGTGCAATCCGCCGGAAAACAGCTGGAAAGTTAATAAAATATGGGGTAAGTATATGGTACAGAGAAGAATAGCCAAAGAATATATCCCCAAATCCGCCATTCCAAAAAAAAAAAACACCGCCAAATACAAAACCCCCAGACAAATGCTGGTCAATATGCCTCCCTCATGGCCCATTTCCCGAATGAATAAGGGTATCAGCTAGCCGAGTATGTAGTAAGAAAACAAAGGGAGAAAGGAAGAGCGAATGCAAAGGCGCAAGGCCGGATTGGATGCTTGCTTCCCTCTATGCATCGCACACCATGCTAGTGCTCGTAAATCTTAAATGGCAATTGTATGCACAACATTAGCTTTCCTTGTAGACATGCCATTCTTTGTCAGGCCCGAAGAACGCTTGGGCAAGGCTCTTCCCGCTGTTCGTTGGCTGGCTGAAGGCTACCTGCTCTTTGGGGATCTCCATCCCGTAAATAAAGTTGCTCACGACACAGTCCAGAAGGTCCATCGCTATTCCTTTGCGTCTTGAGGAGCCGGACGTCCAAATACGTGAGATTCCCACAATCGCGGGATGGGTCTCAGCGCGAACAGTGACGGCCGCGTCGGCGCCGTCTATGTGGACAAATGCCTTGTCCACCGCGTGAGATTCCCAGATACGTTCGGTTAAACATGCCCCAACGCACCGGCTGTCCTTCATGTGTAAGAAGACCTTGTATCTGTCAACCTTCTCCGACCCACCGTTCTTGCGTGAATGTTTTGGTGGCTCAGTCTGGCTCCATAGAATATCGTCCTCAATAACGGGAGAGGACAGCTCCTTGCTTATCACCTCAAGCACCTTCTTGGCTTGGTTCTTCGCGGTAGGCGACGACTTGCGATCCACTATTACAACATATCCCTCGTCAAAACGAGTCGCTTCGTAGACCCATCGCGACGCGTTTGCCCTCATGAATGCTTTGCCTAGATCCACTCCTGTCGAGTTCATGTCGTGAAATTTCTTATGGAGCGACGCGTCCTCTGCGTTGGATGGCACATATTCCATCCCACAGGTTGCACAAGTTTTCCGTACCTCATGGCCCAGATCTAATTGCATCTGCTTCAACGCCGGTTGTTGAGTATTTGGCGTTGCTACCTTCTTCTTCGGAGGATCGAGGGATGCGCGCACACTGTTGGAGTTCACTTCGGAGAGAGGTGACCCATTGGCGCCATCCTTGGTCGCGGAGTGCTTGCGCTTGAGAAAGGAAAAGGTCGGTTTGCGGGTGTTCTGCGGAGGAGGAGATAGGCGTGGCGGTGGGGAGGAAGGAGGTGTCGACAGGTCGGTGTCCTGAGAGCCGTCGGAAAGTGCCAGAGAATTCCGACGCGATGGACTCGATCGCACGTTAGCCGCAGACTCGCGGATGGCGTACTCGAGGCTCTTCTCAGCCGCGTCCGAGTCGCTATCCGATAGAACGCGTCTTTTCTTAACCGCTGGTCGTTGGTCATCATCGTAGACGCGCCATGAAGACCGGCCGTATGTTTTCATCATGAGACCTCTGCCAAAGGACTATTAGGGGGTTGGAGGCGAATGCGAGGGGCCATGAGGAGAGCTCGTACCGCTTGAATGAATTTGTTACAGTCCACGGCATCTCCTTTTTTTCCCGTCTCAAGAGTGACTGTTTCAGATCATGAGAGACCAGTGCGGGCGAACATGGATGACGCGCAGGACGGCAGAGAGGCCGAGGGCAGAAACAGGAGACGGGCAATGGTGTTATGCGCTGATGACGCCTGTGATGATTATTTTCCACGGACGGAAGGCTTCGGCGGCGAGTGATCGACAGTTGGAACGGGGCGGAACGCGTGAGGGCAAACTAGCCCGATTCAGCTATATTGAATGGGAGCTGGAGAGGTTGTTCGCAAGGTGAGGTGAAGGCAGAGAGGCTTCAAGGATATTTATCCAGGCAGCCGTTACGACGATGATGATGCTTGTGGAACTGCTTTGATTACAGACACTGGCGACTGGCCACCAACAACTTCCCGACTTCGCCTCCTGAAATCATGAGCGACCAACCATCGCCCTCGCTGCTACCTGCATAAAGTATGTATCTCCAGCGCCCTGCTATGACTGGGCGGCCTCCGTCACTCGAAGCTGAGCTGGCATTTATGTTTCTCTTGCTATTTATTATTTATTCCCCTGCCTTGGTTGGCCCAGCCCTTGCCGCCCCCTCGCCGTCCATGATGCCTTACGGGGCTCTCCCTTTCTCCTGATCTCCAGAGTACAGTGCTCTCAAAGCAAGGGCTATCTTGAGTACTGACTCTGCTTTCTGCGCTTGAGTCGCACTCTGGTGCCGAGTGTGGGATTGTTCCCATGATACGCCCTGGAAATTCCTAGGTGCCTCAAATGCCTTCAGGTACCTCACATACCTCCTGGATCGTGGTTGCCTTGACTACAGAAAAAAGTACTCGCACGCTACTTCGTATCCTCAGTCGTGTTGATGGCTTCGAAGTCCTGAGACCTTGATTTGGTGCCACGAGATCAGCCACCAAGGCGAATGAATCCTTTGTTTCCATCACGAGAATTCCTCAACTGCATGCACGCTGTCCATCCTCAGCATTCCTTACCGTCGGACAAACCATCTTGCGACGGCTGGATCGTGAGTTTGTGACTGAGACCCCCATTCTTGCTTTTTCGTACTTCAAGAACCCGAGACTCGAGTCAATTGCGTCCATGCAAACACCCTGCCCAGAGAATCCTCAGACTGATACAATACCCCACCATAGCACTTGACTGCCTTGCGCGATGATTCTTCTGAATAGAACACCAAGATGGAGCAGTTACTCGCATCTCAAACGCCAGCAGGCTTTGCCAGTATTTGGACAGTTCTTAGTCATACTTACTCCGTTTATCGCGGGCTATAGCAATCCTCCACTCACAAAACGGTGCTAAATCACGTCACAGATAGGCGGATGTGATCTTTCTCTAAGATACTGATGGAGCAGTAGGTCTGATATCTGAGATCTGATGTACTGCACTGAAGGGTTGACGCTGGCGAAGTAATCGAGCTTAACCGCCACCAAGTGTGACAAATGAGAAACTCACAAGGCCTCAGTGGCTGGGACATTCAGATCTGTGCATTATTCTGGGTGGTACGAGTAAGTCAGTCGAGGTATCCCACGCATGTTGCATAACACGTCGGCCCTTGATTATGCGAATTTGGAAGCCACATGCAACAGCGGGCTAGAGGAGATGAACCTCACAGAGAGGCAGAGGAAAGCTCCGTTGGATGGGGCCAAGCGGCCGCAGTCGGCATTGCGGCAACCAAGCGCATTGAAAAAGAAAGGCTCCGGATAAGACAGCACCAAGGTCAAAATCTTGTGCCATGTTTCGTCAAAAAAGCAAACCATTGGCCTGAATATTCCTGTTTTTGGCCCCCTTACAGAACATTCATGCAAAGAAGATCTAAAACAGACGAGGCCGCTGTGCGATTCACGAGCTAGGTAGCCGCGCGGAGAAACAGCCGCCAACGGAGCAATTGCAACCCAACAGAAACACCAAATCCGTTGGCGTCAGCGAGACGAGAGGCACCCCAGGGAGATGGGCACAAGCTCCGAGTGTGATCATACTCCGGCAGTGATAAGGTGATGGCCAATGGTTGGATCTCCTGAAAAGCACCTATAGTCCGTACTCCGTAGTGCTGACGGGAGAATATAGACAGGCAGTCGGGGCGGGGAAGATTCAAGTTTGACAGAAGCCTTCTATACATATCGGGTCATGATAGTAGAGCTTGGCTTTTGATGGATGATTCGACATGGCGAGAATAGAAGAGTATGGTGGGATGAATTGACAACTGCTGGAAAAGGTGGAATGCGCAGGGACGATGGTGAGAGCGACTCAAAAGGATCCTCTACCGGGGACCCGAGTATACGGGGCCAATTGACACAGTAGTCTAGGGGCCCGAGATAACCCATATACCATGGCCAATAAGCCCGACAAATACTCCGGATGTTGTGAGTTGTGACTTGGGATGGTCTGCTCCTCTCCGGGGCGGGCGACAACGGTCGATTTCCAGATTTGGCGGGACCCGAGAAAAAACTCCATTCCGCCTTTCTGTCTGTGCCTCTTTTTTTCTTCAGACTCCGATTAGCCTCCATGCGAGACATTCTTTCTGTTTTACCCATCTTGCAGCCCTCCCTATCTTCTGGGTCCTGAATAGCGGCCCTCCAGATTTTGTATTATAAGCCTCGCAGCCGCCAATTGGCCGTCAAAACCCCTGACCTCCGTCGCGTCTCTTCCACCTCCGAGCCGTCAAAGCTTCAGCTTCGGCCTATTTCCTCTTGCCTGCCGACATAATCGACTGCTGCCTCGATCACTGATTTGCATATATTTCAAAAGTCCGGTCGCTACCATGTCGGAGTCAGTTCAAGTTGCAGGAAAAAGAAAGCGCGCCAGTATGTGTCCATTGTCCAATAAAAGCCTCCTCACTGCCCATCGCCGTCCACGGGTCGAATTTTTCCCCTCATTTCTGCCGCCCTCTCACCCTACTACCTCCGACGGCCTAACTTCCTCTCCTCCTTCTCATCATCTTGCTTGTATTGTTCCATCTCTCCAGTTGGGGTCGAGACGGCGTTGGGCTACATCAAATAAGCTCAGCCACCACTTCGCATCTATTCCACTGTGGTTGTGCTTCAACGCCCACCTGGCAACCACCTTTCCCCGCCACCTTCCCCAGATTATTAGCTTGCGATGAGTGCTGACGCGCCGGTACGCTCAGGGACGCAATCTTGTCCTCCTCCCGAATTGCCGCAACTTGTTGCTGAGCAACATGTTCCTATCCCTCCCAGCGATAAGGAGACGCAGCGCTTGATCGTGGTGCTTTCTCACGCCAGCTTGGAGACGTTCAGGGCTTCCCACGGTGGACGCAATGGCACAGCTCGTGACGAGAAATACTCTTTGCTCAACAGCGATGAACACATTGGCGTAATGCGCAAAATGAATCGAGACATCAGTGAGGCTCGTCCTGACATCACCCATCAGGTTAGACCATCCCTCTCTGGGCGGAGGTACTCCGATAGCATTTGATCGCTAACCAACACTACCTGCCGCAGTGTCTCCTCACCCTCCTTGACTCTCCTGTCAACAAAGCCGGAAAACTGCAAATTTACATTCATACCGCCAAGGGTGTCTTGATTGAAGTCAATCCCTCAGTCCGCATTCCCCGCACATTCAAACGTTTTGCCGGTCTCATGGTTCAGCTCTTGCATCGACTTTCCATCCGTTCCACCAACTCTCAAGAGAAGCTGCTCAAGGTCATCAAAAACCCCATCACCGACCACTTGCCTCCAAACTGCCGGAAAGTGACCCTTAGTTACGAAGCTCCGGTGGTGAGAGTCAAAGATTACATCGAATCTCTCGGTCCCAAAGAAAGTATTTGTATATTCGTTGGAGCCATGGCCAAGGGCCAGGATGACTTTGCGGATTCTTTCAAGGATGATGCCATCAGTATCAGCAATTACAGTCTCAGTGCCAGCGTCGCATGCAGCAAATTTTGTCATGCCGCTGAAGAAGTCTGGGATATCCTTTGAACGAGTCTGGGGCTCTGGTTTCCAGCTTTCCATGATGGAATATATTTGAACTCGACGATGTGACGAATTTCCTTGCGATCATACCATTAATGGCCCGTCGGAAACACTGCAAGCGCCGAATGGTAGATCCAATCTCAAGTCCTGTTGCCCATTTTCCCACTCTTGGACTCCGCGCCATCTTTGTCCATTCAGATACATGTCGGTTTCCGGCTTGCCTTGCCTCTTTTGATCCAATAGCAAAACTCTCTGCCTTACGACAGCAGCTCACTCAAGATCACAGCGTCGTATTTCAGGAGCTATGCACAAAGTCTTCTGGCGGTCTTCTTGATATGTGACAGAAGGAATTTTTAAGGTTATAGGGATCAGACCGGTCGATATGGGTCATCGATCGATTCTTAGGCTACGCCGTGTTTGTCTGCCATAGCTGCCTAAAACCGCGTCCCCAGTGCAGGACAACAGACTCTAATAAATCATCACCGTGTGAGATACTACACAGTGGTGGAATAGCATATTGCACTTTTTGTATGGACGCCATACTATATACTACTTATATAAATAATGACATGAAGTCGTGGGCCATCTAGGGCGAACGTCTTTTGTTGATTGAGAGTGTCCCTTGACCGCGTGGATAGTGATGTAGAACAATCAGTAGGTCGTAATGCCTGAGGTTGGTTGCCGCACTGTCTTCCGCTCTCTGCTTCCTCTACCGGCCTCCAGGTTTGGGCTCCTTTCACTGCTGGGTGAGATGACTCACTTGACAGTCTACTTGCCGACCATTCTTCTTCACCCTCTGCTTTATGTCACGGTCATGTAACAACTAACATAAATCATACGGACTGGTGGCTCCAATGGCTCAAGGACGGTGGTTCCTCGATACGACGTGGCAAGCAGCCATCGCTCGCTCCGGGTGAGTTTGTGGATCTCCCGCTTCGTTTGGGGCGCTCAAAGGGTGAGGTCCGACTCCGTTCATGCGTTGACCCCATTCAGCGTTCTCTTTTCTATTACTGTACTAAGCTAATTATTGTGGACGGCGTCGGGGATCCTAAGCCTGACAGCGGATAGACTACAAGCAATTCAACAACAGCCCTCGGCGTACGACGGACACTCTGGCGATCGTCTCACGCCCTCGAAGTGACTTCTAATGAATCATGACGCCTGATATATCCTTGTCCTAGGAAAATTGGTCTATGGGTCATTGTCAAGTACTATGGGGTGGGTATCACCGAGCGGTCAGACCGCACCAGCGGCGATTTTGAGCAGGCTAACAGCAGCAAAAGTGCCCAAAGCAGGAACGAAACAGGCCATCGTCAGACGGTCAGAGAAGCAGCCGACAAGAGGGGCCGTTGAAGTGGCTCTCCAGTCCGAACTCGACGCTCGTGCTCTTGCGTTCGCTGTTCCCTCATGATTGGCGGCTGTGACGACCACGGCGTCCAATACCTAAGACTAGCCTGGCCAGGTTGCGCATGGCGGCGGCATGAGTTATCACTTATCCCCCTCTTACTGTGGTGAGGGCAGATGAACCACTAGCTAGTCTAGCTGCAGTCTAGATACAAGGCCACGCTTCAGGCCTGGCAATATCCGTTGTCAAGACTCATGCTGCCATCCAATCCGATTTTTCCGCTCGGTTCATGATCTCTCGCCTCACCAGCTTGACTTTACTGATGTTGCTTGGCTTCGGTCTTGCATGGTACCCACCCATTTCCTAATCGACAGGGCCACCTACAGGATCCCCGTCAGGCTTCTCCACGATGACCTGGCTGTGATTCCAATGCTGTTCGACCCCTCGTGGCTAACCTCACCGATAGGAGTGCCGTGGGTCTTTCTAGATTTCAAGACTCCTGATAGGAGCCCTTCGCTTCCGATGACTGCCTGCATGGCCGGGTTCTCTTAGAGACAATGCACTCCTGCCTGCAAAATATCAAGACTGCTTTCTCTCACACGAGGACGGTTAGGAGATTGACACCCTCGCGATTTCTGGTTGGATGACGAGTACTTGCTTTGCGAGTAACCCCAAACTCTAGAAGTTTTGTCATTCTTCTTTATCAGGCCGCTTTTTCCTGTCTCTTCTGGTCTTCACTCATCTACTCCGTCCTCAATCCCCGGGCCATATATTTACATTATTATACTGGCTTGTTGCCCATATCCTATCCAATTTCTCAATAATCAGACATCACATCTGTGATCCTCCTGCCACACCTTCTGGTCTTCTTTCTGATAAAGTTTCGCTGTAGTTTGTACTCAGCGAGATAACCCGCCCGGCCAAACCATGCCTTTGTCTCACTTAACTTTGACCGTTTCCCACCTCCCTACGTCCACATCATTCTTTCTTTCCTGTCTACAACCCCTGGGTTACAAATTCATCGGTCGCCATGATGACTACATTGGCTTTGGGCAAGACTCCAACGAACCCGCAGACTTCTGGATAACCGAGCAAAAGCCAGGGCGAGTAGTCGCTATGCACATACCCTACTCCATTTCTAACTAAGTTACAGGTTCCCCGCCGGAGCCGCTCATGTTGCGTTTCCGGCACCCACAAAGGACGCCGTAAATTCGTTCTTCATTTGTGCGCTAAAAGCTGGAGGGAAACTCCACGGAGAGCCCAAGACTCGCGACTCCCAGTCAGGCTACTTTAGCGCGGCGGTCATGGATATGGATGGGAATAGCATTGAGGCCGTATACCGTCCCGAGGCGGACACGAAGAGCAGCAGCGGCAGCAATGTTAGTAGCAGCGCCGTGGCCAGGTCAGTCGTCAGTAAACCTGCTCTGGCACTCCTCGAGAACGGCTCGGTTGTTTCAAAGGCCAGTACTATTAAGTCCAGTGCAAGACCCCACGCCTCCAGGGCAATCACCGCTATGGAGCGGGGAGCTCCCTCGGAACGGGTTGCATCAATGGTCACGTCTCGTGAAATCCAACAAGCACCCCCTCAAACCTATGTCGTTCACACACACACAACGCAAAAGAATGACGACGGGAAGGCAGCTAAAACGATCGTCGGCACACTTATTGGGGCCGCCGCTGGCGCAGCCATCGCCTACGCCATGTCTAAGGGTGATTCTGAGCCGACCCCGGCAACAACCTCTTTACCCCCACCTCAGTTCGTATCTCAGGAGTTTCGTCAGCTTCCCTCGCAAGAGTCTTCGCCGACCCCGTCGCAATTTCTGGACTACCAAGGCTACCGAGCCATTGAAGCACCTCCACGCAGTGTCTACTCTACCGCAGACTCACGACCCCCGCTGGCCCGAAGCGTGACATCCAAAAATCCCAGAGCAAGTACCGTCTACGACGGCACTGAATTCGGGACAAGAGGTCCAAAGGGAAGCTTATACTATGATGAAAGCGGCCGTCGTGCCTCAGAAGGAAGCATCTACAGCCAAAGCGGAGGCCCAATGAGGGCCATCGAGTATCCGTCCGCGCATGAAACCCAGCAATATCCCGCCGACGTAAGCACTTTAATCAGCTCCTTCCGCGAGAAATCCCGCATTTCGGAAAGGGGTAGTGTCTACTCTACTTCCACAATCAAAGCACCCAAATCCCATCATTCCCACCACCAAAGCTCTCACCAATCCGTCACAAAGTCCCATGCTGGAAGTATGGCATCCTCCACACGAACGGCCCGTCAAGTTCCTCTTCCTGAGGGCTCGACAGTTTCATATGCTTCTTACCGCAGCCCCGCCAAATCTGCGGCTCCCTACGATGACGTGGATGTTGAAACACATGTCACACCTGACGACTCGATCAGTCAGGCAGGTGATTCGTCTAGACGGTCCACGCATTCGCATCGCTCTCATCAATCTCATAAGTCGCATGTCTCCAAACGCTCGAGTAAGTTTGATGAGCCCGTCAGACCGAGTGACAGTGTCAGCCAGGTGTCGAGTCATGCTTCCAGGCGCACTGTCAAGGCTAGCGGGAGTATCGCAGGGAGTGGTTCCAAAGCTGGTTCCAGAATCAGTCCTAGTCGGAGAGGAAGCCAGGTCGCATGAATTTCCATTTTTACTTGGTTCTTTACGGCTTTTTAGCCTGTTGTTCTCTCAACTTACTTTACTTCTCTTCTTTTTTCTAGACGATGATGCAGGCAATGTTTTAGGGCTTCCTATCATCGAGCTGTTTCCGCATGGTATATAAACTTTCTTTCCACTTGCATGTTGCATAGCATGCTTCAATTGTTCCAAAGATATCTTTTCTAGCAATTCCATTAACCCAAGCGCCTAGTATTAATTAGCTTGAGAATATGGTCTAGTCTCATCCAGATCACGATAAATGAAGGTATTATTTTATAACAACCACCTAGTACTACGACCTAGTTCTTTCGCCTGCACACAGTCCCTTGATGAGTGCAGGGTTACAATGTACAGGATACCAAAGCTGCTTACCAGTTGTTGATGAGGACAGTTTAGCAGGTGAGAGGAAAAGGTTGTGCTAAAGGTGGCTAACTAGTTATTTGGTACACTAGCATCCAGATCACTTGCCCTGTCCCTGGCACCCAAGCACCTGCCTAATGTCTAGGCTAGTAAGCCTATGCAACTGCATCAACAGCTCTGCGACTCCGACCCAAAGAAGAACACCATGCAAGCTTGGGTTAAATTGTAAATCACATAACACTGTCCGAATCCATTCAGTGAAACAAAATGCCATGAATGCATGAGTTGGTCGTGATGATCGTCAGATATGACATTTTCCCTCCCAAGAGAAGCCCGAAACAGGTTAGGAATAAAGTTGAAGCACGTGCAAATGGTCTGCGAGAAAACAACGAAGAGATCTACGATCACGGCACACCAGGCTTCCAGTAAGTTGTCACAGAGCGGATGGAGACGCAAAGGGCTTGAGAAGACCAAGTGTGGCCGTGGGACTTGATAGGCAAAGATCAGATGGCGTACTTGCGAGTCCATTCGCGTGCAGTGGCTTCGTATCGGGGACGATCGGTCTTGTACACGTGGGCGATTTCAGGCACCAAGGGATCATCCGGGTTGGGATCTGTGAGCATGGAACATATCGAAAGCAGCACTGCGAAGCGCGTTAGCCCCGCGAAGAATTAGGTCAAGTAGGATCTGATGACTGACCTTTGGAAATTGTCAAAGCTGGACTCCATTGGTCTCGGAGAATGTCAAGACAGATGCTGCCGTTGGAGTTGATGTTCGGATGATAGATCCGGGTATTGAAGTTGACCTTCGGGGGCTTGAACGGATAGTCGGTAGGGAAATGAATCGTTAAGAAGAATACGCCACCCGAGTATGGGGAGTCGCCCTGGAAGGGACAATCCGTCAGCAAGTGAGTCCCACAATGACGCGGCCGCAAGGCTCTTCATACGGCGACGGTACAGGCCCTACAGCAGCCACCGTTCGTGGAAGGGGACGCTACTTACAGGACCCATGATTGTTGCTTGCCAATGGAACTACCCAAGGGGAAGAATCAAGCGTTAGTGCATCGTTCGGTTCTTGACGCCGCAAGATGGGTTCCGCTGCGATTGATGACAGTCGAACAGAGCAGGCAGGATATCACAAGCATACCAGATCTTCTCCAGCAGGGCCGGCTGAGCAGGAAGACGGAGGATCACTGTAATAGAAAGCGCACATTAGCACCGTAATGTGAGACCAAGGCGAGACTAGGGGTCGCCAATGTATTTCTTCGGCGGGGGGTATTGACGCCCCGCGGATTTGGTGGGGTGGAACATTCAAGACGCAAGGTGATGACTTACCGGCCGAGATCAGTGAGTTCCTTGTTAATTCTCTTGAGAGCCATTTTAGAAAGATATGAAGAGGGGAGCGTAAAAGATAAAAGAAAAAGTCTTGTACAGTCAATCGACGATTGAAAAAAGAGCGGTGTTACCGGGGTATCTGCAGTGTCAAGAATCCAAGGTTAGCCACCCTGAGAACAGGGAACTGACAGATAAAAGAAAGAATGGCAGAGGTAGACAAGAGAAGCGAAGAGATGGTAAGAGAGGCCAAACAGAGGAGAGCACGGCGAGGGTGGTGATATACTCACAGGATGAGGATTACGTCGGGCGAGGCTGGAGGAGGGGAAGAGAGAGAGAGAAGAGAGAGAAGACTGAAATGGCGAGAAAGCGGGAAGGTGCTGGACTGATTACAAAAATTACACTAATCATAACGCTGACCGTCAGGTACCTGCTGACTGCCCCGTCCACGCTGTAATGGGCGCCTCATACTAATGTATTACCATACAGTGTTCACCAGCCACCTACGCCACACCCCACCACGTCTGGGAGTACTCTGTGTACAAATGATGCTATATACAAATAATGACCCCGCCCGACAACCTGACTTTGACACCTAAGCGAATTCATACTCCGTCTATCGCATGGTGTCAATGTGGTACTATGAGCATCGCTAACTCAAACGGAGCACTCCCACCTCGCTTGTGATGGTTCTGACAAAACCGCCCGCATCAGGCACGCCACTTCAAGGCTGTGCCCACTGCCATGATAACTATGGAGTACTCCGTATGGGTGCTTAAATTTTATTCAAGCCCGTAAGGCATCAAGGTTTACACGAACAACGCCCGACCGGCGACGTGGTCCTTGAAATTACAGGTGTATGTACTATCATTGGGCGGCTATCATTTGCAGGTTGCAACGAGAAAGATCTGACGGACTGCACGTATCTAGATAGATGTCTGCCCTGTCCGCCAGCCGCCTTTCAGGCTCAACATACCTGCCGATCTACTTCGTAGTCTACTGCGCTGCTCGCGTGCCCACATGGCGCAGCCATCACGTGGTTCCCTTGCCACACTCGGTATACTCCGTAATAACCCGGAGGGACCTTCCGTGTATACCGTACGAGATGATCAGCAGCAATGCAACATGAGGCCGATACACTTCACTTCTCCAGAGTATGCAAACTACACAAACGCCTGCACACCGGTAATCGCGCGACCTAAGATTAAGGCTAAAATAGAATCAGTACTGTCAAGGCAATCTGAAGCTAAAAAGTTCTTACCGTGAATGTCGCTTTGGCCTTCATACGTTTGCACCACAAATAAATTCGCCACATGGCGAGCAATGTGGTACTCGTCGCTAGCTGCATTGCCGCCGAAAACCTCCTGGAGTCTGTTTGTAAGAAAGCGGATTAGTTTATTGCGCTGATAGCATCAAACATTGCGATAGGTAGGATCCGAGGGTAAACCTACATCCGAGAATTGGCCAGCGCCCGATCACAATTTTGTCTCTTGATCAATGAAATCATCTCAGGGGTGCATTTCCCAGCGTCTTTCAGCCTCGCAACCTGGGTTGCTGCCAGTGTGCCGTACGTAGCATCGGTAACAGCGTCCGCCAGCTTCTTTTGAATCAACTGGTACTTGGCAAGAGGATTACCCTTGAATTGTTTCCTCTCCAGAGCATAGGTTCGCGCACGGTTAATGCAGTCCTCAAGGGCACCCATGGCTCCGAAAGCAATACCCAGACGAGCGCTGTTAAGGCAGGTAAACGGTCCGGTGAGCCCCTCAACGACAGGGAACATGTTCTCCACGGCCACGGGGCAATTGTCCAACTGGATCATGCCTGTAATCGATGCACGGAGAGCACTCTTGTTCTTGAGAGCAGGCGTCTCAAGCGTCCCTGGAGGGCACTTGCTGCGCTCCACTGCAAACCCACGGATTTTGCCAGTGCTTTGTAGTTTGGCCCAGACAATCAAAACATCGGAAATGGGCGAGTTGGTAATCCAAGTCTTGCTCCCAGAGAGCAGATACACCCCCTTTTGGGTAGGATGTACGCGCGCGATTGTCTCCATAGATCCTGGGTCAGAACCGTGGTTTGGCTCAGTAAGACCAAAGCAACCCGCTAGCTTGCCCTTCGCCAACCCCGGCAGCAGCCTCTCCTTGAGCTCTTGAGTACCAAATTCATGGATTGCGGTCATGGCCAAGGAGCTCTGCACAGACATGCCCGATCTGTATCCCGAGTCCACGCGCTCCACTTCCTTGGTAATCAAGCCAGAAGCAACTGTGCTCACCCCTGCGCAACCATAACCCTCAATGCTCGCACCCAACAGGCCGAGCTCACCCATTTCCTCAAGAATCTTTCGGTCATAGTTTTCGTTACGGTAGGCGTCTGTCCAGTAGGCAAAGCATCAGCAGAAACGCTCGCGGAACATCTAGTGGGTCGTCTTAACTCTACAGTCGCATGTGTCGAATGGAGCACTTACCAAGAACCCGTGGTTGCAAACGTTCCTGGCAATATTGCCTCGCTGTCTCCTGAATCGCTAGCTCATCATCTGTATATAGCTCCGATGCGAGGAGGGGGTCCTCCCAGTTAAAGGCTGTAGCATAGCGACGCACGGCAATGCTACGCGAAGTTGCGGGGATCTGACTCAGTCGAGCTGCTGGGCGAGAGGCGGCACGGAAAAGAGAAGTGTTCATCTTGCTGGTCGTTTGAAGACGGTGAGGTTTTTGTAAATGCAAATGGACTGCAAAGCTCCTTTGGAGACAAGAATGGTAAAGTGGCGCAAGAAAAGGCGTCGCGTGGGGAAGTTTATGAGGGGGCGAACCTCGGCATCCGAATCCGAATCCGCTCTGAAGAGACAGGCTCACCGTACGGTACAGAACTCAAATGGATGAGATGGCCACTTCAGAGCAGGTTGAGCAGAGTCTGGAGATGCGACTTCAAATACCGGCCTGGATGCTCTGTATATAGTACGTGCACCCCGACCAAGCCGACTTCCGCGGAGTAATTGAGCAGTACGGTACCTATTCCCTAGTACCTCGTACGGTACCTAACCTAGCCGCGGAGTGCCCTCACGGTCCGAGCGGAGAAGCGGGCGGATAACCGGGGAAGCCGGTAAGCTCATTGGAGCATGCGGAGGATTTCCCCTTCCTTCCCTTGCACGTAATGACAATACAACCAGCTTCTATACCATTATCCTTGTGCGCAGTAAAACTATATACATCGTTTGCTCGTCTTTTTGCATTGCCCGAGTGCAAGTTTGAGCCTCATGCCGGCTCGAGTCTCCATCGCAACCATCCAAGGTATATATTCGGCGGAGAATCCTGACGTCGCCTTCTTCAGAGCCTCACCGGTAAAGCGAATGCAATAAAGTGATGGGATCCTCTGTGCCTGGGTTGTAAACTGAGATAAAACAGAGTCATGATTCTTCAATCCCGTGGTTCTACTTGAGTAAATATGACATGACAAGATGACGAGCGCCATCATGCCGGCATCTGGGACTGGAGGAAATCGAACACGCCGGTGGGGAAATATTCCTCATCAAAGCCCCAGAGGTCGGCCATCATAGGGTCAGCAGAGCCCTCGGAAAGTCCAATTTGCTGCTCTTTTACTTCAAAATCAACACCGTTTCCTCTCTCCGCGGATAGGGGCGCAACCCCCAAGAGAGGGGGCGGATGATTCAAGATCGTGTCGCGCTCGCCCAATGGTTGGGCCCCAGGGATTATCACAGGTTTGAACATCGAAGCGTTGTCCTGAGCGCCCTGCCCAAAAGACTGTGGATTGCCATAGCTTCTCTTCTCCCATTCCTCGAGCCCTGTAAGCATTTTCATCAAGCCGCGCGATATATGGTGACTGAGATGGCGCTCACTGGCGCGCTTGCTGCAGGATACCATCAGCTCAATGATTCGGCCGACCAGTGCTCGCACGTACGAGACATCGATGTGGAGACCTGCCGACGCAATCGAGTTCTGTTGGTTCTGACTGCTCGTGACGATGTTCGAGTAGCCCTTGGCGGCAATTTTCAAGAGGAAGACGGCGGCAAATGTGATCATGCTATGAAGGTACAGTGGAACTCCAACCAAAGCTCGTTGAATGTCAGGTTCATCTAGGACCACCATAAGCGTCCCAATCGCAGATTCGATAGCCAAGTTTGCGCGCTTCTTCCGTTCGGCTGACATAGGACGCGTCGAATTCGAAGAGTGGTAGGTTCGCAAGGCGACAGAGTTCAATTGTAATCGGCAGAAATTATAGTGTAGATATACAGCTTTGTAAGGGTACGCACCAACATACCGACTACCGGCTGTACCAGCAAATGATCAGTAAAACGAGGGGGAAATGCATCACAAATAATGGATAGCCCTACATACCTAGCCGCGGTAACCATGCAGAGCGCCAATCCCCGAGGTCAGTATCGAATTTATCGATAATGGAAAATTCGCTTTCTGGAACCTCCAAGTCGACATCGGGGCCGAAAGCATGATATATCCTTGTGAGTATTATAAAAAGATCCACCTGACTGTGTAGACGGAGATCGGACTGGGATACTGATGGAGAGAGTATGAAGGTGTGATGATTTGTGATGCTATGGTCCTCGTGTATTATAGGTGGGCGCCCGTAGGCAATAGAAAAGTGATGTTCTAGAGTCTAAAGAGGTCAGATTCTACTCGGATAGAGAGATAATGGGGCGCAGATGCTTACATATAGTAGGTACCAGAGTCTAGCCTGTTCCTTGTGCTCATGGGAACCCAGTGTAGCTTTCCTATAGGCTTGGTGGAGATTTCTTTCTGTCGCAATTCGCACTGCGTACCCTGACAATTTCCAGCTCACATCCGAAAGCCAGAAAGCTCCTATACATAATGCGCGCAAATCATCCAGAGTATGATGCCTATCGAGCATCGACTCAGATGCTAGTTTTGCAAACTCCGCATAGGCTGCATCGAAGGTACGTTCCTTATTCGGCAGGTGGAGAGATGTGACAGCAAAAATGGCAGCAGAAAGCATAGAAGAGGAGTTTCGCAGAGAAGTTAGATCCTTATGTACGAGTAAAATACCATCCCACAAATAGCGGTTGAGAACACGGTCGAAGTGGTCAAACAATTCCTCTGCCTCTTGTAAATCTACTGCTCCCCGCGAGACAAAATCCGTAACGAGATCATGCGCGTGCTGCCGTTCGGGAGAAGTAGCCCGAATATCGCTCAACTGCGTTACTTCATACAGACTCCCCATCGGAGCAGTGACAAGTGAAGCTGCACCATTCTCCTCCTTGTCGATAGCATACTGCGGCTGTTGTGCCAGAGCTGTTGTATGAAAACTTGACATCTCGGCGCCGGGGCGTACTGCAGAATTGGCGGATCCAGCCACTCCGTTCACTCCCACAGCGGGAGGAGTATCCTCTGTTGATACTGTGGATGCTTTGCGGTCTCTCTTCTTGGGGGTTGATTCGACCGATTTTCCGACCGCCTGATAATATGACAAGTCGGGCAGTTGGGCTTTTCGGAGCAAATCGGCCATAGCGAGTTCGATGGTCGATTTCCACCTGCAGCGCGGAACCAGACTGTTAGCAACGTTGTGTCTATTGCAGATAGCAGTTTGCGGAGGATCATACTCTGCTTCATCGTCGAGCAATGTTTGCAGGCTTTTGTTGACAACGCAATCTAAGCCCATGCGGCGACACCGTTGACAAACCGTTTCCCCCGCATTCATATCACATCGGACTTTATGCCGTTTGCACTCAGTGCAAGCTCGTATTCTTCGCGATATCTTTGGAACGTGAATCAGGCTCTGGCGAGAGTCATTCTCTGATACAGAATGCAAGAGACCGCCCTGAGGAGACACACCCGAGGACTCCTCGCCATTGGCTTCGAGGTGTGGACGACTCCGTTTCATTGCGCGATGGCGCTGCTCATCGCCCAAGACCAAACACTGGCGCCTCTTTTGTCCTTTCGAAGGAATTTTTCTGCGATGGCGTGGGGATAGGCGACTTGCATAAGAAAGAGGAGAGGCTCGCTGGTGGACTGGGACGAGCTAGGCTACGTCTTAGCAGCAAGAGCTCCTAGCCCTAGAGAATCCAGAGCGTTGTCTTGAGCCCGTTTATTGACAGGCCAGGGCGACCTGCTATTTGTCTATGCGGCCTGATTGCAGCACGTTGACTGATATGTATCTAGGTGTGCTGGTCTCTAGGCTCCGAGGCTCCATCCGTCAAGCCCAGGTCTTGGCAGTACCTAGGTAGGCGCTTGGGGAAGTGGGGTAATCACGTGCTGATGCGGCAGGCGCTATACCGAATATGTTCTAATGGTGTCAGCCGGGCGCGGGCGCCCGCGTCCAACGCGCCGCGACCACTGTCTTGTCCTTATACTTATGCTCGACCGCTCAACTCTCGAGCTGAGACTTTATCTACCTAGCAGTCATCAACAAGCTCAGCATGGGTATCAAGCGTGCGTACACAATTTTCCACTGACTAGTGCATTGGTGCTGGTCGTCAATTGCTCATTTTTTGTGGTTGCAGACCTCTATCAAGTGATCGCGGAAAATGCGCCCGATGCCATCAAGGCAGGGGATATAAAAAGTCACTTCGGTCGGAAGGTCGCCATCGTATGTTTCGTTCTCCTATGATTGTGCATATGTGCGATAACCTGCGGGGCCCAACTAACAGTATCTTCCGGTGTATAGGATGCGTACGTTATAACTGGGAAACGGAGCCTGTACTCGCTTGAAGTTAATGCTGATGCACCACAGATCAATGAGTATTTACAGTTTTCTCATTGCCGTACGCTCTGAAGGCCAGCAGCTTATGAGTGACACCGGCGAGACTACGTCGCACCTTATGGGCATGTTTTATCGGACGCTGCGGATGGTGGACAACGGCATCAAGCCTCTATATGTTTTCGACGGGGCACCGCCGAAACTAAAGTCGGGTGAATTGGCTAAGCGGAGTGCACGGAAACACGAAGCCACTGAAGCACATGAAGAAGCAAAGGAGACGGGTACGGCGGAGGATGTCGAGAAGTTCTCGAGACGGACTGTACGAGTGACCAGAGAGCACAATGCAGAATGCAAAAAACTCTTGAAGCTCATGGGGATTCCGTATATCGATGCCCCCACGGAGGCCGAAGCACAATGTGCTGTGCTTGCCCGGGCTGGGAAAGTGTACGCCGCAGCCTCGGAGGATATGGACACCTTATGCTTTGAGTCGCCCATCCTGCTGAGGCATCTTACTTTCAGCGAGCAGAGAAAGGAGCCCATTCAAGAGATCCATTTGAGTCGTGCTCTGGAAGGGCTGGACATGGACAGAAATCAGGTAACCTCTTCCCTCGCGAAATCGCACTTTGATGGTAACTTTTTTTACGCATATTATATAGTTCATTGATCTCTGCATTCTGCTCGGATGTGACTATTTGGAGCCAATTCCCAAAGTCGGGCCCAATACTGCGCTAAAACTGATCCGTGAACACGGTACCCTGGAGAAGGTGGTTGAGTCCATCGAGAAAGACTCCAAGCAGAAATATGTCATGCCGGAATCTTGGCCGTATCAGGATGCTAGAGAACTCTTCATCAACCCTGATGTCCGAGACGCCAATGATCCTGAATGTGACTTTAAATGGGAGGCGCCGGACGTCGAGGGCTTGATAGATTTCCTCGTGAAGGACAAGGGTTTCAACGAAGATCGAGTACGGAACGGCGCTGCCCGTTTACAGAAAAACTTGAAAACCGCGCAACAGTCACGCCTGGAGGGTTTCTTCAAGCCGGTTGCGAAGACAGAGGCGGAGAAGGCAACCCTGAAGCGTAAGCACGATGAGAAAATCCAAGAGCAGAAGAAGCGCAAGAAGGAAGAGGCGAAGGCGAAGAAGGAAGCGAAATCTCGGCCCCGGGCTGCTGTATAGAGCCCGAAACCATTTCCTGAGCATGGTAGGAGAAGGGGGAAAGTGTATATTCTCATGGTAGAGATGGGCGTTCGCGGTTGTAAGATACTCGGTGGGGTCAAAGCCTTACTCCCATAATGCATTTCGCGACTATTCCATCTTTTTTTCGAGGCCCCTTCAAGTTGTAGAAAGCTCTATTTGCTCCAACTTTGGCCGGTCTTGCGTCCTATACAAGATCAATTGCAAGGAAAGCGATTGCGTTCTGGACTTGATTGATCTCGTTATGTACAGAAACCTGCTCCATATTGTTGATATTTTTACTTGTGCATCAGCCGTAGTGAGAGTGCCTTTACCGATTCACCTCGCGGCGACAACAAGCGCCAGTCTTACTCCTGTACACTTAGTTAGATTTCCAATCCCCAGTTATAAAGTGTGGGTGCATTGATTGAAGACATTGACTGGCGTGATCATCTGGTGGAGATATATATTCCAGTGGTCCAAGATCACCGGCGATTCCATCCAACAACTAGCAGTCCTGAGCACCTCAAAAACATGCGCAACGATACTACAGTTCCATTAAACACGAGCGATACCTCTTCCGGGGGCCAGATTGAGGGTTGGAGCGCAACTCAGGAACTACTACAGTGGCCGCTTGCGGCCATCCATTAAGCCCACCACATGTGCACGAACCATGGCTGAAGCAAGGGCTGAGTGGCATTCTTTGTTTTGAATAAGTATTGAGCCTTTACCCATCAGTAAGCCATGTCATCATGAGTTCATGAACCTTGTCCTGCTCTGAGCGTCAAGCCATCAAAGCCCCCAGACTTTGCCTTCTAAAAGCATAAGGCTAAGCTTAGGTTGAGCTTAATGTCCAGCTTGCAGACAAGTCTGTGAGTAACTGTTGATGATTGCCCAAGCTACCCACAATGCCACATACGCAGCCCCTACTTGCCTTGCAAAAAATAAGCCCCTTTGCCAGCAGTGTGTGCTGCACGAGCTGCGCGATGCCCGTCAACAAGTAATTGTCAACCAACAGGCAGATACGTAGATAGTTGTCAACAGATAGCTCCACATCTAGATTTCAGAGTTGTCTGGGTGGGCTGTCAAAGGGAGCCCCGGACTGTCTGGTAATGCTGGAGTTTATAACGCACTTCGCCTCGTGACGAGAGTCCACAAGGGCCGCTCTGCATCTCTACTTCGTATTGTGTAGTAGTCTGGAGAGCACTACTCTGTAGTCAATCGAGGAATGCAATGCAAGGAGAAGATCGGTCGCTAAGCAGGATCCGAGTACTCATCCAGCTGCTGGCCTACTGCCCAGTCTCAGCCTACCATGCAGAATGCCAGGAGGCCATGAGCTTGATTGAGCCGCAGACAAAGCTGAGGTTGTTATTGACCGCGGCGGCCTTATTAGATGGATCCGTGATCTGAAGCTGTATCTAGGCGACTTTCCCCCACCGAACGACCGAAACAAACTAGAAATAAATCTGCTCGTCAACATTATCTACAGTGATGCCCGTGCTTCTTGGAGAGCGCGCGGGTTGCGTGTGGAGCGACCAACCATCAGATGAGTGATGCACTTGAAAGGATGCTATCGGGCGGGGGCGACCGTCGACCCCGGATAGTGCTCTCAGTAGAATGCTAGTAGGATGGATATCAAGTAATGACGCTTTCAGGAAGAGAGGATTTCGGGGAGAGGATGGGGATAAAGAAACTGACCTGAGAGAAGACGCGTGGGAGGATAGTTGGGAATGGGATTTGGGCAAGACGGAGACGGGCAGGCACGGGGTCGAGGAACACCTACAGTCTGGAGTAGTGCAAGCACCAGGGATATTGTGATTATTATTATTAGAAGCTCAAAGACAGCTCGGTAATCCAGCTCTGCCAATCAGCCGAGAGGAAAAGACACAATAAAGAAGAGATAATTCAGCAGAGCTTGAGCCTTGACGACGTGTTTTGTGGTGATCCAGTGTCAACACCCGCTGCCCTATATAAAGCGCGTGTGCCCCGCGGCCTTTCCTCCTCTCGACCCTCGACTCCTTTCTGCTTCCACCCATCTCTCCTCCACAACCCCCCTGTCGTCTGTCGCTGATCCCCAGATCTTCAGCATCGTCTGTTTCTCTTCTGATCTTCCTTTCTATCATTCCAACGGTTCCTTTCCACCATGCCTCCCAAGAAAGCTCCTACTGCGGCCAAGAAGGCCGCTGCTGGCCCGGTTCACACCTCCTACCGTGGTATGTTTTCACTGATCTTTCCCCATCCCCACTTCGCGTCGTGATCAAAGTGGTAGCGCTGTTGTCGCGAGCAAACGCTGATTCGTTCCATATAGATATGATCAAGGAAGCTATTCTGAGTGTGAGTTGATCATGTTGTTTCTGGTCACCCTTGATTGACGCTGTCGGGCGGGAGCAACCCCCGACCGTGACACGTCTCCCACCTGTTGATCATCCCAACATCACGTTTGAGCTTGTGATTTCCATCGTAATCTCGATCGCTAACACCCGTCGCTTTAGCTGAAAGAGCGAAATGGTAGCAGGTATGTTGTTTTGATGTTCTTGTCGCCCCGACGTGCGCCGCTCCTCGTCGTCGTGGCCACCTCGCCGCCCTCGGCCATCACGAGTTTGTCGCATCGGATGCTAACCTTCAGTCTCTCATGACAGCCGCCAGTCAATCAAGAAATATGTGCTGGCGAACAACAAACTTGCGCCTGCCTCTCAAAATGCCTTTGACAGCCAGTTCAACAAGGCGATTAAGAGCGGTGTCGAGAAGGGCGATTTCATGCAGCCCAAAGGTAACCCAAATCTCTGTCGCGTAACCGTCTATCATCACTTATCAAATCGTGTTTCCCGCCTCTTTCTTCTGGAGCACTGCCCTGCAAATCAGCACATGCGCTTCCGTTTTTTTCTTTATCAAATAGCTAACCAGGTCCGTCGCTAGGAACCTCTGGCCCCGTGAAGCTCGCCAAGAAGGAGACTCCAGCTAAACCCGCTGCGAAGGTAAAGAACGCTGCCTAATGAATTGTGAACGCGTCCTGCTAACGCTAGCCATGCAGAAGCCTGCCGCTGCCATCAAAGCTCCTGCTCCCAAGAAGGCAACCACCAAGAAGGCGGACAAGACCGAGAAGCCCAAGACGAAGAAAACAACAGCCGGCGTCAAGAAGCCTGTCGGCAGGCCTAAGGCCAACACTGCGAAGCCCCGTAAGACTAGCACAGCTGTGAGTCCTCTTGAACCACGCCTGTTCAGGTGCATTGTACTAACTTTGAAGAAGGCCCCGGCTGTTGTTGATAAGCCCAAGGTTGTCAGTGTGACCAAGTCGGGCCGCAAGACCACGACGACGGCAAAGCCCGCCGAAAAGGCAACCAAGAGGACAACCAAGAGCAAGAAAGCCTAGATTTGCACCCTTGCTTGGAACGTCACTTGAGCATCGTTTTAATGTGCTGACTTGGGATTTACGTGGTGTGCTCTGGCATACTCCCCAAGCTCGCTTCTTTCCTTCTCATGTAATTTCTTGTTTTGCTTATATGCCTTTTCGTTTTAAGTTTGGGAATTCCTCGTTTATCTCAATATTTTGGTTGGACTGGCGTCTCGCGATGGATTTTCAATTGGGAATGCTTCCGTGATCTCCCTGGGACGGGCTGGGAATCGAATTGTGTTATAACTAGGTCTAGCTATTTGTATTCTGTTCGTTCTGATGAATCTTTCAGGCCTCAGGACCTCAGCTGCCTAATCTGGAGTACCTTAGTTTGTTATATATAATCTAAGGCAAAGGAACGTAGGATCTTCAAATGTGTTAGTACCAGACTCACTTTTGAATACATGCTGGCGCCCGCGGCACAGTAGTAGTATATATGGTCAAGTTTAATGGTTGACCTCGCTTATACGCAGCACATACTCGATGGCAAATGGTACTTCCAGACAATGAAATTGTATACAACAAGATTGATTGCGTTGGGCTTAGCATTATTATGCCACAGACAGTCTGAGACAGATGGTTAGGGTTCAAGACATAAAGTTATGTCTTCGGCCCGAGGTTAGTCCATAGCGTATTTATGCAAGTAAAATGCCGGGGCTGCGTACGATGCTTGGCAGCGTACATTAATACATTAATAGGAGCAATCAATATAATAATAGGGGAGATTAAGAAACTTGTTACTACGGAGTAGATGGTAAACATATCCTTACAGACAGAGCAACGCTTAAATCAGGCTGTGCCTCACTAGAGATTGATGCATAGAAATCTGCTGGGGGATTGTTAGAATTGCACGGTACGTGCATGCTATCACTCTTAATAATGGCAGACAGCACCTGGTTTGTTATTATTTTTATAAATAGTTGTGAACCATTGAAGTGTCTGGATTTACAGAGTATTAATTATGTTTGGGTTTAATGGAATTCAAATGGTGGAGATAGCATAAACCAAGGACTGGCGTTGCCCCTGCTTGTTCACCATGACTAGGCAGTAGCAATAATAATGACACCAGGAGAGCCCAACTGCTGAGAGGGAGAGTCCTGGATGGAAACAGGAAAGACCGATACCTGGTCTACTTGTGTGATTGACGCCTAATTGCGTATATTACACAGAGTTACTGGACTTTACCATACCAGAACCGCCCTGCTGCCCAGTGCGCTCTCACGACTTCCAGGTTCCTTGCTGTCCTTCCATCGCAATCGATTCTTCTATTCTCCATCTTCCTGCTTCTTGGATACCTCAAACTTCCAACTCTGACCTTTCTACTATTTACCGTCACCCACGATCTCTCCGGATTTGCTATCCTTCGCGCCTCGCGCCTTTCTCGCTCACGAACAAGCCGTCGAGAGTGCTGTGCTGTCGACCGTCGCTCTGGCCTGCTCTGACATTCGGATCATGACAACCGACCTCTAAATAATCTGCCACGCCGCGGCTGGCCGCCTTTGTGACCTGAAAGTGTTTCTTTCGGTCCTGAATTGTCCTGCTTACTGGTTGCATCCAGTCCTTCCTTGCAGTGCTGACTCGCCGAATTTCCCGATCCAAAGCCTGCGGCGGAATCCTTGACTGGCCTCTCGCACGGCATCTCTGCTGCGCGACGCCGCTCCTGCCATAAATCCCACTCCGCCCGTTTCTCCCGGCGCCTGGTTTGCGACCATGCCGTCATTCTCCAATGAGTATCCTTCCCCGACGGCTACAGCTACCGCTACACATCCCCGTTCAATTGGCGTGCCTCAGGATAGACCCCACGATAAAAACTCGGTAGGGAACACTTTCGTGTGGACACATTGGCCCAATGGTGACTCCAATCACCTTGACACTCCGACGGATCGCCATGTCGCTAATGGTAGCACTTATCCTCTGGCTGGACCCCGATCAAGCGCCAGCTCCTACAATCGAGAATTCTTACAGTCCAAGGACGGAAGCCTGCACTCGTTAGGGAATGGGTTCGCTCGGGAGCCGAAGGAAGGGAGACCATCATCCACTTCCATGGACAGGGAGCTCCCCCGCAAGTCGTCCGATACGGGGGTTGACTCAGCAACGACTTCCATTGCCAGCCATCAGGCTAATGGAACATTGGTTGGCCACAGATCACTCAAAGGAAAACATATGGTAAATGGGGATTATTCACGACCATCTGTTGATGAAATGGTTCACTCGGACACAGCGGGCAATCCTGCAATAGTACAACTGTCGACATCCTTCCCGGACAACAGTGGTTGCCTTTCTCCAGATCATGGTGGCCTGTCCCCGACCCAAAAAGGTACTTATCGGCATTCGTCTCCCCCAGTCGCCACGGGAGTCAATCGCAGCAATACCCAGGACTCGGTAAATTCTAGCGTTCGAAACAGACATACATTACAAGTCCCGAGGACGACCAGTGGTCGTCGAAGTAGTCGTGATCAGCCGGACGAGGCTGCGTACAGCAGTGGCCGCCTATCTCCGACGGCGGGAACACGTCGCCCATCTCTCGGGCTGGCTCGCCGAACCACCAGAACGAATCAGTCTGATATTCTGTTGGACGAAGCAAACCCGGACGAAGATGCAGCTCGTTGGGCGGAAGCCATCAAACAAAGGAGAGCATCAAGAAGGAGGCGCCGAGATGAGGAAGATGATGATAGGGTTGTCGTCGGAACTAAAGTTGATCGAAACCACGTCAATTGGGTCACGTCCTATAATATGCTCACTGGAATCCGGTTCACTGTGTCCAGAATCAATGCAAAAATGGATCGTGAATTGACTCCTGCTGACTTTGACGCAAAACACAAGTTCTCTTTTGATATGTATGCTTGGGTCTTTCCGTGACATTTTTGACCGACCATGACTAATATTATCTTGCCAACAGAACCGGGAACGAATTGACGCCATCTGCTCAGTATGATTTCAAATTTAAAGACTACGCGCCCTGGGTTTTTCGTCATCTACGATCGAAATTCCGACTAGATCCTGCTGACTACTTGATATCACTTACGAGCAAGTATATTCTCTCGGAGCTGGGCTCTCCAGGGAAAAGTGGCAGTTTTTTCTACTTTTCAAGGGACTACAAGTATATCATCAAAACGATTCATCACGCTGAACATAAGTTGTTGCGAAAGGTCCTCCCTGAATACTACAAACATGTGGAACAAAACCCGAACACCTTGATATCGCAATTCTACGGTCTCCACCGAGTTAAGATGGCCTATGGCCGCAAGATCCATTTTGTTGTGATGAACAATCTTTTCCCACCGCATCGCGATATTCATTCCACATTCGACCTCAAGGGGTCTATGATTGGCCGCGAAGTGAGTGAAGAATATATCAAAGACCACCCACGTTCTACGATGAAGGACCTGAACTGGCTTCGGAGAAATCGTCAATTAGAATGCGGCCCTGGGAAACGGGAATTCTTCCTTGCCCAGCTCAAGCGCGATGTGGAACTGCTGAAGCGACTAAGAATTATGGACTACTCACTTCTTGTGGGTATACATGATTTGGAGAAAGGAAACGAGGAAAAACTCCGCGATAAGACCCTCCAGGTATTCCAACCTGGAGCCGACCGCGAAGAAGATATCCATCCCAACATGTTGATGCGCACCCCATCGAAGCTTGAGAACGAACGCAAGGCGCGGGAACTTCGAATGTTGATCCAGAAAGAGCGCCCCGTGCCCCTCGATAAGGCGACTGCAAAGATGCCGGACGAAATTCTCGACGAACGCAAGTTCCACGTTTTCTACTCCGATGACGGTGGCTTTCGAGCCACACATGAAGATGGCCAGCCTGGTCAAGAGATCTATTATCTAGGGATCATTGATTGTTTGACACACGTACGTCTTTTTATTTGATATTCTTGGACACGATGGGCTAATCATCCAAGTAGTATGGCACGGTTAAAAGAGTAGAGCACTTCTTCAAAGGCTTGACTCATGATCGAACACAAATATCTCCTATCCCTCCAGAGGGCTACGGAGATCGATTTGTCAACTTCATTAGAAGAATCACAATGTCCGAGGAAGAGGCACAAAGGATTCGGGAGACAGAAGTGGTGGAGCAAAATAACGCTGTCAATCAATCAACACCGCACACCCAACACCAACCGACGGCCGCAGCATCCGGCCCTGCTACACTTCCAATTGTTGATGAAGCCGGTGAGGCTAGCAGTGTTGGTGGGCACAGTCAGCGTAGTCCACGGTCTCCCTCGCCCGGCCTAAACAAAGATCTGCCACCACCACCGAATGGACCTGACGCGGAGCTGTTGGAAAAGCAAAATGGCACTTGTCAGAACGGACAGAGTCTCTCGATTTCGGTCTGATGAACAGGAAACCCCGTGGTCCTCGACTGCCGTGCGTGAATACTCTACCTTATTTTCCCGTTTTTGGCGCCTTTAATGATATCCCATTTGCTATGTTTCCATCTTTCTCTACTTTCAGGACCACGGGGTAGATCCTTTCTACCATGCCACGAACGCAACCTTACCATAGTCCATTACGTCAAGAGCGATTGATGTTTTCATGACCGATGCGAGCGGTATCTTCGGGCTACCGGACATCTTATACCGTTACGCCAGGAACATTGCTAAGGTCGATCTTGTTATTCTGTTTGCTGCATTTCAACTTGATTTATTAATCTCGGATGGATTGTCCGCCCACCCTCATCGATCGTGCCCTACTGCTGCTACTACAGACCTACGCCAGGCTTCGTTCGACCAACACTCCTTGAACACCTGTAATCTTGCTATACACAGCCCTTGCAACTCTTTCCCTCACATCTTCTCACTTTGTCCAAAGGAGGCCTACCACTTTCAAACAAGGCTCAACAAACTTACATGTCAACCTCTAACTATATATTTCCTTTTGTTTGACACTTGGTTCACCCAGCCGTTGGGTGTCCGATCTGCACGTAGATGTAAGATCAATCCTTGTGTTACAGCTCACGTTCTTTTTTGACTTTCTAGCCCAATCTAAATGTCTGCCATCCTGGTCCCTCATTGCGTTTTGGGGTTATCCTTTCCTTCCAATTTCCTTGTATACCTAAATTGCAACCGATATTGGTTGTACAAGAATGTCTTGAGCGGCTTAGCTTTGTCGTTTGTTGTTCAAGTCCTTTCTCCATGGTCTTTGCCATTCCTGTTTTTTTTTTGTGACTGTCATAGAAACGGATAGAAGAAGCGTATAATTGTGAATAAAAATCTATCTTGACTGGAAGCATAGGGAAGTATTGGCATCTATTAGGTTGTTGGATATAGATATGTACTTGACGCTTTACAGCTCTTTACTGGGAATTTCAGGTACTTCAACAAAGAGGCGCCGTGCTGAGGATAGCAGTGATACACCCACTATTACCAACAATGCACACTTATTCACACCCTAGGACTTCTCTTCTAAGTGCTGTATATTGTACACTGCCAGATACCCAAGCTAGGACGTTGAAATCATGCAGGCGAGATATAGTGAAGAGAGCATGTAAAGATAGATAAACAATATAATACCAACACATGAGATAATAATACAGAAGTAGACACTAAGCCGGTCCTGATGATGGAATCGAGTATTTGCGATCTAAAACCCGATAGACACCGGACTGATTGACTGATCATGGTATTCAGAGGGGTTGATCATCTGTGTTGCCTCGAAATCAATTCCGAGCTGTGTCCCCAGGATAGGAGCTGCGTCCCAGGATAGCTAGCCGTAGGGAACGAGGCTCATGTGAACTCACTTTCTCCGATTCATGGTCTTTGTGCACATCTCAACTAAACCGGCCTTGGCTTCGCTATCAGGAAATGAACTGATAGCAACGATGGCTTTGTTCGCATATTCCTGGGCTAGAGCACGAGTTTGCTCAACACCGTTACTGCGGTAGACAAGATCTCGGGCCTAGAAATATTCAGGAGAAGGTCAGTTCTTAGTGTCGTTTCTCAGAGGTGCGGGGCTTATAGTAGGACAGATGGGGCATATGAACGGGGTCTAGGTGTACCTTTTGCACATCTCCTTCCTGACTGAATTTGCGGCCGACCAATGGACCCAGTTCCGGGTTCTGTTTCCAGGCAAAAAGAAGGGGAGCAGTCGCGAGACCGAGTTCTAGGTCCGCACCGGCGGGCTTGCCCAGCTCCACGCCGCTGACTGTGTAGTCAAGCATATCATCCACGAGCTGGAATGCTAGACCAAGATTGCGGCCGTAGGAATACGCTGCCTCAACCACGTCAGGCGTGCTATGTCCGAGTAAGGCGGCTGCGCGGCACGACTTGCTGATTAGGCTTGCTGTTTTCAGGTAGGTTTTTTGCAGGTAGTACGCTATAGTATCGTCTGTAAAAACGGGGCTTTTTTCGTCCTCGGCAGTATTTTTGAGCTGCATAAACTCCCCTTCCACGAGATTGGCAATCACTGTAGCCAAAAGCTCTGTAACCTCGGGGTCTCGTAAGCGCGCGAGCGCGACGGAGGCACGGCCAAGCAAGAAGTCACCAGCCAAGACAGCCATTTTGTTCCCGAACTCGATGTTTGCGGAGTTTGAGGAGCGACGGGTGACGGCGTTGTCAATGACATCGTCGTGGAGAAGGGAAGCGGTGTGGATTAACTCGGTGATCTCGGCGAGTCGTCGCTGGGAAGGGAGGATGTTTTCATCGCCGGAAAAATCGTACTGACCTTCTGTTGCGGAGGACGAAGACGATGTGAGCCGGTCTAAGTCCGGGTTGGTGTCGGCAAGGACTGAACGTGAAGTAATAGGATCATTGACTCTCACAGGTTTTGAGCCCGCATCTGACATGGAGCGATTAGGCCGTGGAGTGGTCAACGCCGTCGCCTGCGACATGAGCAGCACTAGCAGTGGCCGCATATGTTTGCCCTCACTTCGGGTATAGTATTTCGCCACTTTATCCAGCGTAGGATGCCCCGAGCCCAGCAGCTGACGGATATTCGTGCTGAGAAATTTGAGTTCTTTCCCCACGATCCTCAACGGATCGACTGATATCCCAGGAGGAGCTTTTGGCAAGCCCTTGAAGAGCGTTTGGGCCGCAGATACGGCGGCGCCGAAGGGGGAAGCATCTTTCCGCCGAGAGGGGTGGTATTTGCGAGTCTGGAACTTGAACTGGTCGAGGAGGAAGTCATTGCGGAGACATTGCCAGCATATCAGTGTTCGAGGAGGACCTGGCGATGCGAGTGCCAGCTTGCCTGCTGGGACTGTGCGCGCTTTCATGCTCAATGCCGGCAAATCAAGAGGAAAAGTCGGCTAGTCAACCATATGCACAGAGCAATCGCTCTCGGAATGAAGTGCAAGCCTTGCCGGTTCGGAGGCAGCAGCTGTACTAGCTGTGAGACGTGGAGGTCGAGTCCGCAGAGCTGGGAAGTTTTTCTCCGGCGAGTCGAGTGCCGGCCGCCAATCGGGCCGGAACGGGAGCGTCACTCACCAACGAAGGCGCCTTATCAACCGCTCCAATTAAAAAGTCCACTACTTGTTATCTACCCATAGGTACAAGGAACAAACGAACAATTCTGTAGTTATACGAAACATGGAGTACTGCAGTGTCCGCCCTCACAGACCGCGAACGACGGGGAAGATTGCAATATTAACAAAAAGTAAAGGCTCCAGCCCTCTCGAAACAACGCCGACCACAGGCCCGTGAGGCGGAAGAGGGCTTCACTATTGCGAATCGTCTGCGAACTCTTAGATGGCATCGAAGTCTCCACCCGCATCTTCGTCGTCTATGTCCCCTTCCTGAATCTCCTTGGCCAACTCTCTCTCACGCTCCCTTGCCTCCTGTGCACTCTTCAGCTCGAGACGATGCTGGTTCATCGGAAATCTCATCGCCTATAGATTAGGTACAAATAGATTAGCCAGTGGTTCGCAAATGAAGGAGTACGGTGCATGTGATTTTACCTTGATGCTCTCGTCGTGCAGACTCAAGCAAGCCCTGATACGCTCATGGAATACTTCGCCAGGTTCCCTGGTAGCGTATATATCTCCGACCTCCTTGCTTTTCATGAACCCTCGCTCATGGTCCAAGCTTGCCTCAATCACGCCGTCGCGGATTGCCTTTGCAACAATGTATTCGGCCGACTCTTCACTGTCCAAGCCGAGGCGAAGGCAAATATCCCGAAGGGAAATGCGCGAATAAGAAAGCGACATCATGCGGATACCGGTCTTGATCACGTTCTGCCGTAGGCGTAGAATGAGGGTGTAGGTGCCGTCCTTCCGGAAAGTCGAACTGTATGTATTTACAATGTTCAGAAATCCGTCTAAATCCCCAATACTCACGGCCTGGACGAGCAGGAAATAAGGATGCAGAGCCCTTTCAAGGGACGCTTGTCGGAAAACCGCACGGTCGGGAATATCGCCCATCAGAAGCTCGACGACTACAAGCAGCTTGTGAGAAGCTTGGTAGAATCCACGCGCACTGTGGCTCGAAGGAGACTTCCGCGTGGCTCCGATTAAATGCCCATGAGCCTCGGTATACTGCAACTGTATAGCTCGGATGCGGCCCAAGTAATACAGGTAGCGAGCAATTTGGTTGTTCGAAGCCGAAGGGGGGAATTGGTTGTGCGAAATCAGTAAATCGGCTTGCGAAATATGAGAAGTAGAAAGATAGTTCCGAAGGAGGAGCGTCATCACGGTAGCCTGAGTGTCCACATCCTTTCGTAGGACGGCCGTCCGAAGGGCCGCAAGCAGTGGTTGGCGGATAGAAGTAACTGTTGCAGCAGGGGACGGGGGAAGAGGCGCAATCTGCTCGAAGAAAAGCGAATAATAAAAGTACACACGGGCGGCGAGAGAGTCCAGTGTACGGCGATTAAGCGCCCGAAGCCGTTCGATCAAACCGGTCGAAAACTTGGCGCCCTTCTGGATCTCCTTTCGGTCGTACAGATGGATTTGGACTAAGATTGACAGATAGGTGTCAATCTCGGGTAGAACTTCTTTCGACGAGGGCTTCGCCTTATCATTGTCCACATCCATCTTAGAAGTTGAGCCAGCAACGTCGTCTAAGGCGCCCGCTTGATCAATCGCGCTTAGTAAGAGAGAGGCCGTGGTACTTGATTTCGGGTAAGCCCCAACGATGGCCTCCGCAAGGACGTCCGACGTAATTTGTTTGCGCATTGAGGATATCGATCTCAAGACACGAAGCGTAAACCTGGGATCAAAGTGGGTAACCGCGCGTTCAAGAAAAGTGAAGTTTGTCTTGATGTCTGAGTCAAATCGCGGAACAGTTGTGTTAGCAAATTGTCATGAAAGTGGATTATGATACAGTGACAACCAACCTTGGATGGCTTTTGCCTTGGGATCCATTTTTGACCCAGGCTCCTCGCCCCCGGCACCCTCCATGGGCACATCGCCTTCCCGGTCCTGGCCTCTGTCGCCGGATACCCTGGAGTCCTTGGTGGGAGGCACTACAACAGTCATTTTCTGGTCACCTTTCCGGTCCTTGCTGGCGTTGAATGAGGATGTAGGCCCACCTGCCGTATCCTCGTCCATCTCGATATCTTCAGACCCATTCACACCATTCTCCGTCGAATCGGTGCCGTTGGTATGGGACTGGTCCTGCTGTTCCCCCATGCCGGAGTCTGAAGCAATATTCGAAGATGCGGCCTTCGTGGGCTTGACCTTATTGGCAGCGGAGCGAGTAGTCGCCGGCTTATCCTTGTTCGAGCTCGAACTCTGGGAACCAGAGCGAGCCTTTTCACCGTTAGCGGACGAAGAAGTATCTGGCTTGTTGTTGGACCGCAAAGAACGTCTCTCAGCTGGCATTTTCCTCGGCCCGTGTAGTTTCAACGCTCAGGTGAGCAAAACGGAGACCGCGGTACCGGAAGCAGAAGAAGGGGCTATTGCAAGTAGTGATTCAAGTAGATGGAGAGGAGCAAAGCCTTGGAAATGACAGACAGCTACAGATGTGATAAAGGCAGGAGAGGTGAGAGAGAGATGAAGGATAACGGTTGACAAACTCTGAAGAGAGTGGTCGATGATGTGGTGATGTGATGTCAAGGTTGGTGGTCTCTGGATGGGACAGCAAGAGATCCAGCGCTGGAAGCTTAGTCAGTAGAGTACGGTATCAGCTCGGTCAAGCTTACCTACCAACAGAAGCCCGGTCAGCTGCGCTGCAACTGTAGCAACCGTTACAGCCAAACACTGTAGCCCGCTCAAAAGAATTGGAAGGAAGTCTCACATTGACCAAAATAGTGACGACTCCCAGCTCTCAGATGTCCGCCTTCTTCTCACTAAACCCAGTCCCTGTCAACCTTGCCACGAGAATTTGGCGAACCTGAGGCAGAAACCAATACGGCGGAGGCTCGGAGCACCTACCGTAGTCGTAGTGTACTACTCCTACCGTATATTCTACGCCGTTGCTGAGCTCTTGGCAAACCACCGAAGAACAACAACCGGCATTCGAAGACCACAGAGACTACCAGTTCGTTCTCAGAGAGAAATGTCACTCCTAGAAAGCCACCTGGAGCAGATAATGCTCTCTTCAAATGCGATTGCAGAACTACCGTGAGGGTCACACTGTCTATCTGTCAACCCCTGGTTAACTAATAAGCAATCAGTTTCCCCCAGCCACGGATCTTCACAAATGCCCTCCTCGGCATTCACGATATCACTGCCCTGATTCGGGATACAGAAGCCCATGAACGAGCCCTGTTTCAGAGTGACCCGTCCGTGAAATCGAGTAGCGCCCAGAGGCGAGCCACAAGACGAGCAACTCAATTCCAGCCCGATTCAGAAACAGAGTCCATGGCGAACCGGATCTATTCGGCTCGAAATAACAGAAATCAGTCGGCTGTTGCCCGAGTATTAGGCTCCGACATGATGGATGAGATCAAGCGTTCTGCTCGAAGCTCGAGCAATGGGGCTCGCGGTGAAGTAAATGTCGACGTCTTGCTCCAAGGCGCGGAGATACTTTGTAATGTTTAGTGAGTCGATCTTTGACTCCATCACGATCTTGTTTCTGACTGCAGCACAAGCCCAGTTACCGGCGCCCAAGATAAGATTGCTAGTCTCCGTTACCGCAACCAGCTTATTTCAGAGTCAATTGCAGAGTTAGAGGAGCAAGTGGCTAGGAATACTACGGAACTAGAGTGCATGAGCCGCTTCTATAACGAAGAGTACGACGAATTCGAAAACACGGACCCTCCAGATACTGGTGTCGCACATGTTACTGATGCTGACCTTGAGCGTGAACTGGAAGAGATCCGAGAGCTGGAAAGAAAAAAGCGAAATTTGGAGGCCCGTGTCAATGGGATGGAACGCGATTTGGGCGGCCTCATGGGATGATAATATGAAAATTTCCGTTCAACTGGCGTGCTGGTCTCAATGACCTGCACTCAAAAGCCACATGCGCTGTCACCAAGTTGGCCCTCGAATCGGCAGAAGCGCTGGAGCTCCATGGTTTTTACCCAACACCAAGATTGCTTCCCCTGTGCGAATCAAACTAAAAAGGTGAAGTAAGGCGCGCGTAAATCACTGAGATACACCATCCCAAGAAGGTGAACTGAAACCACTTGTGTTTTGTGGTCTCATGTTGGATTGCCGTCTCAGAAGCTATTCATGTTGCATTTGGTGCTGCAACTTCGAGCACCACAACAAGTAGTATGGGATTGTGTTGTGAATACCGGGATTCACTCGGGGTTCGTGGCCCACCTACTAACATCAAAACTTCAAGATGTTCCATAGGGAAACATGATGAAACTATCTCGTGCTTGAGGAATGAAGACACACTCAAGTCAATTCCACCATTAATAGTGAAATCCAAGCGTCAACCATTATTGAGAATTTCAATAATTGATACTCGCACCCAGGTAGTGAGTGAAACCCAGATCCAGATATTGAGCGAAAACGAATTCTGGAATCTGGATTCCGTGCCACGAGAGCCCCTAGAGAGTACTGTACCTAGTCTCAAATCACAATACCGTAGTGCCAAGCCTGGGGCTCCGGCTCGAGAATCTCGCCGCCGTCCCTCACTTTACTGCTGTCAATCAAAGTGTTTTTGATCATCCCAACTTCTATCGTTGAATCTTACATCTTTGGAAACTGGATACTCCTTTGTCAGATCCAGGTAATTATTGTTTTCTCTTCCTCGGAAGTCCTCAGAGCTTTATCTCCGAAAACAGACAACGGCCGAGTCTTGATCCCTTATTCTGGTATTAACAGTGCGCTGAACTCTTTACCTCATCGTCGCAAGGCCGCCTACATCAAGCCATCAGGCTGAGAGTACCGTAAGTCCCTGTAGATATGGAAGGCGCTCAGGCTCCAAGCCCCCAGCAGATGGTGCCGCAGCACTCGAATCTCATCCGGACGGATCAGGTGCAGAAGCTACCTCATCTCAACGATCAGCAGAAAGTCCAGCACACCCAGATAGTTCGTAACTTCTGGGAAATTCTCAATAGTCGCGATGCGCAGACTCCTGAGTACCAGCAAGCTCACACAAGGCTATCACAGCTTTCACAATCTTTGATGAAAGGCATGCGGATGTACCAACAGAATCGACAGCTACAGCATCAGCAAATGCAGGCTGCCTCCGCAGCGCAGGGCCAGCCAGTTCAAAGATCGCAGTCCGTCAACCCACAAAACTTCGCTCAGCTTCTCCCCCAATTTCAACAGAAGGTCAACTCGTTACAGCTCTTCCTCCCTCCCAACATCTCAAGCGAACAAGCGGGGACATGGCTTCCGGAGGCCAAGCTCCGGTACGGCATCGCGCTTCAAAAGCAGGAAATCGGACGAGCACGCTTGAGTGAATTACGCCAACAACATAGTCAGCGCCAAATTGCAGGGAATTTAACGCAGGAAGAAATGCAAGAATTCAAGAATCGTCAAGTTCAGGCCGAGAAACTTTTCCGCGAAGGCAGCGAATTTCTGACGAAATTCAAGGAACAACAAGACGTGTTCAAAGCACAACAACAAAGGGCAGGCACACAGCACCCAGGCCAACAACTTCCACCGCAAGGCGGCGCTAGACCGGCAACAACAGCCTCTACGGCTTCAGCAGGACCAACAGCCGCTCCGACGGCAGCTCTTTCCGGACCCACGCCGGCAGCGCATACGATTAATTCTGCTGTGAGTGCTGCACGAAATCAAGCAGCGCAAGCAGCAATTTCCCCAACTCCGCAACCGGGCCAAGCGCCACCTAACCAGGGTGTCACCCCTGCACCTGCCATTGCTGGCACGCCACAACAACCACAACCTTTACAGCCGCAAATGCAAGCTCAACAGAATGCCCCAGTATTTAACCAAGTGTCTGCACCAGATGGCTCTACTCCCACAGCTTCCACCACGCCGGCTGCGAATGTACAAGGACCACCACGGCCTTTGTCTCAACAGGCCGCTATGGCGCAAGCTGCACAAAACTACTCCAATAACACCAACGTGAACAGTGTCAACAATACCAACGCTGTTCAGCAACAGAATATAAACCAGCCCTCCGTAAATAGCCATGCTCATCCGCAGGGCTACATCCAGAATCGATCAACTGAAAACTCAGCACGGAACGTCAATATGGTGATTCCAAAAAATCTCAACGTTTCCCCGACAAAGCCAGTCTCCATGGCTCCAGACCGGCCAACTCTGTCTAGTGGTCCCAGCCACGGCGCTATGGGCATGATGGGCCAGCCCGCTATACAGAAACATCCCGGTTATGTCCTTGAAGGTGAAGGTCAGCGCGTTCTCAGCAAAAAGATGCTTGATGTTCTAGTTCGCCAAGTAACAGGTGGAGGTGATGGTGAAGGACTTACCCCTGATGCTGAAGAGGTACGCTCAGCAGTTTATCGGTTTTTCTTTGCGCTAAGCACATTCACTAACATGTCTGGCGCCTACAGTTTATGCTTCAAATGGCCGATGATTTCGTGGATGATGTGATTACTGCTGCATGTCGCCTCGCCAAGCTCCGCCATTCATCCAGCCTTGAGATTCGAGATCTGCAGCTCGTTCTAGAAAGAAACTACAACATGCGTATTTCAGGTTTCTCCACTGATGACCTCCGCACTGTCAAAAAGCCGCAACCTACGCAAGGCTGGACGCAAAAGATGTCGGCCGTTCAAGCTGCGAAGGTGACCCAGGGCAAGGCAGAATAAACACTGTATCGATCAAGTTTCTGCATCTATCTCCCGACTCCCCTTTTCCTAGCTTGGCGTACCGCGTACCCCAAGCCTCATTATTACAGCAATCCACAGTCTACAAGGAAATACACTTTGGGCAGAGGATGCTCTAAATCTAGGGCTTCCTTGACCAGATTATTTACTAGCACGTTCCTTGGCGTTTCTGGGTGGACGGTTTCCTCTCTTTGCAGATGCCAGACGTAGTTCACATACGCCATACCCAATAGGATAGGTAACTGTGGGCTTCAGACTTAGTTTTCTTTGTTGTGATCTAGGTATCATGTTGGCGACGCCGGCTACGCCGGCAAGCTAAGCTAGCCAGCTGGTGTAATCTATTTTGTCAATCTTCAGACCCAAGCAGTTTTTTTCCGAGACCCCCACTAGAGGTTCAAAAGATGGCGGGAGCTGGGACGTAGACAGTACGCTGACGAGCTAGCGATGGTTTTCAATTCATCGACATCATGAAAATTGATTATAGTCAAGTCTTATTACCTTGCATAACTGGTCCTTTTAGCAGTATACGGAGTACGTTGAGAATTATTCGGATATCTTGCCACTTCGTACGGAGTACTCCGTAGTGGTTGATGAAAAGTTGGAAACGGCAGAGGGATGGTAACGTCATCAAACGTGGGAAGTCACCCTAGTTGGACGTGGTGGTGAACCCGGCAGGTACAACTTCTGGGCAATTATGGGCTGGGAGGACAACTAATCTTGTCAGTGTTTCTGGAATATCTCTATTTTCCTGTCTCTTTCGCCTCCCCATATCTCATCATTCTTCTTCTTTATCCCATGATGCTCCAGACGAAGGTCAGCGCGGAGCTCTCGCTGAAACCCGTCTGATCTTCTGAGATCCCAATGTGTCTCTTCAACAGTTTTGTCTTTTTCTACCTTCTAGGAGGACTCACCTTCATTCCCATTGTCCTGTCATTATTTCTTCTCTACTCCTATTTCGCCTTCTCGATATCTCCCTCGCAGTCCGACCAAGAGAGCGAACCCGCTGATACCTCCATCTGTCGTTCCAATGACGACCAATACAGCCTCAAATCTAGAACCGATGAACTGGCAGAAAAGTTCTATCGCACGCATGATACGGATGTCGCTGCAGGATATTTCGTGGTCTGTCGCGAATATGTTCCGGCTGGTGTCAATGGCAAGCCTCCAGAGAGAACTACACCGACAGGGGAGATAGTCGCTTCGGAGAGTCCAAGCGTCTACCAAGCAATGTACAGGAGTCTCTTTGATCGGAAGCAAGCGCCAACAATTGATCCGGTAAAGAACGTGGCTAAGAACGGCAGACGGACACGTAACATGTTTTACATCGTGCTTAGGTACCGACCCTTGCGGCTATTGCCCTCTTCGAGCAATGTTCATATGGAGACTGATACTAGTGGAAATCTAGACACGGCCACTTGATGCTTTATGATGATGCCAACCAGATGGAAGTGAGATATGTCATCTCGCTAGCTCATCATGATGTGAGCATCCATGGCGGAGATGGACAAATACCAGAGGGAGAATTGTGGTTGAAAAGAAATGCTATCAGTCTTTCAAGGCGACTAGACTCACTTGGGGATCTCGGGGGACCAACGCCCCCCTTTTTTTTCTTTTCTGAGAACTTGTCCGACAAGGAAGACTTCTATTTTGCCATGCTTCGAAATCAAACGAAGATGGGACATTCTCCGGACCGCCCACCCCAACATCAGGATTTTGACGTGAAACATATTGTCGCACTGGTTCAACGCTTACATTCTTCGGAGGAACAACTCCAGACACGGTGGATTAACGCTGTACTGGGCCGAATCTTTCTCGCTTTGTACCGGACCCCCGAGATGAAGGAGCTTGTCCGGACCAAGATCATTAAAAAGATATCCCGTGTCAATAAACCGAACTTCATTAGCAAGATCGGTCTTCGAAGCATTGACATGGGAAATGGCGCCCCCTTTATCATAAATCCAAGGCTCAAAGATCTTATGGTGGATGGCAATTGTTGTGTCGAAACGGACGTTCAGTATACTGGAAACTTCCGCGTGGAGGTTACGGCCACTGTGCGGATCGACCTGGGACAGCGTTTCAAGGCGAGGGAGGTTGACATTGCTTTGGCAGTAGTTCTGAAAAAACTGGAGGGACACCTGCTGATACGGTTCAAGCCCCCGCCGAGCAATCGAGCGTGGATTTCCTTCGAGTCGATGCCCAATATGGTTATGGACATTGAACCCATTGTCAGCTCGAAACAAATTACATATGGTATCATACTGAGGACGATTGAGAACAAGATTCGCGAAATGGTGGCAGAGAGTATTGTCTTGCCATTTTGGGATGATGTACCTTTTCTGGACACTGTTGCAGAACGATTCCGTGGCGGAATCTGGCAGCGGGACTGTCCTGAACCCGGGTCAACGATGGAAATCCTTGACGATTCTGGGAGTGAGCCTCGAGTGCCAGAAGGCGCTGATACAATCAGGGTATCGAAGTCGAGGGACGATCGCGTTATGAGTGAACCGGCTATTTGTGATTCCGTTACCAACTCTGCAGAATATTGCGAGAAGGCAGGGCTATCAGGAGACTCTGGCAAGGGCTCCTCGACCACATTACCCTCATCTTTAGGAAAAACTGCAAGTTCGCCGCCACGGGCAATTCGCTCTCGAACATTCTCCCATACTGCTGATCCTGTGCTGACCGCCGACCATGGACAAATGGATGGTATACTAACGGACTTCAAAAACGACAATAAGGGCAATGCTGCTAGCGCAATGATAGAGATATCTAGTCGTTCTCCTCCTACAACGCCAAATGAACAACAAAACAGCTCGTCTCCTAGTGTTAATCGGAGCATACTGGAAGCCGGGCACCCGAGCTGTGAGTCTTTTGATACTGACTGTACTGAGAACACAGTGGAAACCAGCAGTGATTCGCCCAATGCCCCTCCTTCTCCTCAGACAGCTGATCCTGCGTTGAGCATGGGAGGTGCGCCTAGTCGTTCGACCTCGTCTTTGAACACCATTAAACCGCGTCGTTCTGCTATTCTAGAAGGCTCGACTTGTTCGAGCGCTTCTCATCTACCGCCAAACCAAAAAAGCCAGAGCTCGCGATCACTGGGTACAGCGACCTCGATGGCAAAGAAATGGGGATGGAACATGTTCGGTAGAGGAGACTCCAGTACAAGCCTTGGACTCGGAGTGTCGCGACCTGCAGGTACCCCTGAGGAACCAATTGGACGTGGACATCCACTTCCTCCTCCAGGTACTCCGCTGCCGACGCCTGCAAAGGTAAATAGCAACAAGCGGAATTCCGTCTTGGTCCCGAAGCGTAAGCCTGTGCCGCCCACCACCGTTCAGGAGCAAGTGTCATTGGACCAGAATGGGAGAAATCAGCTGCAACTAAAGTCTGCCTTTCCACAACGGAAGCCAGCACTTGATCCCAGCGATCTTGCAGAGCTACCCGTTGAGCTACTCGTTGTTGAGGCCCCTTACGATTCGGCGCCCAGCAGCCCGGCCGACCTTGTGCCAGCCTTGAGCTCCTCAGAACACGGTACAATTATCGCCGAACGGTCCGAAGAACTGGCTCAAGGTGATACTGGAATCAAAACGCGACATTGTCATGCAGAGGAGCATACAACGATGGCCCAATCTTGAGCATCCAGTCACTTTGAACACGATGGGAGCACCCTGCAAGCCGACGGAGCTTCCGGTTACGGACATTTATATGTTTGACAACGCTCCATGATACCCTTCGGGCGATCCCAGCATCCATCGCAATGCAATGTACATTTCCTATTCATGAAAGAGTATGCGTGACCACGTGGTCGAGAGCTGCCCTGGCTTTCTCATATATTTTACTGCCTGGCGCACGGATTTAATGATTCCATGGGCTGGCATCACGGCCTGCTTCCTCTCTCAGAAACTTACATGTTTTTTTGTCTTGCAGCTCAGTGCTCGGCTCCTAGGCTAGCTCCACCGAATATAAATCATCCTTTATTTCGACATGGTCGGGAGGTCCAGGTAATTGCCAACCCTGGACGCTGATGGCAAGATAGGCAACCTTAAGAAGTAAAGTACGGCACGTTGAAAGGATGATGACGAAGCCGCGAACGCCAAGACCTGCGGCCACGACTCGGGACTAGTCTGTATGGAGAGATCGGCCAGGCGTCAGCGTTCCCCCAAGTCTACTACTCCGTACTCTTAATCTACCCGAGCGTTATTCCTTCTCTCCTTCTCTCCTTCTCTCCTTTTTATCTAGTCTACTGTATTTTATTCTGTTGTTTGCGAACCACACCTTCTTTTACACACACACACTCTCTCTCTCTCTCTCTCTCTCTCCTTACTTTCTCAAGGATTCAGCTCCCAAACTGGCCCACCATATCGCGATTGTTCATAGCTTGTCCGCACTCTATTCGTCCGCCACCTGCGATTCACCGTCGTCCGTCATCCTCAGTTACCCATAACTCTCAGGATGAGTCGGTAAGCAATTTTGGAATCAGCCTATTGAGGGCACACTGCCTGGATCCCGGAGCTGACACTTGTCCCCGCAGCACAGAGGCTGATCTGGCGATAAACATTCGCAAGGCCACAAGCATCGGTATGTTTCGAAAGCCACTGCTACCTCGCCCGCTTATGAATATCATATCACTGACTGATTGGGACTCTAGAGGAAACCGCGCCTAAACGTATTAAGATTCCTGCCCCGTCGCCCTCACCGACCTTGGAAAGCCGCCCACTGATATCTTCACAGGAAAACATGTTCGAAGCTGCATTGTGTATACGTGGGACCACAAGTCATCTGCGGCCTTTTGGGCCGGTATGAAAGTGTATGTCTGAGGACGACAGTCTTTGGTATCCTTTCCGCGCGCTGACCCGTTCTGTCGACAGCCAACCGGTCCTCGCCGACGAAGTTCAAACGTTCAAAGCTCTCATCACGATACATAAGGTCTTGCAGGAGGGACATCCAATAGTAATTCGTGAAGCACAGCAGCACGCCAACTGGATTGATAGCTTGATGAGGGGTGTTGGAGGAGAGGGCATTCGAGGTGCACCAGTCTACGTTTCAAACGCCTGGTTGCGACCTAGCTTCGCTAACCAACATACTTGATAGGCTATGGCCCCCTAATCAGGGAATATGTTTTCTACTTGGAGTCTAAGTTGGCTTTCCACCGCAATCATCCCGAGTTCAACGGTATGTGAACTAAGTCCACGCCAACCACGCGTATGCTGAGAGTGCCCCAGGACTGTTTGAGTACGAGGAATATATCAGTCTGAAAACGATCAATGATCCAAATGAAGGGTAACTACAAATCGTGTGTTTTCCTACATCTAAACTAATCTCGAATCAGCTATGAGACCATAACCGATCTGATGGGTCTGCAAGATCAAATCGATGCTTTCCAGAAACTCATTTTCTCACATTTCCAGTCCGGGAACCATAACGAATGTCGGATCTCTGCGTTGGTTCCTCTTGTGCAGGAAAGTTACGGGATCTATAAGTTCATCACCAGCATGTTGCGGGCGATGCACACGGGTGGGTTCCTACCTCCTGTCCCCTTTTTCTCTACCCTCCTACTCACCACGACTTCTTCTTAGCAACGGGTGATGTCGACGCACTATCACCTCTGCATGGTCGTTATGATGCGCAGCATCACCGACTGGTTCGATTTTACTACGAATGCTCGAACCTACGATATCTAACCAGCCTAATCACTATCCCAAAACTCCCACAGGACTCACCAAATCTACTAGGGGATGAAGAAGAACGGCCAGCCTTGCCAAAGCGACCGACCAAGGACGTTGAGGCGGTACCGTCCCCTCCGCCAAAACCTGCGGCTGCTGAGCCGGAGCCAATAAATGATTTTTGGAGCACGGAAGCCCGACGTCAACAGGAAGAATTTGAAGCAGAGCAGCAGCGTCTACAGCAGCAGTGGGAGGATCAGCAACGCCAGCAATTGCTCGCCCAACAGCAAGCCCAGCGCGAATTTGAGGAACAACAACGTTTACAGGCGGAGCAACAGCGGCTTGCTCAGGAACAACTTATGCGTGAACAATATCAGAGTCAAACGCAAGGCCGCCTGGCTGAATTGGAGCGGGAGAACCTGAATGCTCGTGCGCAATATGAGCGGGACCAGCTGATGCTCCAGCAATACGACCGCCGTGTAAAAGATTTGGAGGAACAAATGAGTCAACTGACGTCGAATTTGAACATGCAGAATGCCTCCAAGGATGAGCAAATCAGATCTCTCCAGGAGCAGGTCAATACATGGAGGAGCAAGTATGAAGCTTTGGCAAAGCTGTATTCTCAGCTTCGCCAGGAGCATTTAGATCTGCTCCAAACAACAAAGAGCCTCAAACTCAAGGCAGCCTCTGCCCAGGAAGCCATAGAGCGACGAGAGAAGTTAGAGCGTGAACTTAAGACAAAGAACCTTGAGTTGGCTGACATGATTCGGGAGCGGGATCGTGCTTTACATGACAAGGACCGTCTAACTGGAAGCAACAAGGATGAGCTCGAGAAAGTCAAACGGGAACTACGCTTTGCTCTGGAGCGCGCAGAGAACGCGGAACGCCAAAAGGGCACTGAAATCTCCTCTTTGCTATCGAAGTATAACAGGGAAATGGCTGATCTAGAGGAGGCGCTAAGAGTAGGTCAATTAGCAGCTTTCTAAATCGGCGCGCTGACGAATGTTTAGAATAAAACGCGTGCCTTGGAGGAATATAGCGAGAATAACGAGATGAGAAATGGCGACCACGAACTCGCGCTCCAGGAAAAGGAAACGGAACTTGAAGCCATGCAGGCTGCCATGGACGAAGCCCTTCTAGAGCTTGAGGAGCTGAAGCTGGTGCGTTCTTATATGAACCAGCTGACTTCACGTTTTGATTTTGTCTAACGCATATCACAGAACCAAGGCGACGCCGACAAAGCGCTGGATACTCAGATTGACCATGTTTTACATGGCACAGTCTCGAAGATCAACGATATCATTGATTCTGTGCTCCAGACTGGTGTGCAGCGCGTTGATGACGCACTCTATGAGCTAGACTCTACCATGCAAGCCGGTAACCAGAATGCGTCGCCACCTTACGTACTCTCGCAAATCGAGAAAGCATCTGCATCTGCAACAGAATTCTCTACTGCATTTAACAACTACATCAGTGACGGACCGAATAGCCCCCATGCTGAGATTATCCGCACAGTGTCTAATTTCTCCGGGGCCATCGCCGATGTCCTTAGCAACACAAAGGGTTTGACTCGTTTTGCTAACGACGATAAGAGCGCTGACCAGCTGACAAGCGCTGCCCGCAAGTCCGCACAGGGAACCGTTCGTTTCTTCCGAGGTCTCCAATCCTTTCGTCTTGAAGGCTTAGAAGCCTCAAACAAGGTTGGTGTCGTCATCAACAACAATTCTGAGGTGCAGAGAGACCTTCAAGCCCTGTCGAAGCTCGTTGATGCGTTCGCACCAAAGGGTAGTCGACTCCAGACTAACGGAGACCTGGGCGACTTGGTGGACCAAGAACTTACGAAGGCAGCTGATGCCATTGATGCTGCTGTCCAACGACTCACCAAACTAAAGAACAAGCCCCGTGACGGCTTCTCTACCTATGAATTGAAAATCAACGACGCGATCTTGGAGGCTGCGATTGCAGTGACTGGTGCAATTGCAGAACTCATCAAGGCTGCCACCGCCTCTCAGCAGGAGATTGTTCGCGAAGGGCGTGGTAGTTCTTCCAAAACGGCATTTTACAAAAAGAATAATAGGTGGACAGAGGGTCTCATCTCTGCTGCCAAGGCCGTTGCCTCCTCGACAAACACATTGATTGAGACTGCAGACGGCGTGATTTCCGGCCGCAACTCTCCCGAACAGCTTATCGTCGCCAGCAATGATGTTGCTGCTAGCACGGCTCAATTGGTTGCTGCCAGTCGTGTAAAGGCCACCTTCATGAGCAAAACTCAAGATCGACTGGAGACAGCTAGCAAAGCTGTCGGTGCAGCCTGTAGGGCTCTGGTACGACAAGTCCAGGAAATCATCGCTGAGAAGAACCACGACGAGAATGAGACAATGGATTACTCCAAGCTCAGTTCGCACGAGTTTAAAGTACAGGAGATGGAACAACAGGTATTTTTTCTTGTCCTTTTCACAACCTGTGTCCTAGCAACGTCAAGATTCGGCCATGACACTATCATGGATGCACTTTAAATTCGTTGCTTTTGAGCATGGTAACTGATAGTACCACCATCTATAGGTCGAAATTCTTCAACTCGAAAATGCGCTTGCCCGCGCCCGAACTCGCCTAGGAGAAATGCGCAAGATTTCATATCAGGAGGATTGATTTGAGTACGCCTGCATACAAGAGCCGCTGGGCAGCTTCAATAACCGACCAGATAATTTCTTCGCTTTGCCTTGTTTAAGTTGACTCGGCTCGCTCGTTTCCATTCATTATGTGATATCTTATGTCCATACTCTGATATACCTGTTCGCAATGCATGGAGCCATTGGGCGCCTTTTTTTTTTTGCCTCGCCTTCCTCTGTACGTTCGAGTAACGGCTTACGCCCAATCTTTCACATCAAGGTTTGAATCAAGCCTGCGCAAGCGCGTTCTGCTCAGCACTCTAGCTGGATTTTTCATTGTCCAAAGCGAAATACCTCCGTGACTTTGAGGCCGCATTTGACTTTGGCCGCTCCAATTGTTGTAGGAGGTACCTCTTTAGTAAGCTAAATGGCTAGGCTGAGCTACACATTCCTTTGCTATTATATCTTGAGGCCGTACTTCGTGTTAGTACCTGGGCTAGCCAGGGACGGTACGGTACTCGGACAGTATAGTGCGGTCTGAAAGTAGCCTCTTCTGTTATGTCGACTGAGGCAGGCCCAGTAGGTATTTCCTCGACGAATAGACCTATTGTTCAACAGAGGTTACTAGGTACTGCGTGTGCAGTGTGACTGAAGGGCATGCAATGGCTTCATCCGATCTCTCAATGGTATAACCATGGTTACCTATGTAGGGATATGTCCATTTCTCTCTTTTTTCACTACCAGGGTATATCGGGTTTCGTTTCGAGGGATGCTTATCTAAGCAGGGCGCAGCTAGGTGCGACTGCTTATGCTTCGGTATCTACGGAGCAGGTATACCTACCTGCCCGTGCCGAGCTCGTGAGAAATAAGGTAGATAAAGGACGTTCAAAGAGTTTTCCTCTGGGGGCTTTATTATCTATTTTCCTAGTAGCAGTAGATTGCGCTTTCCACTGTGTGACGCCTGTACCTACCCAAGCCTTATTTTTTGTCTCATGTACCTAGATATACAGTGAGATACTGACTTACTGCTGAATATGCTTCGAGGTTCCTCTTGTCACGGATGAGACTTGCGACCATCATACATCAATTGCACACCAGGAAAAGAGATGTAGTTAATTCTTGATGCATGGGCGGATGAAGCTTCTTCTGGGAAAGAGTACGTAGGCGCAAGTCTAAGAAGGATCTTAATATGGCGAGTTTTCCAGTCCAGTTTAAGAATTCACAAGTCTCTTAATCTAATGCCGCTTTCGACGACATTATTTTTATAGGTAGCTGCTACACATACCCACAAAAATGAGACCGATGTAAAGTGTTGCCTTACGTGTCTAAGAAGCACTAATAGACTACATAAGACGACTACGCTTGAGAAAACGGATAAGGAAATGCTGACATCGGAGAAGGGCTCGAACATCTGGTAGAAAGATAATAGGGGCGATGAAGAGAGATACCCGGTCTGATTTTCTCCGGTAAAAATCAATAAAATGATTTAGAAACGATGAAAGGATACAAATGTGGTTCAAGGTAACAGAAAAAAAAACCTGCCATTCCAGGTGACCTGTAGTGTCCGTTCCAGCGGTTCTCGACGAAGACAGTCGCACACATCATGAGCATCCCCCAGGGAGCATTAAAGAGACACATCTATGGATCTCAAGGATACTGTCTGCATACAAAAAAAAATATAGCAAGTACTGCGGGCGAAATACACTGAGCAGCAACAGTGGTGGTTTGGAAATCCCTAAGCACTTTTGTTTTCGCATGAGCTTGGTCATAGTGAGAGTTGCCCGAGCCCGGTCAAGCTTGTATTTTCTCATGTTTGACCAGGAGAACTTCCTAATAACAAGTTAGAGCCAACGTAAAGTCATCAATAGGGCACTTACACTGAGCTCTATCCAGCAGGGAGATGCAAGCCTTCATTGCACGGTAAGCCGCGCGGTTTGTTGCCAACCAGTTCCCTAGTGACTGGTTAGAAACTGTGCATCTTGATTAACTGAAAATACTCACAGAATCGGTGTGCGTCTTGTGGAACACAATTGATTGCTCGAATCACAACTTCCTTTTCCACGTTGGTCATGTTAGGGCGTTGGTCGATTGCAGCATAGCAGGTTCTTTGCGCCAAAAGCCGATAGTCCTGGCCACGAGGGTCTTGTTCCAGCAGGACGACATTCTCAGCGACAGCTTTACTAGAGGAATGTTAGCTTCATAATACAAGGTCTTAGGGGCCGACGCACGTCATGTAATACTGTCTGAGTCCAGCTCTGAAAATGTAGTGGTAGCCGTACTGTCGGGTGTAGCGAGCAAGGTCTTCGTTGGCATTCCTCTCCATTGTCACGAGAGCTTGATGCAGTTGGAACATCTTTTCGCCCGCGAGCCCAGCCTGAATGGCCGGATCAAGGATGCTAAGAAGCTCAATAGGGTGGCCTTCGAAGTCGGCAGGGTTTGGTCTAACACGATGGCCGGTCACAATCGCTTGAAGGGCGGGACCATGACGACCAACAGGGGCTTCTGCAATCTCGCCGAGTCCAAGAAGTCTATGGGAAGCATGCAGGATCACTCCTCCATTGAAAAGAGTAGAGACCTGAGCCATGAGTCGGTAGCTGTTTTGATGAGACGCGAACGACGCTGATATGTAGGCTGCCTGTTCTCTCAATGCCAAAGGAGCATCAGCGTTTCGAATGGTTGCGCCGAGAAGTCTGAAGATGGTTTGACTGTAGGCATCCATTGCGTTGAGTTGAAGGGCGACAGTGGTGGGATAGTGTCTGCGATAGCACAAGTTGGTTGTCCTTGAGTGATACAAAAGCAACAAGAGTCAGGTAGATAGATGAATGAAGAAGGAAGTGTTGAAGACATCAGGAATCTTTGAAGTTTGCGAGGTTGGGGACTTTAATAGAACAGAATTGTGGGGGTGTTATTGAGGTCCTCTTTGGGACACAATAAGCTATTAAGCTATTCACAGTCTGGATCTGACTTCACACTGGGTCTGAGCTCGTTATTCACCAGACCAGACTAAACAAAGAAATGCGCCAGCCACCAAAGCCCAATAGGAACACAACCTTATGCGCCATGTCTAGCCGAGTCTTTCATCTCTTTTCGTACTTGAACTTGTTCGTCCCAGACCCTGTCTTTCAAAAGCATTCTCCTGTCTCCCTTCGATTGCTCATGAGTCTGCCAGAATGATGCTTTAACAGCATATGACTTCTGGCTCGCTCTTCTCCCATTAGAACACAGGAAGGACCGATGTGCCGAGATGGCTGCTGTATCAATTGCCATGAAATCAGCAACACAATCTCCCGACGACCTCACTGAACTTCTTTGGCAAGATGCCTTGCGCCACCTTGTGTCTACAAATAACGAAGTCCTTCTACCGACAAATGTCGTAGACATAATCGGTCAGGCTAACGTCGAGAAAATCAAGTCCCGCCTTTCGTGAGTTGCAGCAATCCCTCCATTGAGGACTGCTTCTCACAAGATGCAATAGTGCTATTCTCAGAGGCCCAGTCGTTTGCTTTGTTGACGAATCGATCAATGCTCTTCGTGTTCTCCGCACACCAGCATTCTCGGGCTCCTCGATATCTGTTGCCTCTCACGCTAGGGGCCTTGACTCGAGGGCCGGCGAGGCTCCTGCCAGACCCAAGCCAACCTCGATGAAATCCGCAAAAGTTCCTCGGCCTCCTAATGCGTTCATTCTCTACAGGCAGCACCATCATCCCAGAGTGAAAGAGTCTTACCCCGACCTCACCAATAATCAGATTTGTAAGTCAGCTGATAACCTTATATCCACTTCGATGGACTGACCAACAAAGCCGTGATTCTAGGAAAGCAATGGAGAGAAGAGACTGAAGAGGTCAAGCTGCATTTCAAGAATCTGGCGGAAGATTTCAAAAAGAAGCACGCTGAAGAGCATCCTGACTACCAATACACTCCCCGAAAACCTTCTGAGAAAAAGCGTCGGGCGACTTCTCGTCTGTCTCCAAAATCTTCGAAGCCTTCCGTACCCCTTGAAACTCCGCCTCCGATGAGTGCATCATCACCCAACGCCTTCACGCCACCAATGTGTCCTGATATTCAAACTGGGCAACTCGCAGGTGCAGTTTATATGGGGCAGCTCGAGGGGCCGAACGTTATTTTCAACGCCAGCGGCTTGACCGAAGAACCCACTAGTTTCGGCACCAATGCGTTTGATTCCCTCTTTCAACAGGGGCAGAGTGAATATGACAGGACTGCATTATTCTCACAGCTGGAGCTTGCGGATGGGTCTTTCGGAGACTCTTTTGAGTTCCCCGACTTTGCAGCTGATTACTTCTGAGAAATGGTTGCCGTTTGCATTCCTTTCGCTCCACCCCGTCCTTGCACTATCGATTACTCCCGTGCACCCCCCTGGGCACTACTTCGAGTTGTCACATCAGCTTTTGCAGGAAACTGGGCTAGCTGGTGCTTGTGGAGAAGCTACATGGGGATTTTCGAATGACGAAGTCTTCTATGAACAAAAGTGAGGGACTCATTCATCCCCGCCTGTATCGAGGTACCTCGTTCCATGCCTACTACTCCGTAGTAGGCGGACGTACCCGGCTTGCGGAAATCATGAAACTCAAACCGAGAACGAAAGGTGCGCTTGATTCCCCATGATTTTGGCAGACGAGGCAATTGACCCATCGCCAGTCTCACGGGATCCCGTCGAATATAGTATCGCCGCATACATGGCAGAGCATCTTTAGCGATCTTTTTTTTTTTTTGCGAGAGCTTCTCCGAAAGTGCACATACTTCCTGCGGGTTTATCGGCCTCATCGGTGTCGGTGCGGTTCTTACTGAGCCGTGGTCATGTATCCTTATTTCTGAATATTAGTTTTGTTCACAAACAGACCCATAACGGGACATTATATAGACTGGTCCAGGTGGGATAGATAAATAAATATAAGTAGAAAAAAACATACAACAGCTGGGATTCGCATGTGGTCACCCACCATACTACTAACCAGCCGGCGTGTGGCTTAAGTACGGCTGAGCGGACGGGAAGCCCTGTTCTCCACACCCTGTGGTCGTATGTGGTTGAATATATAATTATTGATTTTATATAGCAAAGAAAACCTGTCTGACAAAAATTAAACGTTCCTTGCTACATCCACACAACCATCTTCATCCTTGAGCTCGCCCGATCCCTCGTGGACGGATGCCAGACCACACTTATCAATCAAAGGCATAAATCATTCTGTTCTACTCCTTGTTTATCCGCTGTTGACACGCCACTCCTTCTACCGCTTCTCCCTGGAAGCAAATATTAGAAAGAGCCTAGGTAACTGGGCCATCGCAGACAATGCACTGCATGCAGCTGCAATGAGTCGCTATCTCACTCCCTCAAAGGTTGCCCTACTAAGCCTCATTTCTATCTACACGGAAGGTGTCGTTCCGAACTCGTCCGCCATTCATGTGCTATCATTTATAGTCGCTTATCTGAGTCCGTTGGGCGCAGGGGACGCTCCCGCTTCCTCGGATAGTTTGTCCGCACAGTACTCAGTTTCCATCGAGGATATTGAAAAAGCACTGAAAGCGCGTCAATCGTCCGTACCTGGCCGGTCGGTTTGGGATCTGTTCCTCCGCAAGATTTGGTCAATTGACTCATGTGATGCGCTGGAGTTGTTCTTCACTGAGATATCCGGTACTCTCGCGAAGACGCGTGAGGAACAGATCAGGGAGAGAGATGCCGGCCTCGCTCCAGCATCTGGCGGCATGCGCCTTGCTCGGTGTTCTCCACTAGGCGCTTTCGTGAGGAGGTCTCAGTTGGAATTCACCAGGCTTCAGTTTCATGATTCGGTCAGGTTGTGGAAGGGGTTTGTCAAATATCGTATTCCGACCTACCGAGCCTGGGCACGCAAAAACCCCTCTGATGAGCAGGCTTTTGTTGACATTAATCTACTCGAACTGGGCCTCGATACGAGCAGTCACCTTGCTCAAGTAGCTTACGGAAACATCGAGGACGATGAAGAGGACGACCGCTATGTCAGTACGAAGGAGGTCGAACGGCTCTTGGAGTTTCAGATTGGAGAGCTACAAAGTAAGATGTCCTACCCCTGATTCCTTGTGGACTTCCCTCTAACAAGTCAGGATTTGGTGGAAGGGTCCCAGAAGGCTTGAAAGTCCAATTGAAGCGTATTGTCGCATCCGGCGTGACATTGCCCAATCTAATTCATTACTTGAGGTGAGACTTGAGACCAGGAGCTATTATTTCCAGGACTAATCGCCTGCAGATTTCTCGATGCCTGGAGAGCTGGGGACTACCCGTCGTCCTTTGACAACCTCCATCGCTACTTCGACTACACGATGCATAGCCGGGACAAGGGAACCTACCAATATGCACTTTTGAATCTCGCCATACTACAAGCCGATTTCGGATGTTATGGAGAAGCCGTGTCTGCAATGCGCGAAGCCGTATCAATTGCCAGGGAGTCTCACGACATGAACTGCCTGAATTTCTGCATGAGCTGGCTGTACCACCTTGGAAAAGCTTTCCCGGAGCTCATCAAAGATATTGAAAATACTGGCATGCTGGGCAATGAGAAGGAGGGGCTCGCCTTCCTCAAGGCCAAAGCAAAGGAGACGGAGATGTGGGGGTTGCTGAGTACTACGCTATTGAGCGAAGCAAAGCTTGAGCTTCAGAACGTAAGTCCCTCTTTTGCCATCTACTACATCTCTCTAACGCCTTGAAGGGAGAGAGTCTAGCATCATCGATCGAGAACATCGTCCGAGCATCACATCTAAACGTCACGAAGAACCTCATGAATTCGATGGGGCCCCAGCTTTTACTCCAGACTGCATTATATTCCAGAATAGGTACCTCATTTCGCTCTCTAATTATATATTCCTGGCTTATTTGGCATCCTTTTCAGGCACCACGCATCTCGCCTGGTTGAGCAACGAGACATTCCGTCATTGCTACCGGAACAGCGCACCTTTCGAGGACTACTTGAAGAGCACATTCCGAAGCTGCCAGCTGGTGAGCCCAAGTCCATTGTTTCCCTCCGCATAGCCACTCATATCTTGAAGCTCGCACAGCAGGGCCGCTACAACGAAGCCTCCTCCCAGATGGCCGAAATGAGCCCAGAACGATTCCGATCGCTTAAAACAGGCCAATACTGGGCCTTCTTCTCCGGAGCTCTTCAGCTCAGACGCAAAATCTACAAGTAGGCTCTCCCTTCAGCCTTCCCTCCCCACCTCCGCAATGTCCGCGTCCAACAACTAAACCCTTCCCAGCGACGACCAAGTAGCGTCAGCCCACATCCTCTCGCAACTCCAAGCAATCGACCTCCCGGACAGCGACCTTACATTCCTCCTCTCCTTCCTCCGCATCGAGTACCTCATCCGTCGCGCCGACTACGCCCAAGCCCTCGAGCTCCTTGAAAAGACCGCGCAGTCCACCCACGCCGACAACTTCGACATCCAACCACAAGTTAAGCTCCTCTGCCTGAAGGCCCGCATCTTCAACAAAATGGGCCAGCCCCAGCGCGGATTCTCGCTCGCCATGCGCGCCGCCAATATCGCGGACCGCTCGCGTCTCCTCCCGGGTCTCTGGGAGGCCATTGTAGCACTGGGCTCTGTGCTCTTGAGCCTGAAGGAATTCGACGCCGTCGGCAAAATGGTCGAGAGTATCATGCCGCAAATCCTTGAAACAAGCGACTGTGATCTTGCGGCAAGCGCGTACTCGCTTCTCGTGGACGTGAATATGGGGATCGCGGGGCGGCTTCGGAGTGAAGGGAATAATAATGGTCCTGCGAAGAAGGAGTATATGAATCGCGCCCTGGGGTATCTGGATTCTGCGTACGAGCAGTTTGAGGAGATTGAGGACATTCGCGGGCAGTGTGAGATGATGGCCAAGAAGGCTACTGTCATGCATCTTACGGGCGATTCGGTTCTTGCTAATGACTATGCGGCGAAGTATCTGGACTTGCGGAAGCAGAAGGCTTCGGCTTGAGTTCGGGTCTGATCATAACGGGGAATAAGAAGATGAAGGTGTAGGAGCGGCTTCGCCTGAAAGGTAGCTAGCATGTATGGATTAGGGGTGCTCCAGTATGGATTTTACTTCCCTATAAATCAGGTTCTTCTATTGAAGGAATGGAGCAGTGAGCAATGCTCTCCCGGTAAAACAGATAAAGGGCCTTCTCCCAGGCAATTCCCAGGACTTTCGACTTAGAATCCCAACCCGCAAGTAGGAGCCACTGGATTAATACACCGGCATCGCTAAGGACGAAACTGCGTCTACTAACGAGCATCGAAGCTGTAATCGAGATAAATAGTCCCCATTTCGCGGCTGGGTCACGGTCAAAACTAAATAGGACTGCTGTTAAACTTGTGCTCGCAATCTAGGTTCAGCACATTCGCCCCGGCGCGCAGAGGCAATTTCGCAGCCGAACTCTAAAGCCCGTATTCCGCCCAGACTCTTTATCATAGCAAGGCTCCAGGCGCCCAGAGGCGGCAAGACGAAGCGCTGCCGATTTCCGGATTTGAAGATGCAAGAGGTTTGCGAGAAGCGCCTTCGTGGAGAGAATGTTTTCCCTCTTGCAGCTCCGCGGTGCCGCGATGACACGCCCCAAGTATCCTCCGACATAATCCAGATCGACCGAGCATTATTAAAAGATGTCGAAGACGGTGTCCTCGAGTGATGCGTCTGATTCGCGGCTGAAAAGGGTCTTCGTACCACTCCGATGCCTGAACAAAGCAGCGTGAGCACGGACATATCCCTCTAGGGTTCTGTGAATGCTGCAGAGTGGTCTTCATGTCGGGAGGCTGGTTTCCTGCTTCTGCGTTGTCTTCCTGACTTGAACAACTCGATACCGACAACGTCCTGTGATGCTGTTGTCTCTGGTGGTGAGGTATGTGTTCGGAGTTCGCGGATTCGAGATGCGAGGGCTGCAGAGCTCCCGATTGAGGATGCGTGAAGTGGCAGATTTGGATCAAAGACAGTAAACTTTACCTCTCATTTCTGGGCTGGAGATGGAGCTTGACAGCTCTTTCAATAGTGCTAGCCTTCTCCGATGCTCAATCAATTAGAGTCCTGACAAGCTGATGCGACTTGATTCGACTTGACTCTGGCTGCTGCCGTCAATAACGGTGCCCAGGGTGTAACTCACCCGTACCTGTTTTTGTTTGTTCAACCGCGCCGTCCCTCCCAGCCTCCTTTGTCCTTTCGCCTTGCAACAAGGAGCTAGACCGCGCCTTCCCAGTGCGTTACCATTAAATCGTGGAAACTAGCCGGTCTGAGTGAGCGCTTGGCATGAGGAGACTCTAGCGTGACCTGAGCAACACGTAACACTTATCTACTAGAATGTGTGAATCGTGAGTGAGTGTGGAAAGATGGAAGGAGTACGGAATTAAAGTAGAGTCTGGGTACAAGATTCGGCGTCGTCATATCGTATCCGTTGGGATTGTGTGACATCTGCTTCAGTTAAGAAGTAGAGCACCAAATCTTACAGTAATGTATGTATATGGTCTACATTGTTGATGAGTCCCAATCGTTGGCCCAGATGAAGGTAGAGCATCGCCATTCTGTCCCTCTCTCTTTATTCCCACTGGGGCCTAGAGGTCTGGGACAGATCCAGAATGTCCGACCAAAGTTTGGACCAGGCTTCTTAGTTTTCAGACTGATGCATTGTTCATCATGCTCTCCGCACTTGGGAGGTGGCTTTTTGGTAAGTAGCTTCGACCAGCCTTCTTTGCTGGCAACCGGATCAATGAAGCTCGTCTCATCCTTGAGCAGCGCTGTAGTCGTCGGTGTTGATGTTTCTTCAGATTCGAGTGCCGCTTCGGGTGTTTGGCTTATTAACCCTGGTTGGCTGGAGGGCTGGGAAGGGCTGGGGAGAGAGTGTTCAGAGAGTCCCGGTTCTCCGTTCTTCGACAAGGCAGAGTCTTTCGGTTCGACCCCAGGAGTGATTTTCGGCTTGAAGAACCCCTTTAAAGTACTCTGTCCAGCTGTAGGAGTAACTGTTTGGCTGCTCGCGGATTTCGAACGTTTGACCGGCGGATCTTCTGGTCTGACGGGTCGTTTGCGAACGGTCCCTTTCTGAGGGCTCGCGTTGGGTATGATGATAGGCGTATCGGCATTCGAAGGCGATGAGGGGCTGGCTGTAGTCTTCGAAATCATGTTGGCGCCTTCAGTCGATGGAGAAGGGGTTGGCTTCTGCAGAGAAGGCAGTTTCTGCGAAGGTTGACTCGGCTTACGCATAAACATGTCTTTGATGTTTCTCCGCCTGTCAAATTCCGGTATCAATCGCCCCGAAAGTGTTAAAAGAAACTTTGTCGTATAATTTTGTTGGCGCTCGCCGTTCTCGAACACTCCAGAAGGGTTCACAATATCAAGTATGTGGGAGTCGCCTTCGCCGAGAGGTACGCGGTCCTTGAATACAGCATATACTGGGCAATGGTCCGACCCCTGTGAGTATCTCGTTAGTGGGATAATACTCTGGGGGCCTCCTAGAACATACCATGAGTCCCTCCTGAATATTAGAGTCAGAAAACCAATCTTTCATGTTCAGGCTGCATAGGACGTAGTCTATCCTTGAGCCATAATTCCCAGGGCGGGCATTGATTCGCTGCTCCCAGCAAGTATACATGCCTTTGCGGTCCGGATGAAATGACCTGCATATATCGAAAAGAGCAGGTCGTTCCCTCCCTTCATCTCGGTCACCCACCACTTTTCCATCCGTCAATAAATGGTTGAACAAGCGCCGAGCTGGGGCAGTGACGAAGTCATCCTCCGTGATAGCTCCCTTCTTTATGTTTTCCGCTGCGTGTGCTGCGTCAACTTCCCCTCTTGAGATATTGATGTCGCCAGTGACGAAAACCCTTTTCCCTAAGGCGTCTAGGTTTCGGACGCGCGTATCCATCAGGTCTAGGAAGTTTTGGCGGAAAGCATCTCTGCTTTCGTCTCTATTCGCAGGACAATAGAGACCTATAAGAACAAAGGCGGGGAACTCGAGTATCACGCATCTTCCTTCAGAATCAAGCGTCTCTGCATCCAGCTCGAGTTGCGATAGCTGCTCTATCGTTGGATAGCCGCCAATTTGCTGGTCCTCGGGTAAATCTCTGAATGGCACTGATGAGTTTGGCGGACAAAGGGTTCCTGTCAGACCTTCCTCAGCACGGATGGGAGCGCATGTCGCGTTACGAGTGTAGATGGCGACACCGGAGTAGCCTGACGAATGGTTAGCTCCGAGTAACGCAGCGATTCGATGTGCCCGACCTTTTTTGACTCTGGGCAGACTGAAGTAGCAATCCCATCCGGGTACGAGGACCATGTCATCTCTAAGGTCCTTTCGCTGGATTTTGGTTTCTTGGAAGACTACAATATCGGCTTCCAGTATGTCGAACATGGACTAGTTTGACTAGCGTTAGCCGCGTCGACATGGAAGAAGGGAGATCCTACCTCAAAAGTCCGCGTGCTCCTCCATGGCTCATACGAGAATGGATTCCTGGTCAAAATTAGAGCGCGTCGCCAGCATCGAATCTGAGCTTTGCTACAGACCTAATGCCGTTCACTAAGTAAACAATCAGTATCAGTGCAGCTGTCTCAGTCGCAGCGGAGATAACCCACCGTTCCATGTCGTAATGCGAAAACCCATCCCGGCTTCTAAAAGCCTTGAAAGAGCATATTACTCGAGCAGAAGACAAGAAAGCCGCAAATTGATAGTTTCAGAGTGAAGCTCCCCAAGCTGCAGCTGCATCCCATTCACGTCACGTGCCGATAGCAGCGTAATGACGAAAGAGGATGCTGACATAAGGGACGACGGTTGTGGCCGGAGACGAATCACGGGAAGCGCTAAGCGCTTTTGTCTGCCCACCCGAGCCGACATCGTCTGATATTCCCACCTTCGAGAAGATCGAGACACAGCTGCGAGCCATTCGCATTCATTCAGCAATCATGATCCCCCAGCGCAGTGTCCTTCGCCTCGCCCAGCGTTCCGCTCCGGTTCGCTCTGCCATCCAGCGCCGCTTCAACAGCACCGACAAGCTGCCTTCCTGGGCCGTTGACAACGAGTTCAACCGCGAGCGAGCTGCCGTCAAGCACCACGCCGCTTCCACCAGCAGTACGTTTGGCCCTTCCGGAGCTCTCTAGGCTTATCCTCGGCTGGATACTGTGAATTCGGAATTAAATTAACCCATTGGCGTGCTCTAGGTCTCTGGCTGAAGCTCTCCATCTTGTACGTCACGCCATCGGTACCTTTCCGCTAGCCGGATGCAATTGAACTCATATAACCATAGCGCCGTCATTCCCTGCCTCGTCGGTGGTGGCTACAACGCCTACGTTCAGTGGCACGAGCACTGGGAGCACTGGGAGCACATGACTCCTCTGGAGGAGCGCACCGAGTACCCCTACCAGAACATCCGCACCAAGAACTTCCCTTGGGGAGACGGTGACAAGGTCAGTTTACCAAATAGCGCAGAAAGTATAGTTCAAGAAACCAACTAACTCATCTCCGCAGACCATCTTGTAAGTCTTTTGTTCGCGCCAGCTACTTGCGCCCAATTCGTCTCGAATTCTCGAATGCGATCTTCCGTCAGTTACTAACAATCCGCAGCTGGAACTCCAACGTCAACTACCACAACAAGGACAAGACTTCCTAAGCAGTTTGTGAACCAGGACACGCCGGCCCCGAATACGAAGGACATGTACATTTCTCCAGGAAGAAGGGCGAATCCGGAAAATATAATCACAAGTCTCTGTTGGACGAAGCAGTTACCCATGAGCCATCACTATGCTTCTTTGAGTTTCCTTTGTATGCTACAAGCTCATCTGCCGTTTTGAATCCAATATATACAAGAGTTTCGATATCCTGGTCGCTGTTTTGCGAATTCAAGGCTGTTCACAGGACTTGCAGAATTGCTGAGATTCCGGGCGTTTTAGAAGTCGTATAGAACGAAGCTGATCGCAGCCGCACCGACCCTAACCTGAGAACGAACGTACCAGTATTGGCGGTCCCCTGAGTAACCATCAGCGCAGCGCAGCCCTAAGGGCATATGGAATAAAGGACAACCTATGGTTGATGACGAAACCTCGGGCGCCTCGTAAATACCCCAGCCAAGTAAGGAACTCTCCGCTATATTCTCGTGGAATGAGTCATAGACCAAGTGGTTTAGGAATGAGTCGGATGGGTGTCCAGGTGAGCTTGCGTCGGAGCTGTGACGGGCACCGAGCGGGAATGTCGGACAGTCAGAGCTCCGATACACAGCCCTTCCGCACCCAAGTACGATGTCATGGAGCGCCCTAACATTAAAATGCAAAAAGTATAAATAAGACGGAATGAATGAATCCAAGTAGAATAATCATGTTTTTATTTGAGTATTATATCCCCAGCAAATCTACATACTGAAGTATCTCACCATCGCTCTACGGAGTACTTCCGACATCTCCTACACCCGATTCATCAATCTATACCCACGGTCAATGACGAGAAACTTTGACGTCCTCATCGTTGGTGCCGGCCCTTCCGGTCTAGTCACGGCGTTGTGGCTAGTCAGGCAAGGCGCCTCTGTCCGCATCATCGACAAAGCAATGTCGGACGTGTCGACCTCTCGGGCACTGGCCATTCAAGCACGAACCCTGGAGCTATACCGCCAGATCGACATCGCCGAAGACGTCGTTGCAAATGGACACAAGATAAAAGCAACGAATGTCTGGTCTGAGGGCATCCGTCGGGGGCATATCCCCATCGGCGACATCGGCACCGGGCTAACGCCGTATCCATTCATTCATATCTTCTCGCAGGATCAGCATGAGAGACTCCTCGAGGACCGCCTCAAATCGCTCGGTGTTCACGTCGAGCGAGGCCTAGAGCTTGTGGACTTCACGGAAAACGACTCTTCCATAACAGCTCAATTGCGGTCCACCGACGACAAGAGCAACGGTGAAACATGCAAAGCCGCCTTCATTGTTGGTTGTGATGGAGCGCATTCGGCTGTTCGTCACAGTGCCGGGATTGAATACGAGGGAGAGACGTACTCCCATATTTTCTTCGTCGCCGACATCGAGGGAAGTGGGCCGGCAATCAACGGCGAAGCGCACGTTACTTTCAACCAGTCCGAATTTATGCTGCTGTTTCCATACGATGCTTGCCGCCGAGCCCGCATATCTGGCGCCATTGATGATGAAACGGCAGAGAGAAAAGGAACCAATATCAGCTTTGAGGAGGTTGCACCACAGATGAAGCACTCGTTCAACTTGCAAATCGACAAGATGAACTGGTTCTCCACGTATCGAAGTCATCATCGGGTAGCAGCATCCTTCCGCAGAGGCAGAGCATTTCTGGTTGGCGATGCTGCGCATATTCATAGCCCTGTCGGTGGACAGGGAATGAACACTGGTATCGGAGACGGAATCAATCTCGCCTGGAAGTTATCAGCAGTCATCAAGGGACAAGCAGGTTTATCTTTACTCGACACCTATGAGGCAGAGCGCCGCGCGTTTGCACTTCAACTTGTTAGCACAACGGACAGGGGCTTCAATGCTACCATTTCACAAAGCTTCTTCGCCCGTACCCTGCGGACTCGCGTCGTCCCTTTCCTTGCGCCCTTGCTCACAAAAATCGAGTACATCAGACACAGCGTGTTTCGCAAAGTGTCCCAGATCATGCTCGATTACCGGCACAGTAGCTTGTCTACTGGCACGGCCGGATACGTTCAGGGCGGTGACCGTATGCCATGGGCAGCTGTCGGCGAGGTGGACAACTTTGAGAGCCTGAAATCGATCGCCTGGCAGGTCCATGTGTATGGAGTGGCCACGCCGGAACTGACTCAATGGTGTCAGAGCCGGAATATCCGTTTACACAACTTTCCCTGGAATGAGCAGTACGTGGTAGCGGGTTTGAGAGCTGACGCAGCGTACTTGATCCGACCAGATACCTATGTCGCAGTCGCGGAGCCATCGGGTGATCCTCAGATTTTCGACCAGTACTGTGAAGATAATGGGCTTCGATGGCTTTGAGCGTTCGTTTCCCTTCTTGCTTCTCTACTCTAGACCGGGAAATTGAGTACCGATAGATAATGCACCATCTCCATTCCCATTCCTGAACTGATGTTGGCAATAAAAAAGATCACTGATTGTAAGATGTAAGTTGGTGGAGCTGGATGAGATCGAGACCGAGGCCGAGTCTTAGCGGCTTCGCGTCCGCGTCGTCAGCATCCCGACTCCCGAGCCCAACTCCGACTCTCCGCACGAGACAAAGAACAACTCACGCGACACCTGCTATCAGGCCTAATGTGATCGACCAGGCTATCTCTCGGGTTCGCTCTTATTCTTGCAGCTTCAAATGCATGCGACAGAAGCATGCGAGTCCTTGATCAATGGACTTTCCTTCCTAGCTGTCCTAGCTGTCTCCGCCGTCCGGCATGCTTCGCGCTACCACAAGCTCCGCCGTCGTCTTCCCCAACTCTTCCTGCTCATCTTTGTCCTCTGGAGTACAGCAGATGTCCTTCTTGTCCACCGACACTTCCATGAAGAGCAAATTCACCTAGATTACAGACCCCCTGAGCGACAGCGAATATTCATCACCAGCGTTTTCTGGGACAAAGAGCGGACCCTCCCAATTCAGTGGAACAATGCGGTCGTCGAGTTAGCCAATGTTTTCGGAGCCGACAACATATTTGTCAGTGTGTATGAGAGCGGGGGCAGTTTTGGTACAAGGGATACTCTGCGCGAGCTCGATGGTGCATTGGAGAGTGTAGGGGTACAGCGAAAAATCACAATTGCCGACCCATCTCCAGACAATGAAGCGCTGAAGAACCCGTCAGCTGACCGGAAGCACATCGCTGCCAGTGCGCGACTGCGAAACCTGTCTCTGAAGCCTTTATATGACCTTCGAGATGCTGGCACGTTCTTTGACCGAGTGTTGTTTTTAAATGACGTCGTCTTTACGGTAGGCAGCGCATCTCCGTTCATCTTCCAACTAGCTGACGTTCCTGCGCAAACAGAAAGAGGACGTGCTTTCCCTTTTGAATACCAATTATAACACATACACAGCCGCTTGCTCTTTCGACATACTGTGTCCTCCGTCCGACTCCGACGCACTAGCCATCCGAGACGCGGACGGACATGAGACCGTCATGCAGAAATGGCCCTTTTTTCGCTCCTCCAGGTCCAGGGAAGCTATGAAGTTTATGCTGCCGGTTCCTGTCAGAAGCTGCTGGGGTGATATGGGTAGGTCAACCGTCAACGAAAGGTCTGGATGCAAATGCTGATGCTCAATGTTTAGTCTTTATGGGAACAGAGGAAATCTATTCAACTCGGCCGTATCAGTTTCGGACGGTACCCGATGGCCTAGCAGATAGACACGTTGTGGCTTCCGAATCCTGCCTGATTCATGCGGACAATTATATCTCCAAACGAAGGGGTGTTTACCTAAATCCCTTTGTCCGGGTTGGAGATAATGCAGCGGCCAACTCAGCGCCTCGCCCTCAAGGTCACTGGTTGTCAACCTGGGAAATACTAGAGTCCATCTGGGAGAACCGACTTCGTCGCTGGTTTAGCTCCCCCTTTTTGAAAGGATGGTCTTTGCAAAGCCGAATCGCGGAATGGAAGAAGGAAGATGAGAACAATAAAGAACGCGGTGATTTCTGCCTCACTTACGAGATCCAGGCCGCGGGAACATGATACTACCACGGTCAGGTGGTGGATAATTCCTGAAGACTGACATTGGAGATGTGAAGCATACCATTGCCTTTCCGCCTAGTGCTTGAACTATTCAAGCTCCTTGCTACGAGGAAGTCAGCCCGCCTGGATCCTCTTGCGAAGACACGGATCTTGAAAGAGCTGAAGTGACACGCCTTGTTCGCTTCTGGCAGCTTTGGTATCGGTCACAACTCTGGAGCTGCCCATGGGAGGGCTGCGTCATTGATTTGCGCATGAAGACGCCCGGGATGCTCGAGCAACCGACCAACGGGCTTAGGGTGATACTCTACAAATCTATGACCTATACTGTAAATTACTGTTAATTATCAAGAGAAACATTATACCTGGCCGAGAGATAAATCTATCAGATCAGTTTCCAGCTGCTACGAAGTATTGAGGCTACAAACCTCAAAGTCTGCCTTAGCCCTCGGGCAGACTTCCGATACCGCATCTCTCCCCGCCAAAGTCAACCCCGCCAAAAAATTCCCGGTGACGCATCATCCAAACCTCCTCTCAACCTCGAACCATTCTGCAATCCTCACAATGGCAAACACACTTACAACCACCGACCTCCAGGGCTCGCTGCCCCTCATTGCCCGCGGCAAAGTCCGCGACCTGTACGAAGTCGACGACAAGACCCTCCTCTTCGTCGCAACCGACCGCATCTCCGCCTACGATGTGATCATGGAGAATGTGCGCATATGCCCGTTCCTCCCAACTTGCACATTAGCCATACTAATAATTCCAAAATGCAGGGCATTCCCCAAAAGGGCGTGCTCCTAACCCTTTGCACGAAGAAATGGTTCGAGATCCTAACCGCCGCGCTCCCCGGCCTCCGCACGCACTTCATCACCCTAGATCTTCCCTCCAAGATCCCCGAGTCGCTGCGTCCCGTGCTGCAGAACCGCGCCATGCAGGTGCGCAAGCTGCGAATTCTGCCTATTGAGGCCATTGTCCGCGGATACATCACTGGCTCTGCGTGGAGCGAGTACAAGAAGTCCGGCACTGTCCATGGGATTCCCGTCAAGGAGGGACTGAAGGAGAGTGAGGCGTTCCCCGACGGCCCGATCTACACGCCCAGCACGAAGGCTGAGCAGGGTGAGCATGATGAGAATATTCATCCGGATAAAGGTGCGTGTGCTATTATTGCTTATTTTCGCGGATTCGGCTGGGGTGCAGCGCAGTGCAATGCAATTGAACTGTGGACCTTGGACTAATTGGATTCTGTTTCTACAGCCGTTGAAATCGTTGGCGAAAAATACGCCGCAAAGATCGCCGAGCTCGCCGTGACGCTGTACAAGACCGCGCACTCCTATGCGCTTACCCGGGGCGTGATCATCGCCGACACAAAGTTCGAGTTTGGCGTTGACGAAGAGACGGACGAGGTTGTTCTGGCAGATGAGGTGCTCACGCCGGACTCGTCCCGATTCTGGCCGAAGGACTCATATGAGATCGGCCGCGGGCAGTCGAGCTTCGACAAGCAGTTCTTGAGAGACTGGTTGGTCAAGGAGGGGCTCAAGGGGAAGCCCGGGGTGCGGATGACGGATGAGATTGCGCAGAAGACGAGCGAGAAGTATAAGGAGGCTTGGGAGCGGATCACTGGGGGGAACTAGCGTACGCTGACCGGGGTGTAACTGCCGTAACATGTGTTCTTGGTGGGAACAATTGAAGGTATATGTATAATGTACAATCCAAAGACTTTGTTGCATTTGCTTAGTCCCACTCGTCGCGCAAACCCTTCAGCCCCTTCGCCTTGCCCTCTGGTTTCTCTTGCTTCTGAGGCTCATCTTCGTTCGGCGCGACCCAGTTCCTTCGAACACCCTCGTCAACAGGCAAGGCGGCTGTTCCGCAAATCCGACGCTCCTCCTCAATCTCGCCTTCACTCATCCCATTCGTAGCCCAGATACGATGGATGCGGAGATCGTAAGGGCCTTCAACGCGGTCTGTCAAACCAATACCCACACTCTTCACCCGTTGTCTGATGATCGACGTCTGGGGCTCTGCAACAAGCCCATGGTTGGTTCGGACGAATGCGTTGAACGGCAGCAGAATCGTCTCCCATCCGGTCGAGCCAGAGGTTGTGGCCGACATTGAAGACATGATCGTGGAGGGTGGCGGAACGTCGGAGAGAGCTTCAGGTATTCCAGTGGGATACTTTTCTTCAGCGATCTCAGGCGATTCCGCGGCCTCGGGTGATGAGTAGGGCGAGAGGGGGTCATAGGATGAGGAGGCTTCTGAGTCGCGCACGTGGTGATGGCGTGTGTATAATCGGTGTTGGTGGATATCAGTCTCTACAATGGTGTCGGTCTGAATGTTCACTGTGTAGCGACGGCCGTCGGATTTAACTCGCAGGGCTAGGTAGGTGTATGGGTCGAGATCCCAGTATAATCGGCCAAAGAGCCATAAGCCTCGATCTTGGTTGCGGAAGGCGGCGTATCCTAGAAAGAGCTTGTTACTCACAGACCTTCGTGTCAATTCGCAGATTATTTACCTGTCCTCTCTACCCTCCAGTTGTCTGGAAGCTTGGTCGAGATGGTTCCGTGGAACCTTGCGTGAGCAGGCGTATTCGTTGAAGGTTCGGCGGGGACGTAGTCAATGCTTGCAGTGCTGAAGCCTCCCACGGCGCGGTCGGCCATGGTCTTGCAGCTCGCGACAGACGATTCATCTTCGAAGTTCAGAAGGTGGTATGGCTTTGTTGGCGTGGAGAGAGCTTCGGTGTTCCAGGCTAGTTCGGTCAGTTTCTCAGTAGATGAGCGATGCGGAAGCACGAGACGGACCAATTCTTGATAACCGACTGAATTCCTCTGCACTCCGCTTAAAAAAGCCCGGGGGCTTGGCAGCTAGTCGACAAGCTGTCGGGAACATAGTGAATATTCAGATCAATTCGAAGCCAAATGGATTTTGCGATGTCTTTTTGCGCGCTCAGAATAAATGCAGATGACGTCGGGAGCTCCCACCGCTCGGCAGTATACCAATGGACCCGGATGGGGTGACTGCTGAGTCATCCTCCGAGAACCGGTCCTTGGGCCTCACCACTAGCCCTAAGCTTTCCATCCTCCTCAATTCCTTGTCCAGGCTTGCGCTTTGGATTCCAAGTGGTCTGTGACGGCCCATGGCCACTGCTCAAGATGACACCAGCGTACCTGAACCTTATTTGTATTTATAGCACAAGACAACCAACACTCTTTCCGGCGTCACGCAGAACATTAATACTAAACAACATATTCCGTGTTATACACTTCCTTTCATGATTTCACGGCACTGCCTAGGGAAGATTGCTAGGTCTCTCTCAAGAAACCATAGTCCTCTGCTACGGCCTTGAAGCCGGCCATCCAATCCGGCCCACGAGCGCTCTTGTTTTGGAAGGTTCTTGCTAAGTTTCCCATAGAGTCAAAATTGACTTCTTTGCCTCATGACCGGCTATAAATCGTCTTCGCTAGACCCTTCGTTTTTCCTCTCGTCACCATCTCACTCGTTGATCTTCTGGATATCTTTCGTTTATCTTTGCTCTGACGTTCGCTCATCATCTTCATCGCATCTCAGCCTACCCATTATCCGACTCGAGGCATGGGCTCCATTCCTCCGCCACCTTACAACTACTATTTCCAGCCTCCTTTCTATCCAGTCACCGTCCCTCAGCAGCCCGTCTATGCTCCTTTCAGCGACTACTACTTCCCCGCTCCCTCGCCTCCTGCTACGTACACCCAGGGCCCGCAGCACTGCTGCTGCTCACAGTGCACTGAAGTCCCACGGGTCTCTCAGAGCAACAACATCACCGACAGTAATGCCCAGAACATCTTCTCCCCGACTGCCCGTATCATGGTCGGAAAGTAAGGCCAACGGACTCAGCCGCCAGCTGCCCTGACTGACATTGATCCAGCTTACCCCGGGACGTCGATCCGGAAATGATAAGGAGTGCATTTAACGACATCGGCCGGAATTTCGTACATCTCGTTATGGGCGGCAAATACCCTGTTGCCTTCGTCCAGTTTGTGGTACGGCGATCCATCCCTTGCCTTGGGCTTCCTAGGGCTCAAACTGATCGTAGTCGAAATAGACGCCCGAGCAGGCCCAGCAAGCGCTTGGAAAGCATAAACGGATCATCCTTAATGGACGGACTATCCGCGTCGAGCTATCGAAGGACGGGCAGGATGAGTTGGAATACCGAAGTGAGTGCTGCGGGATCAGTTCTGCAGATGAGGCTTTGGCCTAACGTAAGGTACAGAGAGTCTCACGGAGGCGCGCTTAAGGGAAGACGAAGACCCTGGGATTGTCGAGTGACATTTTCTGGGCCGGGCTTGGTGCTGTTGGTTTCCTTGCTGCAATCGTTTTGAATTTGTTTATTCTTACTGCATCTAATCACACTAGTCCACTCAAGCATGCGCAACGGTCCGACGAGGTCGGATGTACGGGAATAAGTGGCCAGTTCAAATCAAACGACGGTGAGTGTCGTGGGGGTGGCACCAATCCAAAACATTGAAAGGATGTACAGCAAAGTACTGTCTTCGTTGCCCCTTTCACTTCCTGTCTGTATCTATATATATATCGCCGACTCTTTCTAGGTAGCTCTATTCTGGGTAGCTCTATTGTCACCGCATCTAACCTGCAATCTTATACTGCATCCAGCACATCTATTGCTGCCTTCTCTCATGTATAGCTCTCCGATCCAACGTAAGGTTTTTACCAAGCATACGATTCCCCGCAGCTTGGAAGTTTCCTTGATGCTTTGAACTAGAACGGGGGTGTCACCTCGATGACAAGAACTTCGCTAATACATACTACTCGCTTTCCGAACTCCAAGTCTGGAATAAACGGGTTGATTGATTGTATGTTGTATGTGGTAAATGAATATTCAGCGGCGAGGTCCCAGAGTCAAGCCAAAAATGCAAGCCATACACATATCCAAGGAATCCAAGGGTCAGGACCGCCCATCCAAAGTCAACGCCTGCCAATGTCTATATGTACAATCCAAAGGAAACCAACCAAAAGCATAGGTATGTAAGCCCAAATGCAAATAATAGCCGCGCGATGTAGTGAATAATGGAGCATAATACGATGGTAGACATAGACATAAAGATAAAAGAAAGAGAATAAGCTCGAGAGGTTGTGGTATCATGCAGCGAGAACCGAAATATCGACGACGGATGAATAAACTAAGAGCCAAGGTGAATGCAGCTTATATGCAATTTCCGGAGCAAAGAAAAATGGAAAGTAGGAGGATTGATATATAGGTGGTGAAGGGGTTATGTATGAGGAGCCCTGACACGTCTGGCGTCAAAGAGCTTCAAACTCAAGGCGGTGTCATTCACACTCATAAGGGGAGCCGCATCCTCAAGAAGCTCCCATTGCCGTAGGGCATATGGCCCAGCGATATGACCGCGGTGCTGTACGCGAAGACGGTCCGAGACGATGTTCGTGTTCTCAGACAGCCCGGAAAGTGAACCAGTAGACGCAACCATTTTTTGCGTTGACGGGTTTGGAGGCCCACCCGGGAGAATTCCTGACGGTGTCGGGATTGGAGTAGAGCCGCCAGCAGCAGGGGACGAAATGGATATTGAGAGTTGAGAGCTGGGAATAGTCACCTCCGACACTGGACCCAGGAGATAGAGAAATCGGCGGTCATTCTGGAATTTGAGGAAGGGAGGGCACTTCTCTCTGAGGAAACGCCCGCATTGCTGGCGTGCTTCATCCGGGAACGAGTCAATGAGAGACGCGGCGACGTCCAAGGCGTGGGTTTGTAGCAGAATCCCCGGACACGGTCGGAAGTTCTGAGGTTGTATGGCGTGGGGGAAATAGTCGGCAGTTGGAAACAGACGAAGGATATTATCTGGCAGCCTTGCCAGCGAGATGCAGAATATAGACACTAGCAAGCGGGTCTGTTCCTGTAAGCTGCCAGCCTTGAAGCCCATAGATGGCGGCGCGTTAAAAGCAGCACGGTGCAACACAGTCAACCTGAGGAGCGCGGAGAACCAAAAGGCAAGGGATCGCTCAAAATTGAAACGCGACATGACGGCTGGACCTGAGCTGGAAGCGTCCCTGTTCTCAGCGAAGCTGTTCGAGTTGGTTTGCATTATGATGAGTTTCTGTAGCAGGAAATCCAGCCGCTCCACCAGAAGAGGCGCCAGTGGTTGAACACCAGATTGAGGAATGCTATACGCCAATTTCTCAATAATTGTCAGGTATAGTCTCGCACTTTCGATCGAGGTTGTGCTGGTCGCTCCAGTAGGCGATGACGGATCATCCGCGGGTTCGTCAAACATCGTAACGGAGAAAAAGCTGCTTTCCGCCCGCTCGCGAATCTAGAAAGGTCAGTGGTTGGAAGTGGTAGCATTGAACGCCATGGCAAAATACCTGTCGGGCTGCATCTTGATCCATAAGATTGACAAGACCAACCCAATGAGATCTTTTGGAGCGAGAGTCTGTCACCGCAGCCTTGAACATCACGTCAACTATGTGGTTCTTAACTTCATCGCCCGCCTTTGCGTTGAACAGAAGTTGCAGCTTCAGCTGACAAAATGGTAGTGAAAAGTCACTGTTCATGAGAATGACTCTTTCGGCTTGTGAGCTAGGCTCCTTCCCTGTGGAACAGTGAGTCGGTTGTACACTAGAGTTAGTAGGCCAGGAAAACAAACCGCCATCTGAGTCAAGACCCAAAAGGGTGTCAACTGCTCTTCCTATCACAGAACTGAATGATGAGGGATCCCCGAGCTTCCGCATACAGTATTCCGGCACAAGTTTCGGGTTCTGTGCAAGTAAAGTGCGTAGCAATGCTGCAGTGCATGCTGGAAACTCGGCTCGCTTTGACCGCTTTGACTCTGAATCCCTGTCCTGGGAAAGGGAATCGAATAAAGGAATTGCATCGTTAATGATGTTCAGGGTTTCGTCAGGGTACTTGGAGAAGAACTCTTGCTGCGCCAGGCGGAAACGATAAGTGACCTTGAAAAGTTGTCAGTAATCAGTGTGATCAAAGTAGTACTAAACGTACCAAGTCCCCGGTATGGTCCTCCTGAGGAATCAGGAGTTCAAGCAGGTCCAGCCGCAAACAATCTAGATCGGGAATAATCGCTTTCGTTTTCTCAGCAGTCGATAGCTTCTTGACCAGAAACACAAAGCTATGGATCGTGACACACCCGACACCAATGAGAGGAGGAAGAATTCGAGACATCGTTGGCCGAGGAGACGATCTCAGAAGCCCACATACATACCTCACTAGCATAAGATCGAGATACTTGGGATTGAAGGGCCGCAGGTAAGCCAGATATCTGCAAGCATCTTTTGCCGACATTTTGGCCCTTCCGTTACCGCACGTCAAAATCTTCGTGAGTGAGTTGAAAACAGAGCCCATCGAAGACTCGTCTAAGCCATTGCCGCCAGACAGAAGCTGATCTAGCTTTTCTTGAAACGAGGCATCGGCATCGTTGAACGTCGTAGGAATGTGATCCGATAGTGGTGAAGGTGCTGCTAGTGCGGACTTGCTTTCAATCCGAGCAAGGTCTTGACGGAGAAGAGAAACGGTGCTAGACTCGTCAGGAAATCGTAGGCCGAGCTCGATCAATGAGAAGACGAAGTCCAAGTTGAGAGTGCCGAATCTCTTGAGGCGCGCATAGGACCCTATCAGCCCTCTAAACAGATCTGATGTGGCGCCGATGACAGACAAGGCGTCAAAGTGGTAGTTGATAGTATCGGACGCAGATGCTAGAACTATGTTGTCATCGCATTCAGTAGCTTGTTTGAGCACATCTGCCAGGATCGAGCAGTCTCCAAAACGCTCTAATATCTCTCGAATGTAGTAAAACTCTTCTGAGGTTAAGGCTGAAATCTTTGAGTCGAATGAGAGGGGGCGTCCGACGAGTTCCCTACAGTTTATCAGCTCAAGTGCACTTTGCAAGCTCTAAGAACTTTACCTTGATGTATTCTTTAAATGTTTGGCTACACCCTGTCGAACCCACATGCTGATCTCAGACTTGATAGCCCATGTCAGTTGGAGCTGTGAAAAGTTGGTGTAGATCGTATTGCTAGCCACGCCATGGAAAATCTTGGGCAGACGTTGGCTTATCGAGGACTTTAAACATTTGATGATGGAAACCTCTTCGTTCATCGACACCCCAGCACGAGCTAGAAGCGTTAGGCGAAGATTGCGGATGTGTTCTGGTAAACGACCCATGGGAAGTTGAGTGAGAAGGCAGGCATCAGCAGATAAAACCTACGTTATGGTTAGCACCTTGTCGCGATATGTTTGTAATAATTTATTTACCTTGCCACTTGCACCATCCAAGTTTCCGGTAACCCCTCTAGCCATGAGCCATTGAAGATATCTGCTGATAGAGAAAGTTTGAGACCTGACGAGTTCGGATATGACATGGTAGACATTGTCCATTTCCAGCTGAGCCATGTCCTTAACGGTGCTCAGAAAAGAAATTATGTAAGAATCAATGTCAACGCCAGACATTTTCCACTTCCGCAGGAGCCGAGCTGCTGTATACACACGGCGAAGACCAGAGCGGAATGGCGTTGCCGACCACTCGAGAAGTTTTGAGACCAGTGCTAGCCTATCTTCATAGGCATTCAGACATGCCGCGGAGGCAGAGGGTATGTCATGGGACGATCGTACTGAATCGAACAGCTGAATCACTCGTTGTTGTGCAGACTGTTGTGTGGATTCTGGTCGAGCTTTCGGCACTTGTATTCGAGTGTTACGTTCCGCGAGGCTGTCAAATATTGTCTTGTCCGCGGCTTCCTTCATATTCAGGCAGGAAAGGATCAGATCTCGGTGCTTTCCCCACGAGTTCGGAAGTATCACGGACGATGTATGTTCGAGTACCAGCTTTCTTATGCAGCACGAAAGCCGATCGGCAAGCGGCTGAAGCATTGTAGGCCGTCCGAGCTCAGTTACCTGCGCTCTCGTTAATCCTAACCTTGAGTTCTCGATCTTAGCTTACCTGGCGCAGCTTTTCGAGAAGCACTTCGACCAGCCGCCGTCCACGTTTTCTATAACGCAACATACTGTCCCAGTATATACCTAGCATTAGCAACCAGACAGGGACCATGTTCAGTGAGGCGCCCTCCAAAGATGACAAAAACCAAGTTAAATACTGGTCATGATCAAGCAAACGCTCGAAGAATAAGCGAGCTGTCAGGCTGGTTCTGGAGAACGTTAGAAATTCTTTGCAGTAGTGCCCCGGGCGTGAGAGACGTACGCATATGTCATTTTGGACTTCCAGTCTGTCGATCCACAGGTCCCTATTACTCCCTCGAGGAACTGCTGTACACCGCTCGTCCAGTCACGAACCCACTTGACATCCGAGCCCACCACTACTGTGCCGGACCTTCCTTGTCTCTTGCAGGCTCGTATCTCGTTGGCGCCGACACACTTTGCAAGCCATACGGCTCGGTTGACCGGAATCCACTTGCTTAAGCATTGATCAAGGAGAGCCTTGCCTCGGATGCCGTGGGGAATCGTGCGGCTCAATCTGCGAAGGGGAACCGACGGATTGGCAAGATCACGGAGCCAAGCTTCACGTTTATTATCCGTCAAAGTAACGCGAGGTGGCGGCTTGAAGTTTGATGGCGCATTTACTGTATTGTGGTTTTGTCTTTTATCCAACGCAGACATGAAAACAGACGACAGCATCTGCAGGCCAGAGCGGTGCTTCAATTGCGCATAAAGAGATGGGCGCGCCGTATTGGACTCGTTCTGGGAAACCTGCGTGCGGTCGTAGTGTCCCTGTTTCACCGTATGCTCATTCAAGACATCCTCCGGGTGCCCCCCAGACCATGGTGCAAAATCAGCCACTTCTAGAAACAAGGAAGAATGTCGTTAGCAATGCCATCCTACTATTGCGATGAGTCGGGATTACTCACTGTCTCCTTTGAGAGCAGGCGCTACAGATGGCACTTCGACGCGGAACGGGGTCGTCTGTACTTTCTTCGCGGAGCTGGATTCTGGTGCTCTTGTCGCGTTACCTCCAAGCTGCTCCGGTAGTGCGCTCTTCCAAGACGGCTGGGGATACGGAGGAGGCGACGCGGGCCGTTTGCCCTCGGGCGTCAAAACCACATCCTCCACTGTGACTTCTGCACCGCCGGTGACCTCCGAAATCATAGCCTGGAAGGACCATACGGGACGACCACGCCAGGAGAGCGCGGAGGGCTTTGAGGCCCCTGCTGGGGTGGGCCTTGAGTCTCCAATATTCGCCGGCGCGGGACTTGCATCATTTGCGGACGGCCCAGCAGATATATCCAGTTTCAGTCGCTTTGCCGGGGGTTCCCTCTCATGCGCATCATTTGCACTCGAGGTGAGATCGATAACAGTTGGCTGCCCGGTATGCGGCGGCATGACGGGTGTATATTGTTGCCTCTCGGATCGAAAGTCGGGGGTATTGAAAGCTTGAGAAGCATCCACGCGTCCGGAGCCGTAATCGACATTGCGCAAGGGGTGGCCCCAGGATTGGCCGCCGGCAGAAGAGTTGGGTATCATGTCAATTTCATGGTGTATTCAAGCAACGGTAGATGGGACATCGGGGCAGCTCGTTCGAAGGCCGGTGGGACGGACCGTAAGGATGGTTTCAGGATGGAGGAGGAAAAGGTTCGTGTGCGCATCAACCTATAGCAATTTGTTCTTCACATCCCCAGTAAATCGTTCAGCAGTAGGTTGGGCGGATTGCTGGAATGAGATGAGCGGATTAGAAGCGGTAGGTACGGTGAATCGGCCGCGGAACGGAGGTGGCTGACGGGCAACTGCAGTGAAGGAGGCCCACCCGTGGAAGCGTACAGGATGAAAGCGACGGCGAAGGGGTTTGAGAAGACAAAAAGGAAGCAGCCGGAGGAGAATGGAAATGGCCGAAGGCGGAGACCGAGATACCGTCGAGGTTCTCCAGATAACGCAAGGACTAAGAGCAAGGCTCCTGAGGCAGGAGATCTGACCATCTGCCAATCTTGGTGGACCTGGGGGCGATGGAGTGATGAATCCGGGTATTACCGTAAAATACAATGCTATACTACTCTCATGGGAGGGGGTTCATGGGGTGACTGTCAGTCGATAGTGGACTACGGTACTCAGAGGCCTCGAGCAGCCTTGAATCAGTTCATTCTTGCAGCTACCCATGCATTTAGGATGCATCAGCCTGGGGAAGGCTGGTCAGTGGTCGCAAGGGTATCAAACACTCAAAAAGAGGGACTCGTAGTCTGTACCTACGTGCATTAGCACGGAACATTATTTCCTGGGCACTCTGTCGTCCCACCCACCTATAATCTGTAGTCTGCACGGAGTACAGAATAGGAGACTACGATATTACATACGGCTATACAGACCCCTATGTTCAAGCGAGAGAGCTCGATACGGAACTGTCGGAATCCCGGCAAGTCTCCCTTGTTTTCTTGGCATAAGAAACAGCCTGGACGCCGGACGGAAATACACCCGCTGATTGCGAGATTCAGCATTCCGATTGGGACATCGGGGCCAGGGTAAACAACTGGAGATAAGGAGTCCGGACATACATAAGGTCAGGGGCCTCAGGGCTTATGGGTAACATTTCGGGGTTGTTTGTTTCTTAGGGAGAAGACGTGGATGTACCCCTGTAAAATTGAATAGATCACGGTGCACTTGCAGCTTGGACGCCTCCCGTACTCCGTACTTTTTGGTGAGTGCCATTCGGGCGGTGCCCCTCGTCTTTTGCTCAAACATACCCCCATAAGCCGCATTTGACGATATCCACTCCTACTGTCGGGTTACCTCCCGAGGATATCCACGGAGTATGGGGATACCGTGGCATGACACACCGTATGATTCGGGCGACTTCGACCTTCCTTTTTGCACAGCTGGGCAGATGTTGGTTATAGATTTATCCGGGACATTGGAGGGCTTCTACAACGACTACTAACTGATCCCAACAATAGCCAGATCACACTCTCCATGAGTAAGTCGGGGAACGAGCGCTGGGCCAGAGACAAATTGGCTGGGCCGGGCTCGGAGGGCGGAGGCATATGAGACGGTGTACGGAGTATGAGCGAAGTTGCGAACAAACTTTTGCGGACGCCCGGAAATCCCGATAAGGCACAGATGATTGACAGATCGCCCAGTCAAACAAGTCCGGGCTGCAGATGCAGTGCTACGCTGGAAATCACATACTGAAACTGAGAAATCAGCTGGAAACAAGCATATCTTATCCACTTCGAGACGCAGGACAGCTCATCCGGTCCTGGCCACTGGTGTTTCTGATCAGTCGAGGTACAGAGACGAGCGAGCAGCAAGACACTCGTCATGCAGTTGATTCCGAAATATTATTTTTGATATCGATGTTTTTTAAGGATGCATCCTTCTGATACGCGCAGGACGCCGAATACCCCGTACTCCGGAGAGGATATATTTCCTCGCCACGAGTACAAAACCGCAAATACAAATTCAGGTACTCGGTACTCGGCGTAATGTAAGGTAATAATAAGTGAGCCTTGCGGCTTGCCCAAGCATAGCTGAAAGCCTGAAAGATGTGACAAGCATTAATTGGTTATCTGAGCGCCCGGGCGATCCATGAGAGAACCGAATCAACTCTATCAAAACGACATGAAGTTGATAACGATAAGTTGATACTTGATAAGCGGCTGGCCCCAGAGCCCGAGACGGAGCCGGCCCCGAGCTTGCCGCTTTAGGCTTGGCGGGAACCATCATGAATGCCAGCATCGCCTCTCAATCTGGGGACTCTCTGCTAGGTGCACGAAATCAGCTTCGAAAGTCCGCAATCAAAGATGACGTCCAAGAAGGATATGCGAAGGCTCGACCTCGGTATGCTGCTGCCCAGATCTCCGAATCTCTCGTGCTTTTCCTCTGGATGCTCGTTGCTAACGTTGACGATGCGACAGCTATTCCCTACGTTGACCCGCCCAAAGACAAGAACGATGCGGATATGACTGGTACAACCTCACCATGCAGACGGCGGATTAGGGAGACCCATTCTGTTTTGAACTGACTCTTTGGTTTAGGGGCCATGTCTAGCACAATGCCAATGGCAGCGGTAGGTTCCGAGTCGTTGCGGACTTATACACAGCGATTACTGACAGTTTTAATAGATGTTCACACGAAACAGGTGAGCCAGCAATTGCCGCAAAATCGTTTAACAAAGGGTTTATTGACTCTCCGCTGTATAGAATGATCGGATGGTATGTGTCGGCTGGCCAAAACCTCTCCAGGCAACCTAACTAGTATCAGGGTCGCTATGGTTTTCTCACTCCAGTCCTGGCTCGGTGAGACCGAAGAGCAGAAGAAGAACGCCACTACACCAGCATACATGTCTGTTGGCATGTCTCGTACGTTGCGCCATTTGTGCCCGCTTGAAAATGATAGTTGACTGACTTGCGACACTTTTATAGTGATGGCTCTGGCTGTTGTACGTTGTCGAACTCGGAAAGACATTCTCTAAAGAACGCACAAGACTCTAACCCATCATTTACAGACCTACCTTCCCATATTCCTCCCTCCTGCAGGCCCCAAGGCTGGCGCTGTTCCGACGCCGTCTCCCACACCAGCTCCGTAAAGTGGTCTACGATTTCTTCGGTTCTCAATATAGGTGGAATAGCGACTGCTAGAGTGCACAAGTCTTAGGTTTCCACTAGCTCTCGCAGTGTCGCCAAAATCGAGGATAAGGGGGTCTCGCGACACGATGTACATATTGCGGACCTGGCTTTTGATGAGAGCGCATATGTCGCTTGTAATATTGATGTAATAATTTGATATCCTATCGAATCTGTCCCCTGAATATCACGGCCCTGTGGATGTACTCTTTTGCTCTTGACAGCAGACCTGGGGCTGGGTCGGATGGCCAGGGGTTCGCCACTGCTTGCCACATCATCGGAATCGGTCATGCACCTTGCACACATTATCTCACGGAGCAGTGTTTTCAGTAGGCTTGGCGGCGTCAAGCAGTCGAAGCGATAGGTCCTTGAGTAGTAGTACAGGGCCAGAGGCAAAGAACAAAGACCGGCTAGGAAGCACGCCGTACGGAGTACGAGTCGGGCGACGCAGCTTAGTCACCGGGCACCTACACCGCCTTCCCCACAGCCCAACACCGCGCGCCCCTCAAAAGGATCTTTCCTTCCTTCATCCACATCACACTCCAACACCCAATACTACAAACACACGCAGACCCGCGATCGCTATCACAGAGATTCAAATCTCCCCTCCAGCTCTATTTACAAGAACCGCTTTTAAAGGCCGTTTACGACTAAAGGCCGAGTTTATGTCCATCGAAAACCTTAAGACCTTCGGTAAGCGCCTTGCCACCCCTTTCTTCAACGCCGTCTCTCCACCAACTTGCGATGCAGTTTGGAAAATAACTGCCTACACTCATGGGACTGGCTCCATATTCTTTCCTGGGAGCGGGGCTGCGGTTATCGTGTTGAGTTTCGCTCGCTGCTTCCTTTGCATCCTGCGATCTACGTGGGCCCTTATGGCGGGGTAATCCTGGTCGCGATCTCAAGCTGACACGTGCTTCCACAGACCCCTTCGCCGAAGCTGACGAAGACACCGGCGAGACTAAGCAGTCTCAAAACTACATCCATATACGGATTCAACGTATGTGCTACTTTCATTTCTAGTCTATCTCGGTCCCCACCAGCCACAGAGCTCCCCTGTCGCACCTCACCGCCTCCGGCCCTGGGACTAACATCACTCTAGAGCGCAATGGTCGAAAGACCTTGACTACGGTCCAGGGTCTGCCCAAGAAGTTTGACCAGAAGAAGATCTTGAAGGTGATCAAGAAGAAGTTCGGTATGTCCTTGTTACGCCGCCGGCCTCAGTGGGCGCAGCTAACATCCTTTCTAGCCTGCAATGGCACCATCGTCAACGACACCGAGATGGGTGAGGTGATTCAACTCCAAGGAGATCAGCGTAAAGATGTTCAGGAGTTCTTGACCGACAAGAAGGAGGGTCTTGAGCTTGATGCTAAGACCATCAAGGTTCACGGTTTCTAAGCCAGAAGCCACGTCCCGTTCCGGTCCCTTCTTCCCAGTCCAGGTTATCGCCGGGATAGCAGCCGCGACAGGTCGTCTATCGTTACCCACCTATTCATTGCGTTAGCCTCAACTGCGAAGATTATGGTGTTAGACTATTCCTATACTCGGCATGCTGGACTCGGGCCTCTTGTCGAACCGATGCACTCGTCAACTTGTCCCAGAAAGTCGTGAACGGGCGATATGGGAGAGTTATTCGTATCGAAGTACCTACCAACACAGAAGGGTTCTTGAGGGGGATTTCGTGTCTTCGTTATTCTTAGTTTTCTACCAAATAGCTGATTAAGCAAGTCCTGTGGTTAAGGATGCCTTTGTCATGCTCGTCAATAACAATGTTATTTTCTCCGCAATTCGAGACTTTGACGCCGATTCATCTCCCGTAGGTGGCCCTGCCCGCAATTTACCAGGTCCGATGTTCCGCGGGTGCCATATATCTACAATGTAATGAAACGTCATTCAACCAAGGTTCATGGTCCAGCAAAGGGCAGTATCTATAGTCCAGGGGACATATCTATGCATGGCATTGTGACGTTTTACAGCATATACTGGGGCGAGCTGAAGGATAAGAGAATGTGCAATTTCCAAAAGACCCTCTCTTGTATTCTAACAGATTTAAGAAGAGAACGAACAGGAGACGCAAAAACATTAGTATCATGACACCGGATCAGGTGGACAACGAGGTACTCAAAAAGATCATCAAAATCGGGGGATTGGGAGGATTGCTCCCAGCAACCGAAACGCCGGATTAGTTATTTATAATATTAGTTAGGATGAGAGAAAGGAGATATAGAATTTATGAAGCCGTGATGCTTCACAGGATTGTACACTTCTTGTTCCTTTGTTTCGTCGCAGGCCGCGGGTTCAGGACAGCACTAGGGAATTCATGTTAGTTTCAATGGCCCTAGTAAATCGTTGATTTCCCTGAGAAGCTTACCGAATGGCCTCGTCGAATACGCTCTTGAGGTTGCGCTGTGTCAGCGCAGAGCACTCCAGATATTTGTGTGCTCGGATCTCTTTCGCAACAGCCAGAGCTTGCTCGTAAGTAACGGGCTCCTGCTTCCTAATGCGAAGGCTTTCGAGCTGCGCGGGGTCGTCTCGCAAATCGAGCTTGGTGCCAACCAAGATGATAGGGACGTTGGGAGCGTGATGTTCAATTTCCGGGAACCACTACAGGTAGGTTAGCAACCTAGAGCTGAAATCCTTCTTCGGGGGTTAGGGCAATCGCAGCAGAGATATGTACCTTAGACTTGACGTTGTCGAAAGATGGAGGGCTGACGATGGAGAAGCAAATGAGAAATACATCCGTTTGCGGGTAGGACAATGGGCGAAGTCGGTCATAATCTTCCTGTCCAGCAGTATCCCAGAGCCCTAAGCTAATCGGTCTGCCGTCTACCATCACACTCGCGGTATAGTTGTCAAATCTGCGGCGATCGTCAATATGGGATTCGAAGCATAGAATGAGGTGGCAGTGGTAACGGACACGGTGGGTATATATTCGCCGGGGAATGCATTGGTCGTATAAGAGATGAGAAGACATGTCTGAACGTAGGGTTAGCCATTGATGTCCAATTCGCAAATAGCAAGAGAAGAGAGAAGCGGAGAGGATTCTAACCTTGCCGACAGCACCGTCACCCGTCACGACACACTGTTGCGGTATTAGCCCAATCGCTCTGGCTTGCAGGAGAGAAGACTGGCGGAGTGCTCCTGACCTTCAGGGACTGAGTAGCAGGACCAGTCGCCATTGTCACTCAAAAAACCAGGCTATATACACGATTGGGACGATAACCAAACGGGCTTGGGGTATCAATCGACCCAGCGACGCAAAGGATATAAATATGCGGTAGTTGTGGAAGAGGCGGAGAGACAGGTGAAACGGGGGTATCTGCACGGAGGAATAGCACCGGTCGATCAGTCAGGAATGGTCGAGCAGTAGGAATCGGGGCCGGAGAGGGCAGATCGGGGGCAATCTAGAGGAAGAAATGAAGAAAATTGCAAAGAAACAAAGAACACGAAAAGATGGGGGTAAAAGTACGGTGGTTGCTGGGAGGAAGAAGCTGAGAGGCGAGAGAAGGAGGAGGAGGGGATGGAGTTAGCGGACTTGTAGCGGAAAGGGACAGGCACAGACACAGACTCAGACTCAGACTCAGACTACGACTACGGCAGATCAGACTAGGAAGCTCTCTCACCTTGGCCTCGCCGACACCTTGACCTTTCAATGGGACTCTCGATCTGATCAGTAGGATTTAGTTTGATGGCAGACAGCCAACCACGCCGTCCTTTCGCCTTTTTCACTCCTGACCAGCGACCAAGAGAAGCCGGCGCCAACGATAGCCAGTAGTCGCTGGGGATAGATAACTCATTCCATATTAATTATTAGATACTGTATCTAATGGCTGCAATTGTCGAAATCTCCTGAACCACACATGATCCAACCGCGGTTCGTCTATCCTAGAGTTCCAATGCATCTAGTCGATGAATCCTTCACCTCTATGCAACAGGTCAGACAGCCACTCGAGCTGAGAACTGGCGAAGATTCTTGGAATGCGCAAATCATTCCACAGCCTCTTCCGCTCCCTTTGTTGGTCGCGCCTTATGCTCTCTTGCCACTGTCGGTCTCCAATCTCCAGTCCCCAGACGGATGGATTCTTAAATTCTGATCACGAACCGTCAATGCTCATGTCGAAAACATGCGGGGTGCCTGATCCACCTCGCAAAGCTTTGATCACCTCAGTCCAAATCTCAACTCTGCGCTGCGCTTAATCCGGCAAGCTGCTCAAATGGTATCTCAACTAAAAATAAACTAGCTTAGCATGTACCAGCGTTTCGTCCAATCACTCTTCGTCAAACTTTTATATAAAAACATTTGGAGTTACTACAAGGCCGGTGGGGCGGGAAATGTATCAGGGAACCCATCAAAGACCCAGTTCAGGGAGTCGAAAACCTCGGAGAACCCTGCCTCGTTGAAGAACGCCCCTTCCTGGTCAAAGTTCGGCGCATACATCAACCCCGGATCCTCCAGGGACCCGTCCGGCTGCCGAGGAATTGCCGCCGTCGCGACGTTCGGATTAGAGGCCATGGCCTGGGTATCTTCGGTGCTCTTCAAGGGTCGGAAACGGTGCCGCCAGCGCCAAACCGTGTCGTAAACGTGACTCATGCTCATGCGACATCGTACTTTTAGGAGTAGAGTATCGTCCCCGAACTCCTCAGGAGCACCAGCGTTCCACATTTGCGCCAGAATATCTGCGAGGCGAACAGGCCGGTCGTGGTCCATCACACTAATCCTCCTCAGCGCCGAGATGGCCCCATTGAATAATAATTTCCCGTGCTCGAAATCAATGTGTCGTCGGAAGTCGCTTTTCAATAGCTTCATGAGCGCAAATGCTGCTGACACAATCATTTGCAGGATGTAGTTTGTTGCATGGCCAATGAGTTCGCCCGGCGAGGTTTCAAGGTCTAATACTCGACCAAGGAATGACGTGGTCGCGATGAAAAGCTTCGTCAAGTCGTCACTTCGTGCGTTGGAACCCAGAAACACAAAATACCGCAAATGTAATTCCGCAGCTCGCAGATGAATCATGTTTATGGCTGCCCAGACGCTTGAATTAGCATTGAGAGACCCCAGGGGGCAAACACAGGAATGCCGTACCAGAGATACTTCTGCCGAAGTCAAGCTCCATTTCCCGGAGCTCATTTTCCAGAAGCTGCGAGATCAGAAGCTTTTCCGAGCTGATGAACTCCGCAGGGTCTGGTCTGCTGCTGTAGAGAGATTTCGTTACTCGGTCACAGAACTTTTCAATGAGTAGCCGTGTCCGCAAGTCCTCTGAAGGGTGATAATCCGCATCCCGAAGAGACGCCGGTTCAAGAGCCCAATCGTAGATCGTTCCTGGCGGTTGTCCGTATCCCGTGGCAACACTGTTGGGGCAAAGTGAGTTGTTGACCATGTCTTCAAATCGGATGGTCACTCACTTCTGGGCGACGATGTTGCATATGACCCATGTCTGTAGTCGATCCTTTACGGCCTCCCCTTGACCTTCCATCCGGAACGTCGTAAACTCCTCAGCCTGCACTGGACGATGAAGCCCCAGCTGCATGGAGATTTGCATCATTAAACCACAAAGCATGAATGTAGCATCCGTCCTCTGGCTCGTGGTAGGAAGAGGCCAAGTGCACAGGAGACATAGGGCCTTGACAACACGATAATCTTGCGGTACACCAGTTATAGTGGACCATAATAACCTGCTAAATGGCCCGGACAATGCGCTGAGCAGTCCTGGCTCCGATGGAGCGCGTCGGCTAGCAACGCATATGATTGTCCATGCTTGGAGCGGACAACGCCGTAGGTACTCCTCAGGAGGCTTCTGAGGATTTAGAAGAGGAAGAAAAGGGTGATAATACTTAAAGAATCTAAGGGCCATGAACATCGGGTGTGCCCGGTTGGAGATCATTGAGCGGGGACAACATACTGGTCAAATAGTCTGGTGATCCTTTGCCTAGATAGGGAGACATCTTCCAGCCTCCAAGCAGCGTCGTCTTGAGATAGCATGGACCCGTCGCTGTGCATAGTTAAGGGGGTGGCTAATGTCTGCGGTTCCAGCTTAGCGGACAAGGTCCGCCCTCGACTCACGCTGGCAGGCTCAGGGCCATAGTATATGTCCTCAGGTGATTGGGATACCTTGTCAATGACCCTAGCTTCAGCAGTGTGGACATGACCGCCATCGCTAGAAAGCCGCTGACGGAGATCCGCAATCTCACGCTCCATCTCAGCATTTCGTCTAGCCACATTAGTTGGGAATGGTGAATGTTGATACACTGCGAACATTCTTACTTTCTCTTCGAGATGCGCTTGAAGGAGGGCTCAACCTTGCATTCTATATGGAGCCGCAGACAACGCGAGCAGGCGTCCGCGGGTGTCTGGACTATATCACATCGCAGCTATGGCGGTTTCAGCACCTCGAATAGTCACCAAAACTTTGAAAATGATGCCCGCCGGACAGGAAAACGGGCGTTTTGGCGTGAAATACGTACCTTCTGTTGGCGGCACTCGTTACAGGCCTTACGACACCCTCCCCGCCGTTTCCCCGTAACAGGCGGGGCCTTCTCCATGTCTCCGGGCTCCGAGGACCTGGCTGAGAAGTCGAAGCCTGCCAGTGGGCGCGGAAGTCTAGGGTTGTTCCGAGAGTCGGTGGAGGTGGCGGGGGGCGTGATCAGGTTCGCATGCGGAGGGAATCCATTTTGTGCCAGAATACCCCGGTACTCGAGGTCCATCGGTATAAATCAGAACTCAATAATCGCCGGAATGGAACCGATGGGCGTATGGACACATGCGAAATGGGGAATGCAACAACCAGGAACTTGGTGGTAAGTGCCGCAAATCGGAGACGAAAACGTGGTTCCCGTACCAAGCGCGAATCTCGGCATCTGGACCGGCTGACTCATCCACTTTCAAGCAAACTGACTTGACCTATATGCCGCAATCTTCTGCTGTGCACCAGCATGGAAGGGACTGTCGGCAGCTCCCTTGGTTTGACGAGAGACATTATGGCTTTGAAGCTGAGAAGACCAATCCTTTGGCAAACACCGCCGCAGATAGCGGCAGCAAGAGGAGATATGTGTTCTGGACGGAGGGGCTCATTCGGCATCGACATGGCAGCATACCGGGCAGTCAGCACGCAAGACGTCTGCAAAGGGTCTCAATTACCTGCAAATACTGCAAAAGTCAGCTCCATGGGCATTAGGACCAGCTAGGGGCTGACACCTACCAATGCGTACAGACCCAAACGTTTATGGATGTTTTCACATGACGAGCACCGTACCCTGGTTTTCTGAAATGCTCGTCGGGCCAGGCACAATGCGAAACTGGTATCATACTCTTTACTCTTTCGTTGATGGACCGAAATGAGCCTGTGAGTGCACCGCTAGGAACAGGCATCTGACCCTAGATCCGTTTCATTCGTGATGGAGCGATGCACTGAGAAGGCTTGGACAATCGTACGCGTGGTGGCCATCTTGTTGGCAGAGAAGGCATAGTACGTTCGCCTGCATCGCAAGACAGGATAGTGATCGAAGAAACCAGGCTGTGTCTGGTCTAAGTTGGCAAGTGGGCTAGGGTAAGCAGGACCGCATTCCCCGTGCTGGATAACGAAGGTGCCCAGGTACAATGACAGTCCCGAATGATGTCCGGGCGGTAAGCACTTTATAGGTTGCTCGGAGGGACGAGGGATCACGACATATTATGCTGAAGTCAGACTGGAACTGCGTATGAAAATGAGGGTGGATGAAAAAGAGGTGACAGAGAGGAGAGGAAGGAGAGAGAAGAAGGAGGATGGAGGAAGCAGGAGCTGTTGACAGCTACGGGAAATTCCCTGGCGCACTTGAACAGTAGCTGCTCTCAACCAAACGGGCATGTTCGACAACTATACGAGGAACAACCTTAATTTCTACTGAGGCCACGGCTCAATTTACATCAGGACTATCTGGAGAGTAGAGAAATACAACCTGTTCCACCAATATTTCGGTCGTACATTGGTCGGCTTTACAGGGAAAGAGGAGAAGATCATGTTGATGTCGCAGGAAGGTGCCCTTACGATCGATCGATCCGTACGGAGTATGGCCCATCCATGGGGGTGAACAGCCCTAGATACCTCAGATCTCAGGCGTCAATGCGGAGTCTCACCGCCAGATCTTCCGACCGGATTTCTCGGCAGAATAATTATTTTTTTGGCCTGTCGAAGAAATTCGTCGCGGAATTTTACAACATCGCAGTCTTGAATTGGATTTTCATTTTTGGGGTGCTAGTCCTGCAGCTTCCATTTGAGGGTACTATATGTATCAGAGTACGAAGCTAGACGCCTGAAGCTCCGCCTTGACCTTGCTGAATCCGCTGTCGCAATGGCCGAAAAGAAGCGCAAGCTCGAAACTCCCGTCGACGACGTCGCCGCTGCCGAACCCGAGGGAAAGAAGGCCAAGCGGGAGTCGAAGAAGGAGGGAAAGAAAGAGAAGAAGGAAAAGAAGCGCAAGGAGAAAGACGCTGATGCCGTGAACGAGGTTGAGGAGACCAAGGTGAAGGAGAAGAAGGAAAAGAAAGAGAAGAAGGAGAAGAAAGACAAGGAAGAGAAGAAGGAGAAGAAAAACAAGGAAGAAAAGAAAGAGAAGAAGGATAAGAAAGAAAAGAAGGCGAAGAAATCAAAGGATGTAACCGACGAGGACGAAGAGAAACCCGCCGAAAAGACGAACGGCGCCGATGCGCCAGAGCCAGAAGTCAGCCAGGATACCCCGGACGCAATGGACATTGACGGCGAGGTAGAGGTAAAGGATGAGAAGTCGGGAAAGGAAAAGAAGAAAAAGGACAAGAAGGCCAAGAAGGAGAAGAAGCAGAAGGAGCAGGACCAGGAGCAAGGAAAGCAGCAGACAGAGGAGAACGCCGAACAAGAATCAAGCCAGCCTGCTCCAAAGCAAAAGGCCGCCCGCTTCATCGTCTTCGTTGGTAAGGATGCCGGGCGCCTGTCCACCGTATCTTCTGAAATAATCAGCTAACATGCGCTCCTTACAGGAAATCTCCCCTACTCTGCCAACACCGAGTCCCTGACAGCACACTTCGAGAAGATACAACCGATATCCGTGCGAGTGGCGACGCAACCAGACAAGCCCACCAAGTGCCGCGGTTTCGGCTTCGTCGAGTTCGACAACTACGACCGGATGAAGACTTGTCTGAAGCTCTATCATCACTCGTCGTTCGATGACGGGAAGTACCCTCCCCGCCGGATAAACGTTGAATTGACGTAAGTCTCCGTTTCCTTTGCCTTTATTAGAGCAATCAATTGACCAATGCTATTAGTGCCGGCGGCGGTGGTAAATCCGAGCACCGAAAGGCTAAGATCGAGTATAAGAACCAGAAGCTTACGGAGGAGAGGAAGCGCCAAGGTCAGGAGCTCCAGACAGAGAAGGTGAAGAAGCACAAGGCTGAGGAAGCACCGGGCGATGACTATGCGAATATCCACCCGAGTAGAAGACCTCGCATGGCTTGATTGACGGGGAGCAATTATGGAAGTGACTGGTCATCAAAAGGATTAGATATTGGAGTTTTGCGTTTGCCGCTTTCAGCAATTCAAGCAGATACCCTAAATCTGTCTGATTTAATCTGGAATTGTTATTTTATCCTGAATGCAGAAAAAAGACCGTAGTACCGGAGCGCTAGGGGATGGGATCTATATTCCGCTTTGGCAGGATGTGATATGAACGTTCAGATCATGATTCATATTGATTTCTGTACCAAGAAGAGCTTGAGTATTGTGTAGATAACGAACTAGACATTCATGCCTACAGCTCTCCGACCTGGTCACTCGCCACTCGCATACGCTGGACTACTGCAACAGCGAAGTCCCATATTTTCCGCGTCAAAACGAAAAGCGGCACCTCAGGCTCGTTCTCGCGGGTGAGATGCAGCTGCAAAAGAAGCGAAGACATGCTGACGAAGCTCGCAACTGACACGACGAGAAGCGAGGCCGCAGTTTCACGCTTGATGGTAGCGCGATTCTGCGTAGCATGATAGATAAACGTCAAAGTCTACGGATGGTGTTAGCGACGTGGTACTGGAATGCTGAGCAGGTGGGAGGTCTCACCGTTGTGATTGAAATCCATGCAGGTAACAAAAGACGAGGGTCCGAGGATGCGCCAGAGAGATAGAGAACCCAAGAAGTCATATATGCAATCAAACCGTTTGTTGTAAGGAGACGGATAACAACAGCCGGTGGGGTATAATTCAAAAGCCTGGACCATATAGCAGTGAGAATGAGTCTTCAGGTAGGGCAAGGCTGCATTGATGGCCAGAGACGTACCAACGAGACATCATGCAATCAGCAAAGAAATATGAAAGATATGCGGATGCACAGCACTGTAAATGTCGATTAGCAGGCTGCAGTTGGACGTAATCCCTGCACCCTCCAGGAAATTGAGGCTAAACATGGACGGTTGTGTCACATACCCACATAATAGCCAAGGCTACCTCCGTTACTCGAAATCTTCTCTCAACATCCCAATTTTGGCCGACACTGCCAACGATCGCTGCCGCCCACCCCTCTCGTCCCATACCTGGTCGAATATGCAGAAGCTCCGCGAGGAAAGTGAAGGCGCAACGGAGCCCCCACCAAGCCGCGGGCGCGGTGCTCATAGCACGGCAAACGACCAAAGGCACCCACCACTTTCGATCCACCCCCAAGATGACTGCAACCCGTGGATGTAGGGCTGACGGGATCGTATGGCTGGCATCATTGCTGCTGGATGTATGGGACGTAGAAGCGGGGGAGGGCGGCGCGGCGGTCGCCGAGTCGGGAGAAGCCACCTCTTTATCTCGGAAACCCGAGGGTGGTATAGCAATTGCAGGAAAATAAGACGTAGGTGGGATTGGACCGGGGGTTGGACGGGAGTAAGTCAAGTTAGGTTCATGAGACGATCGGCGGCGGGGAGAGAAGGGCGGAGGAAAATCATCACGATGAGGAGCCAGCCTTAAAATATACGGCGTACGTAGCCGTTGCACAAGCAATTAGAAATTAGAGTCAAGAGAACGTATGTGATGGCAGCGGGCGTCCAATGCTGAGGAAACTCCGGCCTCGGCCCCTAATCTGCTTGCTTGTCACTTCTCGAGACCCGGATAACGAATATCGACTATCGCGCAGTATTCGAAAAGAGACCGATGGGATTGGACGCAAAATAGCGAGTTTGGACGGTGTCAAAGCAGATCGACAACGCCCTTGAAGGAAGCGCGCGAGATTAGATCGCAAGCGCGGCTCCAAGTCCCTCATTCTGGGGCGCTCACGTGACCATGACTTTCTGGCATCGCCGAAAAATCGCATTATTTCACAACTCCGGGGGATCCAGTCGTCTCGCAACCCGATCTCACAATGGCCTCCTCAATCTCAGGCGCTCCGCTGCTTTCAGCAGCTCGGGCACGTACCGCTGCTCTTTCGTCGTATTCCACTGTCGGTTCCTCGCAATGCCGACAATTCTCGCTCTCCTCGCAGCGCAGCCGCGAAATGAAAGGCATGCCACAGTCTTTCTCAATGAAGCAACCGGCACAGCCCAGTATGAAAATCAGAACCTCGGAAATGTCACGGACAGAACTGCCGCAGGATATCGGATTGCTACCTGGGACCTTCATCAAGCCATTGTGGAGGGACTTGCCCTCGATCTTCAAACAACCCAAAGAGCGGTTACAATTTGAATGGTTGTGGTTGAAGTCATGGTTTCAGAACTTCCTGGGGTGGGTGCCGCGTCTTTCTGTCAAATCCGAAGGAGTAGAGTGCAGCTAACTAGGTCTAGGCTCGTTGTTTACAGCAAGTCGGAGGGTAGAGCGCTGCCACTGCGGTTGAGAGAAAGACGGCTAGTAGCGCGCGACATCCATCAACGGATGTACTCTGCATTCGCTAGGTGAGCCTATTTCGGTCATACATGACAGCAGTAGCATCTACTGACAAAAGTTTTCCGCAGAGGAGAAACCGGCACAGTCCGCAACATCTGCTGCACTGGCCTCGCAAACAGCCTCGTGAAGCGCATCGAAGCCCGTCCCAAAGGCGAACAAGTGACCTGGTCTCTCGACAAATATATCCGCTCACCGTCAACTTGGTTCACCGGAATCCGCGTCGTTTCAGACCGTGCCACTCAACTCCCCAATATCGCCGATTCCGGCGTGCGCCAGGTCGTCCTCCGAATCACCAGCCGCCAGTCAACTGGCAAGGCGCAGCGACGAGCAAAGAACGGCACCCCCGCCGAGGGTTCCGGCAAGCAGCAGGACTGCATGGAATACATCGTCATCCAGAAACTCCGATGGATGGGTGAGGAGGAAGGCTGGCGCGTCTGGGGTCATGCCACGCCCACGACCGTCGAAGATCTCAGCTCTCCTTTCTTTGCCACTGACATGTCATTTGCCGACCGATATGAGGCGATGAAGGACGCGGCGATGGGGACGAAGAAGTAATTTTTTGGGACCGCTTTCCCGTCTCCTGACCTTCTTCACTGAGGTCGATGCTGCTCCGCCTGGGACTTTCACACCAATTTCCTGATTAGTGGCTCATCTATTCCCACAGATTGGCAAAGGACCTACACCAGGAAGTTACGCTCCCGAGGACAAGGACTTGCCAACGCGGAACATGGTTCCAACTCTATATACCGGCGTATCACTCCGGTCTTCTGGATTCTTTACTAGCGTACGGCGTCCCATGATTATCTTGTACAATATTCCGCCCTCCAGCCCTTCTGCCCTTCGAATCTGTACTTATCTACCAAGTTTTATAAAACCTCAGCGACAAATCGGAAAAGATGTATGATTATGAAGGAGAATGCTCTTGCTTGTCATATAAACATCGGGTAGTAACGCATCGAAAGATAGGTAATATGTACAATACAAGGGTAGATAGAATATGATTCAGATCAAACCGCGTATAACGACCAACGAGCATCAGAGCAGCGGTGCTGATCAAAATTTATCCATAATGATAAGATCCCGGCTGACAAAAACGCAGTGATTGGTTGTTGTTTCCAGGCGATGGGCGTGGCAGTGTCTAATCATCGTCGAAGATCTGGAACGTGTTCTCGAGTATGGTTTCGATCACGCGTACCTGCCAGCCGGCATCTGCGATGTTGCCGCCTGAGCTGGCGCCCATCAAAGTCGGTCTAGAGGTTGTCAGCAGTGCACTCGAAGTGCCAGTTTTGATCTGAACTAGGACATACCCAAAGCAAATTGCGATGTTGCCTGCATTCATGCGGTTGTGGGTGTAATGCTCTTGAACCTTGTTTAGGTGCTAGGCTAGGTAAGCAGAAAGACCGGGTGCAGAAAGCACATGAAGAAACGCACCAATATCAGAGCCCTTAGTGTAGCGTAATGGGCGTCTGGAAGACCATTGATGATTGCGTGGAGCGAGTCCCTCCGTTGAATGTCGTCGTCAATACCTTGTTCCGTATGTCAGTATAAGGCATGAGTTGAGTGTATTAAAGAGCTTACGGGCTGCGTCAACGAAACTAGAATATGCTTGTGCAGTCAACAACGGATCTGGGAGGTCTCTGAAGAACTGTTTCAAGAGACCCGCAACACTGTTCACATCATGATTGAAGCTTTCGGGGTTGGTAAAGTCGACTTGGGACGAGTCTGTTGCGGAAATTAGCAGAATATCAGGGAAAAGTCTGAGAGAACCTACCATTGTCGAAGAGGGCCTTCAGTTGAGTAATGTGGTTAGCGCTGCCTGAGAGCCGGTAGATACCCTCGAGATCAAGTCCAAATAACTCCACCGCCTGGCAGCACTGGTAAACAATCATAGGAACAGCGGTGCCATCGCGAGCATATAGCTCGTCCAGTGACAGTCCAAAGACAGGCTTTAGCGGAGGAAGATTTAGGTTTGAGGGGTAACCAGTGCCAGAAGCCGGATATGGTTCTTTCGGCGCCGGAGGAGGTGGGTTCATGCCCTGCGATTCAGGCGGAGGTCCTGCTGAGATCGGATATGGAGGCTGGAAGGGCGGTGGAGCAAACGAGTCTGGGTTTTGAGGATACGGCGGCGACTGAGGGCTCTCTAACGGGCCAGATGATGGGATATGGACTGGAATCTGGGGCGGCTGTGCGGATGTAGGTGGCTGGGACACAGGTTGGGGCACTACAACAGACTGTCGCTTCGTTTGCGTAGACTGAGGACTAGAAGCGGGAGGCGCAATGGGTCCTCCAAGGGTCTGAAAAAGTTAGGATGCAAGGTACACAACTCCGACGGAGGACTCACTGGATGGCGATGGTACTGGATTTGGTCAGATGTCACAGCACCAGGGCTAAACTCATGACTCAAGACGTAATCATGGTAGTCTTTCTGGTTGTCGATTTGCTGAATCACTTCGCGAAGACTCTTTGTAGCACTAACACCATCCCCAGTTTCTTTCAATGGGCTGATGGATAGGCCCTGTCCTAAGAGTAGCTTTTCGTTGAACGTTCCTGAAAGGGTCAGTTATGGCATTTACGCAAAGCATCTAGGGAAGCGCACCGAACTTCTGCATTTGCAGGATAAGGCCCGCATCGCATTCGGAGATCAATTGCTGGATGTTGTGCACAGCCTGAGGCCGATGGGTCGCGATCAGCTCTTGTCGAGCCGTCTGGGCGGCTTGGACCTTAGCCTTATAGTCCGAATCCGCACTTTGCACCTTGCGCAAGAGATCTTCTTCCTGTTGAGCCACAGATTTGGTGCCCTTGAAGCCAAACTTTCCACCTGCTTTCTCTCCGGTCTTCACCCGGTCATACTGTTCCGCCAGGGTATCATATTTGGACTTGGCTTTTTCGGCCAATGTCTCCGCATCAAGCACGCGCTTTTCCGCATTCAACCCTTCGTGTTTCCATTGCTTCCGCCCTCGCTCGATGTTGCCCGCAAGTTCATTGAGGTTATCAGCCATCTGCTGCAGAGACGCAGCAAACTGGAGCCCGTGATCCGCCATGCGGTCATGGAAACCATTGATCTCGACGCAACCATAGCTATAGGTGCCCTGGCGGTTCTCGGATTTATGAGCAGCATCGTATAGGGTGCGCGACACCTTTCTCAGGCCTTGGGCGTGCTCCTCTTCCAATATCGATCGCTTCTTTAGAAAAGAGGCGAAGTCCTTCGAAGACACAATTGTCCGTTAGCGCTCATGCGGATTTTCGACTCATTATAGCGGGCTGCGTGGACTCACCCTGGCGGACGCAACGCTTTGTTTCAACCTGGTCAGGAGAGTGGTGACGCCGATCTATGTGGCTGCCGGTTAGTGTAATCCCCGCACGCACAAAAAGCCACAGAACTCTGCTCAGGTTCTCCTTACATCTGAGTATATCACCTTGTCCAAGCGAGCTTTCAGCTCCTCTGAAACAACAGGGGGTCCCGCGCGGATCTCAAAGCCTGGGCCGGACGGGGCGCCAGATCCAGCGCTTAGGGGTGGCACTCCTGGATCCCCGGGCGAAGGAGTGTTTGGCGCGGGGCCATCATGAAGAGTGGCATCCGCCATGCGTGTGATTGACGATATAGACTGAAGGCAAAGGGATGATTGAAGTCCAGAAGCAGCAGAGAGTGTGCAGGAGGATATAGAAGCAGAGCTGGTTGGACAATAGAAGAATAAATGAGGAAGCCTAGGCAAGCACCCGACCCGGACTATGCGGTCACCAGCTTATCCCCGGGTGGGGCGCAATGAGGCGCTCATCTGGATTCGGACTAGCGTGAGGCTTGGTCAGGCCCATGTGTTCCGACAAGCATACGCACAACTCTTATGCTGATTGGCATACCGCTACAGCAATTGTGATGCCTACCAATTGTTGTTATATTAAGCAGCAAATACGCAAGTGCTGGAAACTCCCGACCGTGGTCGAACCAGGAGGCTTTAGTGTTCCAAGCGAACTATTCTATTCACTGTGTACGGCTAGATATAATCTATGCGAGGTGGAAAGATATTCAAGCGAGTGTAAACAGGGTTGTAAGAAGGAAACAGCACAGACCGCATATGAGGTAGGATTACAAATATGATAGAGTGAAGATGGTGCGAACGACAGTAAAAATGTCAAATCAAAGAGCACGAACAAGAGGATGATGATAAACAAACAGAAAGAAAAGGATAGTGCTACCGACCTCGAAAGGGTCAAAAGATGGCCATGGCCGAGGACTCCTTATGATGACCCAGCCATCTTCTTCCCCTTTGGCACACGCGCCAGCCAGTAGACGAACACCGCCCCAGCGATATTGAAGACGATATAAACCCACATGAGGCCAAAGTTCCTCCAAGCCTCACTGAACCGACTTCCAACGCTCTCTAGAAACAAGTCTGTCTTGTCCATGGTGCAAAACGAACATTGAGAGGTCGCGTCTGGATCTAGGAGATAGCCGCTCCCGGCCCCTTCAATGTAGGTCTGCATGTAATCCCCGCACGTCTGATTATCCGGCGGATTAAAGGTGAGATACTCCACGGCTTCGCACTCAACATCCGTCCCCGACAAGCCCGTCGATAGCATCGCGCTGATCAGATAAGTGAAGGGGGAGCATCGATAAAGGAATATCCAGAACCCAGGCATGGCGTCCGGGGTCGAGAGGACACCGCAGAAGATGAGACAGAGGGAGAATAACATATTTGCGACGTTGCCTCCAGTCTCTGCGAGCTCGATGCCTGCGATGACCATGTGCGCGAAAGTAGACGTAAAGAGCAGGAACGTCCAGATTAGTAGGAACATTAAACCACCGCGCTCTGTTACGGCGTCTGTGGGCTTTGCATTGTTGTATAGACCGATTGGGTAATACCAGCAGAAGAAGATAAGGGCTGCCATGAGCGTGTTCCAGGGAAGTTCAACAATAATATTTGCTGCCATGAAGGCTTTCCAAGAATATGCTTTTGATGGGCGTTCTCGTGCTTCGTAAAGGGAGCGTTGGGTGACAAAGTTGGGCATGATTTGCTGTACCAGATTGCCGAATATTGTCATCAACATGAACATGCCGAACATTTGATTCTGGAGACCTTGGATGGACGTTGAAGCGTTGAAAAATGAGAAGCCAATATACAGCGATGTTAGAACGCAGAGGGCGGTTTTTGACCAGATGTAGGTTGGAGTGCGGTAGTATTGAGCGAACACTCGAACAAGACACTCCCACAGTTGGATATAGAATGGAGCGGCGAACTCACTCAAGGCGCTTGGATCAGACGAGTCGACAGGCTTGACGGACAATGTAGCTTTCAATTCAGCAAGGTGCTCCTTTACTTTGGCGAATTCTGGAGATTCTCGCCATGTCTTGACCCAGTCAATCTCGGTGTGAGAGCCTGGAGCCGCTCCGATAACCTCCAACATCCACTCGGCTGGGTTTTCTCCCGGAGGCAGTTCCTGAGAACCATTGCGCACGAAATAGTTCGAGAGTGTCGAAGAGTTGGGCCCGATTTCTCCAAAATAGATGGTTTTCCCTCCAGAAGCTAACAAGAGAAGCCGGTCAAATCGCTGGAACAACATTGCTGATGGCTGGTGAATGGTGCAAAGAATTGCTTGCCCGTGTTGGGTTAGGGTATCAATCAGGTCTAAGATGGACCAGGAGGTCTGACTATCAAGCCCAGAAGTCGGCTCGTCCAGAAACAATAGAAGCTGAGGCTTCGCTGCAAGCTCTACCCCAATTGTCAATCGCTTTCTCTGCTCGACATTCAACCCTTCTCCAGGAACTCCCACAATGGCGTCTGCATAGGCTTCCATCCCAAGAAGCTTGATAACCTCTTCAACATAATCAAGCTTTTCCTGTCGACTCAAGTGTGCAGGTTGCCGTAGTAATGCACTGAAACTGAGAGCTTCGCGCACAGTAGACGTGGCCAAGTGAAGATCTTGTTGCTGAACATACCCGGTTTTCCGCTGGAACGATTGATCGCGCAAGCGCCCATCAACAAGCATTGAGCCAGAGACAACACCCATGGTGACTCTTGTGGCCAGGACATCCAACAACGTCGTTTTCCCTGCTCCTGACACACCCATTAGGGCGGTGCACGTCCCAGGTTTCACGAAGCCATTTACGGCATCTAGGATTCTTCGCGACTGTCCTTTGATCTTTATATCATAACAGACATCTTCCCAATGGAAGATTGCCGTTTGTTTCTGGATCCGAGCAGTAGTCTGTGGAGCGGATTCTTCGGTCTTCGGGGCATTGGCAGGCTGGGTAGGGTTCTCCGGATCGGCGTCGATTGCTGAAAGGTCTGGCTGATGGCCACGGCGGAAAAGAAGAACTTCACCTTTTGACCTCTGCTCGGAGATATATTCGGTCCCAAGAAGATAGGTAAAAGCAAAGAAAACCAGGAACCCAATCAGAATGCCCATATTTCTCCATAGGTGCCCGATGCTATACTGATAGCTCAGCTCAACATACTGTCCGCCATCCACAATTCTAGACCCTGGCTCCGCACCAACCGTTGAGCAGATCCGGTACTGCATAGACACGGATTCGTATTCACCACCTGCTGGGATGACAGCTTGGCAAGGAAATTGCCGACCATCGAACTCGTTGACCATAAAGCTCTCGAATGAGTAGGCGATAGGGTTGATGTAGTTCATCCAACGAGACCAGCCAAGCATATTCCGAGTAGGAATCGTGAACCCAGTATAGATTACCATTCCCAACATTATTATGGCCGCAGGCACGAGGGCTTGGGACAGCGAACGGGACGTCGCGGCCATGGTCCGAAAAATCATGGACATTGTGAACGTAGTAACTATAGAAAAGATCCAGAACGTAAAAAAGGCACCAGCATCACGGCGAAGGTTAGTCATCAAATATAGAGGCACGTTGAACGTAAATGAGTTGACCAGCTTATAAGGAGTGTCGCATAACATTGACGCAATCGCCTCGGCAAAAGGATGGTAGAATGCGTATCTTGATTGCTTCTCCACTATTGGTCGCTGCGAATATAGCGTCAAGATTTCCAATGCGCTCGAGAAAGCGTTCAAGAGGACCGCGAAGAACAGTAGAGCGCCCCTGTAATAGAAACTGTCCGTGTCGTCTGGGAGATTGAAGAAGACTGATCCAATAATCAGAGCCATGATGAAATTGCCGATGAGAGCGGTTGCCGTGAGACTGAAATCTCCACGGAGGCGCTGGAACCCACGAACAACGCACAAGGAGACCTGCTGCCAGACCGAGATCGTGTAGGGAGACTTCACGCGTTGCCGCTTCGATTGCATGGCCCTTCTTGCATCCACGAAGGCATCATAAGAAGGACCACCGATGGGGAACTGCCGCTCATACTCCTCGATCTCGGCCATAAGCTTAGCGCGTTCTTCACTTCTCTTCCATGCAGCCACGAATTCGTCTGGCGTGCGAGGGACACGCCCTTCATACCCAGGGCGTACCACACGTTCCGCTGGGCTAGTGAGCGATGTTAAGAAGTCTGCCGTTGTCTGGCGCTCGGGGCACTCGAATCCCATATCAACAAAGAACTTCTTTGCGTCCTTGGTGTTTCCGAAGTAGATCTGCCTTCCTTCATAGAGAACAGTGACCTTGTCGAAGACATCATAAGCGCTCTGAGAAGCTTGGTAAATGGCCACGCAGGCAGTCGACCCGCTATACTTGCTCATCAAAGCCAAGTTTTTCACAAACTCGAGAGCATTGGCGCTATCAAGTCCTCTCGTGCTATTGTCCCAGCACTGAAGTGGAGCTTGACTCAGGGTAGCCTCTGCAATGCTGACACGCTTTCTTTCACCACCACTTACCCCACGAATAAAGTCATTACCCACACGAGTGTTATATGTATGCGTGAGGCCAAGCATGGCCATGACCACGTCCCTCATATGCTCTGCATGTTGCTTCTGACTCACGCCTTCGAAGCGGTTGCGCGGTGCCCGTGCGAGGGCAGCGAATGTAAGCGTATCGGCTACCGAGAGCTGAGGGAAGTGGACATCGTTCTCCGCTGTGTAGATAGCTTCGCCCCGGAAAGAATTGTGCATGTCCTTGACAGAAATGCCTGGAGAAACGGACAGTGTCAGAAGCAGATACGTAGAAGTGCAGAATGGTCTTATTTCGAGGGATACTGACCTTGGTAGTTCATCACCGTGTCCTCTGATACTTGGATGCCGTTCATTTCACCCGCAATGGTCTTGAGAAAGGTAGAACAACCACTTCCAGGCCGGCCCAGGACTACAAGCAACTCTCCACTTCTGATCAATCCCTCAAAGTTTTGGAGGATCTGGATTTTTGGCATTTTGATCCCAACCAGCCTGCGAGCTATTGTTCCAAACTCAAGCAGCACGTTCAAGACGTCTTTCTGGTAATCAGTTGGTGAACCGAAACCATGAACGCCAAGGTTCTTGAAGGCAACACCGGCTGTGCGATCAGGGTACCTCTCTGGATCACGAGATCGAATTTCTAGTAGCATTTTCAGCCAGTCGCGGACACGGAAGTTTGGACCTTGGGGGTTCAGAGTCGAGTCAGGATCATCAAGGAAGAATGGATTCTCGAGCGTGCTTTTCGCCGTCAGTCTAGTGGATTGTCGGGTCAATTGTCGAGCCAGTGACACCACGCGAGCTTCCCCGTCATGCTCATTATCGTGTAGTGTTTCGCCATCTTCGCTCTTATCCTTCTCGGAGTTGCCTGCATTCGCATTCGTGGAGCGGTTATGACCGACGCTGTCCTCATCGAAGTCGTGCACTTGGGGTAAATTGTGACTGACAACCGACTGAGACCGCGGTAGATTGGGTATGACGGTCCCGATAAACGACATGTTGGCCTGGAGGTCCTGAAAAGAGCATGCACTAGAAGCGAAGATCAAGAATCTTCAGGAGGCACCGAGCAAGGTTTCGACACTGGCCTTTATTTACCCAGCGATGGATGACGCAGGGCGAGAACCTGCTAAGCATAAGGCATCTCGGCGTCATATCTCCAGGTGCCGGGTCGGAGAGGACAGCCTCAATCATTTTAACATCCCGGATCCGATTGGAGCGTGTTGGTGCTGCCGGCAATATGGGCACCCGAAACGCAGCAAGGCATAACGACTAAAAGAGCTTCCGGCCCCCCGGAGGCGTTTTGAGCTAGACTGGCGACGTTATCTTTGCAACAAGAGTCCCTGCCACAGCCAAGATGGGCTCGCCACACCACGAGGCATGGCCGCATAGTGTTGGCAGATCTGTTCGATTGTTAGGGGTGAGGTGACCCGGTTAGGGTTAGGACTCTGAGTGTTTCGCTTGCCCTTCGAGCATCCCCGCTTGGCTGCTTCCTTGCCCATTCGAGAAAGAATGTGCATGTATTGTGGGAAAGCACCGAGTGCCAAGGTCTAGTAAATGTCGGACCTAGTTTGCATGAAATCGAAGCACCGGGCAATATGGATTATGGAGGGAGAGAGATCAGGAGATGAGGTCGAAAAGTCACCCGAGCATCCGAGGCCTAGCGTCTTTGGCTCTTCCTGCAGTGTCTCGCCCGCCCAGACCATCCTTGCCTCTTGGCTTCACACGGGCCCCCGGATCGCAGGTTCTCCGATGCAGAATGGACATTTTGCCAGCTCTAATTTTCTAAAATGTGAACCTGAGCGTCCAATCTGAAAGTCTGGGGAAATGGACCACATGCCGCATTGAGTGGGTTCGGTGATATCCAATCAGCTCAAGTGTTGTTCAAGGAATCGTAAGGTTGTCAACGTGACCTGTCTGTTACAATATACTAGGGAACTGCCTGCTGGTATGGGTTGGAGGCTTCTGCTGGCAGTTTGACCCTCACTGACCTTCTTTCCCAGAAGATGTGACCAAGATCCGAACACTGGACGAAATACTTGTCGCACCACGGGCAAACGCAGAATGGCAACAGCTGCCAGCAGCAACAAGGCTGGGCCCCGCCCTCAGCCAGCTCAGGGTTCAGTGTCGCAGGCGCGGGGCGTCTTCGATTTTCGACCTCAAGAGATGGGGCACGAAGGCAGCCAGCAGAGAAAGCAAGTGGGTGTCGCGGCTTCAAGGCCGATAACGAGCGCTAACTATGCAATACTCGAGTAGAGAAGCAACAGCCGCCGACCCCAGGAACAAGATTATGCTGGCAGCTATGGATCAGAGCCTCCCAGCAAGAGACTCAAGACGACGAATGATCCGAACAGCTCTAGACGTCAGAGAAACTTGAAAAAGTACTAGTGCCACCCATGCGCATGCTCGGTGGATATTTTCAGACTCTGTTACTGACGAGAACGTCTGACTGTAGCCTGACGATGCTCAACCGTTTAGAGTCAAATATAGGGCGGCTAGAGGCTCGCTTACAAGAACTGGGGTTCGACCTGGGCAGCGAGAGAAGAGCACAGGCTTTGCCGCAGCCGGTGATGCACGACAACTCACGTTCATCTCCATCACCCTGCTCTTCCGATCCAGACAATATTATGGAAGAGAGTTCCTGGCGTCGTGAACCATGTCCCGATGGTAGCTATGACGACTCAGCGCCACGCACTGCCGCGTTTCCAGCTATAGATCGAGAACGCGACGTGCCATTTACTCCTGCAGCGAATGAAGGAGGCTTTCCCAACGACTTCGGAGGCCTTCTCATTCCAAGGTGCATAATAGACAGCCCGACGTCGCGGGGTGAGTTCAGTGGTAATCGAATCCTTGACCTATTGGATTAACAGGGTTTCTTAGACATCCCGATCCTTTCGCATGAAGGCCTGGAGTGGATGAGCCGAAAGGCTGGCATAAACCCTAGGCTGTCATCCGAAACTCGAAGCGATACGCCCCTGTTCGGATTGTCGGAGGATGACTTTCCAAAGAAGGCGTTCTGCCCGCTGCCGTCGAAAGAAGAGGCTTCCTCGCTCTTGTATGAGTACTTACAGAACTTCAACTGCCTGTGTCCTCTATTTGAGCAAGCAAAGCTTATTTCTCTCATAAATGAAGAGAATCTGGACAGCGCATTGCGGACTCCTTCTTGCTGGGCCAGTGCCAATGTTGTGTTCGCGTTAGGAATCGCATTCAGGATCAAGAACAAGAGCGTTGCTCACTCCGAGCACCAAAGAAGTTGGCTCTTCATCAAAAATGCGTTTGGCACCTTCCATGACCTTTGTCTCGGCCAGCCAGATCTGTGGTCTATTCAAGCACTTCTAGGGATGTCGATTTTCTTCCTAGGAACGATGTCTGCTGAGCCTTGCTGTTTCCTTACTGCTGCAGCCATACGCATGAGCGAACAAATCGGGCTTGGAAGACTGAAGGAAGACGTTTCACTTTCTTCCGAAGAGAAAGAACACCGAAGAAGGATATTTTGGATCGCGTACTGCCTAGATAGAGAGTACGAAACCCTATTTTCTGTGAAAAGTCAGCTCTGATCAAATACAGGATCTCCCTTCGCTTTGGTAAGCCTCCCACGCAAAGTGACGAGGACATAAGCATTGGTCTACCTACAGAGCCGCCAAAGGACAGTGTCCGAATCGCGCCGTCAACGTACAGGTATGGTGACTTCGATGCTTTCAGAGCACACTGTCAACTTGCAACCATTAAAAGTCAACTTTACAAAGACCTATACTCCGCTGCAGCAAAGGATAGACCGCTGTCTGAGATAATGGCCTCCGTTGGAACGTTGGATGGAATGCTTCAAAGCTGGAAAGAAGACCTGCCTTCCGAATGCCAACCAGAACCACATAAGGTATCTAGTTTCACGAAGACTTCGATATCGGTCATGCTATTCTACCTGCACTGCTCCTATTTCAATTGCATAATTGCGATGCATCGATTGATTGTGAGCCGGGGACTTCAGACATCTGGAGATCTTCTCAGACAGTACGCAGACCTCAGAGGTTCGGCTCCCCCGCCATACAACACAAGAGTATTCGACTCTGAATCTATATGCGCCAACGCCGCGCGGGCCTCAATCAGGCTGATGAAATATTTGCCGGAAGGCCATATATCCCTCGTCGGGTATGTAGCGGTCCAGGCCCTGGTCTTAATGTCGAGCATCGAGCTAACGATAGGTTGCAAGAATTATGATCCACTACCCCATTGTTGCGCTAACAACGCTTTCGTCAACTATCATTCGCAATCCCCTGGAAGCCTCCCGACTAGCCGATTTGAGACTCATGGATCAGGTCGAAACATATTTGGCTTCACTTGTTGTGAGCATACCGAATCAGGTAATCAGTCGGCTGAGAACGTATTGCGCGAATTATCGAGCTGCTGCGAGTGCCGCAATCCAGAAGACTATGCCATTCCGCGGTGGTTGATTTTCTTGGTTCATTGTCAGTTGCAGTTAATCCTCATGAGCCTTTGCTGCCAGATGCCTTGTGGATACGCTAGTCTCATGTGCGTGGGTTTATACGTAGGTAGATTATGCAGTTGGGGGAGAACAGAGCACGGTCCCCCGGGCCATGGTCCATGGAAAATAAAGCCCAGACCCGCATGATGTTGCGCATACCGATAGGAGGCAGAGGTCGTGTCCAGGCGGGCTGTTAGCAACTGCTGCCATCAGCCACATAGTAGACCCGGCAACCGCTGTTTTATTCTTGTGACATGGCTAAAAGCAAGAGCAGCACATGTGCGTATGATTGTTGGAACTTTTTGAGTCGATATATACATGCTTCGATTAGTTAGTTAAGCTCCAGCACATTGAATAGATACCCCCACCATATTCTTCCAACGCCGGCAGATCATTAACTGCATTGCTTAAAAAACGAGAATTTCGATCTTCTTTTCCTTCGCCCCATACCGCTCGCGTAACTCAGGTCGAGTGAGCAGCTGTAAAAGAGGAAGGTGTGTCTCTTTCATGTCGAAAATTCCTCTTTGCTTCTGGTCCACATATGAACCGTCAATGACTATGCGTTTCAGCTCATCCAGCTTCAGGGACCCTGTTGCAGTCAGTACTGGCCAGAATTATTCGAGTGACAAAACTCCAATTGCCCAACAGTTCATACCTGAGGCGATTAAATCAGAGATACGAGCCGGGGTTCCAGCTCCGATTCCCACTCTGTGGACATAGTTAGCAACTTGATACCCAGAATATTTCCAGAACGGCGTCAGCATACCGCGCTCGCTCAAGGAATTGCTTGGCTTCTTCCAGCTTAATATGTTTTGCGAACAGTTTGCCGATAGGAGATTCTTTCGTTGAGAACGTTCGAAGAGCCCTAGACAACCGTCAGCATCTTCTCAATGCCTGCCTTTGAGCGTGATCACACACCTGACAACATCCGCCGCGCGAAGACCAGCAGAAGAAACAACAATAGTATGTGGGGTCCCCTTCTTCTCCGAAGAGTCTGAAAGCTTGACGCCCGTGGGAGTAAACGCCTTCAGGAAATCAGGAAGCTTCTCGAGCGTCCTTGAAGACGTAAATGACGATGTGTCGAGGAAAGCGGAGTCTGGAACACTAAGATCCTCCAACTCAACAGCAGTAATCTCTTTATTGTGTCTTTTGGCCTTTTGAACAAAGTGATCGGCGAGTAATCGGCCATCCATTTTCCCAATGGCTTCGTCGACAGAGATACCCTTGCGCTCCTTCTCCAAGGGCTCGCCCCTGATAGCTTTCGGCTTGTCTGTCTCGTCGTTCTTGTCTTTCTTGCCCTTTCCGCCCTTCCGCTTCTTGTTCTTAGGCTCCTCGGGTGCACCACCACCGGATGACTTGTTCGGGGCTTCGGGCTTGCTCTGCTTGGAGCTAGATGATGCTTCGGCCTGCCTCTTGCGCTTCTTATCTAACTTGGCTGCGAGGCCAGTTGAGTTTTTCGCTTCTCCAGACATAGTAATATGCGTTTTCGGCTTGCTGCGAAAGTGATCCTGACTTTAAATGTAAGGTTGTTCTCCGATCATGGCACGATAATGCCTGCCCGGCGCAACTTTTTTATGCCAAGCCTGTCCTTATCGATAAGACTGAACCCAACCACCCGCGCGGGCTTTACGGAGAACGGAACGGAGACCGGCGCGTTTCCACGTCCCGCATCAACAACTACCAGCCGACCCCTCGTCATTCTGGACTTTGCGTTCATACACTGACTCGTCATATATGAGACTCATCGGATCTTACTCTGCATACTATAGTGCTTGTATGCTACTTTGTTAGCTACAATGTCGAACGCTCCAAATCCGCGCGCGGCCTCCGAAGCGCCTAGGGTTGGTGAACGAGTCCCTGGTGTATTATTTTGACTAACTTGCTTCTCACAGAGCTCGCGAATCCCAGTTCCCGCTCGCTATCCCTCCACACCAGGCCGAAAGAAAATAGGGTCGACAACCCCTAGGAGGACGCCAGGAAACAGAGGCGGCGCCCCGTCGACACCATATGGGGTCCGCGCAATGCAACGGCGCGCGGCAAATACGCCAGGCCGTGACCGTCGAAAGAGCGGACGAGGCCCTCCACGCGAAACAGTTTTCGATGTCCTCCGCAATCTTGGCAAAGGTATAAAATTAACCCTGGGATATCTCATTAACGCCGCTTGCTGACTATCATTATGTGAAGCTCTCGCCCCTGAGTCGCAGCCTATACGTTCATCACCACAGCCTCCGCCTGAACCAGAGCCGCAATCTGAAGTCGACGAAATAGACGAGCTTGATAATGAACCTGCACCTGAGAGACCGCGGCTGTCCCTGCCGTTGGAGGAAGTTGAAGAGGAGGAAGAGGATGGAAGTCCTGAGATACGACCGCCGCGGATGTCGTTGGCACTGGGCGATGATGATACTGGGAATGATGATGTAACTCACGATGATATGACGCACACTTCCGTTGAATACCCTCGGAGAGCCACCCTTGACCGTGATAGGAACCGGCTGTCCATGATGAGTGTTGGTGGACCTCGGCTAAGTGAAAACTTTGGCGATGCTACTGGTCTGGAAAGCGGCTCAGATGCTGGCGAAGATACGGGCGTAATACAAGACGGTGACCAAGATGAGACTATCATCAGTCAGGGCGCGTTTGAAAGAGGGTGAGACCAATCATTTGAGATTCCCTTGGCTTGCGGTTCTAACATTGTTACAGCGGAGAAACGGAAGACCTCGGGCGGTTCAATCTGGATTTTAACTTTCCATCGCCCGTTGCGCAGGCGGATGATTTAGATGCAAACGAAGTCATGAATGATGATGAAGGGTTCGAATTGCCGGCCATCGACCTTGAACCGGGCCCCGAACCAGACCTTGACCCTGATCTCGGTCCTGATCTCGGTCCTGACCTCGGCCCTGATCTTGGCCCTGGGTCGGATGATAGTGACGTTGGTGATACCGCCGGCGGCTTCGGTCTGGAGATGTATCCCCCGGAAAGAGTCTCCATGAGCGAAAGCCCAGGGCTTATTGGGGGTGGGCTACGAGAGGAAGACACTATTATACAGGGTTCTAAACAGAAAAAACTCTCACGACATGGTATCCCAGTTCCCAACCTGCCAGCCGGTGTCGTCAAAAAGCTGGCTACGCGGTTTGCACGAGCACGAGCTGGGCCAAAGGCAAAGATCAGCAAGAGTACCCTGGCAGCGATCGAGCAAGCATCTGCGTGGTATTTTGAACAAGCTAGTGAAGATCTGGCGGCATATTCCAAACACGCCGGGCGCAAAACCATTGATGAAGTAGACGTCACGGCGTTGATGAGAAGGTGAGCTTCTAGGCTCCTCTCTCTTCATGGAGATGCTAATCTAGTTAACAGGCAACGTCATCTCAACAACTCTACCACGGTATTCTCCCTGGCACAGAAGCATCTACCCAAGGAGCTCTTGCAGGACATGAGACTCGCAATGCCCCCAAGATGAACGGTACAACTATATTACAATAATACACCATACCCAATAATCGGAACGCCAAGAACCAATGCTCGGAGGTTACCAATTTATGTTTTGGCGGACACGACGATGAGCCTCGCTGGCAGGCCGCTTTCGAATGATCATCCACAGCATGATAGATGTGGCGAGGGATAGCCCGTACCTATTCATATGAGCAACGAATCACGAAAACAGGAGGATCTTGGGGAGATTCGTGTGGGACATACCATGTGAAGATGTACTGGCTGTGATTGTTCCTTAAATTGACTTCAGCAGCACGACCAATGGGGGTACCCTTGGCTTCCCGGTCCATTGCGTCAAGCAGGTCCTGGACTAAGAGCCAGTTAGCTACGGCCGGAACCCAACAGTCATTGGAGACTAGCTTACCCTGTGTTTGTTCAATCCATACCGGCTGACTGCCGGTCAGTTCAGCCATCTGTTCAACATCCGGGAAGTAGAATTTCCCCTTCTCCGGCTGATTATGAGGCGTAAACATGTTCTTCTTCCAAGGCTCCCGTATTAACCCTTCCACCGTAACTTCTCCTGTGGGTAACGCCTCTTGATTCCTATCCTTCTGGTTCATCATCTTCTTCGAGATCCACCCTCTATTTATCAAGACCGTACTCTCTCCCTCGCCCCGCTCAAGTGGCGTGATAACGATGAAACCGTCTTGTCCCTCACGCATTCGGGGCCCGATCAACATCTCCTGGTCATGTCGCAACCGACCGGTAGCATAGACACGGCGATAATCGAACTCGGAAATGACGCTCGGGTCAACGCGCGGAGGTAACGGCAACGGATCCTTAACCAGCCGGTCTTCGAATTTCGCCATTAACTTCGTTTTCCAATCCAGGCGTTGGATCTGCCACGTTCCGAGTGCGAAGGAAATGATAGGGATCAATGCTAGTGTCGCAGAGCAGAGTCAGTATGGCACACGTCATGTAGATACAGCTCGCCGGTTAGAGGAAAAGTAGAGCATACCGAGAATGATCAAGCCAGGCCCGTGTTTGCGGCCGGTCCGCACAATCCTTGCGGGGTGGTCAACGACAGACAGCCAGCGCTGATCATCGCCCATTTGCTGTCCGTTGAAGAAGCGAACTTGGATTTGTTGGCGACGGCATCTGGCGCAGATTGAATCGAGCTTGAGTGTTGTGCGCGGACTCCGAGCGGATGAGGAGATCGGATGTTGCCATGCTCGAGGGGCCGTCCGTTGGAAGGCCGAAAAGATCGGTCGCATGTTTGATTGAATTTATTCGTCCGCTCTAGTTTGAGCCGTATCTTCTGGTGTCAATTGGGAGATATCCTAGCGTTAGAAGTGAACTAGTAAAAGTAAAAGCAGTATGTTGATAGAGGAGGAATCGACAGCCTTGCGGCCGGGGTGGACCGTGGAACCCCAATAGATCGGCATAGGCTTATGCGCCGACGCTTGAGCGACCTTCAAGCTCATGACATCCTCTAGTCTATATTTCGCACATTATCTATAGCCAAAATGTTCTTCGTGGGCACCTTACAGGAGGGGATTACCCTGGCCATTCAAAAGTCCAAAGCTGTCATATGTTTTGTATCAGGTTTGTCCTCTGATAACTCCGTCCTTTACTCTGTTATAGTACCCGCTGCTAACCAGTGCTTGCACAGATGACGGCGAGACAAGCTCAACATGGCAGGAGAAATACTTTCAGGGCGACGAGGTACTACCATAATGCCATATCAGGCTTTTGCTTGCGCATGTTGATTCAAGCCATGGCATAGGAATTCACGCAACTATTAGAAGCGCGATCTGTCCTATTGCGCATCGCCAAAGACAGCCCCGAAGCAGGGTTTCTCGCCCCCATCTGCCCCATTACCAGATATCCGACGGTCATTGTGATTATGTATGGCTGCCTTTCCGAACCGAATGATTGTATTGTCTGCAGTGTAGTGCAATGTTGACCAGTTCGCAGACATGGAATGCTGCGGGAGTATATTGTGCCGGATATCTCGAAAGAGGACTTTCGCAACCGCGTCACGGCTGCTTTGGATGATAGCAAACCGCAGAGCCAGGCGAATGCGTCTTCAGCGCGTCAAGAGGTCCCGGAACAAGCTCAAGGTATAAACTCCTCCCCCGCGCCGGCGCCGGAATCCGTTACTGCAGCTCTATCCATTCCCCAGCAGTCTCCTCAGCCTACAGCTCTTACACCTTCAGGTGAGGAGTCTCAGACGCAATCAGCGCCGGAGCAACAGAGCCAGGCCGTGTCCAAAAGCACCTCGGGTGAGAAAGGCAAGGACCTAACATATGCTGCGGGTAGGAGGAAGTACTCTGCAAGAAGACCCAGAGAAAAAGAGGAGCCCGAGGCCTCCCAACCGCCTAGCAGCGCTCAGGAGACGACGCAGCAGAAGGACACGAAGGGAAAAGCACCAATACGGACAAACAAAAAAGAGAAGCCCGCAAGCCACTCCCAATCACCAGCCTCTCGTCCGACACCAACGGCAGTGCCTCCATCACATTACCGTCTTCAAGTCCGGCTTTTTGACGGCAGTTCCGTCCGCTCAACTTTCGAGCCCTCGCATACCATCCGAAAGGACGTCCGTGCCTGGCTGGATACCCAACTGGAGGAAAAGAGACCCTACAACATTAAGCTTATCCTCACACCCCAGCCGAACAAAACACTCACAATTGCTGAGGAGGATCAGGAACTCCGTGAACTCATCACCGGCTCCACGGCGACCTTTGTCTTGGTGCCCGTTCAGACATACATTGAAGCATACTCGCATTCGGGATCCTTGCCTGTCCGCGCAGTCTCTTCAGTTTATGGGATGATTACCTCTATGATTGGTGGTGTGATAGGGTACATCGGCTCCTTCATCGGGTATGCCCAGGGCCGAGCTTCATCGTCACAGCCTGAAGCTCCCCAATCCAGCGAGCCCCAAGTTTCCGGGGAATCCACTGGAAGAAGCCCGCGGCAGTGGGGAGCGAACATTCGGACCCTTGGAGACCAGCGAGACGGGCAAGATAGTGAGTTTTACAATGGGAATCAGGTATGCGGCCGAATTTTCTCCTATGGTCTTGATGCACTGTTGATTTGCTAATATGTTGAGGCAGCTTAATTTCGAACCGCGACGAGGCGATGAGTGATGAGAAACAACTCAAAAGGAGAAAAAAAGCCATGGAGAGGAGATTATTCTTATTAAAATCGGGTATCTGTGTCTATCTGAGCCCAAAAGTTAATTGTAGTGGTTAAGTAATCACCTTGACGGCCCAGACGTTCGGCTTCTTTACCGGAATTATAGTGTACATTGGATCATGACTATGCCGCTATGCAAACAGTATTCGTGTTGAGTTCTGTGCGAAACTCAGACTAAGTATTCCATCGAAAGCCAACTAAATGCTCAAATTCCTGATATTGATGTGCTTAGTAGGGCTTAGCAGCAGCCTGGCAAGCCTTCTGTAACACGGAAGTTTATTAGTAACCTGCTATACCTTGATCGGTGGCTCAAAGAGGACTTACCAGCTGGTCAAGGTACCACCCGCAGATAGACATGTTGCCCTGGTTGTCGTCCATGCACTTGCGGAAGTTCTGGATGTCGGTAGCGCAGGCGTTGTTCTCCCAGGAGCTGTTGGTAGCGCTGCCGGCCCAGAGACCGTTGTCCATAGGCTGGGCCTGAGCAGGAGGAGGAGCCTGCTGAGCCTCGGCAGGGGCGCTGGAGCCGCCGCCGGAGAAAAGACCGCCGATGGCGTGGCCGATGGAGGAACCGACTGCTACACCACTATATACAAGTTAGTACCAGGGATTCGTCTCTGAGATGTGAGAGTTCCAGCGCTTTTGAGGGTGGATTGCCACCGGGAAAAACGCATCCGGATTCGATTTGCGGCAACATCGGCGACTTACGCAGCGGTGGAAGCCATCTGGCCGAAGAGGCCGGGGCCAGCGCTCTGCTGGACGGGAGCAGGGGCTGCAGGAGCCTGAGCGGCAGTAGGGGGGTGGGCAGCGGTTGAGTGAGGCTGCGAGTGCTGCTGGCCGTAAGGCGCACGGGCCGGCTGCGCGGGAGCAGTAGGGCGAGTGGGAGCGCTGCGCGCAGGAGTAGGGGCGGGAGCGGCACCACGGCGTTGACGAGGCATGTTGAATGTGTGATTAGATTGAGCTTTGGGGTTTGTTAAAGATGGGTATTGAGGCGGGTGAAGGAGATTATATAGAAAGAAGACGGTCGAATCGGCGGAGAACAATTTAGCGCATGTCAGCAATACACCCGTTACCCGGAATTACACCAGATCCGGTCTTTTATCGGAGTTTATTAGGACCACGGAAGACGATCTTGTACTAAAAGCATATCGACTTTACAGCTTTCAGGACACGCAAATGAAGCCATAGTACATCTTCTGAAGAACGAAAGCAGTACTGGTGTATACACCTGTTATCTGATATATGAATCAAGTTTCGTTTACTTGGAAGTCTCTATTCTTTCCAAAACAAGATGCCTATGCAGGTATGCATTGAGGCCGGTATCTCCGGTTCTGAGAAGTGGCGAGTCTTTGTGACTTGGATGAGTCAAAGTTGGAAGCAATCTCCGGCGATTTCCAGACGGTGATCCTACTGGAGCGGACAGATATGATTGTAGAGACCTGCCGTTCAGGTCGGTTCCGAATCAGCAAGGCAATGCGGGGGTCTACTTCGTCGAGGAGCATTTGCCGGAAACTATCCTCTTGAAATGTGATCCCACTCGGTTTCACCACCCTTCATACATTTGCCTACCGAAGGGTTGATTCTTCAAGACTCCAGGATAATTCGGAACCAAAGTGTGCAGAAGGACTGAAACGGCGATGAATGGGAACGAGGAGCCGACCTCTGTGCGTGGGGTGCGTGGGGCTTCCGGCCATGTATCGCAATAGTCGACATGATACATATAAAGTTGGTTAGCACGTTCAGGTTTCCTTCCTCGTCTTCCGAGCGTCGTCCTTCTTCTTCCGTCTCTCTTTGTGACGGCCCTTGAGTTCTTCCTTGCCGCGACGCTTTTTACGTCTTTCGTCTTTCGCACTGGATTTTGTCTTGCTTTTCTTTGACTTTTTCGAGCCGCCAGCACGTGCTTCAGATGCGTGTGGTTTCCGTGAGGTCTCGGCTTCCTCAGCGTCGCTCGCAGGGCCCGATTTTTGGTCAGCATCCGAACCGGAATCACTTGAAACATCTTTGCCCGAAGTTTCAGGCGTGGCGTCTGCTTTCTTAGCCAGCAGTGATGCTTTCAGCTGTGCGCGTGCCTTCTCTTTTGCTAGTTGTTCCTCCCGCTGCAAGTCAAGTTTCTCGTTTCCAGCCTGGTAATGTAAGCGATGGTTCAGGCGAGGCTTGATGGGGATCTCATACGAGGCCATGTTTGATGAAACGTCCGGCTGCTTGTTTGTCAAGCACCATCGTCCTTTGTTCGGGTTCGGCCTCCAGCGCCTTGATCTTGTCAAAATATTGCTTCACTCTCTTCAATTCTCTGTAAACGGGGTGCTCTGTCGCTTTGACACCATGTAAGCGCAAGTACGCTGTTGTAATAGTAAGTATTCAATCTATCAATTGAAGCAGAAAGCGCGTACAGAATATCAGTGATTCCAAAGCATAGGCGGTCATGACGTGAAATTTAGCCTTGTCCAGAACAGGCAGCTTCTTAGATGTTTCAATGACGGTGCTTTCGAGAATTGGCGCAAGTGCTTCCTCAAGGTCGTCAACATCGTCGTCAAGCCGTTCAATCAGCGGTATCAAGTCAGCAGGTTCCATTTTTCGAGTGTTTTGTCGGGGAACAAAGATTGAATGCAGGCGGAGAAAGTTGAAGGTTCTGCGGAGAAACCTTGATCTTTGGGACGTGCAAATTAGGCGGTCAATATGGCGGTGACCTCCACAAAGCCTGGGGATAGGTCTTCTACTCGCTACTCACATTTGCCTATCTGAGCAACGTTCTCGATGTACATGTTTTGAGTCAATTCATTGCTACAGCTGCAAGTGAAGCAAATGCTTCTTCTACCTTGATAGCGCCAACCCCAACCTTATGGTGTTCAGCCACCACTCAGTTTCGCACATGTTAGGAGCCCGTCCGCTCTTGCGAGCAGCGGCCTCAGAACTATGTGGTTTCAAAGGACGTGCTGCGTTGCAGGTATGCCCTAGTCGAATGGCATCAACGTGGATGCAAGATGTCGACGAGATGGCGGATGAAAGTGGAAAACGTCGGCTATCTGGGCGGATTCATATTCTCGGAGTTGGAAACATCGGCACCTTTGTTGCTCACTCGCTGGCAAGTCGGCCATCCCCGCCGCCCATCACTCTTCTTATGCACAGCCCGGAGGTATACGAGGTTTTTCGGAAGCGAAGGCAGACCTTGGCCATCGATAGCATCGGATTAGATGATAACAAAACTGGGTTTGACGTCAATGTGCTGTCCGAAGGGGTCTGGCATTCAAGACCCTACATGAACACAGAAGAAGAAGTGCCGGAGGATGGGCAAACTGTCTCTGGGAGTTTGGCTGACAGCGAACCGCAATTCACGCCAGTTGAAGGGGAAGCCGAGGAGATTGAATGCTTGATAATCTCTGTCAAAGCCCCTGCAACTGTATCCGCCCTGCAGACTGTCCGTCATCGATTGACGCCGGACTCTACCGTGTTGTTTATTCAGAATGGGATGGGCATCATCGAAGCAGTTAATGAGCACGTTTTTCCCGATCCTAGGCAACGTCCGAACTACATGCTTGGCATCATCAGCCATGGCCTTGCCCAGCGAAGTGGCAGATTTCACGTCACTCACACCGGGGTGGGCACAACGATTCTAGGTCCCGTACCGCCACAAAACTCTGGCAAGTTGGGATCAAATAGCGAAGAACCAGACTGGGCCCCTAGCACAAAGTACTTACTGCGCACATTGACGCTCACGCCAGCCCTAGTTGCTGTTGCCGAGTCTCCTTCTTCAATTATGCTGTACCAGCTGGAAAAGCTAGCGATGAATTCCGTCATCAACCCACTGACTGCATTGATGGACTGCCGAAATGGCGAACTATTGTACAACTACAGCTTCACTCGTGTGATGAGGTTACTCCTTCTAGAGATCTCTAGTGTGATCTGCAGTCTACCTGAACTACAGGGTATTCCTGGAATCGAGAGTCGTTTCTCCCCGGAGCGGTTGCGCTGGATGGTTACGCAGCTTGCGAACAAAACAGCAAAGAACCATAGCTCCATGTTACAGGATGTTCGAGCCAACAAGACGACGGAGATTGAGTTTTTGAACGGATATATCGTGCGGAGGGGCGAGGAGCTCGGCCAGAAATGCGTGGTTAATTACATGATCAAGCACCTGGTACTTGCAAAGCAGCGAGAATCTCGCCGGAAAGAATCCAGTACCATTCCGATTGATATCCCGGACGAACCAAAGGACAGCAAACTTTGACCTGCCACCTGCCCTTAGCGCTCTATCTCAACATGACACCGTTCCCAAAGCTATCCTGCAGAGATCTCTGATTTGCGTCCACCTTTGCAGCAGCATTTGGTGCTTTCCCTGGTCTTCTTCTTCCACGCTAGGCCGGAGATCCCTCAATCCATCTATAGTCAAATCTGACTCTTCTATATATGCATTGATCCAGCCTCGAATGACATCCTCGGACCTTTTTGCATCTACTCCTCTGGTAGAGCAACCGAGGACGTAGTTTTGCCAGTCATCGGGTCGCATATAACTGATGCAAGCGGCGATCTCGGTTCGGTAACATACGCCGGTGGCCGTAACCTGATAGTTGCTACTCCGATATAAGCAAAGAGTTTTTGAGCGACCGCAGGCCGTTCACGAAGGTTATAGCTCTTACCCCAAATACTGCTGCAGGTTCAGTTCCTCTTGCTGCGACGAGCTCAGTTCCCGGAATACTATATCATCAAGGTATAACGTTTCAGACTCGTTCTCGTCCAGGTAAAAGCCATCTACCTAATTAGCATGCTGGGCAAGGACATAACAAGGACGCTTGCCTTACATTCGGTGAAAAGAAAGTCATTTGAGTGCGGGCCATAGCGAAAATATATTTCCTCTCCCGCCTCTACAGGAAAGTTTGGTCAGCTTGTATAACAAACAACTTACTCTATTAGGGACATACCATAGGATTTCGCAGCCCTGAAAACATATTCTTTCCCATCAAACTTCACATTGCACTGTGAGAATCAGCAAACCAGTATTCCGCCAGATGCAGTTGCACATACCGCTACATCAGAATGATTGAAGTAATCAGCAAACGGCAGCAAAGCCATAGCATCATTCCGATCTTCCGGTGGTTCCTGGCCAGGCATGAGATAGAAAAAGCTCCTGGTGTTGACAATCAGCCAGTAGTAGGAAAAAACATCCCAATCGGTCTCTGGAAACACAGCGGCAACTGTCTCCCATGCGTTGTGCAGTCGTTGTTCCTGTTGCGCGAGCACATTCTGATGAGATGACTCGTATTCAAACTCGAGTTTATCTTTTCGAAAGCTCCTCCAGCGGCCCGAGATAGACGGTGGTAAAGCGTCGCGCAGAGGTTCTGGCCATAAGATTGGCATGCACTCTCTGAAATCTCCCCGAGTTGGCCAGGTTTTTTTCCAGAGCTCATATGGCTCGAGGTCCTCGGGCTCTCCGTGGCACAGAAAGGCAGCCAGGAGCGCATGTACCGGGACTGCCTCGTCAAATTTGCCGACGAACGAAGATGGAATTGCCTCTACTGTCAACATTACTTGTCGTGGCACTCTCACAATCGCCTCATTTTCCTATGTGCAAAGCTTAGAATTCGAAGTAACCTCAAGCCAGGGTCATACGGCCACATACGTACTTCAATATTCCTTGTGGTTATCATCCCTAAACCACGTCCTGCGAATTTTGCTGGACCCACGCCGTTCACAATGATGCCTTGGGATATTGCCCATTGCGTGAACAGTTCATGTTCTTCTCCAGGGCAATCGGGCTTCATATTGTTCATTAGGAATCTTGAAATCCTAGCGATAGATTAACTTTGCTCTACTGAACGTAATGTCATCGAGAGATGCTCGAAGACAACATAGTTGATCAGATACGATGTAGGGCATGGTTCCATCACAAAATCGAGGTACTCCATCGGACCTACGGCGAGTCATAACGACCACTTGCGCTGCCGGAGCATCCTCCGCATAAGACCACCTCCAATACTGTCTTCACAAACAATGTGTGTATAAAGTCCCAGGCGAAGATGTCACTTCTCAGGAGGCCGGGAGCTTCAGCTGCCAGTTTTCGACCAGCTGCGCTGCCTATTCCTCAATCCCGCTACTCGCGTTCTTTTTCTGGCCTCAATCGCCCGTCGCCAAAATATCCGCATCACGTTCCGCTCGGATTCTTCGAGAAAGGCTTTCTCGCCGTTGGTTCCGCAGTAGGAGCGCTGCTTAATCCTCGAAGAGCTGGTCAGCTTGGAGTCAGTGCCGGGCAACTGGAATTAAAGAACTAACTCCGGATTTCGGTGTTCTAGACCTAATCGCAACGCTCGGCGAAGTCACCGCAACCCCATACTTTATCTACCGACTCCGCGATGCTATGCTCCAAGACCCCACCGGTCGACAAATTCTCCGCGATCGCCCACGCATAACCTCCCAAACGCTCCCTCTTCCCTACCTCCGCTCCCTACCCGAGAACTCTGTCGGACGCACCTACGCCACATGGCTAGACAGGGAAGGCGTCACTCCCGATACCCGGGATAATGTGCAGTACATCGACGACCCAGAGTGCGCATACGTCATGCAGCGATACCGCGAGTCCCACGATTTTTACCACGCCGTGACAGGGTTGCCTACGTTCGTGGAGGGTGAGCTAGCGTTAAAGGCGTTTGAGTTCCTGAATACATTGATCCCAATGACGGGGCTTAGCATGGCTGCGTCTGTGCGACTGAAGCCTGCCGAACGAGAAAGGCTTTTCTCTTTATATCTGCCTTGGGCGGTACGCAGTGGGTTGAATAGCAAGGAACTGATCAATGTCTACTGGGAGAAGGTCCTGGAGAAGGACGTTGACGAGCTGCGAGCAGAGCTCGGCATTGAGAAGCCGCCGGATATGAGAGACATCCGGCGGATGATAAGGATGCAGAAGAAGAGGGAAAAGGAACAGTTGGAAGGGAAGAGCTCGTAATGTTTCTTCCCATCAAGTTATTTTGTCCCTGACCGGCCATCATGTACTTTTAGCGAAATATATAAATGTATATTACCCTCCAAGGTTTAACGGCATTTCTTTAACGGCATGTCATATCGAGTGACTTCCGCCATAAACATTGGCATGCAGGTTGAATATATCATCGCCTGTAACCCTAACCGTAGCCCAAAGCAGGAGATCGGATGCATCATAAATCATAGGTAGTCCGTAATTACGTTTTCAGTCCATGTTCGTTTCTTCACAGGTCCAGCAGGTCATCATCGTCATCCCATCCACCCTTCCGCCGCGAGAAGACAATCTTCTGCTGTTCCTCCTCGTCCTTGCGCTGATTCTCTGCAACAGCATTCAACAGCTGCTTGAGCTGCTCTTCCGTGACCTTCGACCGCAGCTGACCCGTTTGCGCAAGCATAATCAGTCTGTTCTCGATGTCTGTCGCGCGCGACTCCTTCACAAGGCGGATTCGTCCGAGACGGTCTGCGGCTTCGGGCTCGAGGATTTGATTGAGGATCGTGGCGCGGCGTTCGGCTAAAGCGAGCGTGTGAGTTTGTGCTGGTGCAGGATAGCGCCGTTGAGTAGAGCTTACCTTCAACTTGCCTAGAGATAAAGCGTTAGCGATGTTCTCTCCGCATGCTAGGGTATCACGAGGGAGGCACATACTTTCTCTGGTCATCTTGGTTGCCCTCTGACGGGGCACCTCGTGCGCCACCGCCCTGCTGCTGGAGCTGCGCGAGACGGGCTCGTCGAATCTATACGGCGCTCAAGTCAGCTTTACTGCGGGTAGGCGACCATCAAGGGCTTCTACCGACCTCCTCTAACTCTGAGTCGGCCATGGCTGATTGGGGTGAAGATCACGGGAAAGCGAGGGCAAAAAGTTCGATAGAGAGAATGAGTTTTGAGTAGTTTCTTTACTGAACCGCGTTATGGGCGTAGATCGCAGATGGAATAGGCAGGAGCAAGAAACACGGGGTAAACGGCCCTGAAGATTTGTCGCGTTGGTTGATCATTCGAACCCCACTTGAAAACCGCCTGAGGCTGTAAGGCTCCAAGATCTGGCGGGGCTATCATCCAAGATCCCATAATGTCTACTTATCGGGTTACGGGCAATATTATTGCGCAATCGACGCATTTTTCGGTCTCGAGAAGCTCCAGCAAGAATCGTAGATAGCAGCAATTGGCCGGTGCCTGAGTTTGGAGCTCCTAAACCCACTCAAGGGAGGTGATGGTTGTATCGGACTTGAAGCAATCAAGCCCCGCAGCGAGTGCTCCCCGTTGCAGTGTTGAATTTGATAGCACTGTGCTCCTGTGCTCCCACATCTTGTACTCCAACGGCAATTGATTGGGCGGAGGGATACGCGTGTACAAAGTACCTGTCCGACAATGTCTCACAGCAATGATAGCCATCTGACCCATGCTGCAAATGGTTGTCACAGCCACTTAGACCCAAGCATGTACGGAGTAATCCCGGGAATAGAGAGCCCTTTGATTGTCTTCAGTAACCAGGTACCTGCCATCGCCGGCCGTTATGTCCCTTGCGATGTTCTTGGACTCCCGGTAAGCTTTGTACTGGCTGGGGATGTCAACTCTCGCAGCAAGATCGACGCCCTGCATTGACCAGCGGCCAGCCAGCATTGACAGCTAATTAGAGCTCCATATATAAGTGCTGACTTCTTCGTATGGATTGAGTGACAGTCAGTGTAGAATAATGCATGATTAATGCTCGCACGAGGCTGCAATAGTCATAGCTTTCTGCCGATCATCACATGACTGAGATACGGTAAAAGACCCGCCACTGGCTAACCAGACTTGGTGACGAAGCTCCGAGTGCGAGCGCGAGTGCGAGTTCCTCCACCACCAGCATCCTTCTGCTAGCCGCCTTGGAAGAGGGGTCGTTACATCTCCAACTGCGTCTTCCGTTCGTCATTCACATTCCTTCCTTCTCTTCATCCCGTCGCCTGCGATCTCTCCGAGTATACCTTCGCTCTACCGCGCATCCGCTCCCTTCCTAGCCTTGATCTCATTCCTTGCTCCCGCGTCAATGCGCCCTATCTGAATCCATTAGCGCCTCTTCAGACTTACGCGCGGATGCTCAATCGCCTTTCAGCTCAATATATTGAACATACAGCCTAATTTACTTCGTGCGGCCTCACTCCTTTATCGACTCGATCCCTTCCATGAGACGGACAGACCGAACATCTACCCATCAGTGACGTCTTGGTCTGATCACGGCACTAACCTCACGATTAGATTCTCGCCACCATGGCAGAGTAAGGCTTTTGGCTCCATATGATAGTCATCTTTACAGCGCGGATACTAAACTCTGCATAGTTTAATCGCCTTCCATAATTATTATTCACACCAAGGTTTCCTCTCGCCGTCAAACATGCTTCCACGCCCAACCAGCCACAAGCGGTCCCTCTCATCTGGGAATAGGTCCGCATCACCCGATCGCCAGGTTACGAAGGCCAAGTCTACAAATGATCTTTCACGAGTCGCGAATCCTCCAGCCCCGGCCGTTCGCTCTTCAAGCGAAGGTGGAGACGGTTTCAGCACTTTGAAGGACCCGAGACTTATGCCCACCTCTGAATCACCAGAGACCCCTACGCCGCCCTCACATCATCCGGATCTTAATGACGAAGTTGCAACGCTGAGTTTGAAACTTGTCCAAGCGATCAATAACCAAACGAAACTCGACGACACGTTAGTTGCCACCCGCCAAGAGTTAGAGCAAGCCCAGGAAAAGGCCCGCGCGCTAGAGTCGGAAAACGAGCAATATTGGCGAGACATTCAAGATGGAGCACTCGTTAAGAAAGCCGATGTCGATCTGTTAAAAGCGTCCTTGGCAGAGGAAAAGGCTCAGCGTATTCTGGCGGAGAAGGAGAAAAAAGGCATCGAGCAGGAACTAGAGACTCTCACTGCGGCTCTATTCGAGGAAGCAAACAGGGTGAGTAGACCTCTCGTGATCCACGCCTTCGATCATAGCCACATTCTAAGTCATATTACAGATGGTTGCTGCTGCCAAGCTCGAGCGCGAAGCTGTCGAGAAGAAAAATGAGCAGTTGCGTTCGCAAATCAAAGACACAGAATTACTTCTCGCCTCGCACCAGGAGCAATTAACAGAACTGAAATCGGTCCTTCAATTGATGAATATCTCCAAAGACGATCTTGATGGCCGCACTGCAATTTCCACCGCACCACCTTCTCCGGCCGGTGCCTCGCAACCCCCCATGTTTCCCAGGAAGAGTATGGAAGCTACAGATCTCCCTGGCGACGTTGTATGCGCTGAGATAGCTCCAGGGCCTGCTACCAGCTTCCCTGATCTCATCAAGGTTGTATGCCGAACTGATATACAAGCTTACGAAGATTTCCGGGAGCTATTCAGTGCGGCAAAGAGCTCGAAGCCACCAAGTAGAGCCACCAGTGGGTCATATTCTGGATTGAATGTCATGAGCTTGGCCAGCAGCTTCAGTGGCGCGGGGTTCGGTTCAGCCGCGTCGTCGCCTGCGAAATCTCAGCCTCATTCTCCCAGTGGGAGTGTCTCCTCGCCACAGCCTCTTACCTCTAGCATTCCCCTAAAGGACTCTCGTTTCTACAAGCGCGCACTTCTGGAGGATATCGAACCTACTTTAAGGCTTGATACCGCTCCCGGGATATCCTGGCTCACCAGACGAACCGTGTTATCTGGTATCTGTGAAGGAAGCCTTGTGGTTGAACCCGTGCCACCGAATGTTCGAAAATACGAATTTCCTTGTTCTCTCTGTGGCGAACGCCGGAGTGGCACCGACAACGAGCGCACACACCGTTTTCGGACGTCGGATAGTGATACGGCGCAGCGATACCCATTGTGTGTTCTCTGCGTGGAGAAAGTGCGTTCATGTTGTGAGTTTACTGGCTATCTCCGTCTCATCCTTGACGGCCATATCCACGCCGAGGAACCCGATGAGGTGCAGGAGGCATGGGAAGAAACAGTTCGCCTGAGAGAAAGAATATTCTGGTCCAGAATTGGCGGCGGTATCGTCCCCATGTTTGCTCAAACGAGTGCGCCAGAAGAGCGGCCCGAGCAACATCAAGCGGACATAAATCCGTCCATCGAGAAGCCCGTGGTGATGATTCAGCCGAGCGAAGATGTTCAGGACATCATCAATCGGGAGAAATTAGCTAAAACCCCCCAACCTCTCGCCGCGGATGCTATGACCTAGTGCTATTACTCAAGATTAACCAAACCCCTTATTCAACATCGGCGGCGTGCCCTTCTACTCCGCCGCAACCTCGGCGCGAAGACCAATACCCGGAGAGACATCAGCTTCGCCAACCAAATAATCAAAAGTCAACCGCTCCGCAGACGGAAGTCTACCTTGTTCCTAGCGGCAGGTCATAGCGGGGTATAATACATGGAGGTATGACTCGAGCGCGGGACGCTTGTTGCATACTCCATTGCCATATTTTCTCTATACCGAATATTCCGTTGCGTTGCTGCTCTCAGCATCTGGCGTCTATCTTCACGGCCACCATGCGCAGCTCCGTTTTGTATTACTACTACTAATCTTGCTTTGATCCTTTTTCCCTGTGCATATAACCTATTTCCTAATATCTTTTCTTATTTGCGCTTTCTGTTTGCTTTTTCTTTTCTCTCGTTTTCGTGATTTATCTTTATCTTTTCTCCTTTTTCTTTATTTCCATCAATCAGTCGGCATGTTCATTATCGGCGCAACGGGTATGTTTTTATTGCTGCTATCTAAGGGTAGAGCGATTGTTGTCTTTGTCATATAGATTTCTGATGGCTTCAAAGTCTTACGCATGAAGGGCATGATCTATGATGTTCCATACCCTGGCTTATTGGGCACTCGTCTTTCTGTAGACTGCAATTTGAGAGCAATTCCCCAGATGTTCAATCTTGCTCTTGACTAAGAAAACGCGAAGGTGACCAGCTTGCTCATCATAACTTTAATATGCTGATGTAATCTACAAAGGCGTATTATCTCAACGCAGAAAGATATAATGTAAACTATTTCGAGAGAGAATCCCCAAGAAAAACCACAGAACTCCAGAGAATAAAGACACAGCAAAACGCCCGCATAACAGGACCCAACAACAAACGCAAAGACCCGACTTCATCATTGCTTGTACCGCTCATGGATATTCCTGATCTGCTCCTCGAGATTCATGTTTTGAGGGTTTAGTGGGCCACCCATAGGTCCGACCGGTTGTTGCTGAGCCCCTTCAAATGCCATGCGCTTCTTCCTGGCCTCTTCCTCTGGGTCAGGAACGGGCTGGAGGGCAGTCGAATCGAAGACATCACTTCGTTGGCTGGCAAGTCGCTTGAGGTTGTTGACGACGTCTGCTGTGGACAGGTTGGTCGTCGCAGTTCGAGCCTGGGCCTTGGCCTGCTGTTCTCGCCAGCGGGGGTCGAGCATCTCGATACGCATGTGTTGCTGTAACTCGGCTTCGGGAATTTGCTGCTTACAGTTTGGACAAAGGGCCATGGCTCCCGCGGCATTCTGGCGGCGCGCTTGTGCGCGGGGGACGTAGTCGGAGCGGATCCGCATTGGTTGTTGGCTGGGCGCGACTTTGGCAGCTGCGGCTTGTTCTCGAGCCTCCATGCGCTCCCGGATGCGCTGTTCCTCTTCCTGAGCTGCAGCTGTCGCAGCGACTGGTGGAGTAGGAATTCCTTGAGGCGGTGGCTGTGGGGAGTATACCGGACCAACGGGTTGGACGAAGGGCTGAGGTTCGGGCTGCGCGGGGTATGCGGGGTATGCGTTGTAGTATGTGGGAGTCTCCATGTCTGTGGGCATAGCTTCTTCGATGCGGAGAGGGTTCAGCGACATCATCGCTTTCTGTTCTAGCGAAGCGGATTGCAGGTCGGTGAGAGAGGTCGGAGGAGGGAGGTCGACTTGATCGTCTGCTTCGGTGAAAAGAACCGTTTCCACAACCACAAAGTCATGCCAGTCGATTTGCGCATACTCAATCCGCTCGTTCTCCTCTTCTTCCTCCTTCTTTATTTTCTGTTGCTCCTGATATTTGACCCATTCCGCGCGTTTCTTTGCGCGCTCCAAGACATGGAACTTGTTCTTCACGTTCTGCTCCAACTCCGCAATTCTCTTCTTCTGAGAAGTAGCTTCATCTACTCCCTCAGGACGGAGAAGTATGGTATATTGGTCAACCAACCTCGTGAAAAATTGGTAAAGACTGTGCTGTGGGCGGAGGAAATCGAACTGGAAGTTCCGAGCTTCTCGTTGGGAGAGAGCCGTCATAAAGGACTTGCCCCGTTTAGCGACAAAAAGAGCTGTGAGCCGGACGACCTCAAGATCTTGCGCGTTGATTATCGGCATTCGTGCTGAGAAGTGAAACTCCGGAGGTGGCGCAGGTCCTTTAGGTGCTTCGGGTGCTGGAGTCGGGGTGGGCTCGCCTGGGCGGCCAGCAGACACATCACTCCCTCTCCCCTCCTTGATTTCAGTGAGACGCCATTGGTAGAATGGTGCATACGGGTCATTCGAGTTCAGGAAGGAGAACTTGGGGTTGTTCCGTTCTTTTTCGCGCACACGGTCTAGCAAGCCGAGAAGTCAGTCGCGTCGCTTGAGATAGACGTTATGACAGAGAATAGAAACTTACCTTCAAAGACGGCACCGTTTCGAGTGACATATCCAGCTGTCTTCTCAACAATCGCTTTTCAAGCTCTGTTAGTTCGCGCAATGATTCGTAGATGACAGCAGGACTAACCTCGAATGTCCTTCGGTGGCAAGACCACTCCCTCAGGAGGTTTGCTCACATCATCGGGGACAGTCGGCGTGTTCCCGTTACTCATTGATGCCATAATAAAGACACCTTCTAGCGTGCGGTGGAGGGGATGGAGTAGGGACGATTGAATATTCGGCTGTCCTGAGTAATTCCAGAGTTCATCGCTGGCGACCGAAGCGGCTATCTGGACCGCGCGCCTATCTAGCTGCTTTGATTGGACTCATTTGCCGCCTGACAACAGTGCCAAGACAGTTGCCTTACATAAGCGGTTAAGCCGCAGGTTTCACTGCCTCATGCCATGGTGAAACAGTGACAGTGTGAGTTTCAAGAACCAGCACAGCATCTGAATAGGTACTCAATGCTTAAGGTATGGGCAGGATCACAATTCTTGTATGGCAGACGAGTTTCAATGCCGAGTAAGCCCAGTAGACAGTCTGTTTTCGTCGTAACCCGCAATGAACCCCTGCCCCCAGATATGGCGTATGCGACAGCTGATCAACTCCACTGTTCTCAATTCGTGGTAAGCGCTGCCACACGTGTTAAGTTCATCCTGTGCCGCTGTCTTTCAACCGCTTCAGTCCACTCCATCCTCGACACCAGCTCTGCCCTCGCTTCCTCTCCTTTCTTTTCTCCTCGGTCATGGCGCTGTGTGCTTAGTTACGACTGCGCATTCGGTTCTCCTATTCCCTATATCTCCTCAATTGGCCAATTCCATATTCTGCTACCTACCAGCTGCGTGGGTCTACATTCGGAGTCTTATACGGTCTACTACTCTCCAGGTTCAATTTGCGTCAAATTGACTTTTAAATGATTTTCTAATCTTTGATATTTTGCCTATACCCATTGGAATAACCCACGCTCTCTTTCTTATACTCATCACGTTTGTTCCTTTCCTGGGAGTGCCGGCTTCAGAATGGCCAAGGACACCCTGGACGTCCGCCCTCCGCGGACCTCTTCTCGCTCCCCCAGTCGCTCGCCCCGGCCCAAGAACCGCAAGAAGGCTACAGCAGTAGCCTCAAGCTACCAATCAGATGGCGTTACAGATAACGACATCTTCAACCTCCCGACATCCGACTACAAGGTCATGGTTCTGGTGACGTTGGTAGCCGCCGTGGTGCGGCTCTTCAGAATCTACCAGCCGACCAGCGTTGTCTTCGACGAAGTGCAGTACGTTTCGATGGACTCCATGTGCGGTTCGTTGCGATACTAATTATAAATCAACAGCTTCGGTGGATTTGCGACCAAATACATCAAAGGCCGCTTCTTCATGGACGTCCACCCCCCTCTAGCCAAACTCCTTATTACACTCGCTGGATGGCTTGCTGGTTTCAAAGGCGATTTCGACTTCAAGGAGATCGGAAAAGACTATCTTGAACCGGGAGTGCCATATGTGGCCATGCGCATGCTTCCCGCCCTCCTAGGAGTGCTCACTGTACCCATTATGTTCTTGACCCTGAAGGCTACCGGATGCCGTACCGCCACTGCTGTGCTAGGAGCTGGTGCCGTCCTTTTTGGTAGGCTTGTCTATATTGATGCAGTGAAGAGTATACATGCTGACTCCACGCAGAAAACGGATTGATCACGCAATCCCGTTTCATCCTCTTGGATTCTCCTCTGGTGTTTTTCACGTCCCTCACTGCATTGTCCTTCACTTGCTTTACGAACCAACAGGAATTAGGGCCATCGGCTGCCTTCCGCGGACCCTGGTGGTTCTGGCTGGTCGCTACTGGATTGAGTCTGGGTGCCACTCTCAGTACCAAGTGGGTTGGTCTATTTACAGTCGCCTGGGTTGGTTCCCTGACCATCCTCCAACTCTGGGTTGTCCTCGGAGATACCAAGACTGTTACCCCCGTATGTTCTCTTTCTTTTCTGAGCCTCTAGTGCTTTTATACTGATCCGTCAACTAGCGTCTCTGGTTCAAGCATTTCTTTGCCCGGGTGTTCTGCTTGATCGTGATTCCCTTGGGTTTCTACTGCTCTATGTTTGCAATCCACTTCCTGTGCTTGGTCAACCCTGGAGAAGGTGACGGTTTCATGTCCTCTGAGTTCCAGGCGACTCTAAATTCAAAGGGCATGGCCGCTGTGCCCGCGGATGTTGTCTTCGGCTCTCGCCTTAGCATCCGCCATCATAATACGCAGGGCGGATATTTGCACTCCCACAGCCATATGTATCCCACTGGAAGCAAACAGCAGCAGATCACCCTTTACCCCCATAAGGATGACAACAACCTGTTCATCGCTGAGAACCAGACTCAGCCTCTTGGCGCAGACGGTGCAGAAATTGCGGGTCCTTTTGCTTGGGATAACATCACGACAAACTATATCGAAGATGGCGCAGTCATCAGGCTCAACCACATGATGACCCAGCGGAGGATTCACTCCCACAACGAACGGCCCCCAGTGACCGACGTCGATTGGCAATTCGAAGTCTCTGCCTACGGATACGAAGGTTTCCCTGGTGATGCTAACGACTACTGGCGCATTGAGATTGTCAAGTCATTGTCGGATGGCGAAGAGGCCAAGAAGCGATTACGGACTATTCAGTCGAAATTCCGCCTGGTCCATGTCATGACTGGCTGTGTCCTGTTCTCTCATAAGGTAAAACTTCCCGAATGGGGTTTCGATCAACAGGAAGTCACTTGCGCAAAGGGCGCCTCTTTGCCCAACAGCATTTGGTACATCGAGAACAACAAGCACCCCATGCTGCCTCCGGATGCTGAGAAAGTCACCTACCGAAACCCAGGCTTTTTCGGCAAATTCTTCGAGCTCCAGAAGGTGATGTGGACTACCAACGCTGGTTTGACCGACTCGCACGCCTGGGACTCACGCCCCCCTTCGTGGCCTACTTTACTCCGTGGTATCAACTTCTGGGGTCGCGACCACCGTCAGGTTTACCTCTTCGGAAACCCATTCGTCTGGTATTCGTCTACTGCAGCCATCTTGGTTTACGTTATCTTCAAAGGAATATCCCTCCTACGTTGGCAACGTAACTGTGATGACTATCGCAGCTCAACCTTCAAGAGGTTTGACTACGAAATCGGTACCGCTGTTCTTGGCTGGGGCTTCCACTACTTTCCGTTCTATCTCATGGCCCGTCAGCTCTTCCTGCACCACTACTTCCCCGCTCTTTACTTTGCTATCCTTGCGCTGGCCCAGGAATTTGACTTCATCACGAGCCGTATTCGCAGCTTTGGTCTGCCATCTCGGCCAGTCATTGGGAAGGCCTTGGCTGGTGTCTTCCTAGGGCTCACGATCTTCGCATTCACCCTTTACTCTCCTCTGGTTTATGGAAACCCGTGGACAAAGGACGCCTGCCGGCAGGTCAAGCTTCTGAAGACCTGGGACTTCGACTGCAATACTTTCTATACTGACGTAAGTAGCAGGACATGATGTGGCCGAATATGCCCTGGAATCTGCACGATAATGGCTAACACTATGCCATCAGTTGAATCAATATGTAACCCACTTCACCAGCGCGAACCCCGCTGTCCCAACAACGCCGGCAGCTATCCCTCGGTCGGTGGCCGCTCCGGCCAAGGCCCAGCCGAAGCAGGAGAAGGAGGAAGCCAAGGTTGAAAGTCCGGAATCAAGCATCACATCCAGCAGCTCTCCGAAACTTCGCGGAACCCAGGCACGAGTCGAATACCGTGACCAACAGGGTAACATCCTCGATGAGGCTGTGGTAGAGTCATTACGAAAGGAGGGCAAAGTATCATTTGAGACGAAACATGAGACTCGAACTCGGCTGGAGCATGGCCACTTAGTGGACGTTGTCGATGGCAAGGTCGCTCCGCCTCACCCGGATGTTGAAGGTCAGAATCCTGAAACTCAAGGCAAGGCAGACGAGATTGTGGAGGACAGTCCAGCCTCTGCAGCTGGTGCAGGAAGCTCGGTGGAAGAGCCAAATTCTCCTGAGCCTAGGCCCGCCAGTGAGGGAAATGAGGCCACCAATTGAAGCGTTATATAAGTCCCTCTGTTGAAATACCTGCCATATTCTATCCTCTCTCTTCAGATTTCCTTGTTCTACTCTACCTCTCCGACAAAACTGCCTTCTTTGTATCTTTTTTGATAATAATTTCTATCCTTACCTGACGAAATGTGTGGGGTCTTACATGGTTGCAACTCTGCGATTGCGCTATATCATAATACTAGTGTAGAGTGAAAAAAGGAAATCTTTAATTGAGTCACGTTAAAGCAAAATATGCACAAGCTCTCGATCAAAGAGTCTCATCCCCCGAATCTAGTCTTCACAACAGTTTTAATGTACAGCAATCAACATTGAGGCATCTCCAGCTTCAAATATACTGACATTATCTAGAAGTCGTACTCCTCCTTGCCGTACTTGTTGAAGCGCTCGTGAAGGTCCTGAATGGATAGAAAGTCAGTTGAGAAGCGATTCGTCGTCGCATACGGAGGAAGATCAGGAAGTTCATACAGCAGGTAGGGTCACGTTGGGAACGATGACAGTGTTCAGAGCACTGGGGGCGTTGCGCAGAGGCTGGCTCTTGTCACCACCGGGGTGGTACTGGTACTTGTAGGACTTGCCGTCGTCCTCACGCTCCCAGGGCATAGAGCTGTCGGGGATGCGAACGTTGCTCTCGGAGGTGACGGAGGTGGGCTTCTTGCCGAAGTACCTAAGAGCGGAAGAAGATCAGCGAGTGGTACTTGAGCTTGGCAAGCTATAGTGAAGCAATTGTGTAGTGGAGAGTCGTTTTCGTCATCTCCTGAGGATCCCGAATATGGCATGACACTCACCAGCCGGCAATGAGGAAAGCACCAGACATGACACCGAGCAGAACCTATTTTCCAATTAGACACGCGTGCCTTCAAGATACGATTCAGTTCGGTTTCATCCGCAAAAGGGTCCGTACGTAGAGCTCGGGGTCACGCTTGGGAGCCTTGTCGAGGCTTGACTCCTCCATCTTGGAGCTGTAGGCGCGGCGGGCGGGAGCGCGGAAAAGAGCCTGGCGGGCAAAGGCCCGGCGAGCGGCCATGGCAGCAATTGGGGACATGGTGGTAGAGTGGAATAAATGGAGCGCGGGCGCTGCAAGCACTTGAGGTCAATTAATGGTGAAGTGGGAGAGCGAACTGAGGTCGGGTCGGACGATTGACGGCACGATCATCAGGTCGCATCTGGTTGGTGGGTGCTTGGCAAGGCGGCGCTTAGTCATGCTCTGACCCAATGCTGATGTTTTGCTCCGTCGGCTTCTCTGCCGTGTCCGTGCTTTCTACTACTAGATCGCTTCACCAATCCATACCTAACGCTCGCCTACCTAGACACCTAGAACATCCTCCTTTGCGCTTCCTAGCGACATGGTCATGATGTGGGTGGCGTGATTTGAACTTGCTGCTCAGCTTTTGCGAGTACTTTTTCAACCTCATTCGCAAGGTATGTGTGCTGAACCCCCCTTAGTAGTGAGACAGGGGCCAAGGACATTGCTATCCTTATCTAGAAATGCGCGGGCTGGTGAAATATACTGCGCAGATTGCTAACTGTTCATTGACAGGATCTCAGTCGCTTACACTCTTTTTTGTCCATCGCTAGCGGGTTTCTTTCTTCTTGTCGCTCCTTAACCCCCTGGGCTTCGCCGAACTTGTCCGCAATCGACTCCACCACAACATGATATTTCGCGATAACCGATAGCAGCACATCGTTTTCAATTTTGTCTGGCAACAATGGCTTTCCAACAGAGCAATATGGAGGACAGTGAGACCGCCAACCATCCTACGCCGCATGCATTAGGGCTTCCGCGCCCTCCGTCCGTTGGCGGGATTTCGTCGCGAGTCACGGATATGTCGGACGATGGTGATGAGTCGCGAACGAATACTATGTCATCACACGCTGTACCGCAATCGCGACCCTCTGTTTCACGGCGTGGCCCACCGCCTGCGAGAAGTTCCATTGCCTCGACCAGCCAAATAACAAACCGACCCGAAAGTTCTGCGAGCAGGTTGAGCCGTACTCACATCCCGTCATTGGCTGCGTCAGGCTTCTTCCGTCCCATGTCTTCGCAACGCCTACAAGCACATCGTGGGCGTCCTGTGACAAACCAGACCACTATCTCAACGGAGGACTGGGGTGATCAACTCAACCAGAACAGGCGGAGTTTGATATCCAACAGCACCTTTCCTAACTCCCTTCCGGCTGTGGACCAGGAAGTTCCCCCGTCGCGTGGCACCGAGTTTACCGATCCTATTATCCCAGACCGAAATCATTCGAACGCTAGTCCTACCGCAGATACAACGGTCAGAAGCGAGAGCGCGAATCTCATATACGACAGGGACAGGCCACCGCACCTCAATCTAGGAGTGAACTACAAAGGCACCAACGAGCCCGAGCCGCCTCAGAGATCGCCTCTTTCTTTCCTCTCGCTGCATAATATAAATGCATCCCCAGAAAATCGTGATAGCCGGACGCATGAACGGTTATCGTCTGCCGACTCGTCTCCGCGGTCTATTGAAAAGAAACCTGAGCCTGTGAAGAGTCGGGACAAGGGCCGGAACTACGAGTATTTTGTCGGCAATACAATCTTTTGGGGGGGAGGCAGGTTCCAGAATTCGAGGGACAAACCAGTCAACATCGCAACAGCGTTCCTTGTGCTTGTGCCCACTGGCTTGTTCTTCGGTTATTCGTAAGGCTGTATAACATAAATTTCTATGACGTATCACTAACAGCTTTCCAGGGGTCCTTGGCTATGGCACAACATTTCTCCAGCTATACCAGTCGTCTTCGCCTATATCTTCTACCTATGCTTCTCCTCATTCATACATGCATCCGTGGTTGATCCAGGGGTAAGCTCAGGTTGTTTCTCTCATTCAAGTGCTTCTACTAATTGACCTTAGGTTATTCCTCGAAATCTCCATCAGATGCCTCCTATCGATCCTGCTCAAGATCCTCTCGCCATAGGCCCCCCGACGAACGACTGGGTGATGGTGAAGCTCGCAACTTCCGATGTAGCCGCTATGGACGTCCCTGTCAAGTATTGCAAGACATGCTCTATCTGGCGTCCTCCACGATGCTACCATTGTCGCGTCTGCGATAACTGCATCGAGACCCTTGACCACCACTGTGTCTGGCTGAACAACTGTGTCGGCCGCCGAAATTATCGATACTTCTTTACCTTCGTCAGCACATCCACACTGCTCGCTCTCTTCTTACTCGGTGCAAGCCTGGCTCACATCCTTGTGTACCGTTCGCGAGAAGGCATCAGCTTTGGCGACGCCATCGATAAATGGAGAGTGCCGTTCGCGATGGTTATTTACGGAGCCATCGCAGCACCTTATCCTGCCTCATTGTGGGCATATCATCTTTTCCTAGTCGGCCGCGGCGAAACCACCCGTGAGTATCTAAATTCGCACAAGTTCGCCAAAGCCGATCGCCACCGTCCTTTTACACAAGGAAACGTTATCAAGAATTGGATGGCAGTTTTCGGTCGATCACGACCACCGACCTACATGCAATTCAAAGAATACTACCAAGAAGGCGACCAGCGACTGAGTACGGTGAAGCGGAAATTCCTCCCTCGCAATACGGAGCCTCATAACGACATTGAGATGCAGCATGTGCCTCCTCCTGACTCGGGATAAGCGCCTGTTTACTTTCTCTCTTCGTCTTTTTCTTCTTCGATACCTCTTTGATACCTTCATTCATTGATGATTCCCTAGCACTTTCTTTTGCTCTTACCATCCAGCAACATCGCTCTCGGATTCCATGTTCTCTCTCTGACTTTTCCTTCGCTTATGTTTCAGATATTAATGGGCTTCGGGTTTGTATTTATACTATGTAGCTAGATACCAGCAGGTTTTCGCATCTTGGGATTTTCATTTTCGGACAGGCGATCGTACTAGGTAACGGAGTCTCACTTAGGTAGATGTATGGAATTGAATCTCATTGAATTATCCAATGATCTAAAAATTAGGTAGGTGGTTGTATATTCAGCTAGTTATCATTGCAGGCGGCATAACTATATATATGTAAACCACCCCTGAGCAAGGCGACATACAGCTCTATTAAAGATCCACAATCGTACACATGGTCTAGTACATACAGAATTACGTAGGTCCCGTTATTTCTAGGGCGTAGGCTTTAATGCCGGGAGTAATACGCGAGGCTGGAACAAAGTTTATCCCGCCTAAAATACTAAAAATACTACTATTAATGGCTTATTTAATATTTAACACTTTTATTAATAGCCTGTCTTAAATAGTAACACTTTTTTTAATAGCCGTAATAATAGCAAATTTAATAAATATATTTAAAAAATAATAAAAAAATAAATTATATAAGTAATATATAGCTTGCTTATATAAACCTATAATTTATAAACCCCTAATTTTTTAAATTTTTTTTATTATAATAGTTAATATTAAAGGTAATAATAGTACTATTTTTTTTATTTACTTACCTATTTTTTTATTAACCTAGCCGCTGGCGGCTTATATTATTAATATAATAAATTATTTAGGCTATAAATTAGTAGTTTTAAATAAATTTTATAAATAATTATATTATTTATAGCACGAGCTTGCGCTTTATAAGCTTATTAATAAAGCTAATATAATAAAAAAAATTATAGCCTGCCCTATTAATTAAAAAGCTATTATTAGGTAGTATATTAGCATGCTTATTAAAAGTAATTTAATTTATAAGTATTACGCCTAAGGCCACAGGCTATTTATAAAATATATTACTATATTAGGTTACTTTAGTAATAATTATATAAATTATTATTAAAATAATTTTAATACATGGTATATTAATAAATATAAGTTATAGCCCTTATTTATTTATAAGTATGTTAACTAATGTATTTAGCTCCTGTGCCGGGTAATAATAATAATAATAATAATAATAAAATAAAAANAAAAAAAAAAATAAAAAAATAAAAAAAAAAAAGTAAATACTATTACCTTACTTATATATATTATTTAATCCGCCTGCTGCCTGCACTATCTTATAATTATAATAATAATAAACTTTAATATTATTATAGCTAGGCTAGCTATTATAGCCTGTGTTATAGCCCTTATAATAAATAATTTTATTAATAAAGCTGGTTTTAAGGGTATTAAATATAATAATAATAATAAGTAAGTAGTTTTTTTTAGTTTATTTTTCCTGGGGCTGGACCCTAGTAATAAAAAAGTTTAAATTTATTATAATTTATTAGGTGTAGTTAACTATAAATATTATTAAAAATAGCTTGTATAAATTATAGGCAAAAATTTAGTATTTAAAAGCAAGTATTTAGTAAAATATTAATATTATTTTAGTTTATTAATATCTTTTATTTAACTTTAAACTAATAAAATTAATTACTTAATAACTTTAAAAGCCTTATTTAAAGCATGTTATTATAGTTTATAGCCTGCTAGTTAAATACCATAGCCTTATTTTATTATTATTTAAGTTATATTTTACTTTTAATAAATAATAAATAGTTATTACCTTATTTATCCCTGTAATACCTAAAACTTAACTTTATAATATTAAGCTATATACTAATATAGCTACCTTTTAAAATTAAACTTAATTATATTATTTTTTTAGTATATTATTATAAAAAATAATTTATAATTATATTATTTATTATATTTTTATACTTTATTATAAAACTATTACCTGGCACCCTAGTTATATAATATATTATAAATTATATTAAGGCTATAAGTAACTATTACTAACAAGCACTAGCTAAAATGCCACTAGTATAAAAGCTAAAGTTATAGGTTAAGTACCTGGAGGCCACCTTTATATTACCTAGTAATATAAAAGTAATTATAGCATAAATTATTAAAAAGTACTTTTTTATGCCCTATGTTTAGTGCATGGGAAAAAATAAATTATTTATAAGTTATGTTATTATTAACAGGTTGCTATCCAGCGCCTGCGCTAACTATTATTATATTTTAAAAAATAAATATTATAATTATTATAGTAAGTACCCTAATTAATAGTTTATAAAGCTAGTAACTAACTATAATAATTTAAAAATTAATATTAAAAATATTATTACCGCCGCCCGTGCCGTAAAAAAAGAAATATATAAAAAAAAAAAAAAAATAATAGCCATGCTATAAAGTGGTTATAATACTACCTAGTAAATAATTAAGTATTTACTTAAATATTAACTTTTGCCTAATTATAAACCCGCGGCCGCGCTAAGTAGCTTTATAACTTATTTAATATAATAGCTACTTAAAAAAACACGTTTATTGCTGCCTAAAAAATATTTATTAAAATATATTTTAGTATTATAGCCAAGTTTATAAAAAAAGCAGGTTTACTAGTAAATAAAAAAAAAGGTAAGGATAAGTTCCCTAGTTTATTAAATAAGTTTAATAAAAAGTTATTAAAAAATAATTAGTATTTACAGGGCTGGATCCTAATTAATAAAGCTAGTTTAAATTATTATTTTATTCCTAAATTTATACCTATGTTATTATTACTCTTGTAGTAAGAGATATTATTTATAATTATAATAAATATATATTAATAGCGCCTTAAATAACTATTTTTATATTTTTATTTTTTAGTGTTAAATGGGCTGCTAACTAACTAGTTATAGCTAAAAGGTTTTTTAAATAATAATTTTTTAAGTAATTATACACGTGATATAGCCATGTATGTAAGACCTAATAAAAACTTCTTATATATAATAAGGTTTAAAATAGCCTGCTTAATAATAACACCCTAAGCCTTATAAATTATTATTATATATACTAGTATAGCCAGGAATTATGTATAAGTATAAATAATATTATAATAATAAAAATCTTATTTTATATAAAAAATTAGTATTATATTATAGTTATTATTTTTTTTAACATGCGGATTATTATACTAGTTAAAAGCTATTATTAAAGTAAGTAACACCTTTTAAGTGGGATTTATAGTTCCTGGTAGCTATATAATATTTATTAACATGCCTATAATATTATTTATAAAACCCCTTTTTATTTAAATATTTTATATTAGTATAATATAGTAATTAAAAAAAATTATAAGCTTTTTAGCTAGGTTTCTAGCCTGGTTTATTTTTATAGTTATAGCACTAAATTTAATATAATTAACCTATAAAATAATTATAGGCTTACTAAAGTTTAACACATGGTTATAATTATATTAGTATATATTATTTTTTTTTTATATATATAAATTATATTTATAAAGGTATTACTTTTGCCTGCAGGTAACTTAGCCTGCACTTGTGTTATAAAAAGCTTTTAGTTTTTTATTATAATAATATTTTTTTTAAGTGCTTTAGCGCAAGAATAAATATATAAGTTATTTAAAAGCTTGTGGTTTAGTAATAAATAATATTTAGTTTAATAATAAGATTAAATTAATTATATAAATACTAACCGGCCTTTTTCTTTTTATTTATAAGTAAAGATATGGCCTTAAAAAAAGGGCTTTAGCTAACTAAAGGCAGCTAGTAAAAGTCCCTGGCTAGGATAATATTTAAGTTATTAAAGGGTTTAGCTTTGTAATTTAAAAAGATTTTATAATATTATTAATTAATATAGTATAGCTATTTTAAACCTATTATAAATTTTTTATTAATAATTAAATATAACACGCCGCGGAAACTTGCTTATAAGGCTAATAGTACTAAAGGTTATAAGTAATTATAACCCCCCTTGCCTTTTAATATAATTAATAATTAAAATAGTAAGTATAGGGTTTAGTTATTAATATTATATATAATAATACTAGTTAAAGTAGCTTATATAATAATAAAGGTTTTATAATTACTAGTATAAAAAGCTATATATTTTAGGGTTATAAATAATAGGCTAATAATATAAGATTTACTAGTACTAGCCTTGCTATCTAAATTAATTAATAATTATTTTAATAAGGGTAATAAATATATAAAAATAAATTATTATTTATTATTTATATAAAAAATTAGTAAACCGCGCGATTATAAGATACTTTTATAATATTTAATTATAATATTATATAGCTAGTGTTGCTTAACCTTTAGGCTATTTAAATAAGCTAATAAATAAGTTAATATATTTACTAGGTAATTTGCCTTTACTAAATCCTAAAATTTTAAATTAAAACCAGGTTTTTTTACATGCTAAATTTAATTATATTATTAATTAATATTGCGCTGGCCCAGGCTATTAAGTTTTATAAAAAAATTATTATTATGGCTGGGTTGTTAAGCCGCCATAGCCTTTTAAAAAAGTACCTTAATGGTTAGGCTAGTGTTATTATCCTAAGTTAGTAAATTAATTTTATTTTTTATATTTTTATTATCCTACATGTAGCTATTTTTTTTATAGCCATGGTATTTACGGTAATATTTGTATATATTATAAAAGTTATTAAACACTAATTTATTAATTATATACAGGTTATTTATTTTAATAAATAAATAGTGGAGTATTAACTTAACATAAGTAAAATTTTTTAAATTTATAACTTAACTATATATTAGGTAGTACTAAATAACATAATTTTTTATCTTGCTTTTAACCTTTTTATACGCTTTAGGCTATAGGGTATAATAGTATATATAATATAATAGTATTAAATTAGCAAGCTTTAGTAGCCACTGCATATACTTTATTATTATATTTAAATCTTATTTAATACTGCCTTTTTTATTACTAGTATTATTGCGGTCTATATCTAGTAGTAAAAATAAATTATTTTATTTTTAATTTATAAAATATAAAATAATAACCATGTTATAACTTAATATTTAAAGTAGTAGGCCTAGTAAATGGTGGTAAACCTTTTATATAAACTAATCTTGCTTTATAATTAGGGTATTTATTATTTTTTATATTAGTAATAGTAAAAAACAGCGTGTATTAATATACTTAAAAATTAATTTTATAATTTTTTTATATAACCTTATTTTTTTTTTAAGCTTTATAATATACTTAGTAATATAATAAAGTAAGAAGCACTTACTAGTATATATAACTATGTTTAAGTTTATAAGCTACCCTAAGTTAATAGTTAGGTTAAATATATTTAGGGTTATATTATTATAAGCTAAAAAAAAATAGTAATATATATTACTAGTTAGTTTTATTAACTAAAAATCACGCCGTGTTGCTATAGGAAAATAAAAGTAATAAATAACCTACTTAATTTACTTATTTTTTTATTAATAGTAATTTATATTATAATAATAGCATAGTACATGGTTTATAACCTGCGTAAGATAGGCAAGTATGTTTTTTTACTAAGACTAGGGTAGCTAAATAGCCTTATAATTTATATTAATAATAATAATTTATATATAAAAAGGGTTTATAACTATAATATACATGCCTTAATAGGCCTTAAATAACCGCTATAACTTGTTAAATTATTAAAGGTTATTAAAAATAGGGATAAATTATATTTAATATATATTATAATTATAAGTTAAATTTTAATCTTGCTATTTATAGCAAGATTAATTATTTATAATATTAAACTTAAGCTTAATAATTATATTAAAAAACGCGCGGTAATAATAATAAAACTATATTATAATAATATAAGGGTTATTTTATAAATTATATTATATAATTTATTTATAAATAGCTTTTATATTATCGCGCCATGCTTTATACTTAGGTAATTATTATATTAGGTTATTTTAGTATAAATTAGCTGCAAAGAATGTTAAAAATAGGTAAGTTGTGCCTATTTAAAAAATAAGTAGTTAAAATAATATATATAATAATAAAAAACAGGCTACTTACTAATATTTTTTAATTATGGCTTTTAAGTTATTTTTTTTACTATATTAAAATGACCGCGTACCGCGAATAATTTTAAAAAAATTAATAATAAAACTTAATAGCGTGGATAATTTAGCTATATTTAATTAAAAGGCTGTTTATAACTTTTTTATAAAAATATCTTGCTAGCTAGGCATGTGGTTATAAATATAAAAACTAGCTTGTTAATTTATTTATTAATAATAAATTATATTAAAGTAAATATATTAAAACCAGGAATGCCGTATAAAATAGCTACTTTTATATTTAAGTAAGTATTTAACATAATTTATAAATAATACCTCGCGCGGGTGTGTTATAACTAGCTTTATATTATTATAAAAAAAAAGGGTAGGAAATACTAGTAATAATAATTATTATAAGTAGTTAAACTTAAATAATAATATTATATAAAATAAAAAAAGAGTTAAATAAGGGTTATTATATATTAGCTTAGTAATATTATTTACCATGGCTTGTAAAGCCTTAAGTTCCGTGGTTATTATAAGTAAATTAAGTATTATAATTATATTAGGCGCCTGTATATTATTAAGGTTTACTTATTAGTTATTATTTAAAATAATTAACTTACCGGCTAGCTTCTGGTTTAAAATAAAATAATTAACTAGTTTATTTTTTAGTAACTATATAAGGTTATAGTTATTTTTAATTATATTTTAGTACCTTAAATAGTTTACTTAAAAATAATTTAGTTATTATTTAACTGCCTAGCACTATACTTTAAAATTATAATAAAATTATAGGTATATTCCCTAGTTTATACTAGAATTAAATAGCTATAAGATTAATACCTTAAGTTTTTTAGGTAAAAGTAGGAGCTATTTATATACTTAACTAGTATTTTATAAAAAGTTAATAATATAGCCTTTATATAAATATTAATAATTTTAAATATAATAAACCTTAATAAATATATAAACTTTTATAATTAGTATTTTCTTAATTTATATTAATTTTAGGAGGTAAAAAGGAATATTACCAGGATTTATTTTATTTTATAAACTAAATTTAAAAATTTCCTGGTTTTAGTTAGCTAACACGCAACGCTTGTAAATATTATTTTTTTTTTAAAGATTTATATTAAATCACTATTCCTAATAATAATTATATATTTTTAGCTAGTATGTGTTAAGCTAGTAATAAAAGTTATTTAATAGCTTTTAATTATGGTTTATAATAGCTAAATATATAAAATTAATTAGAAAAAATAAATATAATAAAAAAGTATAGTCTAGGTTTGCGTGTATAAAAGGGCTAGAGTTAACTTTAATAGTTTATAAAAATAAAGGTAAATTATTTTTAATAATAAACTAGGAGCTTATAATAATTAAGCTATTAATATTTAATTTAATATTATTTTTATTAATAATAATAGCTGGCTGTAGGCGCCTACATGGCAGGCAAGGTATAGGTAATAATAAAAATATGGCTATTATAAGTATAAAAGGGGGTATAGGGGTAATAAATATAATTAATAATAATAGGCATGTTAAAGGTAAATAAAAAAGCTAGGGTTTATTAAAATTAATTATATAGGCTATTTAATTAGCTACTTACTATATATATTATTATTTTATATTTTTATAATATTTTTTTACTTATTATAAGTTATTAAATAAGTATATACTATAGTATTAATAATCTGGCTTTAGCTATAGTAAGCGCGCTTATTATATATTTAGGTTAATTATACTAAGGGGAAAATATTAAAGGAACAGGTTAAAAAGGCCTATAGTTATAATAAATTATTTATTTTTTTTTTATTATATATTAGCAGCTATAATATATATATAAGGTAGTATAAATATACCTTATTTTTATATTTATTATAAGTATTATAAGGCTTGCGGCCCGGGCACTATTAAAATTAAAATATAGATTTTATATTTTTATAATAGCTATAAAATATAGTTAGCTTTATAACTAAACTTATTTATATAAATTATAAGTAAAAAAGGGATTATAAAGTTAAGGTTTAAATTATTATATAGTAAAAAAAACTATATTATAAGGTTAAAGTAAAGTAAAGTAGTTATATAATTACCCTTTTTTTTAGTTAATGTCAAGCCAGCGATCTGCACCTTCCTAATCGGGAAATGGAGGTGTGACGGTAGCCAAAAGGCCAACATGGCTAGGCTTAGGCCTAGCCATCCCG